ACCAGGCCGGAAAACACATACCATGTCGAGCAAGGTCGCTGCGCCGCGCGAATCCCTTGTTACAGGTTGAGCAATGGAAGGTCTTCGGTGGCGGGTCAACACCCGACCTCCCTTGGGGAGCAGGTTCCTGCTGCATCTGCGGGTCGCCAGCGTATCCTGCAGGAGCATAGGCCATGTTTCGGGGAGTGGAGCCCGTGGGCTGTGCGTAGTAAAAGGTGTCGGCGAGCCCAGCGTCCATTTGCATGGGTGTGGGACCGTGGGGAGGGTATGCGTTGACCGGGTTGTCCGAGCCACCAGATTCGCTTTTCATCGTAGAGGACGTCCCGTGCAACTGGGCACTTTGTTGGAAGTACTGTTGTTGTAGTTGTGCTTCGGCGGCGGCTGCTGCTGCGGCGGAGTTTTTCCTGTTCAGGATGGTCGTGAAGTCCATGACCCGGCCCAGGAAATCGCCAACTGTCCGTACTCAAGGACTGCTTGCGAAGAGGTCCTTCAGCAGGCCTGTAGGCTCAAATCAAGCTGGAGCTTCCACGGAGTTCTGGTCTTTTATCGTAATGATCCTGCGCGCGTGGGGATCGGAGATTCGCGGCTCGTAAATCTGAGTTCGAATCGGTCACAAGTCGCAAGCTCTGTCAAAGATACTAAAAAGTATGGTTAGAATCGGAAAATAGACAAAATCCCCAGGCACAACTCAGAAAATCGAGCTGAGGACACCGTAATGTCGCGCGCGGGAGGGCGAGGCCAGGACTCACCCTGCGGGAGTACACGTTCTCCGAGAGATCCGGGTTCTTTTCGTAGCGGATCTATTTACGATGATCCAAGCGGAGTGTTGCAGTTGGACGGTCGAAGCTCGAAGCTTGTCTGCGGGGATGATTTTGTCGCGAGGGGTGAGATTGAAAAACAGTGGTCGGCTGGAGACGGAACGCGTGATCGGTGAGCGGGAAGATATAGAAGTATTGCCGTCTTTTCTAGAAACAAAGATGGTTAGCATTTGCCAGGCCATTTCCAGTTTGACCAGGCATGTCTAGTGAGTTTTTTTGCAACATGCAATATTATTCACAAACTGCGGAGCGTCAAATAGCTGGAAGATTGTGTATATTCAACCCAGAAAGGCAGAGCCACGTCATATCACAAGATACCACAGGATACCACAGGATACCACAGAACAAGGAACATACCTTTCAAAAGTGACTAATAAGAAGGGAGAGAGAAAAAGAGAAAAGTAAGGAGGGGGAAAGGCCGGAAAGAAGTAGGAATGAAGTTGGGAGATTAAAGGAAGATAAAAGTAGGAAAATAGAAAGGGGGGGGGGGCCTGGTATTATTTAGGTGTGGTAGGTGCTATTTGCATACATTTCTTTATTATTCTAGTAACTTATTTGGAGAGCATTTCCATTTCAAATATCTGATTCAGGTCCCTGTCAGATTCCGTATATGATATTCGATCTATGAATTCCATCTTCTATCTCACCATGCTATACATCACAACCCTGATGCCCAATCCATGTATCGCCCTTTTGGGTAGTCTAGTTGTCCTAGTCTGCCCCAGCGAAGCCCGCTAGAAGGAAAATTGGCACCAGAAGGCTCCCCCGTCAGCACTGGGCTCCACAACGTGCGCTTCATCCCCCCCCGTCCCTGTTACAGTGGAGCGATGACGATCTGAATCAGATTTTCCTCCCCTAAATCCCTAGTTAGCTATGACGAAGTGAGGCTAAAAGAGTGGATTCGAGTGAAAGGGGCAATTGCCCGAACCACCCCTGAAGCTCAGAGATGCCAAACAATAGAACGGTGGGTTTCCATCGGCTTTTGCAGATAGAGAAGCAGGTCAGAGCAGAGAATCCGACAGATACAAACAGACACCACCCTGCCATACACCGAAGAATAGCATAGAGTACCACAGCACAAGCATATACATGTGCAACAGAACTAACGTGATACCCAAACGTAGACTATCTCGATAGTCTGCTGCGACTATTGTTAGCCCGGTCGAACGCTAATCTGGAGATTTGCAGTCCTTCTAGAAGGTTTCCGTTTCCAATGAATCCCCCCCCTTTGGACTGCGGTAATTACACGCCCCTTTTTTCCCCGGGGGCACTATGAGACTCCGGCATCAAGCCTCCACTCTCGGCTCTGCCAAGCCTTCTCCTGACCTTCTAGCAGGCTTCCAGAAGGAAATCCCCTGTGTTGATTTTGCCCGGTCCTTTTCCTGGACGGTGCGGAGCCCTATCTTATGGAGTCACGACTAACCCCAAAACTATCCGATATGGTGACGGTTTCTTTACTTTGAGCCGGGGGGTTGTTTTTTGCGACATTAGGCAAAAGAAGCTGCCTAACCAGACTTAAAACACCGTATGGCTGCAAAAGAAAAAAAGGGGGGGGAGAAGAGGGGGGGAATTGGGCACTAGTATTTCCCATTTTCACTATTATTTTACGGAGTACAGGTACGAATGTACTCCCTATTCCTTCTATTCATTGTCGTGATCAACTTTCTTCTACATATCACTGCCGTATATCTGCCTGTGCAGACACTAACTCAACCCCCCTGGCGACCGTGACGAAAATGACGACACTTGCATCTGCCAGGTTTCTCGAAACTCGGAGGCTTGCGGAGATAATCTCCTACGAGGATCCCGTATACCAAAAGAGGTAATAGTAAAAAAGAATAGATAATTAAAGCCTTGCGTCTCAGGTGTGGCGTGTGGCCAATGACCAGCATGGTGATTTAGCGTGTATGATTTATTTTCCTTGATTTTGCAGGGGAGCAGAGGCTAACGCGGGTTAGGCCGCATATTGGACGCTCGACACGAGACTATTCCCACATGGTTGTGGCTGAGACGTGTCTTGGTGTATCATGTCCCGCGCTAGTCTCCATTTTTCTATTAGTAGAATGCCCCTAGCATGTTGGTTTGGGATGTTGGTTTCTGACAGATTGCACTGACAGGACTGCCCGTGGACGGTGGTATACTGCACACTGCCTGCCCTATTGATGACTTTGATAGTCATCGTTCGAGGGGGTGCCATGGACGATGGAGAGTGAATCAACCGACACGCTATGACTGACACAATTTCCCGCTCTGATGTCACGATTCTCCTGGGGAAAAAATGCACTGGCCCACTGATGCAAGTCTTCACGGCGTAATTAGCAACACTAGCTTCGTCTCCGGCTTCTGTGGATAACACGATCGTCCTGAGAATCCCCCGTCCTTCCGCTCAGGCCTAAGCTAATGCACCTACTGTCCCGGACAATGTTCCTGGCTCCACTAGACTGGCTCGGCGAAAAGAATCGCTACTATAGGGCCTTCACGCAGAGCAACTGAAACAATCCTATACACACCTTCCCTTCTCTCCTATCCTCTCATCTCTCCCAGCTCCCGTCTACCAGGTCTGGCTCGGGACCGTTTCCAATCCCCCAAAAAAGAAACACCTAACAAAACCCAAAAGTGGACATCAACGTTCTAGCCTTCCGCGCAAAGCCGAGCTTCCTCGTTCCTGGTTGCCCTGTTCACCTGCTCTCGCGATCTGTAACACGCTTCTACACCACAGTTGCACTGGGCGCAACTGCCCGACTCCACATCGCAAATCCCGTATATAACGTCCATCTCGATCGACGCCCAACGCCGATCGATCTTCAGGGGTTCCATAGGATCTTCGCCGGGGCTTTGACTGTGAACGGAGCACAGTACAATTACGAATCACGGCTCGATCACGGGGCGGCGTGAAAACGGTGGTGAGAGGAGACATGACGGTGGATCTAGATCTACGATAGTCAGGAGGAACGGCGTCGGTGTGGCATTTTACTTTTTGCCCTTTTTCTTTTTCTTTCTTTTTTTGTCGCTTTCGGCCGGTGTTCGGGCTGATGGTTCGGTGTTTTTGCTTTTTCGGTCGTCGTATGTGTACGAGCTTGGGCTGGGACGGGGCAACGGTTTGCTCTATGCTCTGTGCAAGGGAGGTGGTGATCAAGCTGCTGGTCATGGTGAAGCTACGTGCTTTGTGCTAACCCAAAATAGTTGGATGCAGTGTTGCTATTACTGTAGAATACGTGCCGTGTCTTGGATCTGTAAAGGGGATCGAGGTGGTGATATCCTTGTTTGTTCTGTTGACCTCCTGAGCTATGTGTTCTGGACTTCATGGATGGTCCATATTGGTCATGCAATCGATGTGGCTATCCCTTTTTCTCCCCTTTTCGGGTTATCTGTGAGTCCATTCGTAGTTATGTAGCTCGGCTGAGACGGCATCATATGGCCATAGCTTGTGAGTTACTTGATGGATCAATTAACATGTGCTTGTGGTCTGATGGTGGATTGATACAGTCGAGTAGCAAGCTGTTGACTTTTATCAAATCTTCGCAGAGATGGCTTTAGTTCCGACTAAGTACGTCATAAGCCAGATCAACTTTGTTGTAAATGGGATCTCTTGTGGCGTCATTGCTGGATGTATCAGGGAATTGTGTTTAGTTTCGTGATATCTGCTTGTTGTGCTGTGATGCTTCTCACATAGTAAATCTCTGGAATCATGACTAGAATCAAATCAATGCCTGTTGTATGGCCTAGAAACCCATGGGTTTGTCCTTCGACCAAAAAGTAGCAATGCTTATTAAGGTCAGATGTATATCTCAACATGCAGCAAAGGAACCAAGGTCGGTTCAGTTAGCACAGAGTCTAAATGAAATATAATAAACACGCACAGTATAGCTAATGAAACAACAAATAAGTTAATTCAAGTTATCTACTTTGACATAATCCAAAGTACCATGACACATATTGACTCATCCAGGGCATTCATTATACAGAGTAAATATAAGGTGTATCTCTGCTCTATAAACAACTAAACTCCATGCAAAGTGTGGATCCTTTATCAAGCGCCACATGAAGCTGGCGGGACCACCTGGGCCCAGATACATGAAAATAAGAGCCTGTACAAGCCGCGAGCCATCCCAAGCGCCAAACTGCAAGAGACAACCAAGCTGGCGGCTGCACAAGACAAAAGAACGAAATGTCAATTCATATTTATTTACCTCTTGCGCGCCATGTCAGTTCCAAGACTTGATCGCCATACTTCGGATCGCGCAAGATGTACCACTGCGTGACACGCTGGTCCACAATCACGGCATCTTGCAACAGGTAGCTCTTCTTGTCGTCATCTTTGCGACGTAGAGGGCCCAATTCGTGTAGGTAGGCATCGAGGTTTGCACCGTTATGCGAGTCCCAGGTTTGCTCCATGGCGAGGTCTTCGCCTTCAGGATCGTAGTGGTACTTGATGACCGAGAACCCGTTTGTGATGATCCAGCCGTCGCCGAAGCGCCATTGGCGGAGAAGGCAGGTGTCGCCGCAGAGCTCGGCAACCACCGAGAGTTTTGGCATGTCCGCCTGGAACCAAGACTTCCAGTGGTGTACTGAGAGAGGAGGCTCACGGCCGGACTCGAAAAATCCGGAGGCATCGTGCATGAGGTCCAGCTGGCGCAGACGATGGTCCACGGTCAGACGGGTTGTGGTATATGAATAGACACACATGGCGATGCGGCGGTCACCGGTGAAGTCCATTGCTGAACATTGGTCGTATACTGCGGTGAGTTGGGTCATGAGGGGTCGTGATAGGAAGACGCCTGCACCTCCGAATCCGATCATTCCAAATGTCGCAATCTGCGGGATCGACTCTGACAAACCACCAATATACATGGGGGTGGTATGGTCGTATTTGGCCATCGCGTCTACGAGCCTAGGCATGGAGAGGAAGAAGGTATCATCGTCGATGATGCAAGCCCACTGGGTGGATTCGCGGGCATTCTCCTCCAGTAGAGGGATCAGGGCAAAGTATCGGCGAAGATAGTCATCTTCCGACTCGGTGATGAAGAGGTTGATTCCCATGCCGTCCGCCTTGGTCTTGAGCTCGCGAATAGCCTCACCACCTGTCTCATCGGGTTCGAGTAAGGCGAAGATGCGAGTTCGAGTGTACCCAGCCCAGTGCTGGAAGGCGTTCAGAGAATCGTTCAATCGGCCGACACTGGTAGCCACTCCGAAATCGATATGGGACGCAATGGCCAACTTCGGAGGTCTAGGAACCTTCACTTCCATTGGAGTAGGCATTGAGCATCCGTCCTGCGCGCCCTCGCCACCGTTTGCGATCATGAGTGGCGCATCGAGTTTCTGTGTAATGGGCAGGTGCTCATCCGTCATGTCCACCACGATTTCCCGGCGAGTATATTTGGCGAGTTTGAGGACGTCCAGTCGGGACAACAGATCGTTATCGATTTCGCATTTGACGTCGGACGAGATCGTGATGTTGGAAACGGCTGTCAAGGGCAAATCGGGTGTCTCAACCGAAGGCCATAGGATGGTCACAAACCCTAGGATGACCAGGAATGCGACGCCGAACCGCAAAATCTTCTTCCATGCCCATGATGCGCCCGGGAAGGCTCCTTCTCGTGCGTTGAAAAGCATTGTGTATATTTAGATCGTGTTGGATTGTCGGTTCCTACCGCATTGCGGACACAACAGAGATCTCAAGCACAAGTTAGGGCCCGCGGTCACAGGCGAGGGTGATTGAAACGCCAGAGGTAACGAGGGTAAGGGGAAAAAAGAAGCAGGGACGAGACGGGAAAACGAGGGACGATCATAGTTCCATGGTTTTTTGGCCGCCGACTCCCCCAAGGGGCCAGACGATCATGACGTGGGCGGACTCCGGGTCACGTGAAGTCTCAATGTTACAGTCTCTCTTTCTCTGTCCCTCGATTTTTCTTCTGTCTATGATGTTGGCGATGTAACATGTCCTCTGCTTCAATTTCACACCGGATGGCAATTCCGTCTCTTGGATCCTGGAGAAACACGCTCCAAAGACCCTGGGCATAACTCGGTCCCCATGGTTATCTTGAACCCTGCCGGTGCCAAGACCTCTGTCCTGGATTTCCTCTCTCTCACTCGCCGTTGGGACTTCCGAGCTCCACGTCCGCGCGTCGTCCGCCCCCATTGCTATTGTGGCTTTCTTTCTAGCAGGCCAAGCCGCTACGCTCTGCCCTACAAGCCATCGGAACGAAGTTTTTCGTATTGGTTTGCGCCCATTCCGCAGGGCTTCCCAAGGCGCAAACCACTTACATGTTTGCCCCTAGACACTTTGATGGAGCTTGGGCACTTTATAAGGGGCGTTATGCAAAAGGATCTCTGTGCTGATCTGCCCCTGCCGATGACTGGATGTTCTTCACACACCCCACCAAATTTTGACACATTGGGAACTTTTCCCTTAGACTAACGAAAGCTTAGTTAACCATACACTTTCAGGGTCTTGATGTCCACTAATACAATATTCTGCATGGAATACTCAGTATAGTCCTGGAAAGCCCCTGAAGGTGTCATCTATCTAATTATATCCAATCCGGTCTCCCGGATGTGTTACATGGTGACCCGGGGCCAATAACATAGCTTAGTCATCCGACCTGCCATTTTTGGCAGGTCAAGACTTCTCAATCAACCAGACTTGATCAGCTTATCATCTAGCAACGGTAGCATTAGACTGCGCCAAAAACCGTAAACCCAACCCGTAGTAGGTGCGGTATCTAACCGCCTAAACCGCACTTACGGTTCCCTAATAAGGCCGTAATAGAAACTTTTTTTGTATAAAATTATGGCCTTGGTATATATAAACCTACTAATTCATACTAATATATTACTCTCTTTTGACCTTATACTAGTTATAATAAAAATTGATCTAAATTTTTTATTCTAAACGTGTAATAGATAGAATTTATTGCTACATCCCACCGGTCAACTATCACCTTACTACGTTACACCGATATTGATTTGGAAGTAAGGAATTCCTAGAATCTCAGGGAATTGGGGTAACTGATGACGAAAATCGTCAAGAAGTGATTGAGGGGCTTTATTCTATGGATTCCCAATCTTTTTTTGGTCACAAACGGCGGACCTGTGACTTGCCATTTCAAGTTAGTTATGCTTTTTTAGATTTAGCGCCCCAATACGCTGCGCCATAAGTCGTGACATGACTCGCTTCCCAAAGTCTCGTGATTATCTTGTAGGCAGAATGGGTAATGTCTGTGTCTAGAGAGGGCAGGCTGTTACAATGGACGATTACCGGAGGCTCGTCGTGGCTCAGTTCTTCGAACCACTGCCAAACCTATCCCAGAATTCATGTCACCAGTTTCTCTTACACCATGTTGCCCCGATCCTTCTTCCCAACTCTACCGGCAAGGTAGATATTCAACCTAGCCCTTTCCAGGGAAGCATGAGCTATACCGCTATATTACATACTCATTCCACAAACGCAGGTCATCGCATTGCCGTCCAGTTCCGAAGCGACAAGCAACACCTTTTTGGAGTCAACGAGGCTAGCCGCATCCATAGACCTATTGTACCCCTAGTCACATACCAGGGCATATACGAAGGTCTATTTGTGTATACATCGCCTTTTGCAGAAGGGACACCGTATATCAGCGTCTTAATGTCTTCTGAGGACTTTCAACTGCCGCTCCAGAAGAAGATGGTGACTGTTATGGACCTTGCAGACCTCGTTACTCGGGGAGCGAGAGCGAACACTGCTACATTCAATACCACTATGTTCGGCCTCACTTCTGCTCTTGAGAGGATCCGCCATACGGTTAGTAACTACATTTTCCGACACGTAACCCTTAGAAACTGTATTTCTACTTGCATTAGCAAGCTTCTACCGGGGCTACGTAATATCGCTACCCTCCCCGTCACCCTTACCCATCAGGATCTCACCCCGTTCAATTACCTTATCGACGACTCTACGGGCCGGGTCCAAGCTGTTCTAGACTGGGATGGTACTCTATACCTCCCAGTGGGGTCGAATTCTTATTTTATGGATAGTCTTTTCGGATTCATGACCCCAAGTGGTTGGCAAGACACGGAGGACCGTCGGGAACTCGAGACAGCGTTTTACGATCGGGCTCTGGCTAGCCTTGCTGCGCAGGGATTTGGCAGAATAACAAAACAGCAACTAGAGTCGTAGAAGGCGATCGGGATGTTGCTGTATGATGTGGAGCGACTTCTCAAGTTTGAAGACGAACGAGCTGAGCACTATCTAGATGGATATCTTCGGGGGTTGTTTTTCATGAACGGGTACGTGTTCTCCTAGCAGTCCGGTATCTAGATGGGTCCTCGATGCGTGTGTTTCAGACTATGCATATTCGAAGGGTATTAAGGGCCATGTTTGCTTCCGAAGAAATAGAAAAATAACAAGGACTGTGAACAATATTAAGTTATTAGAGTTTTGGTATGGTGGGGCATGTGCTCAATTTCTAGTTCTGCAGATATAGCGAACGAAGGGCATCCTGGCAATGACAGAACTTAACAAAGAAGGGATGAGAGGGTATTTCCAAGGATTTTCAAAACTAAGACGTTTCTCCCGCAGCATTCAACCGCGGCACAACCTTAGCTACATGATCTGTATAGGGCTTCGAGCCCTGAAACACTTTGTAATTGCCAGAGTTTAGAGGGGCACAGAAACACAGGCGTCGAATCTTTATTATAAGTTTTATTTCAAGTAATACCGTGCTTACAAGCGACTAAAGCTGCGTTGGGCTTCACGGCTGCATAATATTGATTGGAATTCATGCCCTACAAATCCATGTGGGAGCTTATTGTTCAACAGCTCGAATTCATCGGCCAATCGATATCTTCGTCTACAGAGATGACCTAAGTGTCTTTGGTATTCTGCGTAACGTTTGAGTTGAACAGATAATTTGTCATTTATTCCAGCTCTTGAGACAACGAAAATACCCAAGATTGATGGCGGAAATGATGTACATATATGGAGAGTGCATCCTATTGTCTCGCATCGGTGCACATCTGACATTCACAGCAAACCTACTGCAGAAAATCGACGTAGCAAAGGACAACACCTTCTCAATCCTCAATGCGTGACACTATCGTAACTCTTGTCTTCCAGACTCAAACTCAGTGGTGATAGCAGGAATTTGACAAGCAGCCACTTCCAATAAGTTATCTTGACCAGGGGTGTTCTGAGTATAACGGGAATTGAACTTGAGGACGTGTTTAACGGCATTGTAGTTCTTCACACTCAAAGACAAAGGCTTAGCACTGATAAACCAGGACACGTGCTCAGTGCACGGGGGTGTAGTAAGGGAGCCAGAGTATTCGTAGGCAAGGTTACTTTCCAGATGACTAGCAAGATCTCCGAACATCAGGCGTCCGGTCCTAGTAGCTTTACCAGGAATGGCGATGTTTTGAACTAGCGATAAGATATTCTCGAAGAGAGCATCTCCCCTTCCGTTTTCGGAGAGCTCGAATACAAAAGCGACGACCGCGATACGGTCAGCTATTGACATCATATCAGCCCAGACATTCATAAAATAGAAGCAATGATATACTTCATCAGAGAGCAACGTCATGTTGTTACACCTACCAGTATCTTTGAAGACGAAGTGGACTTCCAAAGGATAATATTCATCATTTATACGGTGCTCACTGGGAGTGTGAAAATGAAACTGTTGCAAGGCATATTTACCAGTCCGGGTAAAAAGTTGGCCCTTTGGTAGGGTAACCTCGACAGTAGGGCCAAGGTTCTCAAATACGGCAATGCTGGCTGGAATTGATAAACTGAGGCGCCCAGTTCCGGTATGAATGCTGGAGTCGATGTTGATGGGCGATTGGTTCCTACCTCTGGCGCAGAGGCTGTTGTGCTTTTTGTCCAAGCCGTGCCAGTTTAAAGGACCGCCAAGTCCAGTGTAGCTAAACTTGCCGCCATGTAATGCCGAATCATAGTCATGGATGCACGATGCAGTGACAGCTGTCAGGAGACAGAGGACAAAACCCAAAGTTTTCATGGTGCTCTTCTCTGTCAGTGGCAGGTAAAGTGGTGTAAGTGGTGCAAAAGCAAAGTAGCAGCCGGGGAACGAAGACTATGAGTGTCTTCTAGTTTAAAATAACAATTACCGAAACTAGAGACATTCAAGCTGTCGTCTTTGTGGAAAGCCGCGGATTGAGCGATCTTTAAACCTCCCAGTTTCAGTATGTTCAGGTAGCCACAACTGACCTTTGCATAACTCGAGATGTAAGGCCGGCATGCAAGATATGAAATCCTGCCGTCATTGAGGGGTGAAGGGGTATCAGGATCATAGATAACATGACAAGTTACATGAGTGGATCTACTAAGACGTAGAAATGGCCAGACGAGCCATTTTTGCTCAGCGATATACCGGCAGTGGAGCTGTGATCCGCAGCCCTAAAAGTCAAAACGGGAAGAGCCAGCCACTCAAATTGAAGGGAGCAAATGTAAGTAGTTTCAAAGAGCGCAAAATGAGTTCCTACGTAATATCTGGTTACACAGAATGTACGGTGAGGTTACAATATGCAAGGAGGCCGCATAATTTAGCTCAAGTTCCATGGTCTTTGTCCTGCATCTAAATGCCGCTGCATCCAAGTACCGCTGCCTCCTCGGCAATGATTCTCCACTCCCCACTTAAAGAAAGGTAAGGTTCAGATATTTACATTTTAACATACGGACCATTGCTTCAGTCAGCTGTCTCCGCCACGGTCGAGATCTATGTTCAGGCTGGACCGTTGAAACCACGTGAATCAAGCTTTTGTTACTCGTTACAGAGAGGATAAATCAAATTTTTAAGACTCCCGTGATGATTGAGGTAGCCGGATTGGATGAGGTGCAGATGGCGATTGTTGCAAGAGTGCATAGTGGCAAAGAAAGACGTCAGCTTCGTCCACCCCCCCCCTTGTATCAAGACCAACCAGTTCAATCCTATCAGAGCGGTGTTTCGTCAATCCATATCTCTGAAGTCCCCGAGTCCGATGCCATTATGAGATCCTTTTTTCTCCCGAGGTTGGCATAGGCTCTTCTTGTGTCAAATCAGGGAAGTCGTGGCTCATAGACAGGTGCTATTTCACATACCTTCAAACTAGCTCAGCATAACAAAAAGAATTCAAGCATGACTTTCATACAAGAGTTTGATCATATCCCAAAGTCAACCTGAGCCGTGAGCCAGAGCAATTTGTTGACATAGTCAATGATCGCTGTTGGGGCTTGACTTGAATCGGCGCAAAGGCCTGCGACCAATGCAACCTCATTTGCATCCTCCAAACCCTAATTCAACGAACTGTTATATATGGCGCTGCAGACCATTCTTCGCCGCAATACACTGAGCTAAGGGCACTGATTGGAGACTAGGGAATTATTTCCCGAGTCTATTTCAAAGTTGGTAGCCAATGCAGTAGCTTATACCGGTGCTCTACTCTACGGACTACGTTATCTGTAGACTATCAGACTGAGGGATGATAGGTAATCTCGGCGCATGGTCGACTTAAATACAGTACTGCAAGCCTTCGAGATATGATAATTGTCTGTTCGATCGCATTTCATAGCTAAAAATGCACCCGTCATACATGTAAATAGATATATCGTTCATTTTACCGGATTTGGTGATGTGTCATTGCATGGTTGCTCCGGAGACTAGAGTATAGAGCAAAGAGTATGGTCTCCATTCTGACTCTGATTATTTTGAACGGTTCATTTCCCCTTGAATACGCTATATTCTACTGAGATCTAGCTCGGAATTCTATAATCAGGCTACTTTCTGCCATTGCCGCATGTGCTCCAAAGATGTACATTTGCTATACTAAGAAGATATATCATGAGATGGAATCAGCATCAATACCGAAAATGGAAAACTCCATGGAAGCAGTAGACCTTAATAAAACCGTGCTCGTTCAGACTGAAAGCTCATATTGCATAATGGTTTATATGATTGAAGATGATACTTTACAGAACTCTCGAAAGCAGGGTTATTTTGTTACTTTGTTTTTGCCTTTTTTGCAGCAAATTATTTGGCAAAGATACAATTTACTGGTTTAGTCAAGAGTGCTTGTCCTATCTAGCTTCATATCTAGCTTCATCAGAAGCTATCAATTAAGCCAGAAGCGCAAAAGCTAGTTAGAAAGACAACAGAAAGTGCAAACTTGGCTGCAGAACAACACTAGAACCGGTCCTTTTTATGTGTTTGGATGGGTTTCGTGCGACTTGTACAAGAACATGATAGATATTAGAGCAAGAGAATTTGCAGGACACGGCAAGTCGACTCGGAAGTTGCTCAACCCCATACCACGTGATATACGGCGGCCCGCACGGCCAAAGATGCAACGTTGCCCCAATGGGGAAAGAACAGTTCCGCACATTGGGACCTTGATATCAGATGACCCGGGGAATTCAGTGAACCGTGCTTTTCTGTATCTGCTTGACCTTCATTCAAAACTCCCAGGTGCAATTGCCGCAATCGAATTTGATACCCGCCCGAAACCTCGACCTCCCCCGCCATGGTTGCGCAATCGCTGGCTTCGCTGCTGCAGCGAGCATCGATTGACGACCACGAGGAAGTCCTTCAGTCGTGCAATGCAGTCCTTGCCAAGTCCAATTCGGACCTGCAAGCGCAACATATGAAAGTTGTTGCTTTATTAAAACTCGACCGTTACGAAGAGGCTCTCCGCACATTCGAGGCCGGAGGTGATGCGCTGAAGAAGAGCGCTGGGCTGGAGTACGCTTATGCATCATACAAGTGTGGAAAACTCGAGCAAGCCTCCGAAGCTGTCACCCGTACGGCCTCTGGGCGTGGTGCTGATCATTTGGAGGCACAAGTGGTACGGTGTCCTATTCATTGCTATTCAAGCACTCATGCTAATACGTCTTTGCAACAATAGCGCTACCGTGCCGAAGAATTCCGACGTGCCGCTGAGCTTTACGAGCAACTCTCACAAAATACGACATCCCACAGCCATGAAATTAATGACTTGAACATCAACTCGTGGGCCACCGACGCGCAACTACAGTGGAAAGGGCAGCCAGAGTTTGTGCGCCATGACCGTTTGTCGAGGGAGGATTTGGAGTCGTTCGAAACAACCTACAATGCAGCTTGCTTGAACATTGCAAAGGGAGCATACAAGCAAGGCGAAGTCTTGCTGAACCGTGCACAAAGTCAGACCCCGGCATTACCAGTGCAACATTGAGTTTGGACTGACACCGTTAATAGATATTTGCCGAACATCAGAGGAGCTCTCACCCGAGGATAAGGCTGCAGAGTTACTGCCAATTTCTGTGCAGTACCTGTACGTCTTGATCCGACTTGGCAAGCTGGAAGAGGCCGAGGCAATTCTGAAAGATATCTCTGTGGACGAGTAAGTGAAATATACATGCTTAGATTGGATCGAAACTTACATCTATTAGCATCTCTGAGTTATCGACCAAGAAGATCGCCCGGAACAACATTGTCCTCGCCCGCCAGACTGTCGCAAACCCCTTCATCCTCTACAAGGCCCTTCACGAGACCCCAGATGCCACCGACAACGACCGGTTATTCGATTTCCAGGATCGTGATTTAATCGGCAACGCTCATGCCGCTGATCTGCTTGTCCAGAAATACGATGGTATCATTCGGTCTACATCCAATGCCCTCTCCAAGCGCCCGTCGCCTTCAACCGATGCCGACACCAACCTTCTCTCTGTCTACAACGCCGCAGCCCAGGCCCAAGGCGAAACTGGATCCAAGGCCCTGAACCAGATTCTTCCTCTGCTTGAAAGACGTCCTACAGATCTTGGTCTTCTCCTGACAGTAGTCCAATTGTACGTCAATGGTGGCAACACTACCTCCGCCATCCAAGCAATGGAGCGTACCCTCCGCAGCCTAGAGGAGTCTGTTTCTGAAGCCGACCAAAATGCCCGCTTCAACCCAGGCTTCCTCAGCGTTCTGGTCTCCCTGTACCAACTCGAAGGTCGCAAAGTCCAGATTCGCACAGCTCTAGCCCAAGCCGCCACCTACTGGCGCAGCAAGCCGGAGCCCCCAGCTTCCCTCCTCCGCGCCGCAGCCGCCTCCCTTCTCCACTCGGAAGACCGTGCCGACCTCTCCACAGCCGGCGATCTCTTCCAAGAACTGCACAAGCAAAACCCGAACGACCGCCTCGCGATCGCAGGTTATGTCGCCTCCCAAGCAACCCTGGACTACTCGAAGATCGAATCTCAGCTCAACGCCCTCCCCCAAGTTTCCGACCTGATTGCTGACGTCGACATCTCCGCCTTGGAATCCGCCGGCGTCTCTCCCTCCGCCTCATCGGCCGCAGCAGCAGCCGCCGCCATCGCAGGTGCCCGCAAACGCACCGCTGGAGCCGACGACCGCGCCAACAAACGGGTCCGCAAGTCCCGTCTGCCCAAGGACTTTGATCCTGCCAAGAAGGCTGATCCTGAGCGCTGGCTGCCTGTGCGTGACCGCTCCTCTTACAGACCCAAGGGTAAGAAGGGTAAGCAGCGTGCTGCTGCGTTGACGCAGGGTGGCGTTGTTGACGAGAAGGCCAATGAGGCTGCTAGTCAGCAACAGAAGGTTGCTGGTGGTGGTGGTGGTGGCTCCAACGCAAAGAAGAATAAGAAGAAGGGAAAGCGGTAATTCAGTTCTTTTTTGTATGAGATTATTACGCTGCATTGTTAGCTTTGAATGTGTATAGCTTGTGATGGATCTACTTCCGTGTCTGCATCGAGTAACTTAAATGCCCAACATGAACTTTGTGCAGAACTTGTCAGCTCGGCTGGTAGATAACATACATCTCGATTTACGATATTGGCACCATGACGCATAGAGCGGAGATTAAGATTATTTATCGAACTATTTTGGGGAAGCCTAGGGAGAGTCAATAGCGAGGAAACACAAACCCACCAGACGAATGAGTTCAAATGCAATTTCCCTTTTGATATCCGGCCCTAACGCCCATGAAATACCTCCAGACATCGGCCTAGACCTCAGCCCAGCGGAGTACGAATGGTACCACACTGTCGATTATAATGTTCAAAGATCATGAGCAGCAATCTTAAATCCATGACAGCATCATCGGCAGTCGTCTTCGCAGCCGAATTCCCACCAAGCAGATAGGAATGCAACGCGAGGAATTCACGCTCGTATGCCTCTTCACAGGAGCTGACCGTCTCAGTGCGTTTGATGCGTGGACCGACAAGTTGGTTTCCATTTCCATTTTGGTTGTTTTTTGCTTCGCCATTGCCATTGGCATGTCCATTCCCATTCTCATGCCCATTACCAAGAAGCCCTTCTCCAGCCTGTCCGGATTCAACCTCTTCCACGATAACCTTGACAAAAGTCCCCTGACTGATCTTTTCACCAGGCCTGGGGAAATCATACTCAACGCTGATCGTTTTGTTAGCACCATAGACGGTCAGATGTGCATCACAGCGCGGAACAGCGTCAACGCCAGCCTCATAGACAAGCGTGAAAGGATGTCCATCGGCGGCATTCGTGTAATGAAAAATGGCAGAGTAAAAAGGGTCGGTGATAGCCACGTTCGAGACTGCGTCTGGGAACCCCAGAGAATCCCGCATTAGCGAGAGATCGTGACAGCCTAGCATACTCAGGTAGCGACAGAAGGCGATTCTGTCCGGGGTGATATCCTCGCCGAAGACGTCTTCGAGGAGCTTGGTGAATTGAACTGCGCAATTGAGGCTGTCTAGTGGGTTTGCTGTGCTCGCTCCGTTTGTTTTGTTTCCGTTTTCATTTGAGTTTGATGTTGGGGTTGGGGTTGGGGCTGGGATGTTCATCGGACCGGCGATGTTGCGGCAGCGTGCATAGTGTATTCGGCCCAGGCTTGCGAGTTCTTGTTGGAAGACTTCTGTGAAACAAGGCGCGTAGCGACGCGCGCATCCGACGAAGACTCTCGGCCCGTCTGGGCTCGTGGTGTTGTTGGAACGGGCAGCTTTGCCTTTCTTGGTTGCTTCGCGGATTCGGCGCAGGCTTGGGATGCTCATGGTGAGGGGCACTTCGACCATTACGTCTTTTCCAGCTTCTAGGGCTGTCACGGTGTGCTTTTCGTGAGATTCAATTGGGAGGAGGTTCAGCACTACGTCCACGTCTTTATGGAGTAGGACATCTTCCACGGTGGTTGTGCTGTGGGGTATGTTGAAGCGCGTTTGGCATTGCTGGACGACCTCTTCGCTGGGGTCGTAGATTATTGTCAGGACGTAGTGGCCTTTGAGAGAGTGTAGGATTGGGAGGTAGGTGGCTTGGACTGCGGTCGTTGCGCCTAGAACTCCTAGGCGGAGGATGGTGTTGGTCATGTCGAGGAGGGCTGAATGGTTGAGTGATGGGAGTCAAAGATAATGAGGAGTACTTCGATAATTCAATTGCTTTTGTGTCCTTTGTGCCTGAGTGTGGCGAATGACAGGGATGATATAGCAAGCTACAATGTGCTTTGTAGCAAGCCTAGGAATTGTGAAAGTCAAGATCAAGGCAAAAGCCGATGAAAACTGAAGTTAAGGTAAGTGCGCGGACTGACATTTTGTTTCCAGGAAAATATGAGGTTGGGCTGAGAAAGCAGGAAGCTGTGATGTATCAAGGGGACATGCCCTGTGACGTCCTCCACCCGCGGTTCGTGTTCGAATCCCACGGTGCAGCGGATGGTGTTCCCCGGTCCATGATATCAAGATCGGAGATCCTGGATCTTGTTGGGAGCCTAATTAGCTGTCAATTATAGATGGGGGAAGAGGTGGTTGTACAGAACATGTACAGTAGATGGACTCAATGCAAGGAGTACTTAGAAGACCCACGCCATACATAACAGTGGCAGGGATTCACTCGATAGTACGGAGTATATAGCCATGATATTTGAACTATATAATACCAAGCTACAGTAAGTTATCTGAAGAGTAACCACACTTTTTGGAAGCATCGTGGGGGATGTGGGCCTTTCAGGCACCAAGTTATCAGCCTTGATCGAGTCTACGGTACACTGTATGGCATGTTACCAACACTGGAAACCCAAACAAATCAAGTCACAATCAATTACATCACAATGTACATGTATACAACAACAGTATGTCCAACTTAACGTTATTGTAAGCAAACAGGCTGACATCACTGGAGGTACCTGCAGATACCTTGTCACGGGGTTAACTTAGGCAGACTGCCAAGTACCCACAGGTACCACGCGTATACTCAGCCTCACCACCAAGAGGGGCACAGCCTTTCCTCAACGTCATTAACCCGTGGGACCACCTGAGCAAGGGCTGACTTCCTTTTACTTTTCAACTCTCCAACAATCATGGGTGTAAGTTTCTACATACACTGATCTGGCCCATCTGAACCTATCTGAACCCATCTGACCCATCACTTTAGTTTGCACAGAAGATCGCTGCAAGTCAGAAGAATCAAATGCCGGGCACATACGGCGGCGCACCTCCTTCGGGGTACACGGGAGGACCTCCTTCAGCACTGCAGCCTGGAAATGCAAGTATCGAGGATCCGACGTCATGAACATCACTAACCCCACGTAGAGTCAATACCAGGCATATCCAGGCTCCCCTCCCCCTCAAGGCTCGGTAAGCAACTTTTTCTAGTGTTTTTTTTTTGGTTTTGTTTTGTTTTCTTCCCTTCTTCACGCATCCTCTGGATCGACCTCAAACCCACCATGTCGGGATACAACCAAGGATATGCGCCATATGGCTCACACCAACAATTTCAGTCTCAAAATTCGTCTTCGCCAGTGCCTGGATCCTACTCGAGAGCTCCTCCACAGCCCACCTCACCCTACCCCGCACAATCTCAAGGGTACGGGCGCCCACCTCCACCTCCACCGCAAGGCCAGCCCTATGCCTCCTCCGGTTCGCCTCATCCGGGACAGCCCTATGGACACCCGGGACAAACTGGATCGCCCTACCCGGGACAACAAGCACCCGCGCAACCCCAGTATCCTGGACAACCCCAGTATCCCGGACAGCAACAATACCCTGGACAACAACAATACCCTGGACAACAACAATACCCTGGACAACAACAATACCCTGGACAACAACAATACTCTGGACAACAGCCCGCTTATGTACAGTGGAACCCCAGTACCCTATGACCACATGTTTTGTTTCGTGCTTGATGTGGCTTGCAATCATCATTTAAATGCTGCACTTGTTATAGAACCACGCTGACCAAAGTAGGGACAGGCACCACCCTATCCGTCACAGGGAGCTCCGTCGGGACCTCCTCAGGGAGCCCCGTACCCCGGAGGTCAAGGACGCCCTGGTCCATCACCTGGACCACCCAGCGGACCACCTCCCGGCCAGTATGGTCCTCCCGGAGGTGGCCCTGGCGGCCCTTCATCCTCAGCTCCACCGGCCACGCAACAGCAGATCGCAGCATACAAACAGCTCTTAATTAGCTGCATCCAAGAGAAGAATCTCCAACCTTTCTACCCACCGGAACGCCTGGACCGACTTGTTCAGTCACTTGCCGCTCAGGCACCCGGCAAGCTCGCCCGGTTGATCCACGAATGGGCCGTCCCTATGGAGGTTGCTACCGATGTCATGAAGCTAGCGCTCTTTGATGTTATCCTCTACGTGGATGACAGTGGTTCCATTGAATTCGAAGAGAAGGGACTCCGAAAGGACCAGCTGAGACAGATCCTCGGTATCGTTGCTACTGCAGCCTCGACTTTTGATGAGGATGGTATCTCCGTTCGCTTCATGAACTCCCCAGAGCAGGGAGATGGAATCCGTGATGCGGAGGATGTTAACCGCCTCGTGTCTCGCGTACGCTTCTCCGGACTCACTCCCCTGGGAACCAGCTTGAAGAGTAAAGTCATTGATCCCATGGTTGTGGGACCAGCCCGTGCCAACCGTCTTGAAAAGCCTGTACTTGTCATCACTATCACTGACGGACAACCTGCCGGCGAGCCTCACGGTACTGTGGGCGATGTCATTCGTCACGCTGTCGATGAAACTTCGCGCACCCGTTACGGTCAAGGCGCCGTGTCTTTCCAGTTTTCGCAGGTGGGCACAGATACACGGGCTCGTGACTTCTTGTCTTCCCTCGATGAGGACCCCCACATTGGCCACTTGATCGACTGCACATCCAGTAAGTCCCACCCAGTGTCCACGGTGGACCTAGCTAACGTGTTGTTCTAGACTTCGAGGTCGAGCAGGATGAGATGTCCCGTGCTAACCCACCAGTCCACTTGACCCGTGAACTCTGGGTATGCTTTTTTACCATGCCGTTACTACCAAAGTACCATGACTGACTGTTCTATAGTGTGCCAAGCTAATGCTCGGTGCCATCGATTCCTCCTATGACACCAAGGACGAGCAAGACAACGAACGTCGTGGGCCCCCACCTGCACCGGCAGGTCAATACGGAGGATACAACCAGCCTCCTCAAGGTCAAGGTCCACCCACTTCGTTCAACCCACCACCAGGTGCGCCTCCAGGTTACAACCCCCAAGCTGGACCCGGATACCCACAGGCACCCCAGCAGGCCCCCCAACAGCCCCAGTACCAGGCGTCCCGCAGTGCGTATGGGCAGCAACAGCAATATGGTTATCCACCCCAACAGGGATCTGGATATCCGCCATACGGCCAACCGCCACGCTATTAGTGACACATGACGTCATAGGGCGTTTTCTTTTGCCATGCGGCTTTGAAAGATCGGCGATGATATTCGATGATATTCAATGATATTCAATGAACGGTTATCCTCCACAACTGACGTTTGTAAACCCAATATATGGAAATTTTATTCGTACCAAACTCTTCCTCAAGGGGTATTAATTTCCCAGAATCGCCCCCGCCAAGGCTACCATGAAGAACAAGTTGCGAGGAAGGGCCACGGGTTCGGGGGTTTCCTACGAGGCCTGAGCACAATATGTGGTGTGTGGCTTTGGTGTATGTGCGTTTCTGGACGTTGGGTGTAAGATTAACGTTGGTTCAAGGCTACCACATAAGCTCACTTGTCAGTTTCAGACTTTGACGCACTCGGAGTGGAATGTGAGGTGGCCAATAGCGGCCACAACCAAGTATAAAACTGGGTTCAGCCCAGTTCGCCCCATGGATGCAGACAAATAGCCACTTAAGGCCCTGACGGCTATTCTTAAACCGTTGCGTGGAGGGGGGCTGTGCCTAATGCCAGGGCTATCGGTTGCATCCCTACACGCGTTGTCCAGACTTTCGCTCTCCACCGAACCAGAAAGGGTCTCATGCGGAGTTTGTTTTAGATTTTATTAGATTTTCCTAGATTTAACAAACTCGCCTGCAAACTCCAATTTTTTATCGTTTCTGCCTATCAAATCTTATACACCATGGCACTCTTCTAGACCTGCTGCCACTAGACCGTTTTGGGTATACTACCGGATTCGTGTTGCCCCCAAGGCTCTTGGTCTTCCACTCTACACACTCTTTCTTATTCTACCACTCTTGGACACTCTTGAACACTCGTTGATTAAACCCTTTATTGTTCCTTGCGTCGGAGCATCTCTCGTTTGAGCTCGATCCTCGCAACAGAAAACCCTCGTTTGCTTTGCGACAGGGGAAAACACGCCATACCCTGCCAGAGAGAAGGATGATTGACAGCGTGACTGGACTCAGTTCGACCGATTACTCCAGCTACAATTATATCTAAGCAAAAGGAAGCACGAGAAGGAATCAACAGGACCAGAAAACGAAAAATTCAAGTGATCGACCGGGTCTGTCCCGCGCAGGCATAGCGAGGAATTCCAGCCTGGCGCCATGTCCCACCACGACGAGCCCGCCGACAACGAGGGCCTCCGACCGGAGCAGAACACCCAGACCAGCGATGTGCTCCGTCGCCCTTCGATCGTTTCGGCACGAACACTCTCCGACTCAGGACGTCGCATCTCCTCACAACATGTCCGGTTCTCAACAGATGTCGACCGCCCCTCGGCTGAGGAACAACGACAGAGCAACTGGGACCGTCGTCCCAATTCCCGCGGCTTGATTGTCGACACGGCGCTGGCGCCTCCGTCTGCTCAGCCCGCTGGCCGCTCGCCCACTTCGCCGCTTTCGCCTAATACCCAGACCGCAAATGCGAACGCAAATGCAAATGCTACCCTCTCTCCGACCTCCCCACAGGGTCCTGAGCCCGCCGGTCGGTCTCGATCGCGAAACCGTGGTTATTCGCTGCGTCGCACTATTTTTAATAAAACTATTCACTCGAGTACGGAACCGGACGACCTTGCCCTGGCTGAGCTGGGCGAGGCCAAGGAACCTCCTGTGGAGGTGGCCTCAGCTCCAGCTCAGGCTGTTGACGGGATTGTATCCGATGAAAAAAATGCGCTAAGCTTCGCACCAACGACGACGCTGGATTCGCAGCATAAGGAGGAGGTTTCGACATATGTCTCTTCTGAGCCCTCAGAGAAGGGCTTCAAGAGCTTTTCTATGCCTGTGGCGCATCAGAGTTGGGTCGCGAGAAAGAGTGCTGTTGAGTCGCGTGTTCAGGAAGTTTTGACTACTGTTCAGAAATTCATTTTGCGTATCAAGGATGTCCCACCCACGAAGGATGGTCGCCATCTTGACTTGAACCCTTTGGAAATTGATACTATGATTGACGAGCGCACCAACAAGCCTTACATTGGTAATTCGATTCGCTCTAGTCGGTACAATCTTTGGAGTTTCTTTCCTCGTCAGCTGTTTGCTCAGTTTACCAAGGTGGCAAATTTCTACTTCCTGGTAGTTGCGATCCTGCAGATGATCCCTGGTCTGAGTACGACTGGAACATACACCACCATTGTCCCGCTTCTGATTTTCGTTTGTATCTCGATGGGCAAGGAAGGATTCGATGACTGGCGTCGGTATCGACTCGACAAAGAGGAGAATAACCGGGACGCTTTCGTGCTCCGTCCGAACCATGGCACGATCGCGGATGGTGCTTCGATCACGAGCAATGCTCAAGACTGGGCATTGATCAAGTGGAAGGATATCCGTGTTGGCGATGTTATCAAACTTGAGCGTGATCAGCCGATTCCTGCTGATATTGCTCTCCTCCATGCCAGTGGACCCAATGGCGTGGCCTACATCGAAACCATGGCTCTTGACGGAGAGACGAATCTGAAGAACAAACAGCCATGCCAGCCCGTGTCGAAGCTGTGCTCGACAGTCGAAGATATCACCAGCAATTCGTTGCATTTCGTCGTTGAGGACCCAAACTTGGATCTCTATAAGTTCGATGGACACGTCACTGTCAATGGCCAAGAGAAGCTACCATTGACTAACAACGAAATCGTCTACCGGGGCAGTATCATTCGGAACACTGATCGCGCCCTCGGCATGGTAATCTACACTGGTGAAGAGTGCAAGATTCGCATGAACGCCAATAAGAACCCGCGTATCAAGAAGCCTGCGCTCCAGGACAAGGTCAACCGTGTTGTCATGCTGATTGTGTTTTTGGTTGTCATTCTGGCTGTTGTCTGCACGGTTGCCTACAAATACTGGTCGCAAGACGTGGAAAGCAAATCTTGGTATCTGATCGACGCCCGCGTCGAGTACGGCCCCATTTTCACCTCGTTCCTCATTATGTTCAACACCATGATTCCCATCTCGCTGTACGTCAGTATGGAAATCGTCAAAGTTGCGCAGATGCTCCTTTTGAACGACATCGACATGTACGACCCTGAAACCAATACACCTCTCGAAGCCCGCACTTCCACTATCAACGAAGAACTCGGTCAAGTCAGCTACATTTTCTCTGACAAGACTGGTACCCTGACAAACAATTCGATGCGTTTCCGTAAGATGAGTGTTGCCGGTACCGCCTGGTTGCACGATACCGATCTTCAAGAGGAAGCCGCCCGCGAAGGAGACCAGACCAAGTTGATACACAAGAAGCGAACCGCCAAAGGAAAGAAGGCCATGGGCCGCAAGTCCAACGTTTCAGAGATGCACATGGGGCCCCGCCCATCGAATGTATCTGGCGCTCTTGATGCGATCCGCCAACCTGGTCGTTCCGCTACTACTCACCGCACCGAGGAAATGATTGAATATATCCAACGCAAGCCATACACGATCTTCGCCCGCAAAGCTAAGCTTTTCATCCTGTCCATGGCCCTGTGCCACACTTGCATTCCTGAGAAAGACGAGCATGGTGTCACCACTTTCCAGGCTTCCTCGCCGGACGAGTTAGCCCTTGTCCTCGCTGCTCAGGAAATGGGATATCTTGTGATGAACCGCCAGTCAAAAACGATTACTCTCCGGACTCAACCCAACGGCCCCGATGAAGCAACCAGTGACGAGGTTTACGAGATTTTAGACGTGATCGAGTTCTCCAGTGCACGAAAACGCATGTCCGTCGTCGTCCGCATGCCCGATCGCCGCATCTGTCTGTTCTGCAAAGGAGCCGATACGACCCTTATGCGTCTATTGAAGCAAGCCACACTTGCACAGGAGAAAGCGAATGAGATTGAGCGCCGTGCTAGTCGCCGCAAGGCCGCCGAGGCGACGCAAGTCATTCGACGCAACAGTGAACACCATAGTAGGAAAAACAGCGGTGTCCGCAGCAGCATGACGCGGCCCAGTTTCACGCGTCGACGCTCATCTATCACGGGCCAGAACGGTTCTACTCTTCGGGCTAGTATTGATGTCTGGCTTAAGGATCGAGAGACCGATGGTGGAATCTTGAACAAGGAGGCTGATAGCGAGTACTACAGCCCTCGGCCTTCGGCTCAGTTGAGTCGGCACTCTGCTGCGATTTCTGATTCGGGAAGTTCTACCAATGGCGAAGATGAAGAGGATCTCGTTGAGGAGGCTCTTGTTGTTGACGAGACTGCCATTTTCGAGCGCTGTTTCCAGCATTTGAATGACTTTGCCACTGATGGCCTGCGGACTCTTCTATATGGTCATCGTTTCTTGGATGAAACGACTTACACGAATTGGAAGACTGCCTACAATGAGGCTTCCACCAGTATCGTCGATCGCCAGGAAAAGATTGAACAGGTTGGCGAGCAAATTGAGCAGAACCTTGAACTCACTGGCGCTACTGCCATTGAGGATAAACTCCAAAAGGGTGTCCCTGAGGCCATTGATAAGCTGCGACGAGCTAATATCAAGATGTGGATGTTGACTGGTGACAAGCGCGAGACCGCCATCAATGTTGGCCACTCGTGTCGTCTTGTGAAGGAGTACTCTACTCTCACCATTTTGGATCAAGAGATTGGTGATGTGGAACAGAGCATCATCGATCTCATTGGAGAGATTACTCGTGGCCGCGTGGCCCACTCTGTTGTGGTGGTGGATGGCCAGACGCTGTCCTCCATCGAAATGAATGAGCCTATTCGCGAGCTTTTCTTCCAATTGGCTGTCAAGGTTGACTCGGTGATTTGCTGCCGAGCCAGCCCCAAGCAGAAGGCCTTCCTGGTGAAACAGATTCGGAAGCATCTCAACGACGCGATCACTCTTGCTATCGGTGATGGTGCCAACGACATTGCCATGATCCAGGAAGCGCATGTCGGCATCGGAATCACTGGAAAGGAAGGGTTGCAGGCAGCTCGTATTTCGGATTATTCGATTGCGCAGTTCCGCTTCCTTCTCAAGCTACTTCTGGTACACGGCCGCTGGAACTACATGCGTGCTTGCAAGTACACACTCGGCACCTTCTGGAAGGAAATGTTGTTCTACCTCACTCAGGCGTTGTACCAGCGCTGGAACGGCTACACCGGTACAAGTTTGTACGAGCCGTGGAGTCTGAGCATGTTCAACACACTTTTCACCTCACTGGCAGTTATCTTCCTCGGCATCTTCACCAAAGACCTTTCAGCATCAACTCTGCTCGCCGTGCCGGAACTCTACACCAAGGGTCAAAGACACGGCGGATTCAATATCTGGATCTACCTAGGATGGTCATTCATGGCAACCTGCGAAGCAGTCATAATTTTCTTTACGATGTACGGCCTCTTCGCCATGGCTAGCGTGAACCCAAGTGACAACGACATCTTCACATTGGGCCTGATTACCTTCTCCGCCTGCATCGTGGTGATCAACCTCAAACTCCAAGCCCTGGAAGTCCACAACAAAACCTACCTCTCCCTAATCGTGATCATAATCTCCGTTGGCGGCTGGTTCCTATGGGACATAATCCTTGACCAACAATACACAATGTCCTCCGGCAAAGGCGTCTACTATGTACCTCACAACTTCCTCCAACACGCCGGCCACAACCTTCTTTTCTGGACAGTCCTCCTTCTTACTGTGACAGCCGTCCTTCTCTTCGAATTCGCCGTCAGCACCCTGCGCGCCCTCTTCTTCCCCACAGACGTCGACCTCTTCCAGGAATACGAACAAGATCTCGACATCCGCAAGCGCTTCGAAGAAGCTGCCGCCTCGGAACTCCAGCAGGGCTGGAATCGCGGCACAAAGAAATCTTCTTTCGAGATTGCACGCGAGAACGCCGATGCCGAAGCCCTGGAGCGTGAGCGCGAATGCCATGTTGCGGAATTGCTGGCTAGACCGCGTGTCATGACAGATTCCAAACCTGCGACCCAGGAGCTTGAAATGGATGGGTACACCAGTGCTAGTGCCTCTGCCAGCCAGAACGGCAGTGTACCTAGTCGCACCGCTCCTATCGCCCAAGACACCCAGAGTACTCCTGGACAGGCGCCCGGCACTGCTTCCACCACTGACAGTACCAATCGTCGTCGCTCAATCGAAATCCAGGACCTTTTCAGCAAGGGTTTCGGAACCGTTCGGAAGGGCCAACTCAAGTGATCGGGGCTGTTCCTTCTTTGATTTATACATGTATACCCGTGTGGCTGTTTTCCCTTGTCGCTTGTTCGTTTGACTTTCCATCTGAAAATATTCATTTCCTCATAGCGTTTGCATTTGCGTTGCTTCCCTCCGTGACCTGCACAAATCCATTCATCCCCATGCTTACCGTTCCCTTCCCTCCTCCGATCCCTCTCTCACTCCCTTCACCATAAAAAAAGGGCCTCAACGCCGAACGGCGTTGGGTTTGCATGTTGCATGTGTGGCTTTTTGTTTCGGGTTCAGTCTTCGGCTTCGGTCTTTCCTTGTATATCTGTTTGCTTCTGCACAGTCGTTGACAAACTAAGATACCCATACCCCGAGTCTGGTTGGTAGTGGCCTTTTTATTTATACTCTTTTGAGATTGTCTTGTTGCACACGTGAGACATTCGTTCTTGGCTTGACTTTACGTATATAGCTTTATCGAGATCTTGACTTTTAATTTATATTATTGACGGTTGTCTGTTGGCTTTCGTATCTTGAATAATTCTTAGGATTTAACATGGCATGCAACTTAACAAGCTAAGCACCTCACTGTCGAATATTTGGCTGCGTTGGGGCAGCGTCAGCAGCACCCAGTAAGTCATCAACTGTTTCATAGGGTATAATGCTGTCAAAAACAAAACTTGATATGCAGAACAAATAAAGGAAAGTAACATAAGGTAGAACCTAGTTGGATAGTCAGTGAATTGAGGAAGAGGTCAAGATAAGCTCATCCAGAAAAGGAAACAACCCACCAACGCATGCTTCACCCACGCAGAAACCCCAGCAATGAGCCACGAAGACAATGACCCACACATCAACATAGTCCCCAAGAATAAGCCTTATAGGTAAGCCCCATGGGCACAAAAATAAACAATGAACCACCACGGTGCCACTTCCAGCTCCTTCAAGACCAAGCCCCGAAACCGAAACGGGGTTAATTGCGCATAATCTGTAACAAATACCAGAACAATACGTGTATCTGGGGGAGCAAATACCCACAGCCCTTGTAGCATGGAATGGATCCGATAGAGTGTCGGCTCGAAGAGAAAGATACAGTAGACAGTGGATGTGGAGGCTGTTTCGGCTCAAGGGGGCGAATACTGTGCATACAGTACAACCATCGATGCATGGAAGTACTTTGCTTCGTGCATTGCATGGCCCTAACCCTTTCCTGTGCATTTGCATTAGTCTGATTAACTTGTTTACTCAGATTACTGTATTATAGACAAGGTCTGGTGGCGGACGTGGGTACAGCTGAGGACCCGAAGCCCCGGATACAGTACAGTTTGCACATTTGTGTGTAAGAATGCAGTAGGATATTTTATTATTGCTTTCTACAGTTGGGTAGGGGTAATGGAGCCAATTACCCTACTCGTCTTCATTACGATCCAAACTTGTTAATGCTTACTACCGAGCAGGTGTTGAAATATAACAAATAGATGCCAATGTCAGAATGGTTCAAACGAACCAGGCTTCACACTGTGGGAGCTGTCGAGAAAGAAGTCATTTATATACAACCATATATTCTAACCATTGCACAGCTTCTGGGTATAGTCTTAGTCTCAGTATGAATCCCAATACTAGCCAGTTAAGTCTAATATAAAACCAATCATCAGTACCGAACCCCCCAAAAGAACCTAAAACACGTGAAACAACATACATCTCATATCAAGATACCAATCAAGAGAAAAGCAAAGCCAATATCATTACAGCAGTCCAATGACAACATCACCATAAATCTTAGCGTCGAGGTCAAGACGGACCTTGGCATGCAGGTTGAGGTGAATCTTGATCTGCAAGCTGCTCTTGTCATCCTTGCCGGGTGTACCGGGAGTCACACCAGGCATTTCCATGCCAAGGTTGGAAGCGGCACCATTGGCAGTGTCGGTAGCGGTGTTGAGGGGGTTGTTGTCGGCGTCACGCTCCTGGCGGCCGCCCTTGGGGGGCGAGGAGAGGGCGCCGAGAGTGTTGTCGAGGACGGGGCTGTGTGGGAGCGAGGGGAAGTCAGTCTCACTTAAGCCCAAGGGAGGAGTATCGGGTGGTAATTGAATGGTTTCTGGTGGCTGATGGTGGCTTGGGGATTCGATCGGGGGTGGTGGTTGAAGGTTCTTGGGCTTCTTGGACTTTTTTGTAGCCTTGTTTGCCATTGTGGGGGGTGGGTTTGATGATGGAAGGAGAGTTTGGGTGTTATGGAAGGCGATTGTATGGGAAGAGGATCCTTGGGTGTAGTATGGCATGGGGGAACTGGGTTGAAGTATACCTGGACATTGTGGTTTTAAGGGACGGGGCTTAGGGTTGATGTGAGGTAGGATGTTGAGCGGAGAAGAGGACAGGGGACTGGAAGATATACTCTCAGTCGCCGCATGAGACAGTAAAAAATATATAGGCCGCTGGAGTTGTGAAAGATCTGTTCATTCGATAGAGCAATCTATCTAGGGTCCACATTGTTGTATGATACAATCTTGACTGGATGGGCTAACAGCAAGATCTACATATCTCTTCACGTTCATCTGAAATTCGTGCAAGGAAAAGATGCATCGATTTGTTTAGTTGCAGAAAGTATGATGCAATTCATGGAGTAAAGTGGACTCGTTCGTTCCTAGTGCCATCCACTCCCCATAGCGCTAAGGAGAGCTGAGGGTACAGCTTTCAGCTCGGTATTTAGCTGTTACATGTATGTCCGCACATCTTTCCCATACGCACACTCACGCTCATTTGAAATTTTGGCATCGGTCTCAAAACCATCCACAATGGTTCTCGGAGTAGCCATGATGGCGACAATGCTGCCAACCATGATTGGGTTAAACGAAGCTACCCAGGGTACACGCCAACAGGAAGAGAACCGCAAGACTTCACATCGCAAGCAACGATGTCACTTGGTGGCTACATGTTCTCTTAGCCAGGGCACCGAAAGCCAGCGTGCACAAGTCCAGAATGCCCGCGTGTATGTGGGCCGAGACGGGAAAGTAAGTATCGTCACGCATATGAAACAAAGAAAAAAGAAAGAAAAAAGAAATTCTAACCAATGTTTTCTCTTAGCTCTATATCTCCAAAAAGCCCAGCTCCGCCCTGTCTCCCTTCAATGGTGGCTTTTATACCCACCCCGATTTCCCGCCAGATAATACTTCCGGCGTGGTAACCATTACTGGGGAAGAGACCCCCACCCTGCGATGGGTATTCTTGGATGCTAACACGCATGAGATGCGCTGGGGAGGGCGTCCCGACAGTGAAGGCCACGTATCTGGGCCCTTTGACTGGACAGCAGACGAGCTATGCATGACGCTAGAGGGATGGGAAGGGTGGCTGGCGATTCGGCTGCCTGAGGATGACACGCGGGATCAAGCGGAGACAGACCTGGAGATCGGCGATGGCGGCGAGATTTGGCGCTTGTATTTTGACCAGCATGATAATGGAGCCGATCTTCCGCCCGGGTCCCAAGGGCTAGAAATCCGCCTTAAGCGAGTGATGGCGGAGTCATGAATGTAATAGTACACTTGGATTTCATGTATTTACGATCAATCTGATGCGGGGAACAATGACAGGCAAGTTAGGGTTTGGGAACACGCGGGTTGTATACTTCGGATACTGTCCTCTTTCAGACACTCGCACTTGCAGCACTCTGCATGAAATTTGTGATAACTCGGCCAATTTGACCATAAATGCATTATTAGCGCCTGTACCAGTTCGATCACGCTAGGAAACACCGGACGAACAGTGGATCTCACTCGAGCCAATTGTCAGTCCCGGCCAATCGCTGCCGCTTCTCCACTAAATCTGAGCTCTACAACAGTATCATTTGAGACTTGTATGTGAGTTGCCCCATTCGATGCTATTTGGTTGGTGATTGTGAATATGCTATGTTTCCAGCGTACTGGTCTGCTGAGTTTACTACAGCAAAGGTCAAATAATAATTTCCCCCCAGGCTTGCAACTCGGCAATATTGGCTTCTTCTGGACGAGGATACGGGCTTACTGTTAAGTTTTTGGATAAACAGCCATAACTCCGGCCCCCAGCTGTCAAACTGCTATCTTCGTGTTGTGGCGTAGCTAGACCTCCCCACTTCCGGCAGATCCAAACCCATTCGGCCCAAAATGGCGTCCAATGAGGTTTGCCCCTGAGAAAGCGAGCTGAGTACGGTATGCAAAACCACCCAAATTTGGGCCTGAACCGCTTTCGGAGAATCATGATTGTTTTGCAGCAGAATCTCGCCAGGAATTTGCGGAGAAAAAGCCCACCTAAAGTGTAAAACTGTTATATTGTTCTTTCGTACTATTGTGATTAGAGTGTTTGGAAGTGCTAACCAATGGCTTCCAGGATATGTGTGTGGGTGTATGCGCAAGCCACAACCACGGCTGCTCCGGACAGCACGAGCTCTGAGGTGGTTCGCATTAACCTTGCGGTCCAGGTCTCGGCATTGATTGCCTATTGGACATAATTCAACTATTCACATGCACTATGCTTTTGACATGGGGAGGGGGTGTTCAACATCATATGCATTCTTTGTTGATTGAGCAGGCGTTTACTCACGATTAGAGTCAAAATTTATCGAAGAACAAGGCCGGAAAACTACTGAAGAAACTTTTGAGATAACAAGATCGGCCTATGTATCTCGTGTAGGTAAACCTGCGTGCCGACCGAGTCTGACAATTTAATACATGCTTTTGAGGTCTCACTGCAGTTTCATCCCATGTAAGGCGGTTGCTTTGATGCCACGCACGCCCATTCTGTTCAACTCCTGAATGGCTTTCCATTTTATGCACGGATGTACCTAGAACGACACTTCAACGGCCAAACCTACCGAATGTATTGTTCAATCACAGCAAATCGGGGTATGCCGAGCTCATTATCCCCTCCAAAACCTACGCCTCGATAGTCTCGACGCCTCTATGTGATGGTCTGCCAACTTCCGAGTACTAAAGCGTCATCTGATGGTGTGCAGTCGGTGAAACCGGCGCTATCCTGGTCCGTATCATGGTCGTTACCATGATTTTCCTGATTCGCTGCCCTTCCCTATCCATGCTTGGTGGCTTTCTGTGCATACCTAATTCAGAAGCCCGGCAATGCAGCCCCTTCTTTTCTCAGCCGGTGTTGCCATTTTGTCTGATTTTCATTGCTGCTCCCCTGCTGAGCGGCTAGGCTGGTGATTGACAGGGGATAAATGTGCCATATCTACTTATATGGGTTGAGAACCCGGGGATATTTGTTTGCCAGGAAACAGCTTTCTTCTATTTTCAACAGCATCTGTGCTGTTTCTATATCAACTCTCCTTTCATATTTTTGCTATATTGATCTTATGCTACCTTTGTCTAATTACGATAGCAGATAGCGTTACTTAACGGAAAAGCTCCACGCAAATATTTTCTACCATACCACAAAATTGAGAAAAGCGCATATCAGTAAGTTATGCTGTTCCAAGGAGATGTTTGGATATACACTGACTATCTCAACCCGCATAGCAAACTTCTAAAAGCCTCAACATGGCCGCCCAGGTTGAGAGTGCTCCCATTCCAGTTGCAGCCCCTGCCAATGGCAATGGCATAGCTGCATTGATGAAGGCTCCATTCATCCCAATCAAGAATGGAACAGTCACTGCCACCCCCATTACCGAACCACAATCAAACCGTCTTGGTGTCTTGCGCGAATTGAACTATCGCATGACATCTCGAGTCTTTTCCAAGTTGGATGTCGAAGCTCGTTCCATATTGGAGAGTGTAAAGTCGGCCGATGAGGTCTTCGACAGCATTGCCATTGAGCGTCTACGTTACATGCCTCGAGATGGTAGCCAGCTGGATCGTGTGTTCAAGTGGACCGCCTATCTCATTGCTCAATTGGATCAACTCTCCAAGGAGATCCAGCCCTTTGCTCTGTATTCCGAGGACTCTGTCCAGTCTATGTGGGGTTCTTGTTTAGTCTTGCTTTCGGTATGTTGTAACGTCTGTCCCAAGGCGAAACGTAAGACTGATATACTATAGCTTGGTCCTGATCAAATCGACCTTCTTTCCTATGTTTTCGGCGCTTTCCACAACTTGGCGCAAGATGTTTCCCGCCTGACAGCTCAATGGCGCTCTCAGGAATCAGTCACTGATGCCCAGAGTGAGGTGGTTGCTGCTTATTCCGATCTCGTTGAGCTCATTTGCAATGTGAGCGTACACTATTACCGCAAGGCACATAATTTCTCTCGGACTGTCGATGTTTCGGACTTCCATGCTCGTTTCTCGCACCACATTCATTCCTTCCAGTCCCACCGTGCTTCCCTCATTGAAGTCTTGTGGACCAGCAGCTCAGCTACCTTGGAGTTTACCACAAACCCAGTAGTCAAAGTTCGGGAGATTCGAGAGTTCCTTTCTTTCCACGACTGTGCTGTCCCTGCAATCCTGTCTGCTCGCCAGCCTCGTGCAGCCGAGTATACTTGCGAGTGGTTTGAGAGCCAATTGACTCTTCAACAGGCTCGCCGTCCTGGCTTGACTGTCATAAATGGTGGAATCGGTACTGGAAAAACCGTTCTTTCTCAGTGGATTGTGGATAAGCTGCACTCCTCTCCGGATGGCGATGATACCGATGTAGTCCTGTACAGAGTCTACGATGACATCAGCGAGACTGCTACTAGCATCAATGTCATTAAGGGCTTGCTGCTTCAGCTTTTGGATCGTCGGGTCGGAGACGCTGCCTTCCTTGAGGCTCTTGACCGAGCCATCCACATTGCACGTTCCAGTACCTCAATCAAGGACATCGAAGAGTCTCTTTGGAATGCCGCTCTTGTTGCTTCAAAAGGCCTCCACGAGGTTTTGATTATTATCGATGGTCTGAGTGAGCTTTCGAGTCCTGCAGACTCTGTTCCTCGAGTATTGAGTCACCTTTCTCGTCTCACTTCGCATAGGCCTGGTGTTCGAGCTGTTGTGCTGTCACGGCCCCTCCGTTGCTCGCTTCCTCAAGGAACGCATAACTTTACTATCGAGCCAGCTCATGTACTTGGTGATATCAAGACCGTCATTTCGACTGATCTGGAGTCTACCAGTCCTTTCAATGTCCTCAAACGCGATGACCGGGAAAAGCTCCTTGAGACTATTGTCCAAAAGTCCCATGGATCCTTTATTTGGGCGGCATTGGTAGTGTCCAATCTCACGAGGCTGCGAACACTGCCCGATATTTTGTCGGCTGTGCAGTCCACCCCCGCGTCTTTGAGCGAGGTACTCAACAAGCTATTGACCACCATCAATATCCAAGATTCAGACACTCGCTCTCTGCTGGCTTGGACTCTGGCAGCTCATCGGCCCTTCCGTGTCAGCGAGGTTCACGCCTTGTTTGAAACTGATATCAAGCGCATGGAGCCTGTACACCATATCGGTGACACCACTAAAGATATCCTCAACGCTATTGGGAACTTTGTGACTGTTTATGACGGTTTCGTATATTTCCGTCATCCCGCTTTGCGCCAATACTTGATCACCGTGGCTAGCGCTGTTACCGACTTTACAAACAAGGGCGGCTTTCCCTTCCACTTGAAGGAAGCTCACTACGATCTCGTCACTCGCTGTCTGGCATATGTAAAGTTCCATGTCCAAGATGACTTGGAAGTGTCTTCTGTCACTATCAGCACGTCAACTCAGAACCACTTCTTCGATCGCTATGAGCTACTGGAGTACACTGCACGTTACTGGCCTTCTCATTTCACATCGTCCCCCATGGTAGAAGGCAAGGATACCTTCAAGCTTACTGCCACTTTCAAGCAATGCCTGCCTGACTCGATTTTGTTGGCTCTACTTGAGACTAGCACCCATCAGACCCAATTATCCTTGCATACCGCGGAGCAATACTTGTCTCTGTCGGTCAAGCTCCGCCGCTTGCTTTTCAAGGATGTTTCTCAATCCTTGCTGCAGAGCCTTGTACTCCACGGACGGTTGGCCTACACCCTTGGTCTTCAGGCCAGTGTGGACTATCTATACGAGGCTTGGGTTCTCAGCGAGAAACTTCTTGGCTCACAGAGTAGTGTAGTCAAGGCTACTGCTGAGCTGTTCATGCAATCCGTGATCAAAATTGATATCAAGGAGACCACCGTTATCAAGAAGAAGGAGGCTATCCTTCGCTACTTGATTGAGCGCACCAAAGAAGAGCGAGGCGTGTCTCACGATCTCACGGTCAAGTACACCAGGTCCCTAGTTCAGCTCTACATTGATGTTAAGAACATTGAAGCAGCTACCACCATTTGCAAGGAGCTATATGAGCTGAGCGTAACCCGCTATGGTCGCTTCTCTTCCGAAACACAGGAGACCACCGAAATCTTCTTTGAGCAGCTGCAATTTTTCGGCAAGTCGGAATTTGTTTCTGAAGTCATGCAGACCCGCCATGAGTACAACATTCAACATTTGGAGGTTACTGATGAGCGTCGAATTACATCTACCCTTTCCAGTGTGGAAGTCTTTGAGCAGCGTGGTGAGATCACTCGTGCTGAGTCTAGTCTCTTTGAGCTCTGGCAGAGTATATATGGCGTGGAGCAAACATCTGAATCGGTGATCAAGCAGCAGGTCGATGTGACTTTGAAATATTCTGAGTTCCTCACCAAGCACGGCCGCAAGGATGAAGCTGAGACCATTGTCAGCGGCATGTGGGTGTCTCTGCAACAACAATCTTCTCGCTTTGAGAGCCTCAGCTCCACCATTGAGAAGTTTACTTCCCATATCAAGACACAGAAATGGTACTCTCTGGCCGAGTTCGCTCTCTCCTCTCTTTGGAGTCAATACAAATCCGAAAAGCGTACTAGCAGCTCTTCAACTGTTTCTGTCGCCTCGGCTTTGAGCGAAATTGTCCAGGAGTCTATTACTACGACTCGCTCCAGTACATCTTCAAGTTCGTCCTCTTCCACTACCGTCCAGACCCATCAGCAGTTCGAGCTCTTGCGTGAGGTTTTTGAGACTGCCTCTCAGTCAACTTCGGTCTCCAAGAAGTCTATTACCGCTACCGTCCAAATGGCAGAGACCATTGCCGAATCTTACGTTCAGCAAGGAAAGTATGAGAAGGCCATTGAGATACATCAGCGCTCGATGCAAAAGTTATGGACAGGTATTGAAAGCAAGACTTCCGTTATCAAGCTCACCGCTGAGACCACCCGCGTGGCTCGACAAGCCATAAGCCTTGCCCAAGTCTACTTCAAGAACTTGCAAATTGAGAAGGCCTCCATGGTATATGAAAATACGTTTAAGTCTGTTATCTCATCGGTCTCTGTCAAAGATGAGCTATTTGCTACTGTTACCAAAGATGTCATCTCCTTCTACGAGTCTACCTACCAGTTCTCCAAGGTCACATCCATGTACCAGGCAGTCTATAACGTGCTGTCAACTCAAATTGGTAACACAGATCAGCGGACTATCCAAGCCCTCTACAGCTGGGGTGACCGAGCTATCAAGTATCACCAAGAGGCAGAGGCGGAGAAAGCATACTACGAGATCTACGTTGCTTTCGGCAAGAAGGATACTCTCAATGTCCACTCCATTCGCGCAGCTCGCGCTTTATGCACTATCTACGAAAGTAGCAAGCGCTGGAAGGAGGCCCAGCAAGTGTATGAGATTCTGTGGAAGACCGTCACTCTCCAAGGCCAAGAGTTGTCCATCGAAAGTGAGGAGATTGAGACGATCTACTCTCGCTATTCATCCTTGTTGGAGACACACGTTAAGGCAGATGTGACCGTAATCCACAGTTTGGCAACTAGCTACCGCGAGACCTGCTTGAAGATCTACGGCGAGTCCCATGTCTCCACCTACAAGGCCACCATGAGACTGGCCGAGATTAGCCATTCCAGCGAGAAGTACCACAAGGAGTCCCTTTCACTGTATGAGTACGCTCTCAAGATGAGCTCAAAGTTCTCTTCTACTGTCGACACTCGCGAGGTTTCCGAGTCGAGTACAACTACTACTACCTCGACTGTCAGTATCATCAAGCAGCGGCTTGCTCAGCTGTACTCAAGCAGCACTGAGACTGTTTCCAAGGCTGTCTCACTCTACCAAGAAGATTATCATTCTTCTGTCAAGCAAGAGGGTTACGCATCGCAGACCAGTCTCACTGCCCTTGAACATCTTGTGACTTCATACCACAAGCAAAATACCAAGACTTCGACCACCGAGGCCGTGAAGACTCTGACAACTGCCACTACTTCTATCTTTGAGCAGGAAATTGACTCTCAGCGCATGTACAAATCTTCCCAGACCATTGCACAGATGTACAAGTCTGTCGGACACCAAGAAGCCGCATGGACCCTGCTGCAAACCCTTCGGTCTCGTCTAATCCGTGAAACAACCAGCATTGAGAAGACGACTATTTCTCGAAAGGTTGCAGTCTTCATCGTCGCTTTTGAAGAATCACTCTTCCAGAAGCGCACATACACCGCGATCATGGCCGAACTCGTATCCGAGATCAACTTGTACGAATCATTCTACACTTCCCGCAAAGAGAAAGGATTCATGTCTATCTTCATCAGCGGTGTCCGCCTGCTGAACTTCCAGCGCACTCGCAATGCCACAGAAGAGCTCCAAAAGACCGACATCGAGCTGTTCCGCTTGTTCACTGAGCATTTCTCTGTTAAGACGCAGTCGAGCAAAGTCAGCATCCAAGCTTTCTATCAGATTGCTATTGCGGAGATCACTAAGCGCGAATATGGGACTCACATAATTTCCAAGACTGTCCGTGCTGTACACCATGAGATTGAGCAGGGCCACTTCCAGGAAGCTTATGAGCTTTCTAGCATCCTGCACAAGTTTATCCAGCAGATCGATGGTTTCAGCACTCACAGTAACACCAAAGACGGTATTTTGCTTGCCAAGTACCTCCTCGGTCACGGTGTCAAGAAATCCCCGGACGCTAAGCTGGTCAAGGCTATGCATGAGCTTTCACGTGTTGTACTTCAGGATATTCTGATCGTTTACCGCGACACCAGTGTCCGCTTCACTGATTTGGATGTGAGCGAGGTCAACGAGATTGCCATTCTCCTAGGCGAACACAGAAACTTCGAGGACCTAGAGGTAAGCTATTCTTCATCATAACTGATTTCAACGGTAACTAACACTACGCAGTACGTTCTCAACGACCTCTGGTCTTCCCGTATCGTCCAAAAGACCTGGTCATCGGATACAATAATCTCCATCGGAAGACGCCTCGTCGAAGCCCGCTTCTCCTGCGGCCGCAAGGAACAAGCCATCCGTCTCTGCGCAGACTTGTGCTACAACATTGGCCGAGTATGGGGCCAATTCGACCGCATCACCCTAGAGCTCACAGCCCTGCTTTCAGAACTATATACAGAGACAGGCAACTACTCCGGCGCAATGGCAGTGCACGAGACAGCTCTGCGTCAAGTATCACACACGCAGACAGACGTGACATCAGCCGAGATGGGCGCATTCGCTGTCCAGCATGCTGAGCTTTTGAAGCGTGCTTACCAACGGAACGGAGGCTGGGCCAAACAGTCTGGTGTTTACACTGATCTTCTCGGCAAGGTCAATGAGCAGTTGAAAGCTGAGAAGACTTGGTCGAAGTCTTCCCTGGAGAGTGTTGACAAGTGGCAGCCTAAGGGTGCTGATAGTCTGGGGTTATGGCAGCCTCCTACTACATATGGTTTCCTTACTTCTGGGAAGATCAATAAGCATCAGAATCAGCTACGGAAGATTAGTACTGGCAAGGTGATGACTTTGAGTCAGATGGCTACTTGAAAGATGGCTAAAGTGCTGAATTGCTGCATATTGTATTATGATTTATTGAGCTTTGTTTTGTTTTTGCGATTAATGTTCAATATTTGACCTTGGCCTTTCAACTGTAATCTAGCGTGAGCTTGATAATTTCTCTGGAACTCTCTATGCCTTGTTTCTGGCACCGACAGACTTTCAGGTTGATAAAATATGTTTATTCATCATCTAACGTTATATCGATCTTTATAACCGATCAACAGCCCTTTAATAAGATTGCCCGACATCGTTTGCATGCAATAGAATAGGCGGACATATGATATCAAGCATGACAGTAGCCTTATGTTGCTCTATCGAAACGTTAAATTTTTATCTCTGACCCCTAGGAAACCAGTAGGTTTGGCTCAAGCCAATCTAGCATACATCCAAAATCGCCGAGTATAAATCGCGTCACGTGGCATCTTCCCTTCTTAACATCACCGAGCTCCTGTCCTGTTCTACTTCACTCATATCTCACAAACAATCAAAACATTAGCTTCAGAAAACTTGAATATGCCGTTGAGAGGTTTGTGAGATCCTGATCCGAACGAACCCGATTTAACAGTCCCAGGCCCAGCCTGTATAACATGTCGTGAAAAGTGTCGCAAATGTGACCGCACACAACCTACCTGTCAGCGATGCATCTCCAAGGGTCTTGAATGCAAAGGATATCCGGAGAGATTTCGTTTTGCGGGGTTGGCCACGCGTGGAAAGTGGAAAGGTCGGGCAGTTCCTACCGTGGGCCACAGCGTGCCCCGAACCGAACTCGCCAATGATTCTCCAAGAGATGTAGAACCCAACACCAGCAAAAGATCTTCCACAACAATAGCCAATCCAGATCGTGAAAAGTCCCATGTGGTTGCTGATTATCCTCTGTCACATCGAGGACGAGCTGTGGAGCTGGATGATCTATTAATGCTAGAACGGACGGGGCTTTTATTATCGCATTGTGGGTTAAATTTGGCTTCGTCTTATTGAAATGTTGCTGATTGGAGCGTGCTCAGATGATCGGGAGATTTGTCCGCACCAGATTGCGCTATCAGATGACAAGGCAGACAATCCCTACCGACTCTATATCTTACCGCTTGCATATGAACAAATTGGTCTTCTATATGCTGTACTCGGACTGACGGCATGTCATATTGGAATTAAGGAAGATGATGCTTACCTACGAGACACATTGGCAGTCGAATATCAAGCAAGAGCTATTCGTTGCCTTGGTGAAACCATCCAGAACGGTATTTCTGGGGAGCTAGGGGAGAATGAACGTGATGGAATATTTGCCACCATACAGATTCTACTACTGCAAGATGTAAGTTGTCTTACTTCTCTCTCTCTTATATGAGTTTGAACTGATAGTCAACTCAAATGAAGATATTCGAAACAGGAATTTCTACTCATGGCATTCACATTACGGGTGCTTTATCAATTTGCAACCAACTTCGCTTATCCGATATCTTGAGCGAGGGCCATGAACGAACTATATTTTTTCTAGGTAATCTAGCATGGCAAGTCCTCACTTCAGCCCCCATTCCACCTGAATTCTAACATAGGAGATAGGCTGGACATAATCAGATCCCTTGCAGACCCACGAAAGCTGTGTTTCTCTCCCGCCCTCCGGGAAACAATAGCCAATCGAAGTGATTTAAAATTTGAACAAGTCAATGGGTGTCCACGCGAACTCTTCCTTATAATAGGAAGTGTTCTGGAATTTGCAAAAGCCTATGAATCAGGCCATATGGACACAAGGCAATACGAGCGACTTCTCAATGCCGCCCGGTATGACCTTCACGCATGGCAGCTATCATCTGGTGTATATCCAGACGACCATTCACGCTGGCCGGCAGTCGCTGAAGCGTTTCGACACGCTTGTATACTACATACATCCCGCTTGCTTGACGTGTACCAGCCAGCCGAGGCAACAATAATACAAATATCTGTGACGGCTGTCTTGGATGCTATTTCAGAGATTCCTCCGAACTGTCACCTTATCGAATTGCTTGTCATGCCGCTATTTATGGCCGGGACTGATGCTTTATCCTCCTATGCCCGTCATTATGTCCTCTTGCGATATGAACATATCAAGGCTAGAGCAGGCTTTGGTCATCCAGCTCCGATATCACTACTCCAGTCTGTATGGGATGGGCGCGGGAGACAATCGAAGGATGATGATCGCAATGTCCCTTGGATGTCATTCGTAAGTATTTTGATCTATTTGGATATTTCCTCGTCGCTGACTTCTTTAGACTCGTACGGAATCAGAGCGCCAGCATGATTATTTAATTATTTGATTTTATTTATGATACTTGAAGCTGTGATAATAAACTGTGGTTTTAAAAATCACATGTTTGTTCTTTCAAATGAGGAACGGAATCAAATTTTATTCACTCAAAGCAAGATCCATTCCAAAAGATAGTTCAATGTCAATCTTTCGATGTCCCCTCACATTCAAATTTTATTCCTCCAAATCTTCTTTCATGAATACCTGCACCTCATAAATAGCTTGCATTGACTTTAGCCTTCTCACGGATCAAAAACCGGTCGAAAGTTCCAAGTGGAAGGCCCCACGCCTTCACCTTCTCCAAATCCACAAAAGAAGACATATCGCGCATCATGAGCTGTCCTGCAATGAATGGATTAACACCTCTCTGCTTATCGATCTCTTCATCAGACATGAAGACTGCCTTGAAATCCCTTCCGGTCGCTCTTTCCAAGGCTCGCATTATCGCCTCCACCCCCATGAATTCCGACGCGATCTCAACCTCCTGTTGATGGGACTCGATGGGATCAAGAATTGCCGCAGCAGCAAAATTGCCGATATCATTGGGATCAACCATAGGCAGCAGTGTATCAGGCGCGAGAGCTGTGGTGAACACCCCGTGCTCCGCCAACCCGGGATACATCTGGTTCATTGGGAACAAGAAGTTGGTCATGAAGTTGCCTGGTCGGAGGATAGTCCAGGTATCAAAGCCTGCTCTTCGAACTTCGGCTTCGATGTCTTGTTTGTTGAGCATCATTTTGCTGATTATGCCGTTGGGATCCCAGTATTTGTTGCGCGAGGGATTGCCTGCGGACACGCCGCTGGTGTAGATGACTTGCTTGATGCCGGACTCTTTTGCTATCTTAAGGAGTCGACGGGCTTGCTCGAGGCTTGTGTTGAGGTCTGTCAGGGCAGGCATCAGGTTGAGGAAGAGGCTGGTGCAGTGGGTCATGTTCTGTCTGACGGATTCTTCGTTGTCGAAATCGCCCTCGGTAATTGCCACACCGAGACTTTGAAGGCGTTGAGCATTGGTCGAACTGAGTGATCTGGTCACTGCGTGGACTTTGACGTTGTGTTTGAGTAGATGATCGATGAGGGCACCTCCTTGGGTGCCAGTTGCACCACAGACGAAAACGGTAGGAGATGACATTTTGGGTGAATCTGCGAGGAGCGAAGTATGAATAGTTGTAGAATATCTATCATTCCAGCAGAAATTGCATGCCTTATAAACCATTCCAGTGGCTATCATTCACTCGACCGAATCTATAGATGGCGGAACTCCACTAAGTCCGCCGCTAACCCTAACCCCGAGCGCCTTTTGATTGGTGCGCCACAGCCTCATTTGACTAGCGTGCGGAATTCCGCTGGCTGAGACCCATTGGAACATTCCTTCAGCGACTTTTCTCCCAACTATCAGTTTCACGGATTTAACAATGCCGCAAAGTACAGAGATCAAAGCTCCTCCGCGGCGCAAATCTTGCGAGGCATGCAAATCAGCCAAACGGCGCTGCGACTTGGCATATCCAGCATGCTCGCGGTGCATGCAAAGAAATATCCAATGCATGTACCCTGGCAGACTGCCCCAAGCTTGTTCCGAAACAATGGATACCACCCCCATCATTGATAGATATAAGACGTCTGACGGTGGTATGGCTCCATGCCCCCCTGATGCCGATCTCATGGCGGCAATCGACATGGTTCTCCATCCGGTTGTGGTCCATTCGCCATTCCGCTATATCACTATCCTTCCTCCAGACCAACGCGGGGATTTATATGAAACTTCTGCGCCATCAAATGGACATGAACTGGTCATGCCACATACAAGCCCACCGAAGCCCCTCTCTGGCATCTTCGCTAGTCGCATTCAATTTGCCGTTGATGTACTCAAGGATATTCCCAGAATGATGGTTGTTGATACACAAACACCATGGTGTCATCGCCAGCTCTATAAGAATAACATGCCAAAAGAAATGCAAGGTGGGTGCAAAGGGTACAGATTAGATGTTGACGGTATATCTGACAGCATTATAGATGCGTTCACCTGCTGTTCTCTCTACATGACTAAGAATGAGATCAACGCTCCAGTACTAATATCAATATTCGATTCGCGTATTAATGACCTCTTATCATCACCACCACCTACAACGCCTCTAGAGCTTCTCGCTCGAATCCACGCCCTTGTTCTATATCTTATCATGCGACTATTCGACGGAAATACAAGATCAAAGCCATCATCACAATGCCTATTCGACGTACTAGAAGTTTCAGTTCAGTCCCTTCTAAGCTGCATCCAATTACCGCACCCATCAGAGCCCCTGGAATTACTGCCTATATCTATGGACCCGGTGATGAATTTCTGGGATTCATGGATCTTCCAGGAGTCAGCGCGGCGCACCGTGATGATGGTGTTCTATTTTGTGTCTATACATAATTTTGTGCAAGGAAGACCGGCCCCGGTCTGTGATGGGAAGCTAGGACTTGATCTTGCGTGGTATCAATCTGCACATCTTTGGAATGCCCAGAGCGCGTTTGATTTTGCTGTTGCTTGGACGGAGAACCTGCATTTCATCGTTTATAATGCGGACTTTTCTGGTTTACTACAGGATGCAAAGCCAGATGATGTCGATCTGTTTGGGAGGATGCTACTTGTTACGAAATTTGGCATTGATGAGACTAAAGCTTGGTTTTATGCACGAGGTGGTACGCTGTGAGAACGGATCTATGGGTTTCCAGTGTCCTATGTACAAACTTCCAATCGACTTCTAGGAAAGGAAGCATTGGATGGAAGTGTTTCAATCAAAGGCTATCTAAAATCATATTTTACCTTCATATCAACGTCTATGTCCCGTCTATCGAGCCATAGCCTTCTCAATCATCTCTCTAGCCCCATCCCTCCACATATCCCATCCCAAACTAAAACTCAACGTATCCCTCCACAAATCATCAGGGTCACTTCCAGGAGGAAGCGCCTTCCCATTCCCAATCTTCCCATTGATTTTACCCTTCACAAATCGCATATGCCAAGGAATCATCCCAACCTGCACAAACCCCATCCTCTCCGCAAGCTTAACACTAGCAAAATTAGTCGAGTTCGCCGACCAATGAACCCGACACAATCCAAGCCCATTCTTCTCCGGAGGGTCCAGAGCAAGCTGTAAAGCTAGTCCAACAGCGTGCGTTGCTACATGGGTGCGCTGGTACGGCGGTAGAATGACAATAAAGCCGATTTCTGCGCAAAGATCTACTGGAGAGGCGCGGATGAAGCTCACCGTGCCTGCCAATTCGCCTTCCGGATCTTCGGCAGATGCAGGGCGTGTCTTGTCAATGATTGCGAAGGCAAATGAGTCGGGATTGGAGAATGAGAGGATGTTTCCTGGTGAGTTGTCGTAGAAGCGGAGTTTGAGCTCGGCGGCCGAGCTTGGTGGCGACATGGGCATATGCGCATATATCTCTGGATGTGGCGAAGAGAGATGGAAGAATGTCTCGCAATGTTTCTCTGGGTTGAAGGGGACGAGCTTGAGGCGGTCGTTTGAGATCCCCTGGATGGGAAAATGGAAGGTTGATGATGCTGCCATGTTGCAACTCTTAATATGGTATGTAGTGGAGAATTATGTTTGAGACTTGAAACTAGTCTGAGGAGAATTGCTTATAATGGTCGCGGGGTGAACATTACAGCAGACCTCTTCCAAGGTTGTGAATAGGGAAGCTGACAAAGTTGACCGCGGCCAACCTTGAAATGTTGCCCGGCGTTGAGTCATCCCCACTTTGCCGAGGCCACAATATGGCTCCGCTGGAGGCTGATTTGGAAGATATAATGCCGGTTTGTTTGTTCAAGAAAAGGTATTAGAGTGAGTCATTGAAATTGTGTAGAACTGGTTGACATACTATAGGCATGACTATATTGATATCTGCACTTTGGCTTGTTGGGGCTCATAAAGCAACATGAGTCTCATAGCCCCATTTGAGTCGAACTTTAAGAGATGTGCCATTGATATTAGAGTGTTAGAGATAGATTATACATTCTCTTCTGTTCTTTCACCCCACGTGCGAGCCCATATTTAACAATTACCTCTTCATGGGCTCAATCTAAACGGTAACTATCCCGGTCCAACGAGTCAAACAAAATGTCCGCGCAGACGAAGTTGAAGAAAGGGCCATTTGACATATGTACGTGGGCGAAAATCCCATTTCAAGGCCACATGACTGTCACTGCAAGATCATGCATAAAATAGAGTGAAGTATAATGACTGCCAATGTCACGCTGTCACTGAAGGCTCCTAGAAGCACAAGTTAACCCAAAGGCAGAGTATGTGAGGTGTCTCATAGGCATGAAGCAAGGATATGGCACTTACTGCGCTTACATGTATGATCAAATTCCTTGCGTTACAACAGTGAGGGCTGGAAATGCGCGCCCGCACGGACTCGGTTCCTCATAGACCATCGATCTTGTCGACACATCGCGTTGGGCAGCTCCGCTTCATTGCATAAGTTTTGTCATCACATTGTAATGTAGAGGTGTAATTGAATTTATTGGCTGCAAATACAGCCACCAAATAATTCGTTGTGCTGCATGATCCCATGACTTCATTGATTCCCAGCCCCAGGAAAGATTGTTCCATTATGCCAACCTTTTTGGCCTTTGTTTTCTCCAAATTTTACTTTCCAATTCGTACTTCTTGATTCAATATCTGCAGATAGTTGCAAACAACGCTATGGATAATAACGAACGTCCACTTAAGGTGCTCGTTACAGGCGTAAGCAAGATTTCAAAATGAATGTGCAATCGACATACAGCTCACTCTATACATAGGCAGCCGGCTTCCTGGGTTCCAATTTAGTTGATTTTCTCCTTCAAAAAGGCCACTCGGTGATCGGGCTAGACAATTTCCAAAGTGGCTCATCCAGAAACTTGAAACACTTGGACAATCACCCTCGATTCGAATTCCTTAAGTAAACACCATCATGAGTCATATACAACATTTTTCACTAGATCACTGATGCACTATGACGAACTCAGTCATAGTATCTATTCTCCCATTCCAGATATAGAAGGACTGGATCAAATCTACAATTTAGCTTGTCCAGCAAGCCCAGTTCACTATCAGAAAGATCCAATTTCGACTCTAGACACCTGCTACCTTGGAACACGGAACCTGCTAGAGCTTGCAAGATCGAAAAAGATTCGAATCCTTCAAACGAGTACTTCAGGTAAAGAACAAGGATCTACACATATTCTTGCCATGTCCAATCACAGGTCTTAACGCAAAAACAGAAGTCTACGGCGACCCATCTGTCCACCCCCAACCAGAGAATTACTGGGGCAACGTGAATCCATTCGGTCCCCGATCCTGCTATGACGAAGGCAAACGCGTGGCCGAAGCTCTCTGCTACGCATACCGCGAGCAACATAGCGTTGACATCCGCATAGCGCGGATCTTCAACACGTATGGACCACGCATGGGCGCCAATGACGGACGAGTAGTTTCAAGCTTCATTGCATCGGCATTAGCTGGAGAGAATCTCAAGATTACCGGAGATGGAATGGCGACACGCTCCTTCCAGTTTGTCACGGATTGCATGGAGGGACTTTATGCTCTGATGAATAGTGACTATAGTAAAGGGCCGGTGAATATTGGGAATGATGGAGAGTTTACTATCGAGAGGCTTGCCGAGCTTGTTATCGATCTTGTTTCCCGCATGACAAGTCAACCGCGTGTGTCGATCTCACATCTTCCGTCCCCTTTGGATGATCCGGCCGTTCGTCGGCCGGATATTGCTTTGGTGAGAGAGGTTTTATGTTGGAGACCTGTGGTTCAGCTGGAAGAGGGGCTGGAGAGGACTATTCAGTGGCATATTAATGAAAATCTGTCTGACTAGCGAGGTTATCTATGATGGACTTCGTGGGTTACTTTATAGGTCAATTCATGTCTCAGATATGACACTACTTTATAGATATACTCCCTTACCTTTCTTGGGTTCGCAATCCATGAGCTTAAGGGAACAGGGACATGGCTCCGCTTTTATATACCAAAAGGAGAAAACAGAAGGTAAACCAACCAACCCACTTAATGGATACGTAACTTGTGCCTTATGACTTGCCCTAGTTACTAAGATAACACGACATTATTAAAATATATGTCGTTATTCCGAACACGGTCTGAAATATATTCACGCCAAGATCACCTGATGAACTATGAGTGTCTTGAGTGGGTCCGACAAAGATTTCCCCTTTGAGATTAGCGTATGGCCAACAAGTATGAGTTACAAGTTGATAATGGTGCAGTTCACCAATCACGGCGATAGGCTGGGTTGCTTTCCAAATGGGCTTTTGTGTTATCAAAGGTTTATTCTGAACCATGGCGTGGCCTGGGCTATAAATCACCCTCGATCATCCACCCGTTCCTTCTTTTCTTCATCATTTCAGAGTGTTCAGTGACATACACTTCACAAGAATTTCAACCATTCAGTTATATCAAGCTTAAAGACACCATGGGTGACTATACACCAGATTTGGCTGATGCTGCGGTGCCAACACTTGCTGGAAAGCAAGTTGAACCCACCAATGTCAAGCCTCCAAGCGGTGTTCTATATCACCAGCTCCGCAGAGAGCCTTTGAACATCGTCGGGGGAAGAGGCAGTTACCTCATTACTGACACCGGCATGGAAATCCTGGATGCAACATGCGGTGCAGCAGTGTCTTGTCTGGGACACAGTGACGAGCGCGTACACGACGCAATACTGGAACAACTCAAGAAGATTCCGTACTGTTACTCTATGTACTTCACAAACAGTGCTGCAGAGAGTCTATCCAAGTTTTTGGTCGACTCCACTGGCGGCAAGATGTCTCGTGCTTATATTGTCAGCTCGGGTAAGAAGTATCCCCGCAGATGAGCAAGTGCTGTCAATACTAATCCCGGCTCCATACAGGTACTGAAGCGGTCGAAGCAGCCGTCAAAATGGCCATCCAGTATTTTACTGAGCTTCCAGTACCCCAGCCTCAGCGGGTGAATATTATCTCTCGGAAGTCGTCCTACCATGGTAATACACTGGGATCCCTTGCTGTTGGACATCATGCTTCGCGGCGGAGGATCTATGAGAGTCTTCTTTCAAAGAATGTGCACCACATCTCCCAGTGCTATCCCTACCGGGGAATGAAGACCAATGAGAGTGTCGAGGACTATGTTGCGAGATTGGCTCAAGAATTAGACGACGAATTCCAGCGACTTGGTCCTGACACTGTCTGCGCTTTCGTGGCAGAAACGATGACCGGAGCTGTGAGTATAAGCCATCTTATCTCTCTGTTTATCGCAACTAACGCGGCTGAAACAGACGCTCGGCTGTGTACCTCCACTACCCGGCTATCTCAAGGCAATGAAGACAGTCTGCGACAAACACGGAGCCCTGCTCATCTTGGACGAAGTTATGTCCGGCATGGGCCGCACAGGAACTCTCCACGCCTGGGAACAAGAAGATGTGGTTCCCGATCTTCAGACAATCGCCAAGGGTCTGGGTGCAGGATACGCACCTATTGCCGGTCTCCTCATTAACAAGCATGTCGTCGACACACTCAGCAACGGAACGGGCGCTTTCGTTCACAGCCAGACATATCAAGGTCACCCTGTTTCCTGTGCAGCTGCTTATAAAGTACAGCAAATCATCAAAGAAGATAACCTGTTACCGAATGTTCGTGCCATGGGCGAGTATCTTGGTCAGAGGCTTCATGAGCGGCTGGATGGTCATTCTCATGTCGGTGATATTCGTGGCCGGGGTCTATTCTGGGCTGTAAGTTTTCCCTAGGTATATTGATGTTGTGGGATTTGTGATTATTGACTCGCTTATAGATGGAGTTCGTTCAGGATAAGGCGACGAAGGAGCCGTATCCGCCATCCAAGGCGCTCTCTTGGACTCTTCATACCACGGGTCTTAAATCTGAGTATTCGATCTCTCTGATGCCTGGTAGTGGCGGCATTGATGGCGTTAACGGCGATCATATTATTTTGGCGCCTCCTTATAATACTACTCGGGCTGAGATTGACTTGATGGTTGATCTGACTGTTCGGGTTATTCAAGAGGTGTTGGGAGAGTAGAATTAAGCAGTCTGGCTTTTTATATCCGATTGAATTGTTGTCATCGGATGAACATTCGCTCAATATATCTGAACTCTGTCCACCACGATCTACTCGAAAATGAAATCATCCTGGCATCAGGAATATATATCTTCAATTGAATATTACTGGAAAGAATTTCATCTGCGTATGTTTGAACCACACCAGAACACAATCTATAAGATCTATAGACAGATGAGAAGCATCGCGCGACATCCTTATTGGTCAGGAGTTAACATGTGACCGGAATATGAGTAGTGGAGATAAGCCTGCGGGGAACCCGCTCATACTTCAGCTTCTGAACACTTGCGCATTTCAAGGCAATCTTTCGCAAATGATTGAGATGCCACAGGGAGAGACATTCTCACGATCGCGAAGTGGTAGGTGAATATGCTGTAAGCTCAAAAGCACGCGCTGATATATAGTTGCCAGGATGCTTACAATGTCGAAAAAAACACAACAAATGCGACGAGCAACAGCCAAAATGTTCCTTTTGTGCAGTTCGAGACCTGAACTGCAAATACCCATCCAATATAAAATGGATTCAACGCGCACAGTCCACGCTGACGAGGCATAAGCCCCGTTGCAGAGAGATCCGACGCACAGAAGTAGAGCCACTAGCTCAGTCTCCAGCGTTGTTCGCGGACACATGCTTCGAGTCCACAGAAGAAAAGTCTGCATGGGAATACTGTATGTGCCAGCATCCAAGCCAAGCCAATCATCAGACCTAATCAATATGATCAAGACGTGAGGCTCGTCTCATCAAATGTGCCTGCCCTAGACGGACCAGACAACCCCTACCGACGACTCTCAATCCCAGCTTTATCATCTCCCATTCTCCTCGAAACAATCATCTGCATAGCAACAGAGCATATGCTAAACTTCGGATTAACAAGCATCGATCTCGCCGCAAGACGTCAACAACGAATGCTAAGAACCCTTGGCCAAAACTTGATTAGCATGGACGCAGATATCAATTCCAACCCAGTAGCCATAACGACAATCAACAAAGGGGAAAGAGAAGCACTTCTCGCAGCCGTCGTCCTACAAGGAATTGTGGTCGCACAAACCGCGGATGGTGTCCTGGAGCCCCACGTCAAATGCGCCTCTTGGCTCATGGAAGCATTGGGTTACTTTGAAGAAATACCGCAGAACCCCATCGCACGCATGATAATCCAACGCTTCGGTATGGTTGATCTCATGCTAGCGATATCGCGACAGCGCAGACCATACGCACCACAAAACTTTATCCTAAACCAACCCAATCAAGCCCACTGGGATACAACAGAGCCATCATTCTATGAAATGACCGGATGCCCACACCCATTAATGTGCTTCTTGGTCCGAATATCACACCTGGCATGCAACATGGGCGAAAGCCTAGAAAGCAAAACAGAAACAGACACCGAAACAGAAAGTGAAGCCAACATTCTCGCCTCAGCATTCGAACTAGAAAGCGAACTTCGCGCATGGGGCACCGAGTACAAGTATGACGGCAAAATCCCAGCGCAAAGTGAGCGCACCCCATTAGACATCCTCAGCGAATGCTTTTATTGGACGGCACATCTCTTACTTGCGCGCCGTGTCTTCCGAGACCAAACATGCTCGCCGCGGGTACAGCATCTGGTGCATATATGTTTTGGATTAATGGATCACCTTTCGACGGGGTGTGGACCTGATTCGTCTTTGCCGCAACCGTTTTACCTTGCTGCGAGGGAGGCTGTATCACCCGAGGATCGGGCCTGGGTTCGACAAAAGCATGAGTCTATGACCGCATACTATCGGGAGCAGCAGCGCAATTCGGCTATGGGGCTTATTGAGCAGATATGGGAGGTTACTGATTCGTTGAGGGAGATGGAGGGTGGGGTTGCCAGATCTGCTAGTGATAGGAAGGGGAGTGGCTTTTCTATTGTGGATGGGTACGTTCAGGCGCTTGATAGAGGGTCTTGTTTCTTTATCATCTGAGGTTTTATCCATGGCGATAATTATTCTGATGTATATCCTTCTATAAGTAGAATCGGGATTTGGTCTGTGTCGAAGATGTCAGGGGTACCTAGTTAGCAATCCCGGTAGCTTGCATGTCAACAATGGCGGATAAGGCCACTATTTCTCTTTTTTCAGCCAGGTGATTACTGCATGCAGTAGTCGAAGCAAAATAAAGTGAGGCAACGCTAGACCGAAGTGGTTGGAACAAGGCAAGATAATCCTGGAGGGTATACGCAATCGCCCGGCGGTGGCCAAGATATAGTGTTCCGATATAAAATCCTGTCCACTGTCATGGTACTGTTGGCCTATAATTTATACCCGCATTCTTCTCCTGAGTGCAGAACTCGGAAGTGACGGAAGACGCACGGCCGTTCGTAGTTCAAGCCCACGACGAGACACATTTCAGTCTTGGTCTGGACCTGTCATGTCTTCGCAGCCAATCATAATCAATACTCCGGCGGGTACCTGAATGTTTCTCCTTTGGTCCACGGAACTGCACGTGTAACTGCAAGCTTATTGGCCGAGGCCACTGGATCAGCCCCTGGAAGTTGTGTGGCGCCCAAGGAGAATGTGTCGAGAAAAGACTCTGCAGCTTTTGACCCGGCCTTCGTGGCTGTCATAACTGTCATGGCTGGAATAGGTATATACGTTTCGAGTTCTCATTCTCCCCCTTTGATGTGCAGATTGGTCCCGATCGAGGGACTATCAACAGTGCCGGTGTTTCAGATTCCCCGGGGATCTCACGTGGATGCCGTTCGGCGGCATTTAGCGACGATCGAGCGATGGTCTGTTTCCTTTGGTTCGACGCCACGGTTTCCCATGACAGGTTTTCCCCCTGGGGGTCACACCGAGGACACTGTCGAGTAAGGGGAGTGCGCTGTACCCCTCCGACAATGGAGGCTCAGGCTGTGCCCTCATTGATCCAGACCTCCGTGACGGTGTTTGGGCACCTGCAGATTCTGACGCAGGGGCCAAAAACCAAGGACCATAATCCTCTCTGTTCCTCGATTTCAATCCAAGGGAAAACCAGCAAGAGGAACGTCTCATACGTAGTGTCGGGACCGTCAAACCCACCGTAAACGAAAATAGGCACTTCGAGACCCTGGGAAAACAATGGGGCCTCGCTTGTGCCCCACGAGGTGCCAATAGTGTAGCGCCAGTCGACCCAAACAGCCGTAGAGAAGTTTGGTCCGGTTCTCCATGAGTAGTCAGCATCTCCTGATCCTCCACTCCTCTCAGGCCTCACATCTGTCTCTTCTCCATTCCACCCATTCTTTTCTTTTTTTTTGCTAGGTCGTTCGTTTCATTCTTTCACGACGACCGTACCGCTCTTTACTCTTCTTCTTTTCCCTCGCGATCGGTTTCCCCCCGTTCCCGCCCCCGTTGATCGATTCAACCAGGCATTGCGATTCCCTTGAGCTTCATCAATTATTGATTGACGTCCTGGATTATTCCTTTGCCCTTCCTTATCAGCTGCTTAGGCCAGCCTTTTTATTTATTCCCTCGTTTGCTGGACGCCTCTGCGACGCGCCCTTACCCAACCTCCCCCCCCCCCCCCCTCCCAGTCTCTGACGTGGACGCCTCTCAACGCGACTCCCCTACTCCAGAACATTCATTCATTCTTTTTTATCACTTGAACTCTCGCGCCTGAGGCTGCTTCGAGAGGCAAACGCCCATTCATCCTTTTTTCGTACATCCATCCCACTACTCGTCGGCCGGATCGTCACACTATCCATCTTTTCTTTCCGAGAAAAAAAAAAACTACATACGCAAACCAAAAAAAGCATATTCACATTGACTACGAGCTTGAATTTGTGTCACGATATTTTTTACTACGTGGCACTTTCCGTTATGTCTTCGTTGACAGAAATGAATTACCCGCCGAGCGCGAATGCGCCCATGGCATCTTCAGCCTCGCCTCCTGCCTCTACACCCTCTCCTTCGACTTCAAGTCCCACTGCGGCCCATTCGTCTGCTGCGCGTCGACCTCCGCGCAAGAGCACTTTGACTCAACAGCAAAAGAACAACAAACGCCAACGGGCAACCCAGGATCAACTTGTCACTCTGGAAGTGGAATTTAACAAGAACCCTACCCCCACCGCGTCCACCAGGGAGCGCATTGCCTCGGACATTAACATGACCGAGCGATCCGTTCAAATTTGGTTCCAGAATCGGTAGGTCTTTCCTCGGAATCAATTGTTAATTTGGAATTGCTAACCCGAGACAGTCGTGCTAAAATTAAGATGCTCGCAAAAAAGAGCATTGAGACCGGCGAAGGATGTGATTCGATCCCCGAGTCTATGCGACACTATCTCGCGATGCAATTCGACCCGAACAAGCCTGGTGCGAGAGACCCTTTCGGACGTGCCGGCGCATACAGCGCGTCTAACATGTACACAAACGACGCCAACCCATCTGGCAAAGTTGGTATGTTTTTGGCCTGAACCCGCTGCTTTTCATCTGCTGATCTTTTACAGTGATTTCTCACTTTACTTGCCGTTCTTTGACCGTCGGAAGTTGGCGGCGCATTGGACAAAATGCCATGGACTTGGTCGTTTTTTACTCCCCCGATAAGGCTTGCATGACATATTACATCAACAACGATGCTGCCGGATACAAGATCGAGTACCCATTCTCATACATCAAGAACATCACCTTGGAAACCGGTGATCCCTCTCCTGGTCCGAACGGGGCACCCCCTCGGCCAGGTGGTCTTGTTGTGGAACTGAACCGCCCACCACACTTCTACATGGACTCATCCAACTCCGGAGGCTTCTACCAGTGTGGTGATTTCACCGAGGAACAGCAAGCTAGCCAAATCATGGTTCATCACCTGGGAGGCCACCCCAAGGTCTTGAGTGTTCAGCTTGCCAAGCTGGTGTCGTTAGAATCCTTCCAGAACCGCCTGGCGTATAACAACAACAGCTTTGCTGTACCTGCTGCGCCAGCTGCCATGTCCCCACCTTTTATCCAGCGCCCGGCCTCTCAACCCAACCAGTTCGCCGCTCCCACTTACATGAACATGTACCAGGACAGCAACCATCTAGGATTCCACATGCCTGCGGCCCGTGGCCACAAGCGTCAACGAAGTCGCTCTGTACCTGCTGCCGTTGACATCTCGACGCTTCAGGGCCCCATGGGTTCCTTCCACGTGCCGCCACCACCTCCGCCTCCCTTTAATCACACCGAGGCTGGTATATACGCGCCTGTCCCGCAGTCTGTGCACCATCTTCCCACTGATCTGCGCATTGACACCCAAGGGTACGGATTGGATTACCGGACCAACCCCATGTCTGCTACCACGACTGGCTCGCCCTCTGAATTTGCCAGTCCAATGTTCAGCAACGCCGGTCAAGGCGAGTCAACGCCAGTCGCTACAATGGGCCCTCAGTTCAATGTGCCCTCCTTTATCTCGGGAGGATCGACCGATGCCTCGACAATGGGATCCCACGCACCTTCTCCCTACACCAGCGTGAGCCCTGCGGACCCATTGATTGCCAATCACTCACCGCCAATGTCTAACATGTCGCACGGTTCGTCTGATATGTATAACTTCTCGCATGATCCACAATCTGGCTACGACGATGGTCTTTCAATTGACGACATGTATTCGAAACACCAAGTGAACTTTGGTCTTTCTCATGAAAACCCTAGCTTCGAGCTGCCTATGCATGGCCTTTCTGCTCACCCCTCTCCAGGCATGGGTGACTATTCTCACGACATGACCAACTTGGACGAGATTAACTCCCAGGGGATGCCCACCGGGTCATGACGGAAGTTTCAACTTTGTGTTTCTCCTTTGTCTCTTGATGTTTCACGGCCTTTTCTGGAGTCCACACGGCGCTTGTGCATGTGAATGGGTTCTTTATTTTTGTTTTTCGTTTACTTTGAAGTGTAAGAGGTTTCTTAATTGGCTATAGTGGTCAGCCATGGCGAATCTTTGGGTTTGGCAGAGCCAAAAAGGCCTCAAATCCAAAGATATCGTCACTGGCTACCCTTGGGCCAATTCTCGTCTCGCTGGCGATGGCTAGGGAAGCGATTTTTCTGTTTCTTGCGTGACATACCCTTGTGTCTTGTGTTATAATACCCTTTCTATTCTGGGGCCGGTCCTGAAGCGATTTTTGTGCTTTACTTTTTACTTCTCTATTCCCGGCTGTCCCGGTGGAATTCAGATTTCTTCTTTGTCTCCCGGTCATTTGCCTTTTCTTTCTTTGTTCGATTCACTGACCGGGAAGATCCTTTTTTTCTTCACTTTTTTTTCTTTACGTGGTTATGCCAAACAGACCGACTTGGACGGCGACTCCATTCCCCTCAACAATTTCATCTCCTTTTCTGTTCTTTTTTGACCTTCTTGTGGTTACGGCCGTCATTCTTATCATGGGTTTGGAGTCGGCTTTTGCACTTGAGCTTGTCCCGTCAGTGCCTGTTTGGGTCTGACAACCGGCCAACACTACTCCAGTGGCCTGCACGGAGTTGTGATATTTTCTGCACAGAGTCCGTCCTTGATGTATGTAGGAGAGTACTTGGTCTGGAGGATACGAGTGTGAGGGATTGACACTAGGCTCTAAATCAATTCTTTTTTTTTTTCACGCTGTTCTCTTAGATTGTACACTGTAAACGAATTGTGCTCTTTAAGTTCACCTAGGTAGTTTCCCGACACTCCATCACATAATCTCTCTTCAATGCTCTCCGACCTACTGTAAGAGACCCATACGATACAGATTATTCGTTTACAAGGTATTCCATTCCCTACATCAATAATGCCTTATCAACGATCTCTTACGCGTAGCCCCTCACTGACTATGGCTGATGCCATGCAATCTCTACAGTAGATATAGACCAAGCTAAAATTCAACGTCTGGATATCTCGATTTTCACTGTTCCAGCTCTACGCCGTTCAGACCGGTATAGAGTGTTAGTGTCAGGCTATATAGGCAATCCCCAAGACCCAAGAGCCTACATTTCATACTAACCAAACTGCCTTCATTGTCCATTCAAATGTATAGCAGAATATGAGCGGGCTGAGGCGGCCGCGCATGACCCCCAGATTTTTCGGGGAAATTCAAAGTCAAGTTCACGCACGAATATCTGGAAACGGTCTTGGACCGCATTGGCGGTTTTGGCAAGCCCCGAAACGCCATCGGAGGACAGGAGACCGAATAATGATATGGCGGAGTCCCTGAGCCTCGGGTTGGATTAGACCTCTCAAGAGTAAACATCAATGCCAATAATGCCAGTGAGATCTGTCGAAGTATAACCCTGAGGAGGAGCTCGTTCTGTGATAATCGTTAGTATAATGTAGTAACGAGCCCAATCCAAACATTGTCTCGCTGGTCGACTGTTGAAGATCAGCCCCAGCTCGATACTCTTACCATATTCCACTCCATGTCTGTGTCTCAGGCTGACCCCATGGGGAAGACTTGCGCTTTGAACCCAATCAGGAACTAGCCCCCGTCAAAGCCGTGTAGATCGCCTGAAGCCAACGTCTTGGACCCTCTTGATTGGACAACAATCTTTCCATTTCCCCCGAAGATAAACCTTTGTTTTCGCCGAAAAACATCCGACTTCGACGGTAGGTGTATTCCGGACTCGGGCTGCAGAGTTTCCGGCAAGGCGATGGCTAGGGAGGCCGATGCGACCTTGCTTCCCTGTCTTTTCATGCCAGTGAGCAGGAAGAAACAGGGATGGTCGCCAATTTTGGCCAAGCCTGTTCAAGTCTCATATTGAAAGTCGTATATCGTTTTGTATGTGGTCGTACCTGGCTCGGCCTGCTCATTGGAGACCTGCCAGTCCGATTGGAGTCTGTTCAGTAGACTATCCAGAGGTTCCGGTTCTATCGGTGAGACTTTGGGGAGAATATCTCGGCCAAGAGGTCAGACGTCGTTCTCGTTCGCTCGAGTCGAGTTGCGGCTTCTTATTAAGGTTCATTGCGGTTTATACCTCGACGCTTAGACAATGAGCCAGTCATTTGTGCCGTGAGAATGATCAAATCCCTGCCCCTCGTTTATCTCGAGTACTGGCGAGGGGGTATAAAGTGTCGCAGCAGGCCCGGGAGATTGTCATTCATCTTGCCTCTGATCGTTGTTTCTTTCTGGAATCTATCAGAATCATGGGTATCTTGCTCAAAAGCCCTGAGGGTGTACCTGGTGCATCATGGCCAGCCATCGCCATCTCTAGCTTCGTCGCTTTCGGTGGCATTCTTTTCGGGTGAGCTTCTTGATCTACACAGTGGTTGATCCTGTCTAACATTTGTCCTTTTCACAGGTACGACACAGGCACCATCAGTGGAATACTTGCCATGCCCTACTGGCAAGATCTTTTCTCTACTGGTTACAAAGATAGCACTGGACACCTGAACATCACATCTAGCCAGTCGTCTGCCATTGTCTCGATTCTATCTGCCGGTACATTTTTTGGTGCCCTCGGTGCCGCTCCTTTGGGAGACTCCATCGGTCGACGATGGGGCCTGATCGCGTCTAGCTGGGTGTTCATCTTTGGGGTCATTCTACAGACAGCTGCCACGGGGATTCCTTTATTTCTCGCCGGTAGATTTTTTGCTGGCTTCGGTGTTGGTTTGATCTCAGCATTAAGTAAATGACCTACGCATTACCTCCGCTCAACACTCTTTGCTGATCATTAATAGTCCCTCTATATCAATCCGAGACTGCACCAAAGTGGATTCGCGGGTTCATTGTCGGTTCCTACCAGCTGGCCATCACAATTGGCCTACTACTAGCCTCCGTGGTCAATAATTCAACCCACAGCCGGAACGACACTGGCTCCTATCGCATTCCAATTGCCGTCCAGTTTGCATGGGCAATTGTCTTGATTGGGGGGATGCTCGTCCTCCCTGAGACTCCTCGGTACTTGATCAAACAAGACAACCATGCGAAGGCCGCCCAAAATCTCGCGAAGCTTCGGCGTTTGTCTGAGGATCATCCTGCAATTAGAGAAGAGCTTGCTGAGATCCAAGCCAACCACGATTACGAAATAACACTAGGCCAGCCTAGCTATCTTGAATGTTTCCGAGGGAACCTCGGAAAGCGATTACTGACTGGCTGCGGTCTTCAAGCCCTACAGCAACTGACCGGCATTAATTTTATCTTCTACTACGGCACACAATTCTTCAAGAACTCCGGATTCAAGAATGAGTTCGTCATCAGCCTGATTACCAACTGCGTGAACGTGGCATCAACCCTACCTGGCCTCTACGCTATTGACAAATGGGGTCGTCGGCCGGTTCTACTGCTAGGCGCCATCGGCATGTGTGTTTCGCAACTCCTCGTCGCCGTTCTAGGCACGACGACTACCGGCCAGGATGCAGCTGGCAATATCATTGTGCAAAACAAAGCGGCACAAAATGCCGCCATAGCCTTTATTTGCATCTTTATTTTCTTCTTTGCTGCATCCTGGGGCCCCGTTGCTTGGTAAGTCTGATTGTTGGTTCCTGTATCATGAATAGTTATAGCTAACGTTTATCTATGTACAGGGTTGTCACTGGTGAGATCTTCCCACTGAAGATTAGAGCTAGGTCTCTGTCCATGACTACCGCTACCAACTGGTTGCTGAACTGGGCTATCGCCTATTCGACCCCGTACCTAGTAAACTATGGCCCTGGTAATGCAAATCTGCAGTCCAAGATCTTCTTCATCTGGTTTGGATGCTGCTTCCTCTGTATTGCTTTCGTGTACTTTATGATCTACGAGACTAAAGGACTTACGCTTGAACAAGTTGATGAGCTGTATTCTGAAGTCAGCAGTGCGCGCAAATCTGTTGGCTGGAAGCCAACCGTCACTTTCCGGCAGATCGTGGAGCACAAGCAAGAATCGGTCAGCATGAGCCATCACCATGAGAATACTGAAGATCAGGCTTGAGCTAGCTTTGGGGTTTGCTATTTGTGATTATCGTTGCTACTATCACTCACCTATGAACTTTCAAAGAGTATTTTCTTTGGTTTGATATGTTTTGTTAAGTGTATTTCGAGTTAGCCGTTCTATATCACTATTATACAAGGGTATCTCGGTCTCAAATATCTTCTCAACACCTGACATCCAATCTAAATATTCTTCTTACCCTCCTCCCAGCCACCAGGCACCGGAGCAGTAAATCCCCACCCTCGCAAAAAGCCCTCAATCCAAACCTCCATCTTCTCAAGCACATTCCGTCCGGGCTTCCCAACCTCCCCAACCTCAAAAACACCCTCCTTACACCAAACACTCCAAGACCCCATCATCCCAGCCATAAGCACATCCGTCCCAAGCCGATCCCCAACAACAGCAATCTCGTCCGCATCCTTCACCACTCCCCGTTCCCGGAACCAAGCCACAACCTCCTCCCCGCAGAACGGCTTCTTCTCCGCTCCGGCGGGTAGTCTGAAGACGGGAATCTGGAGATGGGCGAGCTGCGCTTCTAGGTCGCTTACTTCGTTGTCGAAGGTTGCGTGGCTGCCGGCGCGGTTGGAGACTATGAGGATTGAGTAGGGGTTTTGGGTTTGGTTGAAGGGGAGAGGTTGGGGAGGTCCGGAGGGATTGGAGTTTGGAGAGAATTTGCGGAGGGAAGGTTGTTGTTTTCGCTGGGCAGAGAGTGTTGTCTTTGTCTAGGACTAGGGCGCGGATTGTGGGTGTGCGTGGTGTTGTGGTAGTTGGGGTTGGGGTGGAAGTTGAAGCTGGTTGTTTGACAAGATGTGGACCCAGGTTCTCGGGGAGATGAGTGATTGTCGGGATTGTCAGATGGGGGAGGAATTGGGTGGGCTGTTTGAGCAGGGTTTGTACGGCGTGGTTGAAGCCGCGGAGGTTGGAGTTGGGGGAGCCGGCCATTGTGAGGGTCTCGATGGGAGTGTGGGCGGAGTGAGGCTGTAGATTGTTGAAGTTGGTGAGCGTAGAGAGCGTAGGGTATGTGAAGTGTAGCTGAAGAGGCTATAAACGCATGTTGTGGAAAGATTCGATTCTCAAGTGAAGTTGATGCGTGACCCAAAGCGGAAAGGACGAGCTTAGCCCGCAAAACTCACCTTCCGCCAACCTCGAACCTCCTCCATCGTCCCGCCATCCCCCCAACACCACACCTGCTCTGTCCACTTTCTGTTATTCAGAACTGCTGCTGCCGAACATTGCGGTCCTTACAAATACCCCTTTCGAACCCCCCGCACATTCTCCGTCAAAATGGGCAAGCTCACCAGCACGATCGGCATCCCAATTAAGCTCCTCAACGAAGCGCAGGTGCGTTGAAACTCCCAAATCGCTGCCGAAAAATCTGGAGAAGAAATCAAATACTGGAATCCAAAGGACAAAAGCGGCAGCATGGACCGCGAGTGACAGAGCGCTGACTTCAATTTTCAAACAGGGTCATGTCGTGACGCTCGAAATCACATCCGGAGTTGTTTACCGGGGGAAGCTTTTGGAAGGTGCGTGATTTCAAATATCCCAGGGGGTTTCCAGTCCGAATGCCAGATCGGAGTCTCAGACTGCGGTCTAGCTTTCCTGTGATGACCATGCCAGGTCCCCCTCTGCGCGAGTCCGGTTCATGACTGACATTTTCTCAATTAGCCGAGGACAACATGAACGTCCAGCTCAAGGATATCACGGTTACCGCTCGCGACGGTCGTGTCTCGCATCTCGACCAGGTCTACATCCGCGGTAGCCATGTGCGATTCTTCATTGTGCCAGACATGTTGAGGTACGTTTTTGCTCTACTCTTGCATCGCATTTTCTCCACTTCCATATGTCCCATGCTCCCACATTTCTACGTTTCTACGCTAGGATTGCGCATTGAGTTGCTATCTGACTTCTTTATAGAAACGCTCCTATGTTCCGTTCACGAGGCCAGCGCGGGCGCGGTGTCGGTTTGGCGCGTGGCAAGGCCACCGTGCAGCGCGCACGCGGCCAGCGCCGGGGTTAAGTGGGTAGAGAGCGCAGTTTCAAGACCGCACCGATACAGAGTGGTTGGCGTTTTTCTTTGTTGTTTTCTTAGGGGAATTTTTTTCTCAGGCTTCTTTGGTCATGCTGAGTCTTAAAATACTGGCATTTCTCCTCGTGGGATCTTTGTCATATCACAATTCAATTTATGAATCAATACCCGATACTTTAACTTTCTACGCTGGTATTAGCAGCTCTATAGACAGGATCATGTCTGTCGGGTGGGGCCTTTCCTATCTGGGCTGCCGCCGCTCTATAAGGGCGCTCAGGGTCAGCATCGGTGAGTAGATGTCAGAACCATCACGGTTTGGTTCGACAGGACTATGCTGGACATAGTACACGGTGGCTGCTGGTCAAGTGGCTTGACAAGGTGAAGGTGCGATACTTGATATGGTGGGAGAGCATGACTGCCGACAGGCAGTTATAAGAACATGAATATGAACCCTGGGTGGAGGCTCTCTCGCTCATTCTGCCAGCTCACGATGCTTTGTCGACGAAATCAGAATACCCTCTCGCGCCAATTTCCATTCACATCAAAGATATGCCATCATCACAAAGCCTTAGAGTCATCACACCCATTTCGATGTCTTTATACCACGGCTAACTCGTCAGATCTACTGATGGAAGATATATACCATCCTGAGGTAGATGTTGAATACCTCGAGGACTATGTGCCCGGTGGATACCACCCAATCGTCATCGGAGATATCTTTTGTAGTGGTCGCTACACCGTCGTTCACAAGCTTGGTTTTGGTGGATATTCAAAACTTTGGCTAGCCTGGGATCAGCAACGCCGGTGCTATGTATCGCTAAAGATACTGACTGCAAGATCATCGCCAGATAGTCACGAGGGGGACATCCTGCGTTACCTGATGAAGAGTAACTATACTCATTCTGGAAAGCGATTCATTCCGCCGCTACTCGACCAATTCTCGTTTCATGGTCCAAACGGATATCATCGGTGCTTGGTCGGAGAGCCTGCTGGTGGTAGTATTGCCTTATCCGAGAAGAACAGCACAAGTTTCATGTTTCCACTAGATGCTGCTAGATCCACTGCCGCTCAGCTCCTCTTAGGGCTATCTTACTTGCATGCAAACGGTGTATGCCACGGAGGTGAGGATAACTAGGCTGTGCATATGCGTTTACTGAAAAGTGCACAGCCTGTAGATGAGGAGCATTAGGCTGCCTGTGTCTATGTAGACAGGAATAAGGGCCGACGGATATGCTTTGTCCTGTCCTGAAGTTCTAAAAGCCGAGATGGTGTGAATGTTATAGTAGCTTGATATTAACCTGTCTATAAATATAAGCCGTTTTCGAATCCCAATGTCCAAATGATACTCTTTGGGTTCTTGTACGGATGTATGCGTATAATAAGATTTCTGCGCTTACGCCCCAAGATGACCGAGTAGCAATTACACGTCCGCGAGGCTGATGCGGGTACCTGACCTTACCTAGTGAGCGTCCTAGGGTGGCATCTGGCTCATATAACGATCAGGTGATATGAACTAGTCAAGTTACTCAGGACGTGCTTAATTCTTTCTATCCAGTAAACAAAAAGCGGCATGGGGTGAGCACTAAAACGGAAAGGGAAAGTCAAGACTTGTCAGACATTGTCCTATCTATGACAGCACTGAGCCTCCGAAGGGCATGCTCTGTATCTAGCAATAGCTATATAAGTCCTGAAATATATAGAACTAGTTCAAGTAAAATATTCTCAGTGAAACGAATGTTCATCTTACCTAGCTTTACAGAACTTACAGAGCTCTTCACAGTTTATGGTAACTGATACTCTGAAGACAGCTTATCCACTCCGCAACTTTTTTCTCCCGATGCGGGGGACACTCACCTCTTCATCATCACCAATCCTCCCAATGCGCTAAACAGCTTCAAACAATTACCACGAGGACCTCACGCAACCACCCAGCTCTTACAACATTCCACCACAATGCCCTCTCCACCTCCACCAAACCCCTCAACAAGCACAAAGTCCAAACCAAAAGTCAAGACGATCTCCAACCCCCGCCGCCTGCTAATCCTCTCGCCAACCTCCCAATCCATCTCGATAATCCCTCCCCTCCTCACCTCTCTAACGGGCACACCAATTGAAAACCCCCCGCAACAAGACTCGAAAACGACCCCGCCAGACGATCTGTCTGGGACCACCGAAACACCACCAACAACCACCACTTTCGCCGGCTACACAACCCACGCCCCCCTATCCCTCTCAACAAAATACTACACAGCCGAAGTTCCCCTCTGGGTAGATGAAATCCCGCTTCCCAGCGCACCCCAACCCTCGGACTCGGAAACACAACCACAAGCACAGTCACAGACACAGACACCAACAGCAGAACAATGGAAAACAGAATTCCTCAGCCCGGAAGCTGAAATCGTGCGCGATGCCGTCGGTGCATTGGTTGTATGCGCGCATCCGCCTTCCGAATCGACTCTACCACGTCCGGATCCACGCCTAGATGCAGATGCAGACGCAGATGCAGGTGCAGATCCAGCCACTCATCCTGATGTCGTTGCTCTTCTTGCGCTGATGCAGAACATTGGAGCTGTCAAGGGACAGATTGACGAGGAGCGGGGTGGGGTGGGTGATGTTCCGGGTGTGTTTGTTTTGGTTGGAAAGAAGAAGGGCGGTGGATCTTCCGGAGGAGCAATTGGGTCCGGATCTGGAGCAGTAGATCCAGACGAATTGGCTCTTGGTGTTGACGGGGACGATCTGGGTGGTGGGGATGCGGCTCCATTCTCGGTTGGGTGGTGGGAGGATCAGTTTTATGATATGGGGTTGTTGGGATGGGAGGTTGTTCAGTGGGATCCTAAGGGTGATGGGGAGGGAGAGGGGGGGGGATGTGAGGAATGCGTATGGAGGTGGGTTTTATCATGTTGGATGTTGCTGGTGGGTGGCTTTTGCTAATGCTGTTTTTCTTAGAGCGAGTGGGCATGCCTCGTATCAAAGAGGTGCTTGAAACGCATGATTGGTCTGCGTCTGGTGGATTGGGGGGTCTGGGGCTTGATGGTGGACTGGGTTCTGATCTGGAATCTGATGATGATGTTGAGGGTCAGTTGTTGGGTATGCCGGCTGGGCAGAATCGTGGGTTCGATAATGAAGTCCATGAATTGGAGCGGGAGATGTTTGGATTGCGAATGGCTATTGAGCGGGGTGGTGGTGATGGGTTTGAAAATGCAGATCAAGATGAAGAAGATGGAGAGGATAATGGGGATGCTGAGCTTGATGTTGAGTCTATGGAGTCATTGATGATGCGCATGCAGGTTATCAAAGGTGTGTTCATGCATTGATCTGATTGATGTATTGGGTTTGATAGGGACCACGCTGACATACGTTGGGTTTAGATATGAGCTCTGAATTGCCTGGAGATGAGCGCAGGCGGTTTGCTGCGAAGGCTGTGCAGGATATCATGCGCGAGCTTTGATTTTTACTATGAGGATATTTGCTGGATTCAAGATTCCATGCTCTATGGGTTGCTAGACTGTATAGAATAAACATATTGCTATCATTTGAATTTATTAAGATAACGGGGCCGTATTTATGTACTTGGCCATCAATTTTTGGGCATCGAGTCTTTTGACACAGGAGCCTCATGTGCCCAACAAATCGGGGCATGGTGTAGTTGTTCTTCTTCATAATATATTTCCCATCACACTCAATCCCCTTTTAAGTTTGATCCTTCAATCCCGAGTTGACCACATCAAACATTATCGATTGTATTGTCTACTCGGCGCGCTGCTTACCGCGCATGACCTTGCGGCGCTGAGCAATCATGTGGGTATACAGAATGTAGGAGCCTAGAGATACAGTCAGCAATGAGCAGTTGTAGAGACCACCAATCGGCGCAACATACCAGGAATATAGATGGCAAGAATAGCAATCAGACCAAAGCGGAAAAGCGGGTTGATGCTTCCAGCAGGACCAAGAGCCTTGATAATGAGAGTGCACTCGCTGGAAATACCAATAGGGTAGAGAACATAGAAAGTGTTGTACCTGTATCAGAAAAAGAATCAGTAAACCATCAACTAACCACAATGGCAAAAGTGAACGTACCGCAACCACGTCCACCAGCTAGGAACCGAATTCCCAGAAAGCGTGATAGCAAAGAATCCATAACGAATGATCTCGGTGATACCCCAAGCAGCAACACAGCCCAGATAAGCATAGTCACCCAGCTGAGTAGTCTTAGCACCAACAATATCCCCACCAAACTGCGCCATAATGCCCCAAACCAGCAACAACCGACTGGCAACCTGCATCGCAGTTGTCAAGAGTGGCGCGCGCACAAGCCCAATCAGGCTGTGCACAACCTCCAGCAGGGCCAGGGATTGTGTGGCGAGGAGCAATGGCGAGAAGGTTAGGTTAAAGATGTTCGCGATGCGGTTTGTTGAGACATGTTCGGGGAGGAGAGTCGCTGTGTACACCAGACAGGTGCCCCAGGAAAGGAGGTTGAGAGTGTTGTAGGTGAAGAGATAACCTCTGGTTAAGCCTGTAGGCCCAGAACGGGGGGTTTTGGCGGCCATTGCGTGCTGGGTTGGTGCTGGTTGTGATTTGGTTGGGATGAGAGTTGGGACCTCAGGTGTCGACTTCGACCTCGGTTGGCTGTTATGTAAGCATTCTGGAAGATCGGAGTGGACCTCGGGGAGAAAAAAGTGTCTTTTGATCTGGGGTAAGTTTGTGTTTTGGCTTTGATCTGATGTTTAATTGGTGTTTCATGTTTGATTTTTAGGGCTTAATTTTTGGTTTCTGATCTCTGTATCTGACTTGGCGGTTTTACCGTATGGGTCACTCGGTCAGGGCGAGAAACCACTGGACTGTCGTCGTTCGTCTCAGCTCAGCCACGTCCTCAGAGACAATGTAGGGCATTGTCCATTGGTTCCGAACATAGTCCGGACAGGGATGTCGGATCCGGGTACTAAATCTCCCTATTCTGGGTAGTGTATCCCAAGGAAATAGTCATTAGCCCACATCCCTGCAGAGGCGTACGGCTAATCTGGTTAGGCGCGCTAGGCAATTGCACTACATGAGCCGACATCCAAGCGGAAGCCTTCCTTTAGGGGCGTTCTTGGCTAAGATGAGAGATTCTGATTTGGTCGCCCCGTAGTGTGTCTGCAGTGAGTCTGTAGGGTGTGCATGGCTGCATGCACCACTGCATGATCTAGTCCAAATATTATTATTTGGGGAGGGGGCGTGTGTCACCTCGTATTGCGTGATGGAATTTACATATATATGTGTGCTGTGCAGGAGGGTGTCTGACTTGGCTAGTTTGGGAGTGTTGTCCGAGACTACAGTATATCGGGGTTTTGGTCTGTTCCTGTTTCTTGCTTGTCTTGAGTTGTAAGATGCACTTAGGGCCAAGATAGGAATGTGCTTAGATATGTGGTGCATTAGGTGCATGACTTTCAAGATTATACGGTTGTGGGAGCCCCATCTCCGCGTCCGTCGGTAACCAACGACAACTTGTACTGCATCGCCTCGCCGTGATGCTAAATTTGGTGTTCTTTCCACCTTGAAATGTGGTTCGTTATGGAGTATAGCCGCCAGTGAAATCCCCACTCTCAAACATAGGTTTCACCAGGAGTATTTATTAGATTGCTCGATCTTCCCTGTCCCTACCTATCACTGGGACTGTATACAGTGTAACATGGATCTAACATCAATATGAGATGACGTAGAGTAAACAGGTGAGGAAATGCCGTTACGTGCAATGACATCAGAGGCTGATGTGATACCCGCGCTAATGATGTCATGGCTATATTGACTCGGTTTGATTGGTGTCAACCGACTGGACCCAATGACTTAGCGTGAAAACCAGCAAAGGGCACGAAGATGCACAAATGCCCCCGTTTCTATATAAGTAAAAGGCAAGGACAAGTTTAGCTCCTCAATTCCAGCCTCCGACTAGCCACGGGATCAAACCGAAAAGGAAAAAAAGCACTAGTCACCTGCCATTGACATCTCACCATACAGGATCCCCCTTCCTCCGCAAAGGAGCCGTGGAGCGTTCAGCTCTACGTCAGATGCGAACCCATGCAACACACACTCACTTCTTGGACACGGTCCTCGGCGGTCCAGACCTGATCAGGTTCCTTTTCATTGTATGATTACGTGCCAAAAAATTTGCACAGTCATTTATTTTGTCTCGGACATTCAGTGGATCTCCAGAGATAACCCCCATCGTCGTCTCTAGGCAAAAAAAAGTCTCGTTTATGTGTGACAGGGCAACCATGACGTGCCTAGGATCAGCGCTATGATGTCCTCTCTATATAGGCCTTTGGGGTCAAAATAGGTCTTCTATCCTAATCCCCACTAAAAGGCATTTCATTATTCTCCCATTTTGAGACCGCTGAAGCGGAGGTAATAAAGATAGATAAAAGATGAGAGAATAGAGGCCAAATGCCAAGTTATAAAAGACGCTCAAAGTTGCCGATTCCATACCCACCTAACGTTCTCCGCCCCTCCGTTTCTCTCTTTTTCCCCTCTCAACTTCTTTCCCCCCTTTCTCTCTGTCTTTTCTCTCTGTTTCTGGAGCTTCATCTGCTCAATCATACCTCCAAAGGTGGGAACTTCTGATTTGCCCCTCTCCCCTTCCTCTTGTTTCCCCCTCCATGGGACCCTGGCTTTTTTTTCCCGCGCTAGTGGCTATATATGCGAATGTTCAGGGCTCATATACCATCCACTTAATCTTTTCCCCCCTTTGATTTCCATTCCCCTGTACTCCCCGGCTTGATAGTAAGCTACGACCCTGTTGTCAGCCCATCCTTCCATGCCCCTCCTCCCTTGATCATAGAACTCCCTCCACCATCCCCTCCACCTTCTACTACACCTGGGTGCCTGAATCCGTAACACCCTGGCCTTGTAAGACGACATATGCGAGCGCTGATATTGACGACTTCAACGTATCTTCCTTGGATCTGACTGACTGGGAATTGCAGATCTGCCTATCCCACTTGGATTGGGCGACATATCGGAAACACGAAAAGAAACGTTCCTTCCGTGATCGGCGTGTGCCACGTTCCTCCCTCGCCTCTCCACATTCTCACACCTCTCGCACACTCTCCCACACATACACACCATGGCGCCAGCCGATACCAAGAAGCCTGAGGTAAGTACCGGGTCGTTGGTGGGGATGTGCTTCGTGGACTGACGAGTCTGGTCACGCAGGGCCCACCCAAGCTTTCTGATTACAAGGAGATCCTTGATGAGAGCACATTTGAGCAGATCCTGGAGATGGATGATGACGAGGAGGATCGCGATTTCAGCAAGAGCATCGTCTACGGATTCTTCGATCAGGCCGAAAACACCTTCAAGAAAATGGAAAATGAACTGTGAGTGCTGTTCGGTTCTCGAGACCAGTCCAAGATGGATAATGGCTAATACCAAACAGAGCCGGCAAGAACCTCAACGAACTCTCCGCTCTGGGTCACTTCCTTAAGGGTTCATCTGCCACACTCGGTCTGGTCAAGGTCAAGGATGGCTGCGAGAAGATCCAGCACTTCGGTGCCAGCAAGGACGAGACAGGCACCATCGATGAACCGGATACCGAGGTCTCCCTCAAGGCGATTCAGAAGACCCTGGACGACGTCAAGATTGCATACCGCAAGGTCGAGAAGCTCTTGCGCCGATACTACGGCGAGGAAGTGAAGGATGAAGAAGAAAAGAAGCCCGAGCCCGAAGCGAAAGTAGAGAAGAAGGAAGAGAAGAAGGAGGAACCGAAGGAGGAAAAGAAGGAGGGAAAGCCAAAGGAAGAGCCCAAGAAAGATACCAAGGAAGCCCCAGCTTCGAAATAGGTCATGCCTATCATGCCTATCATGGTCATGGTCATGCAGACTGGTTGATATCCCTCCCCTTTTTCTTTTTTAGCGACGGATGGAGCATGGCACACGGCTTTTTCTCTTTCATCATCTTTATTCACCCATTACCTTGAAAGTTATCCCCTTTACCCTTACCCTTACCCCCACCCTTTCCTTACCTCCTCCACGTTGCCTCCTATCCTTTTGAACCTGGCTTTTTTCTGGCTTTCTTTGACGTACATAACCAATTCCCCGCCATCTTTTCCTTTCTCCTGGCAAACGGGTGTGGAACGGGTATTCCTGGTCTGTCTGTCGCGTAAGTGCAGGCGCGAGAATCGTGACGGTTCCGAGGACTCTTGAACAGTACCGAGATATGGAAATCCTAATGGCTCTGTATGGCTCTGTTTTCATCAGTGTGCCGTGTTGTAGCCTTCGATCCAGACGTAGATTGTACCGTACAACGTAGGCTGCAAAACCTTCACACACACATCACAAAAAAAAATCAATACCTTGCCAATTCCGCCAGGGAGGGTCGTAAGAAAGTAACGAAAGGGGACCACACCCTGTACTTATACACATGCGTACATAGTGCAGCCGATCCCTAATCAATCTGAACCAAGCCCTGGACCCGGGTGGCGCCCTAAAAAGCTTCCTTCAGCCACTTGCGTGGGCCTGCGCAAATAAGCTTGATTCGACTTGTTCCTGGCACCCCCGATTTGGAAATGCTGCCCGGCCTGACAGGAGCTTGGTCTCGGTCGATCGGGCAGTTTGTTATTGGCTGTTGGTCTGGTAGTGCTGGATTATACAGTTCAGGTTGGTGATGGGTTTTGTACATTTATCTTAACTTATCATATGCTGAACTTGTGATGGGCTGACTGAAGTAACTTGCCAAGTGGTATTTTGTCATTTGTATGCTGTAATCAGTATGCGGTACAGTATTGTAGAGAGTAGGAATTTCGAAGAGGTAGCTGCTTAGCCTGTTTGATAGTTGGACTCCCATCGGTTATATGAGGATGCCTTTGGAACTATGCATTGTCCAGATGGTAAACCTTGGTTGGCTTTTTTTGTATGTGCATGTAAACCTCATTGAGTCTGGCGACAAAAAGGAACCGCAACAATCTGACGGCTTAGACATTGACAAGGTGATCCCTGGGATATCAAGTTGAACCGGCCAGGCTCTTTAACTTTGGTGCCAGCATTGGATTGAAAATCCTGAAACAGACTTTGCTACCCGGATTCAACTTGGATCGATAGACCCAAGCACCTATCAAGTGTCTAGGTTTGAACTTTGACTCGCCACGTTTTGTGTCCTCAACCTTAATCACTCATAACAGACAAGGCTTCATACATCTCATTGCACAGCATGCATTACAAAGCCGGAATCGAGTCAAGCTAGACTCTACAGTACAAGATGTACTGTACTGTACTCTCAATTCCCCGCAATGGGACGCAGGTAAGCGTCAAGAGGCAATAGTTAAATGTCGAGATCCGAGAAGCAATAAGTGCACCGTTTGAGGGATCTCGGTTTGTCCAAATTCCCAACTTGCATCCTGGCCCAGTCCAGTCACACAGCAGACCTTAACGGCATTTCTCTGCAGGATGCCCAGAGATCAATCCGACGGCTAGATACAGGAGGCTAGTTGACCTCAACTCCCGCTAGCAGGGGTTACTCCGCGGGTGCTGGGTTGGTCTCACCAGTACTGTACAGCCCTGGAGTATACACGAAATGACCTCTCGGCTCGAGCTACAATTTCTCCACACATCTGCGCAAAGCCCGAACCCCGTCCTCGGCCATATCTGCATGTTTCCTATTGGTACAATCGCACTGGGCTCTCCTTTCTCTCTACTGTACTATCCCCTCGCGGAAGCGTACAGGTGCATGGCAACGAGACCAGCCATCACAGCTGCTTTCGTGATGACGATGCCCGTGCTGCTTCCGAGTCTCGAATGTCTAGTCAAAATCTAGATCTGGGCATGTACATTCCCATCCAAAGCTCAACCTCGAAACCTTCTCCTTCATGCAAGCCTACATAAATCTCCTACCCGTCTGTCTCGGATAACAGATTCAACCTCAAATCGCCCTCGACAGGTACCTAGTCTATCATTTGCTATACGCCATTTACACACAGTCCTCGACCCCAGACCTTCCCATGTCTGTTTTGTCTTACTTGTCTTCGACTGCAACTTTTCGACAGGTAGAAAGTGGGAAACAAACTTCGTACTACAAGACACTAGTTCCAACGCACTCTTTCCATATTCGGTTCCTATCTTCAGACTGCTTACTTGTTTTGTCAATCTCGCCAACCCATTTCCAGTCCAAGCCCTAGTTCCTTCCATGAGACCGTCCCACTGCGACTTATGGGCTCCAGCTAAAGTTACCCCCAACGAAGTACCTACAGTACTCCACCCGCGGCCTGCACTGCACTCTGCAGTCAACGGTTTGCGGTTTGTATACAGTAGGGTGGTGCGTAATTTGACATAGCCCGGGTTGTCAATTAACGGGTGTGCAGTGATTATACACGTACATTGTACAACCCCGAAAACGCACTCCAAGGCAGTATAACGTCTACCGAGAAGAGAACCCGCAGGCGCCAGAAGGCAAGGCAACAGCTGACAATTGTACTGGTCCCCCTGTCTAGCCCTATGTACTAACTGCCAACTCCACAGCTACACTATCCCCCATCAATTATCATTAACCCATGCAAATCCCAAGAAACAATCCAGTAATTAGCTTACAATATAGCCTACTGTAGATGATCTGGCCAGCAAGCCCTAAGAATAGAATCCCGGTGTTCGTTCGTGTTTACGTCTACAGAATCCCCATGCTCATGCCCACGCTCATGCTCATGCTCCAGCTACGCTCGAGCACTCCCTCCCCCCATCCTCGTCTATCTGATTGCCGGCCCCCCATTCCCCGCTTGTCCGATTGCCTCTGTCTCGTGCTCACGCCCTGCTCGTTCGCTGCCTCTGCCTCGTTCCGCACCTTTGATCTGATTGCACATCGGCTCATGGCCGGCTTCGGATTCATGCCATTGGCGAGGAATACCAACGCCTGGAAGGAAGGCCCGGGGAGGGTCAAAGCCTCTGCATGTTTTATAGAGCGAGGGAGTCTATTTGGACCGACCTCGTCAGTATAAAGGTCTTGTTTTCTTTCTCTGGGTTCCTATTGATACTACAGTATTCACCTGAGATCAATCTCTTGACTGTCGCTCTTTTCTCCAATTCCTCATCTCAAGATCAAAATAAGACTAAAATCAAATAACCCACCCCTTCCCAAAATGCCCGTCGGTCCTCGAGTTTCCAAAGAGGAATTCATGCATGCACTGGGTCTCAACTCCCAAGACTCCCACCACGAGCAATACTACCGCGCCATGCGAGTAAGTAAAACCAACCAACAGAACAAACCCCCAAACAATAAGAAACAATACCTCACACATCCCCCCTCCAGGATGAAGCAATAATGGTCTACAACCGCATGCACCAAGACACAACCAACCTGCTCGACCACATCCGCGCCGACCCCAACACGCGACCCCCCTTCTACTGGCACCATATCCGCCCAGACCGGCAGCGCTGGGGAATCCTCGAGATCTGGCGGAATTCCGCGCCGCTCACGAGACCGTTCTTCGATCGCGGCATGACTAATGGCGAGTATGAGCCGAATTGGGTGGCTGGATGGTTGCTGTATAGTGTTTTTCGATCGCGGGATGTGAGGAATAATCGGAATCGGAGGAAGGGGGAGACGGGGGTTGGGATTGGGGTTGGAGGGTCTGTTGAGGCTGGTATGTATAGTTTTTCTTGTTTTCTGTTCTTTTCTATGTTGTTGGTTGGATGGTTGGCTGATGTTCGTTCGATTGTAGATAGGCGCAGGCAGGTTGAAGAGCCGCCGAAGAAGTATTATGATCCTGTGCGGAATGGGACGATGTGATTTGGGTTCTGTCTCTTGGGCTGTTGTGTTGTGTTGGTTTCTGTTCTATCTGGTCTGTCTTTCTTTTTTTGTAAGGACTACACATTTGTATTAATTCTGGGTTATTTTGATTTATTTCTAGGGTTTTATAACTGGTCAAATTGATGGATCAGGTAGCCAGGTCGATATCTCCTGTAGTTGGAAGTTCAGCCTTGTCTCTTGATGGAATTGCTACTGAAGTAAACAGAAGACCAATCTACCACGCTTAATACAAGAATCAGCTTAGGAAGTGTTTCTTACAAGGATCTTCTATGTTCATATTACTGGCGCTTTTACTCGCGTGCACCTGTTGGATTGGCATTTGTGGTTCTTCTACGGGAGCTACAGATGATACTGGAAATTACTCGGGGCCTGAAAGAACTATAAAACCGACATCTTCCGCTTTTGACGCTTGATTCTAAGTGCTGCAATAATGAACCAATATGAGACAGGGTTTCTAGTATGACATACACGCCAGTGTAAAGTGCGAAAGACGAAAGGTCGAGACAAGATGATCAATCATCGTTCTTGTCATCCTTATCATCGGACTCCGACTGCTTGCTGCTTTTCTGTCTGCTGCGCTCCGACTTGAGAACTTCAGTCACGCGCCGATCTTGCTCATCGGCACGTTCATCCCATTCAGCATCATACTCAGCAGCGATATTCTTGATCTCCCGACGAAGAGAGTTGCCCTCGTCAATTAGAGACTCCCACAACTGCAAGTCCACCTTGTGTGACTGGTAGAGTTTCTTTTGCCGGGCACTAATCGTAAAGTCCAGTGCTGACTTGTAAGAGATCTCACGGTTGTGGTACAAAAACCACAGATAACCTCCCATCAGTGTAGACAAACTGACCAAGTAGGTCACCGGCTCCATGGTATCCCACCCCAAGTCCGTCTCAAACGTCAACTTGTATACCGTGAACCACCAGACGGAAAGAATTCCAAATCCACCAATTGCAACGCGCTGAGCACCCCGATGCGCCAGAGCATCGCACGTCTCCTTTATTTCGGCCAATGTTTGGATCCGCCTCGAGAGCTTGCGCAGTCGCATGCGCAGGTAGTATGTGCGTTCATTGAACGATGGCACTGCGACCCTGATCTGGCCAAGACCCACTGGCGCTCCTTCAATTGTCACAATGAATTCGCGCGCTCTGGATGCGTCGCGGATAAAGTCGCCTACTTCGGTGGCCTGGGACCAGCGCACGAACCGGTCTGGCTCGCCGTCCTCTCTGCCTTCTGTGTTCCGTGGGTAGCTGTATGTCTCTGCGTCTTCGTCTTGGGTGCGACGGCGACGCTGCACGGCTGGCTTACTGCCGAGCGGCTTGCTACCGCCGATGCCGTCATTTCCTGGAACGTAATCTTTGTCGTTGATATTGTCCGGGTGGTCTGCGTCAACGTCGATGTCGTCTTCGACCTTCTTTTTGGGCTTGATTGCGTTGTCTTCGTGTTGGAGGGCGATAAAGGATATAGCTGGTGGTCGGAGTTTGTCTGTTTGTCCTTTAATAGGGGGAAGCTCGGACTGGATCAGACGTTCTAGGTAGGATAAAGGTTGTTGTGGGTGGACAAGTATAGCTATCGGTTCAATCTCTATTGGTGTATTAGTTGACCGGCCAATTCAATCACAGATAGATAACTTAGGCTTACCTTTGTTATGGCCGAGGTCGCCAACGATTGTTAAAGGAATGATCAGCTTGAAAAGCCGTGATGGCGTGGTCAACATCTTGCCTAGAACCTGTTAGCACGGATACCACCATTAAAGCCAATGGCATCCATACCTTTTGTCATCCTCTCCGGCCATTGCTCTCCCTGCATCATAGGCTGATGATTCTTGCCTTCCTCATTGAGGATCCGATGCTGAGGCCGAGCCTCTTGGTTTCCCTCTTGAACCTCGAATTTCTCCAATAAGTCTTCCGTCTTCTGGTTATCGCCAGAAACTTGCGTGTGGTCTGCTTTGCTGAAACATCTGAATTGGCTCCAGCCAACACGATTAGGAGACACTACTCCCAATCCACGGCTTTGTGTGTTTGTTACAGGGAAACCCCCCGAAGCTTGAAATCCATAATTTCTTTTCGAAGTTGAGTGAATGTGTCGGGCTGCTTTCCCAGAAATGTTGGCAGTGCAACCATTCCACCCCGCAACACCCAATCTCCTCAATGAGTTATACGGGATGCCGCGTGATATCCGCCCCGTGGCTGTCGCTGCCGACACTATAGGGGCGCAGTTCCGTGCCGGAAAATGCATGTTGAGACTGGAGTGCTGTGGTACTGCTCCAGTGGCTGATGATGGTGTTAAGGTCGGACTGGAAGGAAGCGAGGGGGTATAGTCCGGGGAAACGGTAGGAGTAAAAGAGGCGCAGCAAGCTCAAGACATGACGAAGCGGCGTTCAACGTACGCGTGGAGATAGATGATGTATGGGGCTACTGACAGCCCAAGCAATTTAGTCAGGATGATCCAGGCACCGCAGCAGCTTGCATTTCCTTGAAAGTCGTCTGACGTCACTGTGGCACATCCACGTCTGTCACTTGTGGCGGGTGTGGCGGTGTTCCGCTCGAGACGCGACGCTATTGGTGGGATCATGACTGTGCAAGTACAGTGGTTAGTATTTGAGGAATTCATGCAGCTTGTGGTCTTCACAATTGTTGCGGTGAGTGCCTGATCATGTATCCTTGCTTCTCGAGTCTCACGGAGATATCTAGGGGTTTCTAGACTTTTGTGTCCAGAACTTGCTTATATCGATGTAGGTATTTGTCAGATTCTCATGTAAGCTAGCGGAGTAACAGAAGAATCAATCTATTGGTATTTGTTGGCTAGTCCACTCAGGGTTGACTGTTGAGAAATCCCGAAAAAATTTCCTGTAAAGTGTAAGGGATAGATACAAAGGAGCCATTGAAGAGACAGACAAGTGCAACCCACATTTTCATTCTTATAATCACATCCAAAACAAGTCGCATGGCAGATAGAGTACAGTGCTGACTATTGCATATTTTAGGGCATTAGATTCTGAAAGATTTCCGGAGATTGATTTAAATTCCAGTCACCGTGAGCAGCCGAGCTGAAGCAAGATATCTAGATCACATATCTACAGTCTTGACAGAAACTGTAAACTATACTCATCGCAGTAGTAACATGTGGAATAAAACCGATTGGATACAAGCTATCGAGTCTGCTAGAGAAAATCTTTTGCATGTCACATGAGTTAACACCAGTACAAGTTAGCAGAAAACCCTGAAAGTTAAGGTGACATAATTCATAAGCTCATCGCTAGCCTCCACATAACAACAAACATAATCGGGAGATGAGTCCAAATTCCACATCTAGATCAATATCGCTGACCTCGGTATAGTAAGTAGTCCCCGACGACAATAATGACAGTCAGTATCAGCAACAGCCGGGCACTCATCAACAACAGCAACACAGCTTTTCCATCTATAAAATCAAGAAAATAATCACAAAGAATCATACCAAAAAGACAGTCATTAGAATCATAAAGTCATAATCCCCCCCATCCTCACCCACAACCCTGTAATCCCACGCTACATCTCATCTCATCTCATCTCCCCAACCCTAACAGGACTACTCCCCCCACTCCGACTCCCACAAACCGACCCACCACCAGACGACCCAGACCTAGACCCATCAAGATCATGATCATGCACAGGATACCCCCCAATCTTCCTCCCAGTCCCAATAGCAACAGGAATTCCCTGCACAACCCCGCCATGGTCATGGCCCGCCGGATACATACCATCGTTAACGGAGAAATTGCGACAGATCAGGTACGCACGCATGGCGGCGCTTTCCTGTGCCAGTGTCTCGGATGCATAGTCTGTGTCTGTTTGATATTCGCGGTTGTTGACGCGCACCACGCACGTGTAGCCTGATCCTGCGGCGTTCATGTAGTAGTTGTAGGTTGGTTCGGGCCAGTGGCGACGGCGGCAGAGGCCTGGATTGCGTTAGGAATTGGTTTCTTTTTTTGGTTCATTTGTTTTGATTTGATTGATGAGGGGGAGGGAAGTGGTGTGCATTTGCATTTGCAGTTGCATTTGCATGATTGTGTTGGGATATGTCGATGCAAGTGTAGCGTCAAATTGGAATGTGATAGCAACAATGCAATGCTTGACATGTCCTGCGTGTGCTGTGCTGTGCTGTGCTGTGCTGTGTTGTGCTGTACTTACTCGTCAAGTAAAGGATATAATACATCTTGCAATTCAGACAGCAAATCCAAACAGCCAAGGCTCACGGATAGGACAACGGGATTATTGAAGCGAGGCGGAAAGACTGGATTGTGCGTGCTCGCGTTCGACCCGGCAACGAATCGAATCAATTCGAATCGAGATGGACACGCTACTCGGACTGCATTGGATGAAATGGGGCTTGCTGCGAGCGCGGGATGCTAGTGTCGAGGCTGAGACCGTTCCTGATCCTGATGCTGATCGTGCCTGAGACTGAGCCCGAGAATAGACACAAATGCCGTATAGTACAGCACAGCGGACAGGAAGGGTAATGCGGTGGGATGTGGATCGTGATGCCCAACTGTCAACTGCAAACTGCAAAATGCCTAGCGAGAGATGTGAACTGAACTGGAGGGATTGGGCTGGATTGGATTAGGCGGGAGTGTGTTTGCTGGCAGGCGTGGTGGGGGGTTTTGTACTGTATGTGTGTGTTGGCACTGGCGTACAGACACGGTGTACTTTGGCCAAAGCACTATATGGGTGCAAGTGGGCTGATTGAATTGAACTGAATTGAGATAAGAGAAGGAGAAGGAAGAGCGAGGAAGGAATTGAGGACTAGAACCGAAGCTTGACTGGGACGAAGATGCCCATATACTATATTCTGTCTTATACAAAACCAAACCACACGTACGAAAATTGGAAAACAAGAAAAAAGGAAATTGGTGAGGGGCAGAGGCAAACCCAGATACAGTCGTAAGTAGTTAATTTACTGAAAAACGAGTGGGGCAGTTAGCATTGGAAGTGCAAGGTGTAAGGTCATAGTCATGGTATGAGTTGTCCAGAGTACGGCGCACACAAGAAGTATAGTTGCAATTGCGACAGCGCACAAAGGAAGAATCGCTGCAGACGACCTGAAGAAGGAAAAACCACCAATCAGACCAAAACCCAAATCCAATGCTCATTCCGTTGGAACACTTGCAACTCTCGAGTCCACCGAGTAACAGTTATAGACTACAGATTGCCCATGTCGGGACAGCAGACACTGAACAATACATTGACCCAGGCACAAAGGCAGAAAAGGCAACAAGAAGGCAGAAACCCGATAATCGAAACGAAAAGACTCAACCGTACAGCTCCAAGCCCTGTTTCGTGGCCCGTTCGGCGGGTTTAAGACTGATGCGCTGGCACGTCTCTTCACCAGTAGATTCAAACCGAAGAGAACGAGAGAGAACCGGGGGACAGGGGTGAGAAGACAGGCCAATTCGCCGACTCGGAGACTAAAAGACCTAGAGAGATGGGCCGCAACGGCTGCAGAAAAGCGAAAATTATCTGGATTCAGATAATGTCCGAATAGTGATCCTGGAAAAGGGCTATGGCCTCCCAAGTTCGGTGCACACTTGTGTTGCCCCGCAGTAGACGCATCAGAGAAAGTAAATTTTATCGCCCCTTGATATTCCTATGGAGACGCGCTTTTTTCCTTCCGCGGTGATTGGTAAAAAAAAAAAGGGGGAGGGGGAGAGATGTTGTGCAGAGAGATGATTCTGGAGGAAATGCAGCAACTTACTCAGAGATGCAGTGATGAGCTGGCATATGTGGGAGGGCTAGGGCTTGGATTTGATTACTTTGGCTATCTTGGGCCTCGTGCATGTGGCAAACATTCAAGAGATCTGAAGATCGATTGCTGGCAAAAGGAAGAGAAGATACAGAGATCAGAATTGAATTGAACAGAACAGCTATGACGATACTCAAGCGCTTCGACTCCCCAAGTATCCCTTGCGTCTTCTCCTTCACATTCCGCATGGAATTCATCCGCGTGGCTCCCATGTTACTGTGATCGCGGGGCTTGCAGTGTTTAGGATGACCAATTTCTGCATGAATAGGTTCGCCCAGAGCCCCTAAAGAATGGTGCGATCCGCCACTTTTGTCTGGGTGACTGGGTGGCCTCCCTGGCGCTTGGCCCCGTGTCTTCTTCTGGTTTCGGGTGATAATCCGTTTCAGGTCAGACATCGAAAGGCTGGGATTCGAACCAGAGCCGCATGTCTTCCGCTGCCTTGTGCGGGATCACATACAACGGATGCAAGGGTTCCAGCCGATCATACTTCCCAAAGACATTGTCTTCGGCACGAGATGGCGTAGACTTCCAGGAGAATGCAGAAGCAAATCCCCCGCTGGAGGCACTCAAGTCTGTGCGGTAATGGTTGTGCTGGGTTGCGCTCAAGCCTGCCAAAACGTAGCAAGTATGGTATGAATCGACGTGTCTGGGGCTCGGTCAGTTACATGTGCGGGAAGCTTGCGACGGAAAAGGGGGATCATACTTGCCCGGTTTGTCACGAAGACCTCCGGTATGGCCTTGACAGCATCCAAGAATGTATCTTGTCAGACCTTCGCGACTGAATAGACTGCCAACGGGCGTCTCGGTATTGCCCGGCTTTCCGTTCAAGGCCGACTCGAGCAGTGGCCAACATCCTCCGACCCAATGGCTGTAGCACCCGTCTACTAGCTTATTTGTGCGCCCCGAAAGACCGCCCTCTGGGGCCGACTGGCGGGCAGAAAGCCAGGACACCAGCATGGGAATGTCCATATGCCTAAACGCTATTAGCATCGGTTTCCTATGTCCCGCTTGTAGTTCTTACCTGTTGAAGGTCTCCTCCGGAGCCCCCATAATAGATAGACATGCCAACGCACAGAAAGCATAAGCGCCATGGGCCTCTGACCCAGGACTTCCAGAGATGCCTCCTTCAAACGTTTGGCCTGGAGTGATGTCAGCAATATATCTACCAAAACCGATGTATCAACGCTTACATCGTGAGAGATACTGGGGAAGACCATGAGTGAACGTGTCCAGGCCCGCCAGCCGCGCTTGAGAATCCGGAGGCAGCGTCAGTGGGAGGTCCAGTAGCGAGATGATCGTCATAGCGCAATATGCGCCTCTGCAATGACATGTCAGAGCCACCGATCCAGCACGGGGGGGCACATATGAGCTGCATCTGCATGGGGCTTACCTCACATCCTCCTCTCCACCTTCGCAAACACGGAAGCCGCCATCGGCCTGCTTCAAGCGGCCCAGCCATTGCCACCTAAATCCCGGGTCAGAACGCATGCAGGAATATGCTGGCGAAGCGAACAACTCACATCGCGTGTCGATCCACCAATCCAAAGGCCCCCTCGCCTCCTACCATCGCCAGCGACAGCACGGCCGCATAACTGCCTGCCAGATGAGATGTCTGACCATGACCACCACCAAAGCCACCGGTGGGGTTCTGCATAGGCCGAAGCGTAGCAAGCACCCTGTATGCACATGTCAGAGAAAGCCATTCATAGAGGACCGGACCACTGATAAAAGACGATCTTTCCCTCTTCCAGGGGGAGGAGGGGGGGAACTCTCTCTTCTCCAAGAAGCCTTATATGACAGAAACAAAAAAGCAATAGAAGCGGGAAGGTAAGCGAAAAAGCAAGGTACAGCACACACTCACCGTTCGCGGCGGCATTGACTCGCATCCTCGCCCAGCATCGCGAAGCTCGCCAGGGCCCAGTACACCATCCACGGGCGGCTAGCGTCCATAGCTACAAAGCCCGCGGGATAATCCTCTAGGGAGTCATACAGGTATCCGATATGATCATCGCGGAGGAGGGCGGGCACCCCGCTGGCATTGAAGGGGCCCTTTTGACTACTGTGAATACCCTTGAGAAAAGGCAAGCATTTCTCACGCGTCGCATTCTGCAGATCCAGTGTTTCTGTGATGAGCGGGTCACGGATGGCTGGCGGCTGCGTGAACAGAGCCGGGATCCCCGGGCGCGGTTTCTCAGTCATGGTTTTCCCTGTGCGTTTGGTAGGGACTGGCTGGACTGAAGTGCGTTGGAATCGAACTTTGCGTTTTCCCGGCATTAAAGGGGGAAGTCGAGGTCTTAAAGCGATGGGTGCTATTGTTCTTACATGAAGGTGTAGAGTTCAGATTGTTTCTTTGTCCGGGGGAGTTTTTTTTTCCCCGATTCTCAACTTCACTTTTACACTTACCATCTGGTATGGGACTTTGCTGTTCACATTACGGACAGTAGTCTCTCTTCTTTCTTACTGAATCATTCTAAATTAGGGTTAGGCTTTAAGGCAAAAAAAAAAAAAAAAGAAGGATAAAATAAAATAATAAAAAAAGGCAAAAAAGAGCAAAAAAAGACCAGAAATTGGCCAAAGAAAGAAACCAAGCCACCAAAAGGGTTGAACTTCTCGTGGCCCATATCATACAGACTATTGCTCCGTGAAGATGACCTGCATAGACCAATTGCCTTGATGTGATGGGTCCAATTTTCAGTTTCCTGATGCTTCTCCCTTGCATCCAAGGTGACCTGTCGACTTCAGGGTTCATGACGGTTAGGCTAACTGGGCGATTAACGTGGCTTGGTCCTTGGCTTTTGGCCTTGGTTCTCCGTACACTCCTACCTCTTCCTACACAGTCCTGTCCTGTAGACATGGGAATGGAAATCAGGGAATGCTCGACATGCGCGGTCAGCATCCAGAACTGGCCCACTCACCAATGCGGTATGGCGCACTATACGAAGACTGTCTGTGATTGGGTCTGATTAGGAAGAAAGTGTACAACACGATCCGACTGTCAGATCGTGCTCCTATTGCCACGGCTGATCTGTATTGGCACTGGCGACTAGTGATGTGGCTCATATGGTGTGCTCTCCACTGATCTCCCCTCCCGACTTGTTCCCGTGTCTTGGATGGAGATGGATAGACCCGGTATTCCGTATGGGTATCGAGATGATAGTCTCTCCATCTGACCATAATGTGGGAGACTCAAAGGTAGAGCATCACACTGTAGTGCACATAAGGAATGGAAGTATGTCCAACCCAAATAGGCAAAAGTTCAATAGATGTCCGAGATCATGGGACCACAAACCTCAACCTCTCAACCACTCAACTTCTCCCAATTTTTTTTTTTTTTTTCTCGTTTCTCTCTTTCTCCAATCCCTCCAATGCCAAGTAAATCCCCCCTCAACACTATCTCCCCTACGGAGTAGTATCGGACGGTCGTGGAAACATCCTACTTCCACTTCCTCTCTCCACTCCCCACAACTCCCCTAGCGCATTTCTTCCTCACCGCTGCTTTGTCCCCCCCACCGCCTCACTTTCTCTCTTCTTGCCTGTGTGACTCTTCTGAAGAAGGTCCTCTCATCCAGGCTGGTCCTTTGCTTCCTCCCTTTCCAACTCCATCTTCCAGTCATGGACAAAGTCGAATTATCCAGCGATGGCCTTCTCGGGGTCGATTACGACTCCAGAGGCTATCTACAACACTGGCCCGTGGTAGATCAGCCCCCACGGTCAGAAGAAGGCCACGGTCTCTCACCTTTGCAAACCAGCGGTCACCCCCTGGAACAGTCGGTGACCCAGGATCCGAATCTTATGGTCGATTGGCACTTTCAACCGCTACAACACACCCCTCACCAGCAACACCTTCCATATTCGCCCGAAGACCCGTCAGCGCCGCAATTTACCACCAGTTATGGCATGCCCATGCAGTCTTCCCCGGTGGATCTCATGGCTGGCCAGGGCCAGATGAACGCCGGCTTGCTCGATGGTGCTTATTTACCCATGTCAGGCCCCGTGGATATGGTACCATTCACGTATCAGGACTTCCAAGCGGATCTGATGACATTCCCCAACGGACTTCCGGACTTATCGTATGCCCCGCACCCTGTGCTGGAGAGCAGTTCCCCCACGGATACATATCTGGAGGTTCGCTCCCTGTCCAGCAGCGACAACGGCTGGAGTACTATCGACCATCGCCGCTCTCTCGACTTTGGTTTCCCTGAGCAAGGTGTTTTCGTCAATCCCACGCAGACATTGCACGACCGCAGTCTCTCAGAATCTTCATATTCCACCTCATACGGCAGCTTTGTGGATCTCGCGAACCCAATCGGCTCTCCCGGCTCGGAAAACAACATGGACTTGCCTTGTTATAACCATGGCCATGGCCACAGTCACAGCTATAGTCACAGTCACAGCCATAGTCATAGTCACAGCCACAGCCATAGCCACAGCAGCTCAATCGGCATGCCTCACACGTCACCGACCAGCAGTGCCATCGTTCGTCGTGGGCAATCTTCGTCGGGCTCTCGCTCTCCATCCGCTGTCAGCCCCGTGGGAATGGTGCGGCCAATCCCAGTTCCGATCAAGAAGTCTACCTCGCCCGCTCGCTCATCAGGATCTTCCCAAGCATCATCTGCCTCGCCACCAAGCCGGAAACCGTCCCGCAAGAGTCCGATTGCCGCCAAAACATCCGAGACCAAGGTCCGTAAGCAGTCCCAGACCGGCAAGCCTGAAACCGAGAAGCGAGTTGGCAAGAGAAAGGGCCCGCTCAAGCCCGATCAGCGTAAGCAGGCCAGCGAGATCCGGAAGTTGCGTGCTTGCCTGCGTTGCAAGTTCCTTAAGAAAACTTGTGACAAGGGTGAGCCATGTGCAGGATGCCAACCATCTCACGCCCGGCTATGGCAGGTGCCCTGTACTCGCATTGATATCAAGGAGATTGGGTACTTCATGAAGGACTGGAAAGCCGACTATGAGCGTCATATTTCCATGGGATTCTCGGTCGGCAATATCAAGGGATTCTCCGACCATGAGCGCACGCTGTTCATCACTCACGGTTATGGCCAGATTCTTCCGATCAACGCCCGAGAGGTGTATGTGCGTGATGAACAGTGCTTCACTGTAGACTGGATCGAGACAATGCAGCGTGACCCAACACAATATGAGGTCGAGACTGCGAAGCTCTCCGCTGGTATGGAGGGTATCTCGCATGCCATGCTGTCCGACTACCTCGACCGCCACATTGATGGCAACGGCACCTTTGAGAAGTTTGTTGACGACTACTTCGAGGGCACACCGTTCTTGACGCAGATGCTCAAGACTGCCTTCCGCTTCTACTTCCGCACCAAGTTGCCTGTTATCCGTAAGGCGTTGAAGCTGGTCATTGCCTACAACCTCACTCTCCATGTTACCATGGTTGAGGGCATCGGCGAGGAGGAAGGTTTCATGGGTAAGATTGAGAACAAGTCTTCCAAGTTCTCTGGCAAGACCATGGCCCCTGTCATGATCAACTTCCAAATTAAGTGCGCCATGGCGAACATGTGGCGTGAGTTGCAGAAGGATGTCCTTGAGGAGCTATCAGCCCTCTATTCGAGCGTGTACAGCGGAGACAAGCTGAAGAACTGGCCCACAATTTTCATCCTTGCCTCTATTCTGCTGGCTGTTTGGGAAGAGATGCAGTTCGACAGCCACTACCGCACACCGGTAAGTTCAATCCAAGAAAAGAATTGCGGTCGGGAATACTAACGATGAGTAGGACCAGGCTGCCGTCGACAAGTTCTGTACCGACATGGAGACCACCCCGGTGGGCGTCATTGTCGGACTTTTCCAGGCTATCTCCCAAAAGTTGCCTCCTTTCACTGAATGGGACTCCCAAAAGCACCACCAGCTCCTCTACTCCAACCCCGATGTGTGCAACACGATGACAGAAGTGCGCCAACACGTCGAGCAGCATGGTACGAATGACCTCCTTTGCACGCAGTGGAACTCTGACTAACCCCACATTCCAGAGACCTACCTCCGCAGCCGCACCGGCTCCAAATTCAACCGGGCCGATTTCGACTGCCTGTCAAATAAGTTTGTGTCGCGACTGGTGATTCGCGCCAACTAAACGACTCGATGCGCAAACGCATTATGATGATGATATTTAAACGACTATTGTTTCCAGCAGCGAATGCAGTTCCGCGATTCCGTTTTTGATTTGCTCAATGACACGAACTGGATGAGAATATGCCAACTTGGTCGTGACGATGCGCGAGCGCATACGTTTCCACTCTTTTAACGAATGACTCCGACTGGTCCCTCCCAGTGAGGCTGACCCTTTTGCTTGTCTTGCGGTTCCATGGAGAACCGACTTTCATTAGCTCCTTTTTTTTCAGCCTTATTTTGGTCTTGTTTCATTTACTCATTTACTCATTTTTTATCTGATATCTTTCCTGTCTCCTTGATCATTGTCTATTTTTTTTTTACGGAATCTTTTATTTACTTGTTATTTTGCTCTTGTCTTTGGTGTATACCTTTCTTCGCATAGCTTTGTCTTCGGCGATGAACGAGGATCACGACTGTCATGACCGTGTACGGCTGAAGGTGTTTTTATTTGTTTTGTTTTCATCGTGGCACCTGGTACCCGCCACAGACGCAACAATCAAAGTTTACCGGGCTCTGAAGAGTGAAATAAGGGGTGTTGCACACTGTCCCAATTGTGGTCTTTGGGATCCGGGAAACAGCGTCGGTCCAGTGTGGACTTCCCAGCGTCTGTGTTTATATATTGCCTATTGAAAGGCTTCCGGCCATTACCAATTCTCAGAGAATTTTCACTTAACCTTAATCTGAGCCTACATCAATGTAACGGGCGGGATGATGACTTCGGAACTATTGAAGTATAAGGAGGCGGTGAATCCGGATCCGGGATGTCATCTGACCTGAGCTAAGTTTGGAAGCGGGTACAGGGTACCCGGGGCGCAGAGGCGATTGCCGCATACAGCCCCGTACCAAGTACCTTCGGGCATTAGCGTTGGCCCACCCCCTCTTTTTGCGATAAGCAACGTCATCACCCCTTGGGCAGTGAGAGGTGGCCCGGGTAGGAAAGGGTGAGATTTCTGGTAATATCTTGATCGATAGGCTAGGATAGTATAGTAGAATAGATTTTGTAAGAAAATAGAACATTTACCCGGCAGACTTTTTATGTGGTTGATGTGGTGGCGTTAAAGCAACGGTTCCAGGCACCTCTTGACTCACATCCGGCATCTTCTGGCACAAGCCACTGGCCCAGCTCGCGTCACTTTGCCTGACTAAGACCCTTCGCCCCCTCCGATACATAAGCCGACTTTCCCCCTCTCCTTCCCTTTCACCTTTCTGGTCTTTTCCTGCCTTTCCCATCATATCAATACTCCTTCTGCGTTCACTGAATCTCATTTCATCTCGCAACCATGCAGATCTTCGTCAAAACCCGTGAGTTCCCCTGTCTCTGACTGGCTTGACCGGTTTCCCGACTGCCTGGCGTCCCTGGCGTCCCTGGCGTCCCAACTTCCCTCGCCACCTGGCATCGGTCTTGACAGCATGCTAACATTCCTTCGCTATTAGTCACCGGCAAGACCATCACCCTCGAGGTTGAGTCTTCCGACACCATCGACAATGTCAAGTCGAAGATTCAGGATAAGGAAGGCATTCCTCCTGACCAGCAGCGCCTGATTTTCGCAGGCAAGCAGCTTGAGGATGGCCGCACCCTGAGCGACTACAACATTCAGAAGGAGTCTACCCTTCACCTTGTCCTCCGCCTTCGTGGTGGTATGCAGATTTGTATGTATTGAGCACCTTCCCTCCTCCTCGTTCGTTTTTCTAACATTCGCTGTAGTCGTGAAGACCCTTACTGGCAAGACCATCACCCTCGAGGTTGAGTCTTCCGACACCATCGATAACGTCAAGAGCAAGATTCAGGATAAGGAGGGCATTCCCCCTGACCAGCAGCGTCTCATCTTCGCTGGTAAGCAGCTTGAGGATGGCCGCACTCTCTCCGACTACAACATCCAGAAGGAATCCACTCTCCACCTTGTCCTCCGTCTGCGCGGTGGTATGCAAATTTTCGTGAAGACTCTCACTGGAAAGACCATCACTCTCGAGGTTGAGTCTTCCGATACTATCGATAACGTCAAGAGCAAGATTCAGGATAAGGAGGGTATCCCCCTGACCAGCAGCGTCTCATCTTCGCTGGCAAGCAACTCGAGGATGGCCGCACCTTGTCCGACTACAACATCCAGAAGGAATCCACTCTACACCTTGTCCTCCGTCTGCGCGGTGGTATGCAAATTTTCGTGAAGACTCTTACTGGAAAGACCATCACTCTCGAGGTTGAGTCTTCCGACACCATCGATAACGTCAAGAGCAAGATCCAGGATAAGGAGGGCATCCCCCCTGACCAGCAGCGTCTCATCTTCGCTGGCAAGCAGCTGGAGGACGGCCGCACCCTCTCCGACTACAACATTCAGAAGGAGAGCACCCTGCACTTGGTCCTCCGTCTGCGCGGTGGTCAGTAATGGATTTTCACGATGATGCTTCTTTGTTTTTCTCGACTACAATATGGGTTCTACTATGACCTGCATGGCGTTTGGTCGGTTTTTCGAAGCTGAGGCTTCTTTTTTTATCTTTTTCTTTCCTTGACAATGTTTCACACCTTGATGTGATCACCTAGTTTTATCTACTAGATACCTTACCCTATGAATTGATCCAAGCTTCTTGCTGGCCTCTATCTGCACTTGTACAATATTTTAGAGATACTTCCGTAAAATGTCGGGGTAATTAGCTTTACATGGAACATGTACGTCCTGCTTGGTGTTCTGATACTTTCGTAAAACATAAATGTGAGCAAGGTTGAGGATCAGAAAGTTGTTGTGCTCTCTCTCCTTTACGAATTTGGAGACTACTTCGCTTTCTTGAATGGCTTTAAGAGCTGTAATGACTTAAGTGAGCCATTTAATGTTTAAATAGTGAATACATCTGTAGAATGTCGGTGAACATCATGCTTTACATATTGAGACTGTATAGGATCATGCTTGATGTACTCTATCCACAGCGGGTGGAGACGTAGATCATCCCAAAGCAAGACACCTACAGAGTAAAGTGGGCCTTCAACATTTACTGTAGACGTACTGTGTACCGTTCCCAGTCTAAACATTGCCACTTCACCATAATGACTAACAAATCTTGAATAAACATCTAGATTCTTCGTTCCTTCGCCTTTTTGCCACTTACACGTGCCAGGAACAGTGCCCAGGTGGCGTTCGTCACGCCTTACCGCCCTCTTCTCACCGCCCTGAAACCACGGGGATATCCCACCATTAGTAAGCCATCCTTATCAGCCCCGGGCCACTATCATTACGTCTTCAACATCTGAAGACACCAGACAATGTGATCCCACCACTCGGGATGCCCTCATATTTCTATCATCTCAATGTTCAGATTCTTACACACAACCCAGATACCCCAGAATCACCGGGTTCCCCTCTGGCCTTGCACTCTGCAAGGGAAGCTTTCTATCCATTCCAACCAAGCAGGCCCCCAAGCTCCAGTGACTTGTCACCAGCACTAGGGACAAGCGCTGGAAACAACCAGGCGCTGAGCGCACATCAAACCCTTGCACATCGCCAAAAAAGTCCTTCTGCCCTCTCTTCACCAGCTACAACAACTCCACCTCGAAACAGCTCCTCCAGCTCCTCCCAGTACACCTTATCCTCTACTTCCACCACACCAAGCTACAGGCCCACACCTACAACCCTCCAAGCCGACAAGCGCTTCGACTCCATCTCAATCGAGTGCATTGACATGGTGGCCCCACCAAAAAACCCCGCAAAACGCACCTCAAAGCGCACGTCCGCCCAAGAACCAGAGAATCTAGTCGCAGCCGGAATCGGCACCGACATCCTGGGCGGACTACGCACAAAAGGCCGTTACATTCCCCTCGACCAACAAGTCACCGACAGCATATGGGGAATCGTCCACCTATACCGTGACACCCAGGAAACGCCCTACCTGGCCCGCGATGACGACTACCCCACCTACCTGAAGGGATCTGCCGCTGCAGCGCGCAACCCGGGCGAGCAGCAGGCTACGTTACAGGGACACTTGCCCGGTACAGCTTCGGCGGGTGGTTCTGCTGCGGGGGCTACGGCGTATCCGTTCCCTGTTACTGCTTCTTCGTCTGCGGTGCATCCTGATGAGGATTGTACTACACTGTGCATTCTCGCTGTGCCGTCTTATTTGTCGCCTCCTGACTTCCTGGGATTCGTTGGGGAGGAGACTAGGGATGAAGTTAGTCATTTTAGGATGATTAGGACTGCGCGGGCGAATAGGTATATGGTTTTGATGAAGTTTCGGAATGGGAAGAAAGCGGCTGAGTGGCAGAAGGAGTGGAATGGGAAGGTTTTCAATAGTATGGAGGTATGTTGTGGTCCTGGATTCGTGTTATTTGAGGTATTTATACTAACTGCTTTCATTAGCCGGAAACTTGCCATGTTGTATTTGTCAAGACGGTTGAGATACAGGTTGTGGAACCGGAATCTTCAAATGCGTTCTCGTCAGATGAACATGGTGCTCTATCGCCGAATCTCTCTACTCTTACTCGGCCTGCAGTTTCCTCTGCTGGACAAGCGACTCTCACTGGGAAACCTCTCGCGCCGCCTACTCCCGCGCTGATCGAATTGCCCACCTGTCCTGTTTGCTTAGAGCGAATGGATGAAACAACAGGGCTACTTACTATCATCTGTCAACACGTCTTCCATTGCACCTGCCTGCAGAAATGGAAAGGCAGCGGTTGTCCTATCTGCCGATACACCCAAGACGACTTCCGTAAAAGCAGCACAGACGCCGAAAGCGACGCCGAACCCCAAGAATGCGCAGTATGCCACGCCGACATGAATCTCTGGGCCTGCATAATCTGCGGAACCGTTGGTTGCGGCCGTTACGACGGCGCACACGCCTTCGAGCACTGGAAAGAAACAGCCCACGCCTTCTCAATGGATCTCACCACACAGCGGGTATGGGACTATGTAGGCGATGCCTACGTCCACCGCATTATCCAAAGCAAAACAGACGGCAAGCTCGTCGAACTCCCAGCAGCAGACCACAGTGCTCTCGACCCACCAGATTGGGGCGACGCCGTGCCGCGCGAGAAACTCGAAAACATGAGCGTCGAATACACCCACCTCCTGACCAGCCAACTCGAAAGCCAACGCGCTTATTTCGAAGAAGTTGTCGAGCGCGCCGTCGACAAAGCCTCTAAAGCCAGCGCCGCCGCAGCCGCAGCCCAACTCTCCGCCAGCACGGGCTCCTCTCAGCTCGAAGAACTGCAATCCAAATACGATACCCTCTCGCTAGAAACAATACCCTCGTTGGATCACGACCGATCCCGCGCCGAGAAACGCGCTGACAAATTCGAGGCGTTGGCGCGCATGTTCGAGAAGAATTGGCAAGAGGAGAAATCTATGAATGGGAATATGATGCAGAGGCTTGACCTTCTCGCTGCGGAGGTTGCAGAATTAAAGACCTCTAATGCTGATCTTGCGGAGCAGAATCGTGATCTTACTTTCTTTATTAGTGGGTCGCAGCGCTTGCAGGATCAGGGCGAGGAGGTCACGGAGGGAACGGTTAGTATTCCTGATCCCCCCAAGAAGAAGAACAAAGGAAAGGGGAAGGGCAAGAAGTAGATTGGTGCTTTGCTGTGTGTTTCTTCTATCTTACACAGTGAGGGTCTGGTGTTGTCTTCTCTTGCGCAATATCTTTCTCCTGCACATTTTTGAGCGACTTCTTTGTCTCTGGTTATGCATTACGAACAAAACTTGTACTTGTGTCTGGCCTGTTCTTCTGGATTGTCTGCCTGTTATTGCATACAGCATGTGTATGAGTACGCCTAACGAACTATGAACATAAACACAAACATCAACATTGATCTCACATCAAAAAAGAAATTCGATCCATGTTCACAAAGAACCATATACTTCCAAAACACATCAAACAGCCCCAAATAAACAAAGTCTCAATTCTAATATACTATACAAAGTCTAACAAACAACAAAAAAAAAGAAACAGGAAGTTAAGTTATAAACAACAAAACCACCCTAAACGCCCTTCCTAACGGCCCAGAAGTAATTCCCCCAATCCTCACTCCCAGGAACCATCTTCCACCCAATCCCAGGAGCATAAACAGCTCCCACACACTTCCAACTCATACCCTCAGCAGCCGCCGCCCCACCCCTCGACACGCCCGTATCAGCAGCCCTCATCAAACCCTCCTGCAACCACCCCTTCACCTCAGGCGGGTTCACAAACTTGCTCCACTCATGTGTCCCACGCGGCACAACACCAATCGGCCACGGCGCTTCGGCAATAACCTGGTTCAAGAGGAACGAAGGGAAAGTGCGGGAGATGGTTGACCCGATTAGCCAGCCGCCGGGCTTGAGCGCGCGCAGGCAGTTTGTCAGGAACGTGAGCGGGCTGGAGGTTTTGGGGTCGATGTGCTCGAGGACTTCGAAGAGGGTGACGATGTCGTATTGCGGTGGGGTGGTGGTGATGGTGGTGGTTGCTGGGTCGGTTGGGGTTGGGGTTGGGGTTGGTGTTAGTGGCTGGGCTGAGGCGAGGACATCCTCCAGCGTTGTGTTTATGTACTTGAATTTGCCACTGCGCAGATGGGAATCGACGGTTGGGTCCATGCGCGCGTGCTCGCGCGCTATCTGGATTAGGTTGGTTGAGGGGTCGATGGCTGTCATTGAGGCTGCGCGGGTGGGGGTTGGTGCTGGGCCGGTGGCGGCTAGGGGGATTGTGCGGGCGAGGGATTCGGCGAAGATGCCGCCGCCGCAGCCGACGTCTAGGTAGTTGAAGGTTGCGGAGTTGGGGTTTGTGGGGGAGGGGGTTGTTTCGGTTGAGCCTTCGGCTAGGCAGGATGCGATGAACTCGTGGCGGAGGGGGTTCATTAGGTGGAGAATTCTGGAGGGTCCCATTGGGTCCCACCAGGAGCTGGCCAGGGCTGAGAAGTGGGAGAGTTCATCGGCTGAGACGGAGGAGGTTGAGTGGTTGCGGGTTGGAGTGGGTGCTGCGGATTGGATGGTTGAGCGTGTGGACAGGGTTGATTTCAGTGGTGTAGTTCTTGTGAGCGGTTGGATGGAGCGGAGGGCTCGGAGGGGAGCAGTCCTTGCTCTGAGGGAGGCCATTTTGGGTGTTGGGTACAGTAGAGATGGAGAGGTAGCACTAGAGGGTTGGCTCTGGGAGCTTGTGATGGTGCGGAAATTGAGTTTGCTCTGGGTGTAGATGAGTTAGCTTCCCTGAATTGGTATGTGGAGCAATTGGAATGTACCAGTAGAGCATTATGTGGGCTGTCGCAAGCAATTGGAAAGAAAGTCGCATGAAGCTGATCGTCAAATTGGAGATTCGCCGATGCCGAGACAAACATGCCAAGACCGTTTGGAGACAGTCATGTGATGAAGAACTATATCACATCAAAACATTAATGCTCAAAGATGTGTAGGAGTGGATAGATCTTCGAATTATTTGCTCTGTCGAGAAGCCTTTGGAAAGCACTCAGAGAAAAGAATCAAGTATTTTCAGGGGAGTCATAAGAGGAGTTTTTTTGGCATGGTCATTTTAGCCTCAAAAATCATAGAATGCCGTCGAGAGGAATTCGATATTGGGAAGGTATGAAGGTATTCCGTATCTCTTATTGTATTCCAGATTTATTTAGGACCCAAAATTGCTCTGTTCTCCTAGTCTATGGTCAACCAGTCAGTATCCTCCAAAATGAACTGTCTCCTCGCTATCTGACTTTCTTGCCAAAGATGATAGCTTGGCTTGTATATAATTATTCATTCTCTCCATATTCTTCATCTTCTTACTATATTTATTTTTACTTCTCCATTCTTTCTACATTAAAGTACTTTTAAGATTCCGTTGAACACTTTGATTGGTCGTGTCCTCTATATATCCCAATATCCTTCTATAAACTCCTGTGGTATCATAAAATGCAGGCATGCAAATCAACAGTCTCGTAACAATCACTATACCCTATCCCATCAGACCAGCCTGAAACACAAGATCTTGTGGAGCCAGCCCCTTTTCATGGTCGTGATCAGCCTCGGGTATCTCACGGATATCCTCCGAACCAGCAGAGTAATCCCAAACATGCTGACCAGACCACGATGCAAGCTGATCCGGCACTGCCGCACCAAGGATAGGCAGAAAATTCCCCGTGTTGATGGTTCCATCCAACCCCAACACGGTCTTGCAGCGCTCCAGTAATGTCGGGAAGAGGTATGAAGGCGAGCCACGAATCTGGGAAAGCGTGTGCAGTATTCCCCACAGTAATTCGTTTGGATCGATAGTTGATTCAGCAAGGCGACGGACGGCCTTTGAACCCAGGGATCTTGTGACGTCTGCAACGGAGGAGCCCATGTCGAACAGCTTTTGTTCCTATGGCATGCGTCAGTATTGGAAGAACGGGTATCTCACTTTCTGGGAGTGGAGGACTTACCATTCCAATGCCATGAGCATCCACCGCACCTTGCGATGCAGCACCAATCACCCCCATCACGGCTTTGCCTACCATCACTGGGAGGTGGAATGGTAGTACTGCATCATCGTGGGAACCAGGCTGTGTAGCGTGGCTCATAGACAATTTCCACATCATCGCTTGCAGCCATTGCTGCGTGATCAAGATATCCACTTGCTGAATCTCAAGCACTCCATCTAGCGAGATATTCTTGCACAGACCGGACTGGATTGCAGATGTCGGGGGTCTCTCCAGAATACTTTCTCCACCTCCCGCTGACAGCCAGTCATATAGATCAGGAGTGAGTTTTTCAAAGATATTGATCAAGTTGATAAACCCATATGCCAGAATGGGATCCTCCGAGCCAAGAACCTGCGGCTTGTGAATCGAGCTTCGCAACATCACCGGCTTAGCTTGTTGGAGAGCATACCCTCTACCACACAGATTAGTATCAAACCACCACACCACCCCATACACCAACCCACTCACCTCTCCGTAATAAACAACAACCAAAATATGCGCCTCCTCTCCTCCGCCTCTTCCATCCCCAGCTCCGCAAACGTCGACTCACGATTCAACCCCAGCGAAAACACCATCGAAGTAGCCTGACATAGATAACACCAAGCATGAGCCTGCCGATCCAGATTCCCATACGACGCAAACAAAAAGAAACAAGTCAACAATGCCTCCGTACTCATCTCCTCGGCCACATCGCATTCACACCGCGCCCGCACAGCCTCCGCTAGCAGTTCCTCCCCCGACATCAACGACTGCCCATCCCCGATGCTCTGCCCCCGAGCCGAGTCCGTCACCGGCGTCGCGCCATCCAGTTTCAGCTGGATATGCGTTGCCGCGCAGAGAGATGCCAGGAATGCGTAGCGCTTGCGTGATAATCGCGTTGGCTGGTGGCTATCTTGGCGTAACTGTTCCCCGCGCACGACGGGCATAATGGGGAATAGGTATTTCAGATAGACATTGACATGCGCGAGCAGAATCTGGGGTGAGAGACGCCGGGCGTGGGGGAGTGCGTATCCATTTGCGGATTCCGCGGTGGAATCCGTTGATCCGGGAGAGGAAACGAGTTCGGGAGGGAGTTGGGAAAAGGCCTCGGAGAGGTCGTTGGGGAATTGGGCTTCGGCAATGTTGAAGGGGGAAAATGGGGAAATGGGGGATTCGAGTCGGTACGGCATGTCGAGGTCGGGATACACGGCTTTGGCTGGGTTGACGGCCAGCGGGTAGAGAGTTCGGAATTTCGGGCCTTTGCGACGGAGAACATCACTGTACGAACATGATAGTAGAAGCCGTTGGCATTTGTCGCAGGGCAGTTCGCGGGAACATTTGATTTTGCGACGACGGCAGTTGTCGCATGCTTGTTTAGGGTTGCCCATGTTGAAACTATAGGATACTATAGAATTACGCAGCAGATGAGAGAGAAACTCGACGTTATAACAGAACCTGGGGAAGGGCGGGGGGAATCAACCCCCCCCCCGCAAGGCCCCTGCACTATAAATCTCGAGATCAGGGGCAGGTTAGGGCCGTTTAGGGCATGGACATCCTAGGGCATCCTACGCCTGGAGTCGGCCCGAGTTCGCTTGTTCTGATTTGATGGCAGTCGGGGTCTACAAACTATGAACTGAGGGCAATTGGTATGTCAACTATGAAGAGACATTCATTGGCTGACTTGCTCGTCTCCTCTTGCTATTCCGACGGATCCGGTATACTTCATATTATACACTCACCTCTACCTTCGATCGGAAACCCTGACGCACCGGGCTATGTCTGACATCTCAGGGTTCTGCAACTAAACCAACTGGGATGCGATGCGCGATTTTCCTCCCCGCTTAACCTGATTCATCTGAAGTGGACACTGGGTGCCTCGGCTCGCGAAGAACCCGTCGCATTTCTCCAATCAACTTCGTCACGGCTTCTCACTAGACCCAGGATAGTTCTGGGCCTGGCTCTGACGTGGAATTGCCGGCAAAGTCTTTTCCTCGGGAAGCCGAGAGGCAGCGGTAGCAAGGCACATATTCACCTCTGTTGGGAGCTCAGATTCATATCACGAAGAAGTTTCTTGACTTCTTTCATAGCTTCAGAAGTGGACCTGGCCCCCATATAACGTTACAGTATCCAGAAAACAAAAACACCGAGGTTCCAGCGAACGCAGAAACTCCAAACTTGCTCCAGGTTTCTCGCAGTTGGCGTCCGGGTCGAGTGTTTATAAGCTTCTCCACTAGGGAGAAAAGACTCACCGCAGCTCGGCATTTCAGCTATGATTTCAGCTATGATGACACCTCCAATATTTCCGAGAGCTTGTTCACTTGCCAAACGGACATTTATCGGGCATTTGGCCAATCACAGGCGTTGAATCTGGGGATCGACACTCTCTACACTGTGGATGTCGGATTATCCCAATTCTCATCATTAATCTCGCACGACACTCTTGCTTTGACTCTGTTCTGCCGATTACTACGTCGGAAATGTGTTGTGGGACTACCATGACATTGTGGAGCTTGGAGCTTCAGGTATCAGATAGAGCATGGCATAGGCAGGGGCTCTACGGACATGCCATATGGATGGCATGATCAGACTCACAACAAGAGGCCTCTTCAGAGGTCCATGCACAGACATCATCACTTCCAAACATTTGTCTTCCTGCAGTGGGAGATGGGTTGAATCCACTGTGACAAACGGCTTGAACCTCAACGCAGAAGACGGCGAAAGAAGGGCGAAATTCTGATAGGATGCATATCCTTCAAAGCTTGTACTGTACAGTACACGAGCAATGCTACAGGCCTGGATTGCATTCTGATCTGCATCGATGCCCATACAGATCCCCAGTTGCACTTCACTCCCCACGCAAGGGACTCCACACTTCCCAGCCCCGGCTTCAGTGGCCTCACCCCGCAAAAGCATTCAGCCACTCGGGAAGGAATGTGATCGGAATATTCCGTCTTGCCTCACGGAGAATCAACGGAGAATCACTATCCAGTCTCGGGATGTTGGTCTAACTCTCGGGCAAACCTGCAATTGCTGTGCATATACCAGAGTGCGGCGACCCGTGCTCCGAGCAAACTATAAGAACAACCCGGGTTGCGCGTGCAGTGCTATAAACCAGCCTTTATCTCTGCAATTGATTCAGAAATCAGTTGGCCATGGTTGGTTTGTCGGATTTCCTCGTGGGTGCCTGCCTTGTGCCGGCTGTCTACAGTTCTTTTTCTACATCTGCTTCCAAGGCTTCTTCCCATGCTGCTTCTACTTCAGCCTCCTCTTCCTCGGCTGCTGCATACTCCCAGTTTAGTCTGCCTGCTAGTGCGGATGTTGGTGCCAATTTGATTGCCAATATCGATGATCCTAAGGCTATCGATGCCCAATCGGCCTGTCCGGGTTACAAAGCGTCCAATGTAAAGGAGTCTGCCAGGGGGTTGACCGCCACTCTGAAGCTTGCCGGTAAGGCATGCAACGCCTATGGCACGGATGTGGACTCGTTGGATTTGTCGGTTGAGTACCTTGCCAATGATCGACTCAATGTTCAAATTGTTCCGACTTACATTGATTCGTCCAATGCTTCTTGGTTCATGTTGGATGAGAGTACCGTTCCTCGAGCCAAGTCGGATAAGAACGCCTCCAAGAAGGATAGTGATCTTGAGGTCACTTGGTCTAATGAGCCTTCTTTCCAGTTCAAGATTACTCGCAAGGCTACTGGTGATACCATCTTTGATACCACCGGGTCGCGCTTGGTATTCGAAAACCAGTTCATTGAATTTGTGACCTCGTTGCCTAAAGATTACAACCTTTACGGTATTGGAGAGCATATTCAGCAGTTGCGTCTTTTGGACAACGCTACCTTGACTCTCTATGCGTCAGACCAGGGTGACCCAGTCGATGAGTAAGTCTTTTGAACATAACCCGATTCTTGACACTAATTGGTTTATCAGCAATATCTATGGATCTCACCCTTTCTATCTTGACACCCGCTATTACGATGTCAGCGAAAGTGGCGACCACACCCTCGTTGCGAGTGACAAAGCCGATCAATCAAAAGACTATGTCTCCTACTCGCACGGTGTCTTCTCGCGAAATGCCCATGGCCAGGAAGTTATCATGCAGTCTGAGGGACTCAAGTGGCGCACTCTGGGTGGTAGCATCGATCTCACCTTCTACTCGGGGCCTACTCAGGCCGATGTCACCAAGAACTATCAACTGAGCACCATTGGACTGCCTGCATTGCAGCAGTACTTTACCCTTGGCTACCACCAGTGTCGCTGGGGATACCAGAACTGGACTGTTGTTGAAGATGTTGTTTCTAACTTTGAGAAATTTGGAATCCCGCTTGAGACTATCTGGTGAGTGGCTGATCTATAATTTCAGTTCATACAATTTGCTAACTCGTGTAGGAATGACATTGATTATATGCATGGCTACCGTGACTTTGACAATGACAAGAACCGCTACTCCTACAGCGAGGGCGAGGAATTCCTTGACAGGCTGCATAAGAGTGGCCGTCACTACGTGCCCATCATTGACTCCGCTATCTACATACCGAACCCTAACAATGAGTCTGATGCGTGAGTCTACCAATTTCTTCTTGATATGCATCTTTCTGACATCCACCAGCTACGAGACCTACACTCGCGGTCACAAAGATAATGTCTTCTTGAAGAACCCTGATGGAAGTGAATACATTGGAGCTGTCTGGCCCGGATACACAGTCTTCCCTGACTGGCATAACCCCAACACAAGCGACTTCTGGACGAACGAGATTGTGGCCTACCACAAAAAGCTAGCGATCGACGGCATCTGGATTGATATGAGTGAAGTTTCTTCCTTCTGCGCCGGTAGCTGCGGATCAGGCAACCTCAGTCTGAACCCAATCCACGGCACCACCCTGCCTGGAGAGCCTGGCAATGTGATCTACGACTATCCCGAAGGATTTGAGTTGACCAACAAGACCGAAGCTGCCTCTGCGGCTTCCGCATCATCTAGCCAAGCTGCGGCCGCGACAAGCTCCGAGTCTTCTTCCAGCGTCTCCTACTTGCGAACTACACCCACTGCCGGTGTGCGCAATATCAACTACCCGCCATACGTCCTCAACCACGACCAAACAGGCCATGATCTAGCCATCCACGCGGTATCCCCCAACGCCACTCACTCCGATGGTGTCCAGGAATACGACGTGCACAACCTATTCGGGCACCAAATCCTCAACGCCACCTACAACGGCCTCCGCGCAGTCGACGAGCAAAAGCGACCCTTCATCATCGGCCGCTCAACATTCGCCGGCTCAGGCAAATGGGCCGGCCACTGGGGCGGCGACAACTTCTCCAAATGGGCCTACATGTTCTTCTCAATCCCACAAGCCCTCTCCTTCTCCCTCTTCGGCATCCCAATGTTCGGCGTCGACACCTGCGGCTTCAACGGCAACAGCGACGAAGAACTCTGCAACCGCTGGATGCAACTATCCGCCTTCTTCCCCTTCTACCGCAACCACAACACGCTCTCCGCAAACCCACAAGAACCCTACACCTGGGCCTCCGTCACAGACGCCACCAAAAAAGCCATGAAAATCCGCTACGCAATCCTCCCCTACTTCTACACCCTCTTCCACGAAGCCCACACAACCGGCTCGACGGTCATGCGCGCGCTAGCCTGGGAATTCCCAACAGACCCCTCCCTCGCCGCCATCGACACCCAGTTCCTCCTCGGTCCATCGCTGATGATCGTCCCAGCCCTAGCCCCGCAAGTCGACTCCGTCAAGGGTGTCTTCCCGGGCCTGAAACATGGCGAGATCTGGTACGACTGGTACAACCAGACGGCCGTGACTGCCCGCCCGGGCGTGAACACCACCATCCCCGCGCCTCTCGGCCATATCCCTGTCTTCGTGCGCGGCGGCAGTATCCTACCCATGCAGGAGCCGGCGCTGACTACGAAGGCAGCGCGCAGCACGCCTTGGTCGCTGCTCGCTGCGCTGTCGGGTAATGGGACTGCTGTTGGCGATTTGTATATCGATGATGGGGAGAGTGTCCGGCCTGATGCTAGTCTGAATGTGAGGTTCAAGGTGCAGGCTTCGAGTCTGAGTGCTGATACTCGGGGTGAATGGAAGGAGGTGAACCCGCTGGCTAATGTTACTGTTCTGGGTGTTTCGGAGAGACCCGGTGCTGTTACACTTAATGGTCGGTCTGTTCCGGCCTCTGGTGTGAGGTATAATGCTACTTCGCATGTGCTTTCTGTTGGTGGGTTGGAGAAGTTCACGGCGGGTGGTGCGTTTGGTGAGAACTGGGTGCTTAAGTGGTAGATTTGTCTCTGGGGATGCAGTTTCACTAGACTATTTATTGATACAGCATATAGAATCTCAGGTCTATTTAATCCCTTTGATTATTTTTCTATGGAATATCGAGCGTGATATTTATGTCCTTAGAGTAACCTTTATAATTCTTAAGTCTCTCGTGTTTCTTCTACAGTACTTCCCGAAACTGGTCACCACTTACTCTCTGATTCATTATCTAACTCCAATTTCCAAGACATATCGGAAGTTTTCCTGAATACCTAGGTATTCCTGTCAGTGAATCAGTATTGAGTCTTACACGGACTACTCTGCATATGTAGCGAGGTGCGCGTACCACTTGTTTGATGATTATCTGCTGCGTAAAATAGTAAGAATTTGGTGCCATCTTAGGGTAAAATCAGATGTAAAATAACATACTTTCGGAACACTAAATTGTTATTCTTATATCAATGGCATCAAATTGAGCAAGAATTATGGAAATCTGGTACTTGGGGAAGGAAAACCGCTAATTGACGTTGAAATATAGCATCGCGGTGAGGTAGTATGATTAAACGCAAAGTGAAGAATACTAATTTGCTAGGCAGCATGGTATATACTGTGGGTACACCCAGAAGTAGTCGAGGTCAAGTGCTGTTGTTACAAGACTGTAGATATCCACGGCCAGGTCAGAGTCATTTCATATCCCACCGGCATCCAACAGTCACCGAACGACAATATCAACCTGAATACTCAAGGTTCCACCAGGATACTATACAGTATAAGCCACAACCAGCCGATCAAGAACTGTAAACCTAGAAGCAGTCCCACTCCCTAAAACCAAAGCCCAAACACCAATAATCAACCCCCCGACTAAAACCCGCCCCAAAGATCAACATCGAAATCCAAACCCCCTCATAGCCCATTGTAACCCATCTCCATCACGACCCTGCAAATTTAGACCCCAAATCGGCTCCGCGCGCGCTGATTCGCCCAAGCCGCGTTCAGGGGTTCGATGCTGACAGGGATGTTTAATTTCCCGGACTGTAACGGAACTAATCATCCTTCAGGACATGTGATACGTGAATCGGATTCCTCTGCACTCGTGCGAATAAGTTACTGTAATCTCACTATTCAAGAGGATGGGGCGAAGGATCGGATTGTGGACTATTATTTTTTTAGTTGCTTGTGGGTACTCTGTACTGGGGCGAAGCTTAGTGCTGAGATTTCATTTATTGGGAACTGTTGCATGATTTCTTGTTTTGGTGAATAGTAAGTAGGGTTCTGTTCGAGTGATGTATGTGTTGACAGTAGTCGAGGGACGGGAATTTATGTACTGTACTGTAATGCGATATACAATTTACATGTCATTGTACAGCTGAAGCCGGTTTGAGTGTTTCATTGGTCTTTGGGGGCTGTTGTGCTAGACTCAAAGACCCGTTTCTGGGATGATTGGTTCGCTCCATTTGGTCTTGGGTTTGGATTGTGCTGTGATTGTGGTATATAGAGCTGCTTGCTGCGTCTTTGAATTGTTGTGGTATCCTTTTATCGGAGGTATTCTGTTACCCCTTTTTTCGTTGCAGTTCGGGTTTGATGTTTGCTTTTGGCTCACAACATTAACCTGATACCTCATGCTTTTCTTGCGCTTGGCTTGGCTTGCTGGCTTGTTGGGCTCTGCTTTTGCCGCTACTCCTGCTCAATGGCGCTCGCAGTCTATATACTTTATGCTCACTGATCGGTTCGCGAGGACGGATGGGTCTACTACGGCGAGTTGTGATGCCAGTCTAGGGGTATGATTTTCATGATTCAACAAGAATGCGTGGATTTGCTAATCTGTGTTGAATAGAGATACTGCGGCGGGACCTGGAAAGGAATCGAGAATAAAGTACGTGGTACAAATCTTTGTCAGTGTTTTACCGTGGACTGACGTATCCCTTCAGCTCGATTACATCCAGGGAATGGGCTTCACAGCTATCTGGATTACTCCTGTGACAGCGCAATTGACCGAAGATACCAAGTATGGTCAAGCCTATCATGGTTACTGGCAGCAAGACATGTAAGGGAACCAGCTTCACGACTTGATTCTAGAAAGTTCATTGACAATATTCAAGTTACGGTCTTAACTCGCATTATGGCACAGCAGACGACCTCAAGGACCTTGCCTCAGCTCTGCATAAGCGGGGGATGTATCTCATGGTCGATGTAGTAGCCAACCATATGGTGAGTGACCCAAGCCCAGCTATATCTTGCTCCCTGGGATTTATTGACATCCATCTTCAAGGGCTACGATGGTTCCGGAACCTCAATCAATTACGATACATTCGACCCATTCAACGACAAGAAATATTTCCACTCCTACTGCGAGGTCAACGATTACAGCAACCAAACCAATGTGCAAGATTGCTGGCTCGGCGATACGACCGTCTCACTTCCCGATTTGAGTACCGAAAGAGCAGATGTCCGGACTATGTGGTACAACTGGGTTGGATCATTAGTCTCCAATTACTCGAGTACGCACCTCGGCTCCTTTCCCATTCAAGAATCTAAATACTGATGCCAGTTCAGTCGACGGCCTCCGCGTTGACACAGTCAAACATGTCGAGAAGAGCTTCTGGCCCGGTTACAACGCAGCCGCAGGTGTCTACTGTATTGGCGAGGTCTTTGACGGCGATGCCGGTTATACTTGTCCCTACCAAGAGGTAATGGACGGATTGCTCAACTACCCAATGTACGATTTCACTCCGGTTTTCAACATTTTCTCATCTGATAACGCAAATTTAGGTATTACCCTCTTCTCAAAGCCTTCAAATCAACAGGTGGAAGCATGGGCGATCTCTACAACATGATCAACACCGTCAAGTCCACATGCGCCGATTCAACTCTACTAGGGAATTTTGTGGAGAATCATGACAACCCGCGCTTTGCTTCGTGAGTATCATTGATCCAATTCTCCTATGAATTGCATGCTTATTTGGATTTAGTTATACGGATGACATGTCACTAGCCAAAAATGCTGCAGCCTTCACCATCATGGCAGATGGTATCCCAATCATCTACGCCGGGCAAGAACAACACTACAAGGGAGGCAGTGACCCGAACAATCGCGAGGCAACCTGGCTATCCAACTACAACACCGATAGCGAGTTGTATAAGTTCATTGCGAAAGCCAATGCTATTCGGAATCAAGCTATCTATAAGAGTGTTCAGTATACGATTTATCAGGTATGGATTCAACACTGTTTCTGCTTTTCTTTCTTTCTTTCTTTCTTTCTTTCTTTCTTTCTTTCTTTCTTTCTTTCATCTTGTTTGGCATTTGCTAATTGATAATTCCTCACAGAACTACCCTATCTATAAAGACGACACCACGCTAGCCATGCGCAAAGGATACAGCGGCTCTCAAACAATTACCGTCCTTTCGAACCTCGGTGAAAATGGAAGCTCATATACGCTGTCACTCTCTAATACGGGCTTCAAGGCTGGTGAGGAATTGATGGAGATCATTACTTGTACTACTGTTACTGTTGATAACAGTGGAAATGTTCCTGTTTCCATGGCGAAGGGAGAACCGAGGATATTTTATCCTGCATCATTGATCAAAGGAGCGAGTTTGTGTTCTTAGGTGATCGATAAAATCATCAGGTGTAAGTCAATAGTCACTTCAAGTCGACAAAAATCATTTGTTCTTTTTTTCTCGATGATCCAATGTAAGGTCAGTTAATGTACTTTTAGCTATACTTGCGGGCATGCGCCAGGAAATCACCCCTGGTTGCCAGTTCCGGGACATTCGTTTTCAAGACAATATACTACCACATCACCCTCACCAATTGAGCGACATCTATGTCCAAGATAAGAATGAATGAATGAACCAAGAAAAAAAAAATAAGATGAAGAAGATGAAGAGAAATCCCAACGCTATCCATCGCCAATTCCAACAAACGAATCCCAAATCCAATCCAATCCCATCCCATCCCAACCCAAATTCAAAGTCCAAGTTCAAATCCAAACCCTAATCCAAGATAGAAGAACTCACAAACCAATCACCAATCATGCAAAGCCCTAGGAACAAGACCAATGGGCAGTGCGCCACCAGTGACAGGCGCAGAATGATGCTGAAACAAGGCCGGCGGATCAAAGCTCGTCGAAGCAGCCCCATACCCCGGCATCAACTGATCCAGACAACTGTACCCCTCCAGATTGTCCAAAACCTCCGCACCAGGCATGAGCGACGACAAATCCATAGCCCTACCCTGAGGATGCGAATGGGAGTGAGAATGCGGGTGAGATTGGGAATGGGGGTGCGACTGTGACTGCGACTGCGACTGCGAATGCGAGTGCGAGTGCGGACCATACAGCGGCGTTCCCTTTGCATCAATCGGCGACGAAGACGCTAATGAAGCATGCTCGGCTGTCGCGACCACGGCTGTGGCTTCGGAGTACCGGCGCTGCACTTCGCCGACTATGCAGGCGATGCGGTAGGGCAGGTTGTCGCCGCTGGGGGCGAGGTGCAGGAGGAAGCCGCGGACTTGGCTGATTAGTGGGTCGGTGAGGTTATAGTCGCATAGTGTTAGGGCTGCGTAGCCGACTATGAAATAGACGTGGTCGATTAGGCTTGGGGCTGTGCTGAAGCGGGTTTGGAGGAATTTGGAGATTATTAGGCGGGCTGTGCCGCTTATTTCGGGCGTGAGGCGGTCGCTATCTGGTTGGAGGCGCGTTGCTGTTCTGTGGAGGAGGAGTTGGCAGAACCAGAGGTTTAGGTCGAGGGTTGAGTCTTCGTTATTTGCTGTGTTTGTGTTAGAATTTGTTGGATTCATGGATGTTTTCTTGGGGTAGAAGGGCGATTTACTTAGGAGGTGGGCCCATTCCATTTTCCAGCGCTCGATTTCTTCGTATTCGGCTTCTGCGAATTGAAGACGATGCTGGCTGTGTTGGAGTTTGAGGGCGATGCGATATAGTTGGATCTCTGCGACGATTTTGCCGTCCTCCGGGGTTGCGGCGGCGTGTTCTAGGATCCTGGGGCATTGATCCATGTATTGCTGTTGAATGTTGACGGTGCGGCCATTTGCCAGGGCCGAGCTATGGTTCATGGTTAGAATTGGTACTTGGCATGAGAAGAGAGGTGACTTACTGTAGTTGGGTTGCGCACAGTGTATTCCACAGACGCAACTGAGCAAGTAGATCATCAGGGTTGATGCTATCCCTGGGGAGAGTATTGAGGAAGTTGAAGGAAATTAGGGCATGGTTGATTGAGATCCCGCTCAGCAACCAGTCGTCCATCAGTCCTTCTTTATGAATAGCAGTAGAATATAGACATAGTAATGTCAATGCCTGTAGCATATCGCTTGTCAGGGGTGGAGGCTTCCACAGCATCTTGGCCACAGCATGCTGAACGTGGAGAGAGATATCGCGGACAGTATGCTGTGGTAGTCCAGGCAAATACCGTGCAGCGAGGAGGCACGCGGTGTTGAATAAGAGTGTATTTGATCGTTGAATGCTGGACGAGTGGCTTATTGACACCCAATGACCAAAATATTCCACAAATCTAAGACCAGGTTAGCAGGATGATAGAATGCGAGACAGAAAGAAGACATACAGTTCAATCAGCTTCAGGGAGAGCTTAGAGTCTACAATACCCTGAGTGACGATGTCTCCCAGGATATCATCATCAGAGGAAAAGTGATCTCTCTCCCCAAAACATTCAGCCTGAAGGTCTCGAATGAGCTGAGCCGGTTTCAAAGGGTATAACGATGCCGACACGCTATCACTGGAGGCCTCGTCTATACTGCCGCTTCTCGCCTGCGAGTTTAAGCTGCCGAACATGCTGGGAGGCCGATCAACCATTTGCCGCATAAGGTGGATCATCTCGCCCATGCCTCGTTCAAGAGAAACCAGCCGTTCCTCTATCGAGGGCACAGCAGTGGCATCGGACCAGGTGGATGCATTGTCCTGGAACCGCTCCGATGTCTCCGGGAGTTCACAGTCGAGCCTTATAAAATCGAGCAGTCAGTATATACAAGCACTTGGGCGTGACATTTTCTGTTTATAAAATTCACGGTCGCATTTGGGAGAGGGTTTTGGATCGCAAGGGCAAAAAGGTTGAAGATGTGGCAATCTGGCAGTTACAGAGTGGCAAATGAAGAGAAAGGCCTCACAAACCTCAGAGATAAACAGCGGCGACAAGCATGACCGCGTGGATCAACATCACATCGAGTCTTGAGCTTGCGACAAGTATTACAAGCCGTCATGGATCGACGAATGCGCCCTTTGGGTCTCGCATCGTGACCAGCGACCGAATCAATTCGGTTGCCTTCGTCAGGGGCAACACTCTTAGTCTCCCAAGAGATGGTGTTATGTGAAGGGCCGGTCCGCGTCATTGCAATTGAGTACAGCCTATATCATTTAAAAGAGTAGGTAAGAAAGAGAAATAGATCAACTGGACCCTTCGGAAAGCCAAGTTTTAAAGGCCTGAAGATCATTCCTCTGCTATCAGGGAGATCCAAGCCTTATAAAAGCGGATCGCTGGACCGAGAGAGTCTAGCAGCCAATTGCGACAAGTAAATGAGTACTGACGATATCGACTCCGCCTGCGCAGGTACGTTTGGAACCCGTTTCTGGCGGACCTGGGGTAATCGTAGAGGCATCCACCAATCCTGATTGCCTTCCGGTGGCTTCTAGAAAGGTAAATGAGGCCGGTGCTTTGCTGCAGGCTTTTCAGCACCGAAGAGGGGGTGATAGACTAGTATTGGTTAACTTTTGACAAAATTTTCCCGACGAGAACCGTTGGATAGACGGGGTTTTGTTTTAAAGTGTGCAGCCAAGTCTACAGCAACAAGCATGTTTGCCCGGAGCTTATTTGGAACTTCCTTTGTTATCGTATATCCTATCAGGCTCCAGTTGCGAGATATGTACAGTAAATTGATTTGGCAATTACATTGGTAAATGAGCCTTGGAGTGGAGGGGACTATAGACGATGAAGTGGAGAGAAGCAGGTCGGATTAATTGGCTAACATGTGCAATTGTCTCAAAGAAGTGGCTATCGGGATTGGAAAGTTGAATCGATGTGACATTGTAACTTTTAGTTCCTTTTTAGTCCCGGCTAACGACGGGTCTTTGGTCGGCGAGTGCATTAGTGTCCTTTTAGTCTTATCCATCTCCTTTTCGGCTTGAGAGGCTGGAAGCTTGCAGTCTCATGATCAGCCTGATCATGATCAGCCTGGTCAGCTCCCCCCCCCCCATTCCCGTGTCGAGATGCCTAAATAGAGATAGGAACGACAGCAACCGCGAATAGACGGATTCCTCATAGGGAACCGAGTCTCTAGGAGTAGCCAACATATCTACGATCGGGAATAAATAGACCCGGGAATACGCGAACGGCAAATCCATGGAATATCTTGCTAATCGCGCACCTGTGAGTGGTGATGCGGAAGAACATATACGACTCAGCCGAGGCCTCTTTTTTTCCCTGCTTCTCGGGGATCCACTTAGGGCCAATATAACTTATGCACGCGGGCTTAGCGCCTGCCTGTCCGAGGGTAGTGAGCCGTAATGTTCTTTTGTCAACCAGCGGTCAGGTCTGCTTAATATATCTCGTATTCTGACTCGAGGCTCTCTTGGCTTTCAGGAGAACTCTGGGGTAGGGACTGGCCCACAGTCGTGGACTAAGTATGCACCCCTCCCGCTTGTTCGTTATCGTGACCTTGCGTGGCGCTGTTTCATGCACACTATCTCATCGCTTAAGATAGTTATTGCGTAGACCTCGCATGGGTCCAAGCGTGTCGGGGGATTCCAATCTAACAATGTCTCCAGCGCTTCCGTGCATCTCGAACGCGTGGTACTATGGAGGGGAGGAGATCAACGTATGCACTTGGTCAGAGCTTTAACGGGGAACAAATATTAAGCAATTTGTGCCGAGCTGGATCAACCCTCTTTTCGCCGTTTTTATATCTTAGGGTTGGGATTGCAATAGACATCTCACAGGGGAGGCTTCTGGAAGATTTCCAAACGGGGACCACGTCAATTTCTTGCATGATGTGATAACCACCGAAGCTTACCTTCTCGTTCAGTCTAGACCTCCAAATTCCCAGCACATCAGTAAGCCCGCATATCTCTAGAATCATGACGCCGGGGCGTCGGTCGAGTCGAGTCAAGCTACAGGCTACATCTGGTGTCATTGGCTTGATCAAGGTTCGCTCTCTTTCCTTTTTGCTTCTCTGCATCTTCCTTGCAGGATTGTCTGACAGGAAACCCGCCAATAATAGTTGGCCATGAAGTCACACCCCAAGAGAGCTCAATCAAGGCTTTTACGAGGATTCCCTAACTAGGCAATTTGTGACCTGGCGGTGGCAATCGAAAGCGGTTTTTTTCATTTTGATCTGACTGCGAGCAGATAATGGCCCTGCATCAGACCACTTATGTCTCAAAGATAAGCCTCTCTGTGACAGTTGACTGCTCATATTCCCGCTCGGGAAGATGCCTAAACTGAGTAATCCTGCGTTGGAATTTACCCGCAATAGATTGTGCACACCTTTGTCTAACCCAAAGAGTGTAGACCCTTGTTTTGCGTCGGGTTATTTATCACGATGCTAAATCCCGCCTCGGTCGATCCTTCGCATTCAGTTAGTTCACTGTGGGATTTGGCTTTTTCAAGCGGGTTCAGGTGAACTTCCAATCTTTTTTACTCTGCTGAAGTCCACTTTTCATTAAAGTGCTCTAGCCCTGTTTCTCGTGCTCGTGAAGAGAGACATATCGGACATGATTTCCTCTTCGGAGGGAGGATCGCCTCTCGACACCGTGGCTGTAGTCAATCCTTGATGAAATGAGATGATATACAATCCTTGGCCATGGAACTGGCGTTCTACCGGGATTTGCAATTCCTTCCCATCGGCTCTTCTCCATTTTCTCTCTTTACTTGGCATATCAACGGTCACGCTATGATCGGCAAGCTTGGTCTTAGGGCATGGCGCCATAAGAAGATCTTCAGAGAGAATCGCTATTGGCATAGGGCTGAGTCTCTACTGCTGCCTATCACGGGGAAATTTACCCGATATGAATTATTCTAGTTCTAGGGGTGAACAGACCTCTCTGTCCTTTGATGATGAGCTAAGCATTGAAATTATTTGTGACTGACACAAATCCGAGCCTGTACCAAAGATTCGATGAGATGAATGGAGAAAGTGCTCTTTGATAACAGCACTAAGCAAATTTCTCATGGCTATGCACCCTTTCCATGTCTGTTTGTTCCAGGTGACCGAAAAGAGCCGAGTCCCAACTCTCAAGGGTGGGACTAGCTGGGCTAGCCAAGAACGAACCCGAGTATCGATCTCGGATCGTGCGGAACTAACTTGGGTGCCACATGAATGCCCGCCCTTCATGTCTCTATCTTCTCAGTACATTGTGTGATCATAATCAGGGCAAATTATGTTTACTGGTGACTAATGAATTTGCCAGCGGATTTCAACAAAAGAAGATTTGGGCTTAAGCCGTAATATCCGCTCCGATCTTGGCATGCCAAGATGCCCGACTGGAGACAAAATGATCAGCCAAAAGACGTTCAATATTGTTTGCTGGGGATATGGTACCCGTGCCAGAGCGTCGATCCTCGACCAATCCTATTCGCACGAATCTATGCTGTGTTGAGGCGGTCTCACATAATTTGGCAGCCCAGGCTGGGGGCCTGAATGTGAAAGACTTGCCAAGTCGTATCCAGAGCTGCTGGAAGGTGATGTTGGAAATTTGGCCACTGGGTCCCGGCTTTCTGTCGGAATGTGCATTTCTACTGTATACACCGAAGCTATTTGTCTACTTCCGGTGTATACTTTCACATTGGTCTTCTTCTCGATTCCTATTTTCTCCTGTATTAAAATTCCATGCTTATTCATTTCCTACACATCAGATATTTACGGCGCAACTTGAAGATTGGCCCCAATATGATCATTGCTCAGCTAGAGTGGGGAGGAAGTGCATCGAGCTAAGCCAAAGCCTCTCTGGGCGCAAAGTCAGACCCCGATCTTATTTTTTTCGTTTTCGATCAGGACTGCAACCATGAGAGTCAGCAGTCTTCAATCTCTACTACATCTACTCAGCCAACCCGCGGCAAAGGTTCTCCTGGTCGCAGGTTTTGCATATCTCCTCGCCTTCCAATACTGTCGAATCCGCTTCTGGCGCGACCCTCACTCGGCTTTTTTCGATATTCGCAATGTGTTCGAGTGGAAATACAGTCTTTTGCGAGAGCATCAAGCTCAACATTTCACATCTATACATAATGCCCCTTCTGACAGTGGGATTGACGACCAATTGGGCACTGATCGCCCCTTGATGTGTGCCGCGCTGGCCACTGTAAAACGCGACAAGGACGACTACTTTGAAGCGACCGTGGGATCTTTGCTGACTGATCTTGACCCTCGCGAAAGACACGCCCTTCATCTATCAGTGCTATTTGCAAATACCGATCCAAGCCAACACCCCAGCTGGGGCCAGAAATGGCTTGGACGACTAGTGGATTCAGTGTCCTCGTATAATGTCTCCGAGGAGCAGTTTCGCCATTTGCAAGAGTTGGAGGAACAGCATAACTTCTATGAAAAGGGTGTATAGTACGTTTCCCCTCTCAGGACGCTGCTGGTCGGATACGCTTTCTAACCCGGCTAGCGACTACGTCTACCTACTCAATCAATGTCTCGAAACGGGTGCTCCATACATATTCATCCTCGAGGACGATGTCATCCTCGCAGACGGCTGGTTCGTCAAGACTATGAATGGTCTACACCAGTTATCTCATGGATCGACTGCGCGCAACAATACATGGATCTACTTACGCCTCTTCTACACCGAAACCTCTCTTATGTGGTCATCCGACGATTTCTGGTACCGAAACATGCCCTTGGCATTCCTCTTAGTTATGGGATCTGGATGTGCTCTTCTGCTGCTCATTCGCCGACACTGGCCTGGCACCCGTGCCTCTCTTAACAATTGGACTATCGCAGCCGTGTGTTTAGTTGTGATTCCCGCTTTCACGGGACTATTATACATGATGGGTAAATACTCCCTGCTCCCCTTGGAGGGTGTAGTGGAGATGAATGGTCCGGGGTGTTGCACGCAAGGTTTGGTATTCCCTCGTGAACAAGTACCGGCTTTGGTGGCTCGCTTGGAAGAGAAGAAAGCTGGGCAGACGGATAGCATGATTGAGGAGTATGCGGACCAGACTGGCTTGACGCGGTTGGCGCTGGCGCCGCAGCAGTTGCAGCATGTCGGATTACGATCTAGTCGTGACAATCTTGAGATTAATACTCAGAGTACCTGGGCTTTCTGGTTTGAGGAGAACGATGCTCGACAGTTGAAGGCTGAGCATGAACGGCTTCTGGCGGCGAGTGATCATTATTGGCTTTTGGATTGATCCCTTGGCTTGGGCGGTGGCTCTTCATGGCATCTTCTATATACTCGATTCACAAAGCCTTCCGCGGATAGTATCAACGAGCTTGCTGTGATGTACTATCGAATGATGGGCCTCGTGTCCTGGATCTATGAGACTATACCCGCGGAGCTAACACCGCAATAGATAATCACATGGCACCTGGACGGATAGTAATATCAAATATCATCCGCTACAATTCAAAAACCGTCATCTTGCGCCAGCCTCCGTGGATTTCTGCCAATTCCTTAGTGTTTCTTGCACTCTACAACTAGAATATGAGGACTTGTGGGATTGACACCGAAACTGACCACTTTTGAGGCCAGAAATGGCTTCCTTTCCGTAAGTTTGGACGTCCACCCCTTGAGCGTCTACTGCCCTATAACACTGCTATCCTGCACCCAGCACTTCTAATCATCCTCCGGTCCTGATGTTGCCAAGATAAGATATCTTGAATCTGATTAGCGGCTATGGAGCTTACTTCATATATTCCTAGCTCCCACTCCTTCGTCAACTTTGAACTCGTACCGGGTAACATAGTCGTAACTCAATGTTTCTCTTCTACTCGTTTTCAACAATGGTGACTCTTTTCCAAGAACTCGCTCTTACTGAAAGTTCATTATCCGCTCTTTGTTCACGGAACAGATCGCTGGCGAAACAGTACAACAAGACTATTTCTTACCCTGATATTACTAAGATTGCAGAGGGAGGTTTTATCAAAGTCTTTCTTCTACGAGCAAAGAATGGCCGTGAGGTGATCGCGCGAATTGCCACTCCCATTGCTGGGCATCACCATTATACAACCGCCAGTGAGGTGATTACCATGAGCTTCTTGCGAGCTGTCCTCGAACTTCCGATACCGAATGTCTTAGTATGATCAACAACATCGGGCAATCCCATCGGAGCAGCGTATATTTTGATGGAGCATATGTAGGGAGAGTCTTTCTTCGCGGCAGTTATCTCTCACTACCGACGAGATGAAAGATATCATGACCCAAATCGTAGATACTAAAAGGAAGATTTTCGACTTGCGTTTTCCTGCTTGTAGAAGCTTAGATCACAAGAAGGACCTTGATGGGGAAACCCAGATCTCAATCGTGGATGGTTTCTATCGGGAGATATGTTGGCGAAATTGGCCGTATAAGATGACAAGGATGACAGCATGAGTTTCCAGGATATCTAACTTTGTTACAAATTTAATATGCTTATTCTTGGTGACTGGTCTGCCGTTACTTCTCTCTTAACCTTGGAGATGCATTGAGGCGCATCTTTATATAGGATGATAGTTTGTCCTTATGCTTTCAGCGTGTAGCTTCGGTTGTATTTCCCCGGCGAGTGATCCTCGCTGACTGACTGACTCTTCAATTCTTGCGCCCAAAGCTATACTATTCATTCACCCCTTGGGCGTTGTAAAAAAAAACACTAAGGGCGAGGATCAACCAGACCGTGCATGCGCACACATTGGTGTGATCAGGTCGAAACTGATTAGGATACAATTGCCAAAAACAAAAAAGAATTGACCGACGCAGGGGTCGAACCTGCAATCTCTTGATTCGTAGTCAAGCGCCTTGCCATTGGGCCAGCCGGCCTACTTGTTGAAGAACTGGAGAAAATTGTGTCATGGATTCCTTAGCGATGGTAGCCCCACTTTTAGGGTTATCAGTGTCGAATCGAGACTCATCAAGGAAGCAATTGATGTCCCTGACAACACATAGGTGATACTAGAGTGTGAAATATTGATATTTGCTTTCTATTTTAGGAAGAGGATAATTACTCTGGTTGTTTTGGCTTGAAATGGATTGTATTAACTTTTTTCAAAGAGAAAAAAAGCAATTGCTGCCATTATATATAATGACATACTGTGATATCAGACTTTAGATATTTGCTTTTTGTTAGTGTTGTTTTTGAACACCCAGGGGCTGCGAAATGAAGCTGTCATGAAGAATGAAGGATATTGTGATAGATCAATATGCAGCCGGACATGGCCAAGACAGGACTGTTCCTCTGACAGAAACCCTCCAGCTACTGTTGACATATAGCACCAGTGTGGACCAACAGAAGTCCTGGAAGATTCAAACAGAGCATACTGTATATAAGGACGCAAGAAGAGGGGTGCAAGTATCAGTGTATATCTCTGATTCAGGGCTATTGTTCTAGCTCAACATAAAACTCACTGTGGTCAGGCCGAAGGCTGTTCCTTGTTTTTACATCAGTTGGTATCGTAAAGTCCGAAAAGGAAGTACAAGAGCCCATGCCAGGGAAAGACAATTACTGTAGATGGGACTGCAATGCCTGCCTTCGCCCCGAAAAGACGTGTACAATACCATTGCTCAACACAGCTGGTCCCTTGGGAGATCTAGCCCATTAGCAGGATGGAACCCGAGTCACACGACAACATCGGTGAGCCAGAGACAATAAGAAAGGGCAAGAAAACATATCGGACTGGAGAGATATCCGAGCAGTCCATCCCCTGCTGGGCATCATGTGCTTGGATGCTGTAACCTAGCCATATGACCAGACGCCACACTATCCACGCCCTGGCGTGTGATATCGAATTTGAGATTCTACAGAAAGTGCCTACAGCAAACTGTCATATGCAAAGATAGCCAAAGGTACACTGGTACCTGATCTCATATCATGCTCGGGATTGCTTTCCTCCCCCCTCACAGGATGAGATATCACGCTGCGTATGAAAGTATCCGGTACATTCTCTTCTGCCCAGTGTGCATACAGTAAATCACAGTTAGATTCCTCACTGCACAGTACAGGCGCCAGACAGCAAAACATGACTGGCATGCACCATGCACCATGCACCATGACTACTGCAATACCGTACAGTATACAGTATGGATAAATATAGACCCAAATCTTCAACACCAGGAGACGTAATCATATTGCTGGATGAATAATCATATAATCCAACATACAGTAGTCAAATGAGCCCGATCAAAGCATGCACATACTGTAACACAACTGCCCCTACACCTCCACACTGTACCAAAGAACGGTGTGAACTCCCACCGTTACCGCATGGGGACAAACGAAGCTCAGCCATCCCACTTCCAGCCCGTCGGCACACTCTCACACTAAAGAGAAATAGTGGAGCCAGGAAAGAGGAGTAAAAGCTCCGGGCGAAGTTCCAGAAGAAGTGAAAAACTCAGTGTCAAACATGCCACGGGCGGACCGACTAAGCGGCGCTATTGAATTTACTAAAAAAGTGTCGAACGGTGGGTCCCGTCGATCATGGACTGGGAAAAGGCCGGGAGGGGTAATATGAGAAGATTCAATAGTTCCAAGCCGAGTCTTCGGCTTGAAGCCATTCTGAGTATAACCTTGTGAATAGTGAGGAGGTCATGCAGCGTCGGCGCTGCAACCCGCCACGCCCTGGATGAAACCTTGAGACTGAACCCTTGAAACTTTGGAAATCAAATTGATCTGAGACGCAAGGAAAGTTTATGTCCTTGCGGTGAATCGTTGATATCATATCTTGTTTCCGCCGCGTACTCCGAATATTTGAAATCATGGTGCATGGACTATACGTTGGAGTCTGGATGATGGTGTTACCGCCTCGATGGCAATCTACTCTCGGACAAGGTGGGATAGGATGTTTGTCAAAGTCATTTAGGAATTTAGGAACTTGATTCTAGACTGAATGGGCGCGGATGCGACCAAAGAAGATGCTCTAGATCCAGCACGTACACAGTGGGGCCTCGAATAGTCAGACAGATTCTAGTTTCCAGTTAAGTGGCCAGCAAACGGATTATTTGTCAACAGTGGAAACAGGGCAACAAAGAGAAACAATGCCCCAAGTGAAAATGTTGGAGTGGGAGATGTGAACCCCACCACACGTTCGTTGCGAACTATAACTCAAACACAAATGTTTCACTCCAAGAGGTGAACCCAAAGCACAAGAACCACCAATAACAGTTCAGACCAGAGCCAGAATCCAACCCAGCCCACAGACCCAGACTACGAACCCATCGACATCGGTTAAGCCCCAATCTGACATGAGACAGGTCACAAACCTTCCCAGTCCCGAATTGACAGCTCCGACCCTAGGAAACCTACACAGCGACTAGTAAAAAAAGGCCGAAAAAGCAGAACCCCCAAAAAGAAAGAAAGAAACCCAGAAACCCAGAAAAGCAAAAAGCAAAAAGTGCCACCACACATGTCCAGTCTGTATCCCAAACAAGTGCCAAAGTGACACCTTTGCGCCCGTGCCTTGGGACGTCATGCCCTATTCCAGATTGCCAGCGCAGCAGGAATCCAGGAGCTGAGGCACATGCATATACACACATACACACCTACGCCCGACTGTACACAGTAACTGCACCATACCTGTATCCACAGTCCTCAACGCAGTACGGAGTACTCCGTACACAACACACAGCCCAGCAACCAGCGTCAGAGGCGTCGGATGACACTTCCACGATACGGACAAAGTACACCGCCATATGATGAATCGGACGCGGGTATTGACGAAGCCATGGAGTGTGCAGAGTGCAGTGCACTGTACAGTGCACAGCGGGGGATTCACTGCCCTCGGACGTAAATCATCTCCTGTACAGGTATACAGGTACTACAGCAGCTACTGTACGGAGTACTATAGATCAGACAATGACATGCCACGGAAAAAACCTCCGCACATCTCATCGCATCACGGTAGATCCTGCCATACAGTACAGCAGGCTACTGTAGATGTAGATCCTGCCGCTGGCGTCTCCATGTCCTGTACTGTGCTACAGTAAGTCAAGTCAAGTTCAGATCCTGGCTACATGTACATGTACATATACTGTACCTACAGTAACGTTATACAGTAGTACGGTACAGTACTAAATTAGATGCAGGACTGGATAGACCAGTAGGGGATAGATATTGACCAGTGACTGTAATTGCGATCAGACACCTTGCATGAACAAGTGCTGCAAGCTACAAGCTGCAGGCTGCAGGCTGCAGGATGCAAGCTGCACGACTTTTTTCTCTTTTTTACTCGATCTTATCACTTTCGGAGTACTGTACATGTATGCGAGTTGTATGCGAGTTGCATGCGAGTTGGTGTGCTAAGATCGGCCTGGTTGTCATTCTGACCAGTCGCAGGCGCCGGAAATACCGGGGTTTGTGCTAGTGGCTTGCATAACCGCTTCCTTCCCAGGGGGTGGGACTGGGACTGGGACTGGGATAGACTGGACTGTTTCCTGTCTTTGGGACACGGTGGACTTTTGGGATTGGCGTTGGCAGTGGCATTGTGTAGGGGTGCATATTGCAGGTCCATGCCCTGGTTTTGGGTGGGTGGGAATCAACTTGATTTGATGTGGTTTACTTTTAGTGACTGTAACATACTTTTTTTCTTTTCTTCTTCTTTGTGTTTGCTTTTTGCGGGTTGTACTGTATATTGGAGTTGAGTTGGCAGTTGATGTCTGTGTGGTTACAGTACTGTGCATGGTACCTTGTTTTGGGTGATGGAAGTCAGGCTGACCTGGATATGTAGCTATGCACCCCCTGACTACTGTACTGTAGCGATTTACAGGGTACATTCTGCATCTGCAGATGTCCAAATTTGAGATTCGAGATTGGAGATTGGAGATTGGAGAGCACGTATACTTCCCAGTTTGTAGTGGGGAAGCACCGAGGTCCACGGAAATCCAACTCGGCAAGATGGCCGATCGTCAATTTGGTCAAACCCCGTAATTGCGACAGGGGGGCATTTCGCATTTCCGAAATTACAGGGCAAAAAGGAAAAAGGAAAAAAATAAGAAATCAGAAACAAGAAACAAGAAACCAGATCTCCCATCTTTGGGACCCAATGAAATATCCTCTGGGGTCAGCCGTAGCATCCGTTGACAGGATTCGGTTGTGTCTCGGATCAAGGGGGAGCTGAAGGAAGAAAGGAAGAAAAAAAAAAGAATGGAGACAATTTAGGTGTGCATTTGGTCCAGCGTATCACATTGCTGCGTTGGATATTTCCAGGACCACATCAAATTAAGCAAATGAAGTCTAATATACGACCAAAGAGGAGAACCTGTCAAAGAAGAAGGAAGCCCCCGAAAATATCCCGTCGGCAGATGTTAAAGAGAGCGAAAAAAAAGAAAAATCACTGATCGAGACGAGTTCGCGTGGGCTCAGGGAGATTGTTCCACGGTTAGGGCTGTGGGGATGATAGACGGCAAAGAAAGAGGAAAAGTGGAATGGTGGGAGGGTTGGGCTGGGCTGAAGGTTAGAACTCAGCTGTCACTTCCCAATGCACTGCCTATTCTCCATTTCCCAGTGAACCCGTAAACTGGACTGGCAAAGGCAGGTAGTATCCGAATGCCAATACCTCAACCTTAACCGCGCGGACCCAAACTAAGCGCTGTCAAACTATCGAGGTTTCGTCTAGTCGGGAAATCTGGAACTCGACGTCATGGAAAAGAAAAAGCTAAAGCCAATCTTGATCTTCACCAGTAGGCAATCAGAATGGCCACAGATGACTAGTTTGTGGGTCGACACCAAGACGATCAAATATCGAACCAGATGGGATGGGCATTTGGGAATAGTGATTTGGCCCATCCATGGTCCGGACCTCCAACCTCAACTCAATTATTGGCGACTTTCTCTCAATTCTGCGACTCCGGTATGTCCGTACTGTACTGTAGCGTAGAAGGTGATCACCCTAGCATTAGGTAAAGACCATCCCAATTCCCGACATTCGACTCCAGAGATCATCCCAGTGGTTGCCGTGCCGAAAGGCAAAACCCACGTTTCGAGTGAAATGGAGCATTCACTGCTCAGCTGTGGAACGGAGATCCGCAGTCATGTCAGGTTTGAAAGGTGCGAAAAAAAGAGAGGAAAAAAAAATAATAGGCAATATTCAATAATCAATATTCCCAAAGGATCATCCATATATTGTGTAAGTTGGTAAAATTTCAAGCCCGTCTAAACACCCAGTAAATGCAAATATTCGAAATAAGGTCACAATAATCAAAAAGAGATTCCCAGTAATTTCCCACCGTTTGATTCCCGACAAAAATAGTGCCCGCTTGGTAAACGCGACCAGAAAGGGTATCAAAAAAATCATGTCTGAATGTCTGAGTCTCCGTGCCGGACGGTAATGCGATATGACCACTCCGACAGATAGCAGGTGCCAGATGTGGATATAAAAGAAGAAATGAAAAAAAGAGGTAAAACAGAGAGAAAAGGACAATGCCAGTCTATCCAGCTTGCCGGATTCTCAACCCCGTGAGTCGTTAAAATGGTAAGGGGGAAACACAACCGTCCCAGTCGTAAAACAAGCGCTGACGTGGCGAATATCGTGAAGAATGCCGTGTAGAATGATGGAAAAAGAGAAGACAAAGTAAAAGAAAAAAAGAGAAAAGAGGCCGTAATCTGTTCAAGTCCAAGGGATTCAGTGATGAGGCGAGGCGAGATGCTCCGAGCCATCAGCATCACTAAACGGAGACTGTCGCGACGAGTCCACATCACCAGTGCGCATCTGATTCCGCAGCGCAGGCAGCTGTCGCCGCCGAGCATTAATGAACCAATTACTAATCTGTCGCCAAACATCAGCATTCAACACATCACGCGCACCATCAAAGCAGATCTCACCTGGCTGATCGACAACCCCGTCCGCGTCATAAACATCTGCTTGTCCTCCTCACTAGGATACGGATGATCCAGATGCTCATGGAACCAAGCGCGCAGAATATCCGTCACCGGCTTGGGCAGATTGCCCCGTCTGCGCTTCGTCTTCGGATCAATAGCATCCCCCATGACGGCGAAATTCGCCTGGCCCGGGGCCATCATCTGCGGCATGGCCTCCTCGCCCGGGTAGCCCATCGCCGGATGGCCATACGGCGACCCGGGATGCATCATCGCGGACGGGTGTTGGTAGGCCTCGGCACTGCGGCGATCAGGCATGGGAGCCGCCATGGACGCGCCAGCCCGATACTCCTGGCCAAAGGGGTCGGAGCGTGGGGGCGGCACGGGGCCTCCTGACCCACGCTCGGGGTAGGCTTTGTTGCTGCCCGGCTGGGTGTTCATGTTTCGGCCTGGCATGGAGTCCAGGTCGCGGATTGGAGGCAGGATGGGACTGGGGCCGCGGGTTGAGCTTTCCGATAGACGCATGTGGTGGCCCGGGTCGACCATGTGGCGCGTGTGGTCGCCGCGGCTGACTGTGTATTCGCGGTGTGCGTCGTAGGGCATCTTCGAGTGCGGGCTGTAGCCGGGGATGGATCGGGGATTGGCAATTTCGTGACCGGAGCCTGGTCGGTCTTGGGAGCGTGGTGGGGTGTAGTATGGAGATGTAGATTCGATTTCATCGTGGAGATGAGCGGGGAGGAGCTGTTCAGTGTTAGCTTAGGGGTTACCAGTTGCGAGATCTGATGGCTATAGTCCTACCTCGCGGAATGATGGGAGTGTTTGAGAGCCGGCCTGCGGCTGACTGTATGAAATAGCCATATCGGTATCTTCGTCCTCACGGGACTTTGACATAGAGAGAAAGGGAAAGATACAGTAGAGGGGAACTATAAGTCATAAAAGAAAAAGAGAGGGGAACATACCCGGGAAGCCAGGCTTTTTACAAGGGCTTATATGCAAGGTTGGGGAATCCTAGGGCCACATTTTAACCCAAAAACCAATAATTCCAAAATAATGACCATGGAAAAGCAAGAACAGGGGGGGCCGAAAATGACGATCGTGGTGGGTACCAGTTCCGAGGCTTTGCATATTGAGTTGACAGGAGTTTCGCTCTTGACAGGACGATCTTCTTCTCCCCGGGATTTGGGGCTATTTTCGAGTAGATTGAGAGGTGAAACTCGTATGGAACCAGAGCACAGTGTGATTCCATGGCACCTAGTCCTCACTATTCCCCCCTTCACCCTAGCCCTAACTTGGCTTCATTCTGTCTGAAAGGTGGAAAAGATCGCCGAATACACAAAATCCCAAGATGACGCCTCTCGATCGCAGATGGCCCGGAGCCTCTCATCGGGCACGGAGATCGATCGACCAAAGAGAAGTGACCTGAGGATCCATGGCGGCCCATGGACAGGGATAGGCAGATCGCCTAGGGGTTCTTCACTCTCTCCACTCCAGTGGCGTTTCCTTTTCTTTTCTTTTTTCCTTTTTTTTCTCTTTCGTTTCTTTTTTTTCTTTCTTTTTTTCCTTTTTTTTCTCCCTCTTCTAATCATTCTTTTTTCCCTTTTCTGATTTCCCCGCTGATCACAAATGGCATTGGACTCTCCTGTGGCTTAGCCTGCATATGATATCTCAAACACAGTGCAGATGAACATTGGATCTCAAGTGACATGACTCTGCGCTAATCACACTAAATACTAGTCCACGCCCTAAGAACTAGTCATAATCTGACAATTCAATAATGGCGCACTCGGAGATCCTAAGTGGACCCGAAGTTGATGCAAGCTGAACAAGACTGTGAACCAAGCCAATCAGACCAATGGAACCATGGAGTCGCTCTAACAAGATTCCGTGGCAGATGTCTCCATTGGTCTCACTGTCGTCTAATCCTTACCCTCCCACTGTACAGTACATGTCCAGGTGCATCCTGCTGAAAGAGGCTGGAAAGGGTACCGATGAATTACTAGAATAGTCATAGTTCTTCCATCTGACACCTATTACCCGACCCTCAGTGCCGTGACGTTTCGGAGACCGTCCGACCCCCTCAATGTAATCCAAATATAATCCTAGGATCCAGAGGGAATCTAAAGGTAATTCCAAGGTCATCCCAAGGGACCCAGGACTCAGAGTTTCCCACGTTCTCAACAGGGTAGTCACCTCCGGGGGGATTCCCAGATCTCTCCCCTTTAATCAAAAATCAAAAAGAAATTCATTTATCTCTATCCGTGGATTTCGGACCCAGCATCCTGGTTACCCCTGATTCGCCCTCCCCGATCAGATCTGGGACGGTCTAATTTAGTGCTTCAGGTCCAGCCACTTAGCCGCAGATTCTAGTCGCTGTCACAAGTCACTGTCACAGGCACCGACACAGAACCAGGCACAGAATCAGGCACAGAGCCAGGCAACAGGGCCGGCTCAGGTGCCAAAAAGGCAACAGTAATTTATTCTTCTGCCGATGACTCGTATGTTCATGTCACATATTCGCCCCTCCCAATGTACAGTACTTTGATTCACCAGGAACACTGACTACCTGATATCAGCTATACTTGCCCCATATTACAGGCCTCATCAGATCCGAGATCGTGCATGAAATAGAGGAATGCAGATCATCGGATCTCGCAGAAGGGAACTGCGATCGTCGAAGCCAGAAGGGCGGTGTTGGAATGGGGGGGCTAGGGTTTACGGAACAATTGCTCCAGAACGGTGGAATACGCATATTTGTCATTCTTTTTTTTTCTTTTCTTTTCTTTTCTTTTCTTTTTCTTTTTCATTATATATATATTTATTCATTTATCTATTTAATGACTTAATTGTATACTGTATATTCAATCCATTAATAATTCATTAGTTATTCCCTACTCCGTTGACCTGGGATCTAACCTTATTTGCCTGACATTTGAGCTTCTATAATTATTCCCCCTGGCCAAGATTCCTTCTAGAATTAATATTGACTCTCTCTCTTTCTCTCTCCCTTTACATTCACCGTCCAGTATTCGCCACATGCTCCCTCTTCGGACCTTTGCATCCCACACTCCATTTCTTCACTTTCCCCCCCGTCCCAACTCGCATGTTACTCTATCACCAGGGGAACCCATAGCCAAGATAGGGATGGATTCAAATTCAATCGACGGTCCAGTCAAACACTACACTACACTACATGTACAGTACAGCACAGTAGATGCGACATGCGACAAGTTAACTTATGCATGATGCGACACCTTCCTCTCCTCTCTCCCCCCTCCCTAATGCACGTACAGTACAGCTCCCAAGTCGCCTATTGTACAGTACTGTCTACCGTACTGCACTGCACATCTCCCAAACCCCGTTATGTACTACCACGCCAGCAAGCAAGGTAAGCAAGACACTCAGGTCTCCCCCCCTCCTCTTCCTCCCTCCCCGAAAAATAGTGCACTGTAGTCGCAGTCCCAGTCAGTGCATGCTGTACAGTACTTCGTACTGTAGCTATGTAGTAGCTCCTTTCAATCACAGCCACTCCATCCCCCGGCTGCAGATCCAATTTCCAGTTTCCTGGTTCTGCATCCCATCCTCGCTACTGTAGCGTACAGTAGACGGGCCTGCAGCCGCGCACTAAATCACTATTGTACATTACAGTAGTATACAGTAGCATCCAGTAATCCGATTTGTTTGCCTAGGTGTCATTTTTGCATTTTTGTGTTCTCTGCCTTTTTTCTTTTTGCTTTCTTTTTTGGCGTGTTTCTTTGGAGCTGGACCCTGACAGGGTTATCCTGGTGGTTCTCTCGTGGCACGAACGGTAGTTCATGCGTGATTCGAGGAAGGCAACCAATCCTTCGCTTGGAGGGAGGGAGGGGCGATTTACTGCACTGTAAGGATGTGGTTATTGGTGGGATGGGTCGTGAATTGGGGGTTTCTTTTCTTTTTCTTCCTTTTTCTTTTTTCTCTATGGGCTATACAGACCTGTACTACAGAAAATACAGTACATGCACATGTACAGTATAGTCTGCTGTGGATGCTGTCTGTCGCATGCTGTTAGATGACGTGGGTGCTGCCATCTCTTGCTCTTTAGGGTTAGACTTTGGGCCTGGAGATTTCATTGACTCTCGGGGGACCCGACAGCCTGGCTGTGACTTGTGACCTGTTTGATGTGTAGCGAGGGACGTCGATAAGTTAAGTTACTGTACTTCATGTCTGATCGGTTTCTCGCCAGGGTCATGCGAGCGGTTCTTTGTCTTGGGTGCCTAACCCCTAAACCCGATGGGCATTCCTGGACTTTGTTTGTTTGTTTGTTTTTTTTTCAGTGTTTTTTCTTTTTGTTTTTTTAGTGCGGTGTTTGCAGATGTCACCTTGCTATCGACATCGAGGCCGGGATATGGCTGTCTGTAACGCTGAGATGGCACCCGGCATTGCATGTTTATATGGTGATCGACCGGGTGGGTTGTTGTTTAGGCAAGAGTTCTTCGCTGTCGGTGTTGTCACTGTCATGGTGTTTGCCTGGCTTCAGTTATATCGTGAGATACTCGCTTGACGCCCTATCTACTGTAATACTGGATCTTGTGGTTTGTTGCTTATCTACTGTAGAGCAGTCGACGGTCGGATTCTTTCTTTCTTTTGTCGTTCGTTTCGGCCCTCTCTATCTAGTCACATTACCAGCATCCTTATACACCAATAGAACCCAATTCTTACCGTCAATGACAAGACTAATAGAACGAAGTAGTCGCGTGCGACATGAAGGAAAGTGATCCGGCAAGGGCTCAATAAAATGATAAACCACCAGACAGAGATAAAAATAGACCATGCCCAACCCTCCATAACGTACTCGCTTGTGATAAGAATAAAGAAAGAGCAAAGCGTAAGACCAGCCGGCAAACCTTCAAGTATACCCGTAAGTAGCAATACCAATCCTTCTTGGTATGACACGCGCTAGAATAGACGATTCAAAATCGCGCCGTCGAGTCAAGCAAGCTCTCATCAATCACCGGAGGCAAGCCTTCATCGTCCTCGACTCCACGTACGCCACCGTCCAGACTCCGAGGACCAAAGAGCGGAGAGCTAGCACGCTGCTGAGATCGAGAGGTATTCGACGAGCGAGACGCAGCAGCATTCTCGAGCATATTGCGACCGGCCTCATTGAGTCGAGGCCTGCGGGCAACTTTCTCACCGGAGCCCTCGGCAGCACGTTTCTTTCCTTTGCTCGAACCCGAACTCGAACTCTTAGGATTGGCGTTGGAAAGTCTCGCATTGCAAGAGTTGGTCTTCGTCGAACTGAAATGGGACGAAGTGGAAGCCAGGGACGCATTGTCACTGGGAGCAGACTTGTTCGCGTCCACCGTCGCTGATCTATGGCCCTTTGCAAAGACAGCCAGGTCCGGATTTCCGTCGGACTCGACGAATTGTAGGAACGCGGCGATGGCAATCTCCATCAGGTCCGGGCCGGCGTAGTCCAGCTCGATTTTGTCGAGATAGTCCGTGAACGCGGGTGTTCCAATCGCTTGAAGGAATTGGGGCAGTTGCTGCCGCGGTCCTAGACCTGATCGTGACGTCGCCATCCTCAATTGCGCGAGGGATTGCTGGAACTTGCGCACGAATTCTAGCGCGGTCATTTCTGACTTCTCGTACTTCAGGCTGGTCCACTCGGCCCAGCATCGGGCGTTGGATTTCACTTCTTTCTCGGAGAACTGCGCTTCTAGCTTTTGGTAGGCTTCGTGGCTGGCGTAGATTTCTTTCACGTGCAGGGCGGGTTCGTCTTCGAGTGTTGAGCCTAGCCAGGCTCGGACTTTGAGGTCGTCTGCCTTCCATTGGGCGATGAGGGCATTCTGTTTTTCTTTGTTGACTTCGCTCAAGTCTTGGTCGGCTGGCAGCTGGGGACAAGGAAATTTTCCCGTGAGTATGTCCCGGTACCGAGGGTTGAAGTCTTTCAGGATGAAGAACAGCCGATCTGACCAGGCAATCCAGTTGGATTTCCCTTTCAATTTGGGTACCGAGCGGCCCAGACGATTTTGTTCCGCGGCTCCCATTGTGGCAAGAGATCATTCGATACCTTTGGAAGGGATGTTAGTGGAATGAACTTGCATCATGTTTTGTGTCTAAGCGACAAACCTAGGATAGGTGAGTAGAGGATGGATTGACTGATGATGAAGGTTGGAAGACAGAAGAACCCGGGAATGAGGAACAAGGAGGAAGACTGGGAGAGTTAATGCTCGAGTAGAGATTGTTTCCTCAGAGATGTAAATTCGGAGAGAGTCGATTCAAGGTCTCGATGCAAAGACAGAAGACATACTCAGAAAGGAAGAGTGTAGACTGATTCTTGGTTATTGATGCTCGAGCAAGGATGGAAGAGATGCGAAGAAAGAAAAAAAATTGAACGAGAACAGATGGATAGTCAAAAGTTAGGAACGAAGAGTAAAGAAACAGACTTAATTCTCATGCCCGAAGGTAGGGCATGAACTAAACAAGGCGTCTTCTGATGCGCGACTTGGATCTTGATCTGATGGAGTATGTAAGAAATGTTTGACTATGCCGAAATCATCTCGTTATCAACCTGAAAGTGTCCCAACTCAATTGAGAACTGAAGAATCGTTGCTGCCAATGTAAGAGTTCAATGCGTTCCTATTAGTGAGAATACCTTGGCCAGATTCTATAGTGTAAAAAAGCCATGATACTGGTGTACACACTTTTGACTCCCTGTGTCTGCACGATCCTAAGAAGTTTTGATTGCTGTTGCTGGCGTGGGAAATACATGATCAGTCGCGATCAGAGGACTGAAAGACATAGAACGGGAAATTCTATTGTAAACCCGGCGAGAGACCATAAAATCAGCAAAAGAAGCGACATATAATAGAAATGTATCCATGTTCGATCAACTGTATAGAAACGAGAAATTCAAACCCGAAAAATGAGAGAAGACATGCATGCAAAAACAAAAGATGAGAACAAATAACCGCCTCGCTAAAATACGACAAAACAAAATGAAGCCCATGGAAAGAGGAAAAGCCAGCATAATAGCGATAAACCCGGTAAGAGGTATCAGCCATACTGGATGGAGCTTGTAGAGAAACCCCAAAAAAAAGGAACGAAAAACCAAAAGAATCCGCGAACAGTACGCAGATGCAAAAAGACGAAATATATACGATGAAGGACAAGCGACCAAAGAAGGATGTGCTTTTGCCCGAGGTCGTTATGCAGTGCATATACAGAGACGACAACGAGAAGAGAAGACTCAGGGTGGCGTATACCACGCAGCCAACCAAATCGAGCTGATTACCAAGTTTCCTGCAAGACAGTCAGCACAGCCCCTTAACCACAAAATGTTAGGCAACAACTTACAGCAATATATTGGCCAGCCTCCTTCTTGCGCTGCCAGAACTGATCCGCCTCCTGGGCATTCAGATTACCCTTCGCCATGGCGACTTCGATGAGCGCGGCTTCAACACCCTCGCCCATACCCTTGCCGCTACCACAGACGAAAACCCGTCCATCAAGCGAGTTAATCACGAACCAGACCAGATCGGCCTGGTGGCGGACTTCTTCTTGCACATAGCGACTCTCGCCCTTGCGACTTTGTACGACTGTGCGCACCTTGTCTTCATGCACACCCCATTCACCGCTGTACAACTCGTCGAGCAAGGAATCGCGGACGCCCTGCAGAACCCAGACCTTGTTTGCGCAGTTGGCAGATTGCAGGCGACGCTGGACAAAGCCGCGGAATGGGGCAATACCGACACCGGCGCCGATGAGGAGCATGGGTCCGTCGGACGCGAAGCGTGTGGCGAGCGGATTGGCCATTAGGCCGCGGAACATTGGGATGTGGATGTCGAGTTTCTCGCCCTTGGCTTCGGCGGCAATGGCGCGGCGGGCGAGGGATTCCAGATAGCCGGATCCGACGCCGGTGCGGGATCCGCCGCGCCAGTCGTCCGACTCGGCGACTGTGACTGCGACTTCGATCAGGCGGCGGCACTCGGATCCCTTGTATGTGCAGGAGATCTGAGGGTCCTGGGAGAGGGAGTAGAAGCGTGGCATGAGGGTGTTAAGGACGGAAAGAAGGTGGTCGAGGGGTGGCTGAGAGGAGGGGAAGGCGTGGAGGAGCTGCGAGAGAGAGACAAAGGAGCTGGTGCGGAGATCGCAGAAGGCGCCTTGGCCCTGTGCGGATGACAGATATTCCAGGATCTTCTTCTCGTTGGGCTCGCTGCTGTGCTCGGCGAGAAGACGGAAGAGAGGCTTTGTCGGGGCGTAAGACTGGATATCAGAGCACCAGCTGAGAACTTCGCGGCGGGTTGTGATCAGCTCACGGGGCTTGTCGTCGCCCCAGATTGTGGGCCAGCGACCGTTGGTGGTGCGCATGAGAATCTTTTTATCACGCATTGAACGAGGCACACCAAGCAGGTTCAGCACATCTTCGACTTCCGAATCCTTGTTCTTGGGACACACGCCGATTGCACCTCCGACAACAAAGTCAACCATCCCGCTTTCGGCGGGGTAGTCCGTGACGTCGATATCGAAATGGTAGGTGCGCTTCTCCGCACCGGGCCCAGTCAACTCACGGGCGTGATAGAGAGGCGCACGGTACACTTGATAAGGAGGATGCGGCTGCACAAACTCTGGGGGGTGGTCTGCGGGGCCGAATGCCATAGCAGCAGCTGATGCGGGGACCGGCTTGAATGAGACGGTCTTCTCAGGAAGCGGAGCAATGCCGGAGAGCTCACTGTCCATGGTCAGGAAGGCAAGGTTCAGCTTCAGGCTGTCGAACGCATTGTTACTGCAGGGTCCAACAATGGCATTGAAGCCTGAAATAGGACCATCTACAGGGCGCAATGCTTGTCCCTGGCAACAACCCCCACCACAGCAGAGAGAATCGAGCTTCTGAGTACCTGCGGTGCCAACCGTTCCCAACACCCGTCTCATATCATCCGAGTTCTGGGAGATCAGGACGGTCGACGCCCGTCGTCGTTGGCGGCTGCCATCGTCCTTTTCGGTTGCAAGCTCTTCATCCGATTGCGACTCGGGCGGTGTCAGAGGAGTAGCGGAAGAAAAATCTGTGTCGGCCGACTCGGTGGTTTGTGAGGATCCAGAGGAAATGACATTGAAGTTGGTGTCGGTCACCGAAAGAGCACGCACGCCTCGAGGCTCTTCGGGAATTGGGTTATCTGGGTGCGAAGTGGAGGACACCGGAATATCCTGATAAGTGCCTCTGCGGGTGCGAGGCCCCGTGGAAGCATACGTTGCCGATGGCATGACGGATTGAACTGCGTGAACTGCGAACTGTCAGATTGAGTGTTTATGTCGTTTGGATTTTCGTAGCATACCCATGGGGGTGAAGTGTAGAGGGGTGGTGACGACGGAGGCAAACCGACGTGAGAGGAGATTCCGAGTATAAGAATCAAGACGTCACAAACTGTCAGAAACTAATGAACCCCTTTTTTGTTGACCCTTTCCAAGACAAGTCAAGAGAAGAGAGGGTGGGATGAGGTGTGGAAGCGTGGACCCGAGGAATTCTTCGGGATGGCAGTTCCGCAGAAATAGGGATGCGTCGGTAAGGATTTATCAGATTTGCCACCGGGTATGTTACACTTTTCCGGCAATCCAACACGATATTTCTTATTGAGCTTTGCATAAGGACTTGGTAATACGGATCTTACTACTGGATATGGTGTGTCTCCATTTGGGGCTATTGTATCCATCTCTCCAGATCGACAGTGCATGGGAAAGTTGTAAAGCGATTACCCTATTACCGGTGGCGTGAACGGAACCCGAAGCGATTGCCGGCTCCAGACCGGAGCCCACCATACTGTAGACATGGCATGTTTACTGTCCAGAGCAATCAGGAAGGACGATACCCGAGTGGTCCGACCGAATAAAGGGGAAGAATCACATCACAGGAAATTAAAGGGAAACAAAGAGGGAAAAAAAGACACCCAAGCCGACCTCGGTTATCAGATCAATCAGATAATACGTGTATTGTATTACATAACATCTGATAACCCGTGACAGCTTGGACTCCACCCTCGACTTCGACAGGATCCTGCGATACTAGTTACATACTATTACTTTGATGGACTCCACGATCAAATTACTTCTAGAATTTAATCTGTACATGTTCCCTTACCTGCTTCTTCATCTCGAGATAGATCATCCTATCGACTCCCCCCCACTTTCTGAATCGTCGGGCATCACCAGCCAGCCTCGTTGGCTACTAACTTCAAGACAAACCCACTAGTCCTATCCCTGCCGGTATGCCCGGTACCAGGTACAGGTCAAAGGTACTCGGTACTTTTGCCCGATCCCTCAACGCCAGATCATTTCCCAACCACCGGGTCCGGAGTGGGTAACGCAAGCCGTTCGATATCAATCAGTGGGGCCTATTGGATGTTCCGCCCTGTTCTAGAAAATAGGATGGCCCGATTCGTGAAACCTGCCCCTGGGGCGAGTTCCCAGACAGCTAGTCTGGCCTCCTAGTCTGGCCTTCTGGCCTCCGTGTCCGTCTCGGTCTCCCATCCTGTTGGAATAGGGAGGAGCTGTGTTTGGGACCTGAGCCGTGGGGCGGCTGACTGCTGACTTTGCATCCACTTTACTCGACGGTGTAACCGTATCTGTATTTACATTAACACATAGCTTGAAACATGCTTGAACCTTGCTTCGTGGCTTTCTACAAGTAACATTCGGTATGTGTGTGTCGGTATGTGTGTGTACTGTACAGGACTCAGGCTTGGATTGCTCCACTCTTGTCGCGGGTTGAGGATGCAAGGTTGTTCGCTTGGCTTCCCGTCTCAACGTTTCCATCTGATAACTTTGTCGGGAACTTGAGCTTGGACGTTGGACGGGTCTGAATCGAGTAACTATCAACAAAGGAGCCAATGTACCAGTACTTGTCACGTCATATTTTCCCAGTAGCAATGTACAGTACTCTGTACAGGACACATAATAAATCAGTGCTAACCCAGGTACAATAAAGAAATACGTTCATGTAAAGCCGAACAGAATATTCTATATACACCCCCATCACCATAGCCCTAAGTCAGAGCATCAATCAAGAAGAAAAAGAAAATACATGTACTCATCAGGAAAAAAAAAAGGAGAAAGCCCAGACCAATCCCAAGCCTAGGCTCCGTTTTCCAAGGCTGCAGCCGAGACCGCTTAAAGATCTTCAGCCCTCTTGACCAAAGCCACAGGCGGAATAAAATGATGTCTCCCCCTAACCCAATAGTAAACAGACGCCGATCCAATGACGCCAGCATACATCAACACACTCCAGTTCATCGTCTCTGCCGTCACATCAGTGGTGAGGGGGAAGAACGCAAAAACAAACATCGGGCACAAAAACGCCAGAGCCCCTAGATTGACCGCCACACCGAATTTCCCCAGTGTCCACCGATGCTTCGGAAGTGATTCTCCGCGAAGTCGTTTGAGCAGCACACAGCCAATAGAGACGATATACGCCGACAGCAATGACGTTATGGTCAGTGATATGACCGCATTGAGGGCGACCTGGGATCCGATGTTGATCATTGAGAGGAGGATCGTTACTATTAGTGAGACCATCACCGAGTTGAGAGGGATATTCCAGCCCGGTGTGACCTGATTGTTTGGTCCTAAGTTAACCATTTCTGTTCTTTTTTTTTTTTTTGTTCTGTGGTATTGTTGCACTGGACGGACTTACATATGCGAAGAATGACGAAAATGGCAGACCCTCGTCACGAGCAAACGACCAAAGTTGTCGGGATGCGGTCGCTACTTCGGTGATTGTGCTGGCTGTCAGTGTAACCACTAGTACGACCGTCATCGCGTTGGTAGCGGCTAAACTGCCAGTTGTGTTGTAGAAGATCTGGATGAATGGGAATCCAGTTGGGCTATCGAGGACTTTGTCGACTTCGCCTAGAGTAAAGCACAAGGTGACCAACATGACAAAGCCTAGCACGCCGTTAACGGCAACAGAAGTCATCATAGCCTTGGGCAAAGTCTCTGATGCGTCTTTGATTTCCTCAGCTAATAGTAGTCAGGCGTTAGTGAGACATGTCTAAGGAACGGGATCAACTGTCGAGCCTTACACATATGCACCGCGCAGTCATAGCCTAGCATCGACGTGATGGTAGTTGATAAGCCGACGAGCGTAGCCGTGCCCGAATTATCCCAGCCACCCCCGTTATTGAACGTGGTGAAGACTGCACGAGCATTGTTCCGTGGTGCGAGAACCCACAACGGGATGATGATAGCGAACAGGCCGACAACATGAATTATCAGGATGAGTCCTTCCACAAAGGGTAGGTTCTTGGCTAAGAATGTGTTGAATAGAATTGAAAATGTCGAGATGGCTATCACAAGCATTGTTCCATGCCATCTTTGGAAGTCGTAGTCTGGTTGGTTTAATACAATCAGACCTTGGACGATAGTGCCGGCGAGGTAGGCGATCGATACAATGGCACATTGCCACCCCATGGCAGATAGCCAGCCTGAGATGAACTGTCAGCCCCATGTCTTCACCGATAGATTGAACCATAGTACCAGTGATATAACTGAGGAACTTCTGTCCCCATTTCGGTGCAAATTCAGAAACCCAGTGGTATTGTCCCCCGGCAGTGGGGGCCCTACACGAGGTTGGCTCATTAGCGACGGTGATCTGGGTTACCAGAAAATGAAAGCAACAACTTACATGGAAGCCATCTCAGCTATACTGGCATACACCAGAGTAAAGCCAAGAGAGACGCCAACAAATCCCCATATCAAACCCGCTGTACCGCCATCGGTCAAGCCAGCCGATAACAATCTATAAATGGAGTCAGGGTCAGTATTTGCATGACCACATGGCAGGGATAGACATGACCGTACGTTAAAATCACCTCCCATGTGCAGATCAAGGTACATCCGAAACCAACAATTGAAATGAAACGAAAGTTCCTCTTAGCTTGATGTCAGCGAGCTGAATTGGTTACTGGAAGTTGAGTCGTCTTACTCGCAAGACTTGCACTCGACCGAGAGCATTCATATCGCGTTGATCGGCCCTGGTGCCCATATAACGTGGTGCGACAAGGCCTTTCTGTGCATATTCTTCGTCATTGTCTTCATCGTGGTCAGTCATCGTCAGCTGTGAATCCGGCTTTGAGCGGTTGAAAATGGCCATCTTGAAGATAGCACCGATTAAACAACCAGCTCAGCGAACAAGACAAGACAGAATAGTTCTTCCCCGCAGTGAAGGGAGATTTCCAGAATAAAAGAATGCCCAATATCTCCGCCGTGCTCTACGCAACGCCCGGAAGGATCAAGGGTCAGAAGTATAAACGCGCCCGGAAATATTCCACCACGGATCAAAAGTCCGGACGTTCCAAAAGAAGCAGGTATTAGGAGAGAGACCAAAGCGTCCGAGTCATAATGGCCAATGCATTACAAGACTTAGGAGGGGGGCGTGGAATTGGCGTGGGAGCAAGGCATGGCCTAGGAGGAATTCTCGCGAGAGATACCATGTGGGAACTAGAAATTAGACACGACCAACTTCGAGTGACACATCTTTCAGAAGATGGGACAACGATCAGTCGGGCCAACTTTGCTAGACTCATTTCTTGGGGCGTTTGATGATTATCCCTTGGTTCTGCCTGGAATGGGACTATTGGGACCTTGCATGCCGAGGGACGTGCATTTTGATTCAGGCTTGATTTATTGGCATTGAGGCTATTGTATATGAGAGCCATCCTTTTTCCCCTGTTTGCCATGTTGATATCCGCTCCTTATTTGGAGAATTGCAATTCGAACCAGACATAGTGGAGCTCATTCGATCAGTCAAGATGTATCCAGCCAGTACGCATCACTTCATTTTTAATGCAACGCACTAAGCTCAAGTACAGGGCCCAACTCCCTCCCTTGATGCTTATCCCCCAGATATTCCACAAGCCACGCCCTAGCCCAAGACTGTGGGCTGCAGCCCCTCGCTTTCTTTGTTCGAAGCAACAGATACAGCCTATCGGAGACACGCCGCACCATCCACGCTCCATACCTTTCAAGGGGCGTGCATGTTGATCTACAACCCTACGGCCCGCTGTGCCCTACATGAACCACTAACAGTCGATCATCGATAAACGCCATGGTCTCGACGTGAGGGCGTGAGGCAATAGTCATTCCATGCAAAGTGTGATCTCAGATTCGATCAAGTTCCAACAGTGGTGTCTTTATATTCCAATGCAGGCTCCAATGAGAAATGAGCAAAGGGATAATTCGATCCAGTACCACATCACCCGCCACGCACGGCTAATCCCAGTCAACACTGTTTGCATCCATCTTGCCTTGTCGTTCGGACCAGAAATATATTGAAGCCTGGAGAGCCCCATACATACATCTAAGCCAGATAGGTAGATCTGCGCCTCGATGAGCAAAAGTACATGTACAGTATCTCCATGTGATCGCCCAGCAGTGTAGTATAGCCCCATATCAGCATCCCATAAAGCAAGAGCTAGCAAGACCGAATTGCCTTGCGGTGCTTATCGTAGCCTGCATACCCTCACTCTTAATTGCCGCATGCCTCCACTGCTGTACATGGAAATGCAAAGTATACACCCGGAATCCCCAATCCCAATCTCAATCCCAATCCCGATTTCAAATCCAATTTCGCAGTCGATCCCTTTTCTCTTCTCATTCTACTGTCAAGCCCACATGGGTCTCCGATCTGACGTCTGACGGTCCACCCGTTTATATTTCCCATACACCATACCGTACATCCCCTCCCACATGTTTGCAACAAGCAGGAGACACTTTCAGGCCTCATCGTCCTGGTAATCAATTTTCTCCTGCTTCACCCTCCTCCAATCTTCCTGTGGTACAACCAAGGCCCCTGCCATGGGCGGCCCATACGTGCCCCCAGGCCAGTCGCCGCCCTTCGAGGTCGTCGATGAATTGCATCACGGGGCATGGGTGATTATCACAGCTGCGCTGGGACTGGTAATCTCCCTGGTCTGCTTCCTCATTCGACTTTATGTGAGACTTATGCTCATCCCGCCGTTCGCGAGGGATGACTGGGTATTATTGGGTGCTACTGTAAGTGCTGCGCGACAAAGACTGTACTATGTCTCAAGCAATTGCGATGTGGAAGTGGAAGCATTACTGATAAGATACATTGGCTTCGACTAGGCTCTCGCCGTAATACAATCAAGCCTGGTATTTTACGCCTGTTCGCGTGGATTCGGGACATCGCTTGCTCTTCTAATCGACGGTCGACTCAATCAGATCCAGGCAGTAAGTATTCTTCCGCTGCAACTCTCATGGTCGAAACTGAGCATCTAGTTAATCGCTACAAGCGATATCCTCGCTCTGTTCATCATATATCTCTCCAAATGCTGCGTCGTGGCTATCTACCTCCGCCTCACGCCGCAAAAACCACATAATCGAGCATCGTGGGCGACGTTAGCCCTATGCACGGCTTGGATCATCCCGGCTATATTTATCGTGTTGATCAACTGTGAACTTAATACTCCCTGGCGGGGAGACGGCGGTCAATGCAACAACCTAGTATGTACAAACACCCCCATCACCAACATCCAATCCGCATCTCACCCCCAGCGAACAGTTCCAAAGATGGCAGTTCATTGCCGCCGTCGATGTGATCACCGAGCTCCTCCTCTTCATCCTGGCAGTCTTACTCCTAAAAGGTCTTTTCATGTCTGTCAGACGCAAATTAGCCATCGGCTTTGCTTTTATATTCCGTTTCCCGTGAGTATCAATACCTACCCAGATCCAAAGACCCCATACTAATCCACTCTCCCCTCAAACAGTCTAATAATATTCTCTCTAACTCACTATTTCTCCCTGAACCACGCTCTTAAAAACAAAGACACAACCCTCGCCTCCGTCAACCCCGCTCTCTGGATGCAAGTCGAACTCCACTACGCCCTAGTCGCATGCAGCGTCTTCTGCCTCCGGCCCTTTATGGCAGCGGTAAGCACAAACTACGGCACAGCAGGCGATTCAACATTGGAGAGCAGTGCAAAGGGAAGCTCGAAGGATCAATCGGGCTCAGGAACCGGGACTGGGTCCGGATCAGGATCGAGGTCTGGTTCAAATTCGGCATCGGCAAGCAGGTCCAGATCCCACTCAAGAGTTCAGCGCAAGAGGGCCGGCACGGCGCGGTTCATGCCGCATCTAGATGCAGATGCGGGTTCGGGTCCGTTGGGCGCCGATGTTCCTGTGCCTTCTTCGTCGAGGGATGTGCTTTGTCGGGATGGGACTGTCTATGCGCATGGATCGCCGAGAACGAATGGCCCCGTTATGAGTGGTGGGTGTCCGAGACCGAAGCCGAGGCCGGATTCTGTTGAGGCTCCGCGTGTCCCGGTGCGCAGGTCTATGTTTTTCCTCGGTACTCCGCGCAAATCGGAGAGGGCGAAAAGACTTAGTTCGAGGAGTGGGGAGGGCAGGGGTTTCCCGGCGGATTCAGATTTGATTGAGCTTGTGCCGAGATTGCATGCAAGGCATGAGAGTCTTGATGAGCGGGGTGAGAGTGAGGATCCTGATAAGATGGTTATTCATAAGGAAATTCGGTATTCGATTCAATATGAGGAAGATGAGGATGTTCAAGGGAGGCCTTGTAAGCGGGAAGATCCGAGGAAGAATTGTATTGATGTTTCTGCTTGTGTATAGTATGGCTAGCCCTGTGTCAGGGGTTGTATTATTTGATTAGATATATACTGTCTACGCTAAAGTAGGGGTACTACTTGATGCATTCTTTGATGCTGAGTCTGTAGAATACGTGAGTGCCATTTTAGATCTTGGTCTTGTGATGAAGTACAACTCCTGAATGCCCGTAACGCCAGTATTGCCCAATGATTTGTGTAAAATTAACGAGATGCATCCGTCCGCTTGAAGGGGTGTGCTTCGGTGCTCCTGTGGATCATCGTTAGCCCATGTACGCATTGTGGTACCTTGGTTGGGAAATACACACAGAACATAGTCATCCAGACTGATATGATCCGGCTCGGAGAAGATGAGATAGAGGTATTTCAAGGTCTCAGCTAACCAAAAGCTTTCCATCTTATCAATCTGCTTCGGTCGTGTCTCGCGCACATCATCGATGGACGAGTGTCCGAAATTAGACCGAGTCGCCTTATCAATGTTCTGGAACATGCGCCATGCAGTATCCAGCAGGCTCTTGTCGCCAGTAATTCGATACATGATGAAGACGGACTCCAGTGCCTCGGGACTGAATAGATATGTCAGAATCGGATTTGAAACAGGAATACAAGGCCACAAACAAACTTACCGAAGGTTATACGATGAATCACGGATATCCGTAACACCAGGAGGGAACTTGTGAGCCTCAATCTGATCCGCAGCCCTCTCTCTGATTTCCTCATTATCGATAGACCGCGAGAGCACATCCGAGTACCACTGTTCTTCATCCCAAGGACAGTCATCATGGTGTCGGCAAGGACTGACCTTGAAGACCTCTGGCATGATACCCGTGGGCATAACATCATAAGCCCAGACACAACCGTCCGTCAGTCCTTTGGCGATATACATATCCTCGGGTCGATTGAAGACCTTTGCTCCGATCGCCACAGTCCCACCCATGAAACACTTCAGGTGGTCGGGCGTGTACTGGAACGACTTGGCATTACCTCTCATGGCAAGGACATTAGCCGCGAAGAGAATATGCTGATCCTCGTCTTTGGTCATCGCTCGGAAGAGTAGGTTTTCATTGAACGTTTCGATGGCCTTTTCGTACATTCGCCGATATTGGTCTGTCTGTGCGCCCAATAAGATGTGTGCTTTGGGGAAGTATTCATAGGCAGAATCGGCACATCCACCAATGGAGAATTCGGAATCGTCGAATTTCATCTCATCGGTGTTGATCCATGTTGGCCACAATCCAGGAATTCGCGTCTTGTCTTGTCCAATCTCGAGCTCGTTCATGATGCGCTGGACTGCGTCGTAATATCTGGGGTCTCCAGTCAATTGTGTTAGGCGAGTAAATTCCATTGTCAGGGAACCAATCTCCGCTAGACTGCTGCGAAGGGAGGGCTCAATTTCTTCGCCTTGGGCAGACCTGAGCACTGTCAATATATGATTCCTAATAATGTAGTGCGACCACCTAGTATCGCAGTCAACTGGACTCGCCACGGGGGAAATCTTACTTCATCCAGTCCCAGCGCATCTGTGGCATACGATTATGTGTATCAAACGCATTGAAAATCATATCACCAAGCTCCACAGCCTTTCTTAAAAGTACAGGATGCTTCCCCTGCGTCAAGTCGTGAGCGGCAATGAAACCACCCATATATCGAATGATGATTTCGAACACCGGAACCTGTTTACTAGCCGTAGTAGTAAAATCAATTTCCTCCAGAGCCTCGAGGGCCAGCTCGAGCTCGTCGTCCAGCCCCATAATAATCAGGGCATCAAGAGAATCAACCAGTGTGGCACCCCATCCATTGAACGTATCCTGATACCCTCCGGTCCTGGGTTTCACCTCATCGCGCAGCCACGCATTTTCCTTATAGCCATTCCAGGAATGCATGAATGCCTCCTTGACCGCCCTTTGCCGCTTGAGTCGTGAGTTTCGCTCGGTGTTGGTTTCGGGTTGGAAGTCATATTGGATGCGTGGGATGGATGCTGGGTTTGTTGGGAGCGGAATGAATTCTGACACTGGGTGGTGCTCTGTGACTTTATCTAAGCGAATTGCATTCTTGCGGACTGTGGTGTCTTTTCTAGAGATCGGTTTTGGTAGGCGCCTGTAGTATGATGTCGAGGGTAGCCAGAAGAATAGGACATATGTCGCGGTAATTAGGAAGATCGCGGTTTGAATAGGTCGAGTTTTGCGCTTGTAATACATAGTGAAAGGAAATGATGTAGAGAATGAAAAGTAATGAAAAGGAATGAAAGATATGAAAAGAGTGTAAGCGTGTTATTCAACCTCGGAAGTAACACATTCCATGGGAATTGGTCCCCTGTACAGAGTTGAGAAAAGTAAACAGAGAGACAGGAGACCCTTTTCAGGGTGACGCCATGTGGACGCACGTCACGGCTTGTGAGAGGTCTACAGTACAGTCGAGAGATAGACACGGCTGTGCAGCCCCATTGATCGACGGGGGGGTTTGGGGTTTGTAGACAAGATGCATATACAGACAGTCCTGATTGGTGTGTTTCCAGAATGTAACCCCCTTTGGCGTAAAGGCAAGGGCGAAGAAGTCCTTTGTATCCAGCACAAAGTTATTCTTAGACCAGTTTGGGTGTTTTCAGGTCTAGACTTGACAGTACTTTAGGTGGACTGTGCTAAGTCTTGAAGCCTGTACGCCACTACTCCACTGCGGCCCCTGACTCCATCGGCGTAGGGGCTTTTTTTTGTTGATCATTCCGATTTTGAGGTTTGGATTAGAAACATTCCTGTTGGCTGAAACATGGATAGATGATATTGAATCTATCTCAAGCCAGGACAATACTGACACTGGCAGCGCATAGTATGGAGTTTCAGTCTCATGAGTAGTTTAATCGAGGGATTCGACGCTGAAGGGAGGTTCAGTCTTTGCATGACGAAAGAGAAAACCCAATCATTTCCAATATAAAGCCAGATAGATGACCAGCTCCCCAAGAATCTCACAATGTGAAAATCAGAGGGATTTAGATCCAAGTACAGTTGAAGGAGCTTGGAGCTGCCCAGGTGGACTTGGGCCATGTTTGCACTGTTTGCACTGTTTGCACATCCACTCTTTCTTCGGAGTTGGAGATCTCGAATCTCTTTGGAGTTGTCGATGTATAAACCAAGTCTAGATTCAAGTCCAGGTAAGGGTCCGCACTGGTTAAAAATGCTTCGGTACTGATCATGCTGTAGGTTCCAAACTCTAAACTACATTCGTCCATTCTCTAAGCTGGACCCAAGCTGCCAACAGTCGTATTGATCGAGCTATATTGATCACCACAGCCCAATCTCGATACTTCAGCTCCTGTGGTAGGACAATAAGCGCACAGAGACTTCTAAAACAGCTTGGTCATTTCGGTCGTTGATAGCTGCCGTGTGAACCAACACCGCCGGGATTTTTTCTCCTTCATCCCTATTCATCTACCAACAAAACGACATCCAAAATGCCTATCACCGGGTAATTACTATATGCACCAGCACTTCAGAACTTCAAACTAACACTCTCAAGCGTCTACTTCATCCCGTCTATGCCTAATGCCACAACGGCCTTACCGGCAGTAACAGAGCGCCTTCGCGCAGCCTTCACAGACGAAGAACTAACTCCAATCGGCCGCTGGGGCCTGGAACAAAAACTATTCCGCGACACCCCAGGACTAGTCCCAGCATCAGCAAACTCCAACAAAAAAGCCTCGAATCCGCGGTACATGCAATTCCTCTCACTAACCCACTACCCAACCCACGGCTTCATCTACACCTCCGAGCCAGCAGACCTGCAACAGGCTGTAGCAGTCACTGGAAACCCAACGCCCGTTCCAGCACAGAGTCCAGCAGCAGCCACCCAATCCCAGCCCCAAAATGCAAATGCAAACGCAAACGCCAGAGAAATTGGTAATGGAATCCAAAACGGGATCACATCAACCCCCGAAACCCCCAGGATGATAATGACAACTATCCCCCCATCCTCCTACACATCCCTCTTCCAACACTTCACCTACGCCTGCCAACCCTTCTGGTGCCACCGCCTCACATTGACAGTTCCCAACGGAATAGTCTACGACATTGGCGATTTCCGCGTGCGACTCGGCGACGTGCGACAGACCGTCCCGACGGCCCGGGTGCGCGGTACCGTTGTTGAAATTGAGTGGCGGGGACCGTCTGTTGTGGAGGCTTTGCCTGGCTTTGACAAGCATCGGCAAGATACCAACGGCGGCGCTATTGGTGGTGACGATTCAGGTGTTGAGCTTTCCTTTTCGGATATTGAGGAGTCGGATGTTGAGGCAGAGTATGTGGCTACTGCGCAGCTGATTCGGGAGTTTTGGGGGAGATTGGGGCTTGAGGCTAAGGAGGCTGTTCTTGTTCCTGGGATTGGGAAGGAGGTTTTGGAGAGGCTGAGGAGGGTTAAGGGGGGTGAGTCTTTGAGGAAGGAGGGTGATAGGAGGGTTGGGGAGGTTGTTGGTGCTGAGCGATATGAAGAGGATTTGGATCCTTCTGCTGGGACGGATGTTGCTAGGCAGTTTATGGAGGTTTTGCGGTTCAATCGTTAGATTGATATTGCAGACTTACTACGCATATTACACAGCATTTCTTAATACTTTGTTTTGGATGGCGGAGGAAAAAGAGAAAGAGAGCAAGAGGGAGGGAGAGAGATCATTCGTATCTGAACACTTAGTTCAAAGCACCGCCCTAAATTCCGTCTACAAAAGCACACGCTTGATCATGAATCGTCCAAGAAATATAGTCTGACGAGAATAGACTACACGAAACCGGTATTGGAAATGAGATGGGAAGATATCATCGAAAAGAAACATCGTTTGAAACCCCGACTTCAACTAACAGGGAAAGGACACGAGGGGAATGCATTATTTATTTTTGCATCATGAGCTGGACGAACTCGTTGTCTGAAAGAATTCGAGGTTAGCATTTGGTGGGTCAACTGGTGAACATGAACATACAATCGATCCGGCCATCACCATCCTGGTCCGCCTCGCGGATCATCTCGTCAACCTCGTCATCGGTAAGCTTCTCACCGATGGAGGTCATGACGTGGCGCAACTCAGCAGCGGAGATAAAGCCGTTGTTGTCGCGGTCGAACACCTTGAAGGCCTCGCGGATCTCTTCCTCGGAATCGGTGTCCTTCATCTTGCGGGCCATCATGGTCAAGAATTCTATCGGCGGGTCAACATCCGTTTCGCAGAGGGTCTAGTGGACACGGGAAAGTACCGGGGAAGTCAATGGTGCCGTTGTTGTCGGCGTCAACCTCGTTGATCATGTCCTGCAGCTCGGACTCGGAGGGGTTCTGGCCCAGCGAGCGCATGACGGTGCCAAGCTCCTTGGTGGTGATTTGTCCTGGAGGACGCGTCGGTCTTAGTATATCGTCCTCATTCAATTCAGGATAGAGCGAACGGCTGCCAGCCCACTCGGGAGTTCATGGGCGAGGTCACACTTACCATCGCCATCCTTGTCCTATTTCGCAACCAAGCCGTCAGTATGTTGTCCAGCTGTCACACCTTCAATCCGGGGATGTGGTCACTTACAAACAGGGAGAAGGCCTCCTTGTACTCAGAAACTTGCTCTTCGGTCAGAGAATCAGCCTAGATGCGGTGCGGCGTCAGCGAGATTCAGACAGGATGCCCCGCATGGTGGGGTATTTATTTTTGCAGAGCAGGTTTGGGGACGAGAACAGTGAGACGTACCATAGTGAAGATAGATGGCAAAAATGTAGAGAGTGGGAAATGTCAAAAGGAGGGGTCAAACGGGGAAATGAAGAAGAGTTTAAGGGGGACAGCCTTACCAGACCAAAATAGCGTGCCTGAGGTGCCCAGTCAGCGTTGTTTCACCGCAGGGCGGTGGGAGCCCCAGGGCTGAACAGCTGACGCTGGCTAAACTACTATGAGTATCGGAGTATCTTAGCTTCTGACTATCTGAGTCTATATATTCTCAGTCTGCTTCTCTAGATTTGGATGTTAGGGCGGGCTCAAAGCTTGGTCTGAAGCTAACTCTTTATGTAGCTAGATATATCCCCCAAGCCTTTTTCACCTACTACCGACAGCTTACATTTTTAGCAGACTCTATTAGTCTCCATTCATCTCTGACTGCGGGGCATACCAGATGGACCAATCAATATTCCAGAGACCATCTCACAAATTCTATACCACAGCCTTAGATATGGAACTGGGTCACTAATATTTACCATATTGCGTACGAGACCAGAATCTGGGGTATGTCACTCAGTAACATTGCCTATCATACAATGCAGGACATAATAAGGAAAAGTCGATATATAATTGACATTTCATTACTTTATACTAAAAGTAAACAGTCTTTTCTCATGTACAGTAGTGTTCCTGACTGCCCGTATCAGATTATAGGACAATACCATAAATACATTTCCCAATGTGGACCGTATCTACCATTACATAACCAATACCGGCCACCCTTTCAACCTCCGACCTGCATGTGGAGAGAGTCCGGAGCTCCTGTCACCCCAGACACACACCTCTTGCCCTGCAATCCAGATCATGATTCCTATAACAAACCAATAAACACACCCAACCAGATCCCCAAAACACCCACACAATGTGGCGGGATCGCACCAACCTGTATGCCTCCCCTCCCACCCAATCCCATACCCCATCCGGAACCACAGGCGCAGACCAAACCCGTCATCGCAAAAGAATAAAACCACCAAGCACCAAATGAAACCCACCCCGAATAACCCCCCATGCTAACAACTCACCCCCAACAACCAGCTACCTCTCCTACCGCCAATCCCTAATCCACCACCCAGCCAAGAAACCCGCCTTCGGCACCACCTCCTCAAATGGCTTCGCCGACACGCCCTCCCACCCCGAAGAAAACAGACGCCTAATCAGCGACACAGACGAAGATGGCGACATGGTCATCGAAATGGACCTTCTCCCCCCACGCTGGGCAGACGTGCAGGAGGAGGTCTCCGAGCTGTTAGCAGACATCGCCCAGAAATCCGCCCAGCTGGATAAGCTGCATCAGAAACATCTGCTGCCGGGCTTTGGGGATGAGGACCTGCGCAAACAAGACGAGGGCGTGATCGAGCGCCTCACGCAGGATATCACGCGCGCGTTCCATGATTGCCAGCGTTCGATTCAGCGCATTGAGGCCATGGTGCTTGATTCTAGGGCGCAGGGCAGCGTCAGTTCCGGGGAGGAGACTATGGCGAAGAATATTCAGATTTCCTTGGCTGCGAGGGTGCAGGAGGCTAGTGCGCGCTTTAGGAAGAAGCAGAGTACTTATTTGCGGAGTATGTTGTCCCTTATTTTCTTCTTCTTGAACCTCTTTTCCGAGGTGGATGGGGTCGGTGCTGACTGTTGGATGTGTGATGGACAGAGCTGAGAGATTTGGAGGGCATTGCGACGCCGTTTGATGGTGTCGTGCAAGCACAGAATCCATACACGGATCCGTCGATGATGGAGTCTGATGCGGATCGATCATTTTCGCAGACCATGTTGCAGCAGACTTCGCAGCGGAGCACGGGGACGAATGATGCTGCGATTGCGCAGCGAGAACGGGAAATCAATGATATCGCAAAGGGAATTATTGAGTTGTCGGATATCTTCCGCGAGCTACAGAGTATGATCATCGACCAAGGGACCATGCTTGACCGGATAGATTACAACGTTGAACGAATGGGCACTGAGGTGAAGGCTGCAGATAAGGAATTGAAAGTGGTATGTGTTGCCTGGTTCTTCATCGTCTTCACATTGACTGGAATCTAACTGACTGGACTTTAGGCAACCGGCTACCAGCGACGAACTACCAAACGCAAGGTCATGATCTTGCTTCTGCTCCTTGTAGTAGGATTGATTATTGTTCTGGTAATCAAACCCAAGGGAGGCAGCTCCGCACCCCCGCCGCCACCTGAAGATGAATCCTCGAACAATATCCGTCGCTCTGTGGCTTCTGTGAACCGGGGCCGGGGACATCATTTATCAACTCGATTCGCGCGAGATCGTTGGATGGACCCTGATATATTTCGATGATCTTACAAATAGCATTGATTAATAGTCAATTTGACCAGAAGACCATAACTTTGCTTATGGAATTAATGTACATTTATATTGGACAAGTCATGCCTGGTAACTTTCCATTCTAGTGCCCACAGCTGAATGAATCGGGAACGAGTAAAGGCTAGCGCGGAGGAGTATGCTGTTAGTAAATCCACGTAGTTTTAGTTGAAGATATACATGTGCAGCGATCTTGGCCAGGTTGACATGTTCTAAATTGAAAAACTGGCATTTGGAGAAGTCGACCATGGTTGTACCGTGATTCGCTTCTCATACATGAATGGTATTCGAAATAAAAATGTGAATAAAGTCGGGAAAACGGAGAAAAGAAACAACAAAGAAAAGGATAAATCACATCGCAGCCGATTAGAACCACACAGGAACAGAAGATCATGGACCTACTTGCCCTGGCTGGCAAGCAATGCAGCAACGTCATCATCCAGATCACCACCTGCAAACTCCGAGTAGTCTTCCTCGCCGTGAGAAATCTTGCGTCGCTTTGCCTGTCCATCAGCAGAGAGATCAATGTCATTGCCATGGCCCAGGGGAAGAGTGCCTGAAGCTCCATTACCTGCTGGGACTACGTCAGAGGGAATTCCGAGGTTGGCCCAGTCTGGGGTCTCCTCTTCGTCCGCGTCTTCGGTGAAGGGTCCACGGCGGATCGGCTGCTTCTCGATTTGCTGCTTCTCAGGCTGTGGGGATCCGACGGGAGTGATAGCTTCAACTGGGGGTGGAGTCAACGCCTCAACCTCGGGACGGGCGACGGACTCGTCATGGCCGCCCTCGCCAGCTGCAGCGGAGTTGTCTTCGCTCGAGATGCCGCGCATAATGGCATCCTCGACTTCGTGCTTCTTGATGTCAACCTGGGTCTTCTTTGCAGAGATATCGGTGCCGATGGCCTCTTCCTTGGCAAGCTCTGCGCGATTGGTCTGAAGCATCTTCTCGAGTCCATCGATCAATGCGCGACGCGACTTGATCACCTCAGAGACTGAGCTCTCGGCATTGGCGAGAGACTTCAAGAGCTGACTTAAACGTGCAGCTTGGACAGGCGGAGTAGGCTGTGGGTTCTTAGGGTCATGCAGTTTCTCGAATTCGGCAGTCGCAGTTGTGGCAGACGAGTTGGAGCTAAGAGCGGCCTTGGAGACAGCAACCTGCAACGGGACCAATGGCTGAATTTCGGACGGAGTGGATCCAGATGAACTGTCCTTGAAGAATGAGCCTCCAAGGGTTTGCTTCTTGGTGGTAGAGCGAGTCTTGTCGATTTCTAAAGTATAAATTAGCTCAATGCTCCAAGCATAGTCAAGTGGTTCAACTCACCATCTATAGTAGCTTCCACTGCATCCAGAATCGGTCTCTCAAACACATTGCGTTGTCTCCAAACCTCCACAACACGGCGGATTCTCTGTTGGAAGTCGTTCGAGTTACCCTTGTAAGCTGCAGCCGTAGCTTCAACGACGATCTGTTTTTCCGTCAGCGTGTGTCGAGCAACCATATATTGAGAGACTGACCGGAGAAAATGCAATCAGGAAATCATCCTTTCCACGCGCCTTGGATTGTTGAGCCACCTCTGCAAATGTGTTAGTGGACAGAGAGGAGCTCGAGTACGGAACGACACCTACCATTCGCCAGGTAGATCAAGTTGAGACGTTTGGGAGGAGGGGATTCGCGAATTCTTTGGAGCCAGATTTGGCCAGTTCGTTCTGCGTGTCGTCTGGAGTAGTCTATATTAGCAGAGCCCTTGGTCTCAGAAGCAGTGTTAGGTACCTGTGGAACATGACCCATTGCGCAACAGTAACGATGCTCTCCTGGGAGTCATTGAGAGCCGAGAGCTTTGCCTTGACAGCATCATCGGTGTAGGCCATGATGAAAACAATAGATCGGATGTAGGGATTCGAAAGTGAGTTTTGTAAGAGTACGTGTCAGATCGTTAAAGTCGAAGTCGCAAGATCAACTGAAGATCGAACTTGGAGTGAAGTCGACGAACTAGGCAACGGCGACAATGAAGAGCTCAGTTCACACCTGCCAGCTGAAGAACAACGTCAGTAAATAAAACCCAACACCCAGTTGAAACTTTTCTTCTTCTGTCAAGTTTGCGATCTCTTGAGCTTCCAATTGCTTCAATGACTACCAACATGCAGACCGCCCAGCTGGCAGAATGGGACGGGGCCTCGCCGCCCGTGTTGACACCCGTGGCCATCTCAACCTCGCTGATCGACCTTTCCGACTCTGATTCTGACAAAGGCTTTACTACTCCTCCCAGTCACTTCACTCACACTATCAAGATGGCTGACCGATTCCCCTCTCTGGAGGACTTCTCTGAGGGTATGCAACCCGCCTTACTGCCTTGCCGCTACATCGGAGCTAACATGACCCGCATTTAGGCCAGACCGAAGTGGCCGATACTCAGCGCACCTCCGGAGATGACTTCCTTGCTCGTGAGCGTGCTGCTCTTGGTGAAGATGCCGACCAATTCGCTACCGCTCAAGACCACGTTGGCGATGAGAACATCAACGCGGGGAACGACCTACTAGGCGGAGATGACGATGAGCCCGTGGAGGAGATTGGCCAATTTGAGTCGTCTTTCCCATCAATGGAGACCCAGACACAGAATGAGGTATGGGATTGCCATTGCCTATCTCCTGATGAGATTACAGTATGCTGACCAGGGGTTCCTCCCACGCAGCGCGTTGCCCCCGGTGGTACCATTACTGGATCCGGCTCTCCTTTCCCCGCTACCGGCTACCAGAGCACTCAAAATGATGAGGATGAGGGTCAATTCGTTCGGTAAGTTACCTCTGAGAACACGGATACCCGGCGCATACCACCTCGGAACCGTATTCGGTTTCCTTTGATCAATGACATCAAGCTAACTTGACATCTCACTCTGCAGCGAATGGCGTGAGAAGCGTGACGCCGAGATTTCCCGTCGTGAGGAGATTGCCGCCGAGAAGAAGGCCGAGAGAATCGCAAAGGCCAAGGAGGACATCGATGCTTTCTACCTTTCCTACAACAACAAGGCCGACAAGGGCCGTGCCCAGACCCGCTCCGAAGCCGAACAATTTGTTGCCAGCCGAGAGGATACTTCCGCTGGAGGCACAAGCTGGGAGCGCATTGCTAAACTGGTTGATGTTTCGGGCAAGGGCTCCGCAGGCGGTGCCAGCGGCTCCGGAAAGGAGCGCTTCCGCGAGTTGTTGACCGAGCTCAAGAAGGACCAGGAAGCACCCGGAGCTAGTGGAATCTAGATAAAGCACTTAGATACTTAAGGGTCCGGGGAGCGGGAGTCTGGGGTTGAAGGATGCGGTGACAATGAACTTGAGCTGGCCGCTGCGTCTCTTGTTCTCTATCTTCTTTTTTTACTCCACGCAGCAAACCGTCCAGGGAGATCGATCTGTAATTTAGTCTCAAATCGATAGCATCGTTAATACCAAGGTTTTTTTCTTTTCTTTGTCTATTACCTGTTCAGCGGTAGGGCAGTGTCTTATCAATGATTCAGGTAGGATAGTCAAGTAAACTTATGTCCGCGGACAGGTTATGAATATTCTACGGTAAATCTTCGAACGTAAGATGTTCATACAATTGCTTTTGGGATATCCTTAGTCAAGTTCAGTCACGTCGCCACCAGGCTCGCCAACCTCCTCCTTGCCCTCTGCCTCCAGCTCCTTCAGCTTCTTCTGGCCCTCTTCCGTTGTAGCATCAACGATACCTTCCTCAAGGCTGAGCATACCACCGTTGCCCAATTGCTCCACGACAACCTCGGCCTCCTCAACGGTCATGTTGCCGAGAACCTTGTTCACCTCATCGAGGGACTCGGTCTCTAGTGCCTTCTGCAGGTCCTTAGGGAAAGCGTCAAAGATCTTGCGCACCTCGATCTCGGTGGGATCCTGGCTGTCGGCAGCGGGGAGGTTGATAGTGATCTTGGTGTTGGGGTCAACGGCATGAAGCTGAATCTGCTCTACACCAGCAGGGTCATTAGATGCTGAGTTCTCCTTGCTGAGTTCGGCGGCGCGAGACTTGATACGGAAGTAGGTATCGTTCACGTCATTGAGGAACAGGGTTGATGCGCGGTGGTCTTTGGTGGTGATACTGATATATATGTTAGCTCGGAGTCAAACATTGAAAGAATAATGATACATACCGAGTGAAGAATAACTGGATACCATCACGGCCGAGAGACCGGCAGTATTGCAGCAGCAAACCTTGGTGGACACATTGACGGGCGTAATCCCCATTACCCTTGAGCTGGCTGTTAAATGCTTCTACGAGCAGACCGTCTGTCTCCCTCTCGGCGACAATCTCCGGGTTGGCAGAGATGAACTGTAAAAAGGCCTTGTAGTCACCAGGCTTGAGTTGAGCAAACTTCTTTCCTAGAGGGCTGATTTCCATGTCGGCGGGATCGTCATCATCGCCCTCATCGTCGGCAGCTGATGCGGAACTTCCCGCACCTGGGTTCAGCAGCTCAACGGAGCTCTCCTTGTTCTTAGAAGCAGCCTTCGCCTGCTCCGCCTTAGAGACGTGCGATTGGTTGAAGCCCTCATGCATCTGGTCACTGGTGATCTTCGCGCCTTCTTCCTTCTCAAGCTGTGCAAGCTTTGCGAACAATTCCTTCTGGAGACTCTGGACCTTTTCCAAGTGTCCCGTCACTCCCTTGATGTATGCCTTGAAGAGGTTGTCTGGCTTGGAGTCTTCAAACTCCTTCTTCACCTGGTCAACCAAAGAACTCATCATCGCAGAGAACTTGGGCTGTTCCTTCTCGTGTGTGTAGACTCCTTGTGGCGGGGCAGGAGCTTGGTCCTCGGCGGGGTTGCTGGCGAAGTCCATTATGGTTTGGAAAATGAACTCATCGGGGGATGCAGATGAGTCTTCATGCTTCTTGAGAGATTCCAAGAGCTTATCGATGCGCGACAAAAGTCCGTCGTTGATAATGCGCTCGTACTTGAGCGTCTTGATCTCATGACGACGCTGCTCTCGTTGCTGGTGAATCTGGGCCTGCTTGGCGCGGATGAACGACTTTTTATCGACATTGGGGTGGACCTCGACGTCCGAATCATCGGAGAGCTCCAGAGCGTCCCATTTGCTGTAGTCAAGAACCATCTTGGCTGACAGTGAAGTTATACAGTATGAGGTGGGGTAGGTATCAGCAAAGGTGGGAGGGTCACGTCGTGCAAGGACGGTCGTGTAGTGCAGCAGTAGCAAAGAAGCTGAACAATATCGTAATGAGGTGAACGGACACAAGTTCAAATTGACTATAAACAAAGCTTCCGGCGCCAAAATAAACGAAGCATCGAAAGCCCTCGACCGGCTTCTATAGGCGGTAGAGCAGGGCAGAATCAGCCCCCGAAAACCGCTTGCCGATGGCCGCGGGCGTCGGAGCTCCAGATCTCATCATATCTCAACATCGCTGGCACCTTCAAAGAGTGATTGACTGCCATGTGATGGTCTCGAACTGAATATACTCAATCAGATATGCCATGTCTTGGTCTCTTTCCTTGACATCTTAATTCCGTTTCGAGCCTCTTCCGATCCAACTCCGAGATGCGCGGTAGCCGGTTCCCAGTGTCCTTAGCCCTGGGCGTTAGCCCACGGCAGATCTTGAGACCATACAGTTCCTTTACTCGCGATCTACTCCTCAAAAAGACTTCGCCTTCAGTGGCTCCCAGCGATCACAATGGGTTGAACCGACTCTACTCAACCGCATCGGGAGCCCTCCGCGACGGGTCCAGTCCGCTATTACTTCAACATAACCACGTCAAATATACCCATTCAGCGTCTCGCATTGTCTCCCAGACCCGCCTATTTTCCTCCACCACGAACCTTCTCCAAGTGAAACCACCCGCGTCCACGCCTCCCCAAGAGCAAGCCCAAAACCAAGCCTCCCGGTCGACTCCGGAACCGAAAGAAGATGAAGAAGACAAAGGATTTGAGTTGTCCGAGCGAGCGGCAAAAGCAGCGCAGGTCAACATGAGTGCTAGATTGGCCAAGGATGGCGCATCAGGCAAGAAGTCCGGATTCCAAGAAATCTGGCGACTCTTGAAGGTTGCACGTCCTGAATCCAAGGCCCTCGGCTTCGCTTTCTTCTTCCTCCTGATCTCCTCGTCTATCACTATGTCAATTCCCTTCTCCATTGGTAAAATTATGGACACCGCGACCAAGAGCGTCGCGGAGGGTGGCGGTGAACTATTCGGCTTAAGTCTCCCCATGTTCTACACTGCTCTTGGTGGAATCCTGCTTGTTGGTGCTGGTGCCAACTATGGGCGCATCATTATCCTCCGGATTGTCGGTGAGCGCATTGTTGCTAGACTTCGCTCCAAGCTTTTCCGCCAAACCTTCGTTCAGGATGCCGAATTCTTCGACGCGAACCGAGTTGGTGACCTGATCTCCCGACTCAGCTCCGACACCATCATTGTTGGCAAGAGTATCACCCAGAACTTGTCCGATGGATTGCGAGCTGCTGTTAGCGGTGCTGCTGGTTTCGGTCTGATGGCTTATACAAGCTTGAAGTTGTCCAGTATTTTGCTTCTGTTGCTTCCTCCGATTGGTCTTGGTGCTCTTTTCTATGGTCGTGCCATCAGAAACCTCAGTCGCAAGATTCAAAAGAACTTGGGATCTTTGACCAAGATTGCCGAAGAACGCTTGGGTAATGTGAAGACTAGTCAGTCATTTGCTGGTGAAGTCCTCGAGGTCAACCGCTACAATACCCAAGTTCGGAAGATCTTCAATCTTGGAAAGAAAGAATCCTTGATCAGTGCAACCTTCTTCAGTTCGGTAAGTTCGCTGAGATCACGAGGAATTTCTGCACTTAACTAACTCATTATTAGACTGGCTTGATGGGAAATATGACCATTCTGTGTCTGCTCTATGTTGGCGGTGGAATGGTTCAATCTGGTGCTATCAGTATCGGAGAACTGACCTCGTTCCTCATGTACACGGCATATGCCGGATCTAGCATGTTTGGCTTGTCCAGCTTCTACTCAGAACTGATGAAGGGCGTGGGTGCGGCAAGTCGACTCTTCGAGTTGCAAGACCGTCAGCCTACAATTCACCCCACCAAGGGCCTCAAGGTTGAGTCTGCCCGCGGTCCTATCAAATTTGAAAATGTCACATTCAGCTATCCCACCCGCCCCGCCGTGACGATCTTCCAGGATCTGAACTTCGAGATCCCCCAAGGAACGAATGTGGCAATCGTCGGACCGTCCGGTGGAGGTAAATCCACCATTGCCTCCATTCTGCTTCGATTCTACGGCCCTACCGAAGGTCGGGTTCTGATCAACGGCAAGGACATCAAGGGAATGAACGCCAAGTCCCTGCGCAGAAAGATTGGAGTCGTCTCACAAGAACCCGTCCTTTTCTCCGGTACGATTGCCGACAACATTTCTTATGGTCTGCCCAACGCTTCGAGATCAGAGATCGTCGCTGCCGCACGCAAGGCCAATTGTCAATTCATCAGTGACTTCCCCGACGGACTCGACACACACGTAGGAGCCCGCGGAGCCCAACTCTCCGGCGGCCAAAAACAGCGCATTGCCATCGCGCGTGCCCTGATCAAGGAACCCGATATTCTGATTCTCGACGAAGCCACCTCCGCGCTCGATGCCGAGTCCGAAACCCTCGTCAACAGCGCACTGGCAGCTCTCCTCCGCGGCAACAACACCACCATCAGCATCGCCCACCGCCTCTCCACCATCAAGCGGTCCGACACGATCATTGTCCTCGGCAATGACGGCAAGGTCGCCGAGCAAGGCTCATACGAGCAGCTCAGCTCCCGTGAAGGTGCCTTCTCCAAGCTGATGGAGTGGCAAATGAGCGGCGGCGAAACGGCCCACCCCCCTGCGCCAAAGCCTGTTGAAGCTGACCAGCTCTGGGAGCTCCAGAAGGAGGCCGAAGCCGAGCCGGAGCTGCAGGAGCTGGAGGAAGAGGAGGCCGAGGCTGATGAAACTTCCTCTCGCAAAAAGGAGTAATCGTACTCCACAGCCTTTTGTTACTTTTTATCCTCATCCCCCGTCTACTGTGCCACGGCATCTCCACTTATTCTTGTTGAAAACGTTCTTTCTGCATTTATACTCACCTCTTCTTTGAGGTATCTCTTCTCATACACATTTTGCATCATGTTCTCTTTTCCCCCCTTGCGATAGATAGTAAGTTAGCGGCAACGGTGTAAATCTTGGTATCAATATAATGTCGACTTCTAACGCAATGTATCTATCCATTCCGTATTCAATATAGTGATTTCTATTCAATATAGTGATTTCGCTTGATTCGTAAAGCCAGAAAAACCTCATATAACATAGGAGAAGAGAAAAACTTCCCCATCCATAACAAACGACATGATTCAACAGGCCAGCAGCATTGGACTGGAGCCCAGACCATCATCAGAAGTCCTTAACAGGCTCGCAATCAATCTTTGGCCAACAGCTCTCGCACCTTGCTAACCTTATCCTCAAAGGACTGTGTCTTATCAGTTCTGTCAACAAGTCAGTATGAAATCCGATACGGAAGAAGTCCAGATGCCACAGAGAAGAAACAAAACATCGAAAGCAAGACTACAGTAGACTCGAAAAAGCAGAAGAACAGCCCTCACCTCGACCCAACACGAATATCAGTCTGAATCCGAACAATCCCCTGCTGATGCAGGACGGTATGCGCCTGCCCGATCACCTGATGAACCCGATCCCAGGGTCCCTCTACAGTACGACAACAGGTAACACCAAGTCAGCTCTCAGCTCTCCAGAATAGCCACCTGTACTGTAGCTGCACCCGTAGCTGCGCCTGCATCGATCCGCAACTCGCGGGGAAGACCGAGGTCTTCCGCTTCTGGTCCCAGCTGGCCATGTCTCTGGCGAGCATCTCTGATCGCCAGCTTGACCTGGTGGAGATGGGGAGTCCTGTACTGTCCAGTACTGAGATAACCCCCAGCAAGATTGAAGCATGGGCTGGGCTATGCAGATGCAGCTACAGTACGGAGGTGCATCGCTGTACTGTGAGGAGGAGATCTCTTACCGATGGTTGTACCTGCGGAATGCATGACATACTTTAGTCCGCATGTTTCGATCAACCGCTGGACGTCGGCGATTTGGGCTGAGACTGAGGGCGAGCCCGTGCCAATCTGGGGAATGTTAGGAGTTTGTTCGATTATGGTAGCTTGCACTTTTCCTTACCGGGATCAGACAGAAGTCGGCGACGCAGTGGGCCGGCGTTGGGATGGTTGCTGGGTTCATTTTGTGTGGATGAAGTGGGGTAAGCAGAAGATGGAGAAGATAAAGATGAAGACGAGGAAGACGAAGACGAAGAGACTAAGACGACAAAGATGAAGACGAAGAAAAATAAGCAAGTCTTGCTGTGGTCAACTTGGATGTTCAGAGCAAGTTCAAGCTGAACATCGAATGCACACACCTCTCTCTGTGAGGGATCAGATTGCTGACCGCCATTACTTGTCTGTGCCCGTTTTCTCTATTTCTACTCTTTCGACTTCTTCGACTTCTTCTTCTTTTTCTCTTCTGGATTTTATTTGGGATGACGGCAGGGGGAAACTATCAGAAACCCCTGCACGTCATCGGAATAGAACTGTAAACTATTCACCTCAACTGACATCTGTTTCATCGTGAAAACAATCCAAAAAGTCCAACCATCCAAACATCCTAAACGTCCAAAACGTCCATTTCCCCCCAGAATCGGCTCCGGGCGGTCTACAGGAGGGAACCACGGCAGTATCAACGTTCGCACGCATCGCCACAGATCGGGATCGAGATCCAGGTGTTTCAGTTACCCAGCACGGCCTAGCCCCCCTCTCAATCAGTTTAGCCTCCAGCCCTGCATGCACAAGCGATCCCCCAGAGTGCTTGTTTCGCGCCCCTCCCAGTGCACCAAAGCCCCGGGTTACTCCCCCCAGATCCAATCACCGTCCCCAATGAGCCCCGTCATGCCCGTGAACCCGATTGCAACAGCCACCGCTTAAACGGATGACCAAGCCCAGTATCCTCGAACTCCCACGGGGAGTTCAGCTCATCTACCTCGCCGAGGGAGGAGCAAATGTGATCTACCGCTTCGCCACAGCGGGAACCACGCGGCCAAAAGACCCGAAAGGGCCCTTAACCGCGGCCAGTGACCGACCAGACCAACCCAGCAGCCTCCCAGCGCGCCTCCAAGGAAAACTACTCCGTCTGCGCAAAGCAACCGCCGCAGATATCTCGTACACCGAGATCGTTCGCAATTTCGATACCATCATCCGCCCGCTCTTCGCCCCAGAGGAACTGGTCGACCAAACCCTCGTCCAGCTCCCGGACGGGCTCCTCGCCCGCTGTAATGAGCAGCTCCGCGCAGAAGAAGTAGCCGGCTCGCGACCGAAGAAGCGCCACGGCGGCTATCTGTGTCTCAGTGAGCCGTTTGGCTTGCTCATTACTGATATGACGACTGGTGGGGACCTGGGCGCGACCTTGGCGGAATTCAAGCCGAAGTGGTTAAATCAGTCGCCCTCTGCGCCGGCGGCAGCGCATAGATGTCGGACTTGTGCGCTGCGCGAAATGAAGAATTCAGAGTCCCTGCTTCTCGGGCAGAAAGAGCAGCGGTCGTTTTGTCCGCTGGATCTGGTGTCGGAGAAGTTTGATAATGTGTTGCGAGCGACGGCGTTGATCAAGGGTTGTAAGGACCGATCGCGGCTGGCGCGGATTTTGTATTCCAATTCGACGTTGCGAACGCTGCAGTCGTTGCAGAAGATCGAAGGTGATGTTGGGCTGCAAGGGCCCGGAGCGAAATCGAGGGACATGTCGCTTGCTATGACATTACGGGATTGTACGATGTTCATCAAAGTGAGTACTGCGCCCTGCTCCCATGGCCCATGGAGTGTTGGAACTTATCTACCGGCCTGTGAGACTGATACCAATACCCCTTTAGATTCCCCAGGATGAAAATCGACCGGTGGAAATCCGCCTCGGTGACCTCGATCTCAAGACTGGGGCCGGGGGCAAGGCCGGATATTGGCGATCCTTGGAGACCCAGTTGATTGACCAGGGCTGGTATCATGGATGCAATAGTACCCAAGATCCGAGTGAGTGCGCTTTGTTTGGTTCACGGCGATCATCTCACTCCTATTCAACATGATACGTCTATGCGCGTAAATCAGGGTCTAATATGTTGCATTATTTTCATGTGACTCGTTCGGTTTGTACTGTACAATACATTAGCGTTCACTATTGATTTGGTGGCGTTGTGATTCCTACATTTTCTTATTCTTTCTTCTTTTCCCCTCCTATTTTGTTCTTGGGATGTCGGGCTGTTTTTTTTTTTTTGGTTTATGCGTGAGCTTAATGATTGCAGGTATTAATACATCACTCCTTTACTTAGGTACTGGATAATCACTGCCACTTTCTTGGCTTTCAGCCTTCGTTTTAGAGCTTTCTTGACCTGTTTGTGCCCGACTCAAGCTAGGCATACCTTGCGCACTTCAACCTGCTTTCAATTTTATCTTAACGATCTGTCTACCTGACCAGGAGGCAGGTCTACTGTGTTCTGGCTTGTCAGGCTCATTTCCCTCCAGATATCGCCCGAAGGGTGAACATGACATGCCATTCATCATCGAAGGGGATCCCTTAGATGTCATGGACAAATGAAGCCTGTACATATATCTCCGCAAGATCAGCATTCAACATGCGTTCTCTGGATCAGGTCTGGTATTATATAATTAAGTAGTAGAGAACTGCGACCCTATCTATCATTCAGATATGCTCTACAGTAAATGTACATCATTGGAATACTGCATATGAGGCATGCAACAAAAAGCATGAAATGAATTATCCATTAACTGAAGTGTTATATCTAAACTTAAGCTATAGGCCAAGTGTTGATATGTCGAGCAAATCCACGTGAATAGTGGCATACCGCCGTAAACGCGAAGATAATATCCCCGAAATACGAATTGCGATTGCATATACCGAGAGAATATACCGAGACTGAAGATAAACACTCCTGATCCAAATCCCACATGGCACGGGTCTAAAACGAATAGCAATATACACTCAAAATCTCATTCAAGCATGGGGGAACAAATCACCAAATTTCACACTCTGAAGTTGTCAGCCCATCAAATGAAAAGCATGCAATATGAACCCCTCTACTACACTGCGTCCTCTACTCAACGTTACCACGAACCAAAATGTCAATCACAAAGACAAATTGCACGGAGGCCGATTAATCTATATTGATGCTGCGTATGTATATCCAAAACAAATCAAACCCGAAAAGAAATACCAACAAAAACTAGCATCGCAGCATCATTCATCCTCCAGTCAATCCACCCACAATCATAAGCACAACCAACAGAAATATACAGGATTCCCCATCTTCATTCCCCCTCCCCGTTCCTCGATCCACAAGACCAACACAATCTCACTCAAAAAACAACATCCCCTGATACCAAACACCCAGCACCTAGTACAAAAGCTTCTCCAATCTCGCCATGACACCAGCACCGGAACTAGGAGTAGGAGTCGCAGGCGAAGAAGCCACAGCAGAAGAAGCCACCGCCGCCGAGGAAGCAGCCGCGTGAGAAGCAAGCACGGTGCGCTTGACGCGGCGGAAAGTAGGCATGGGCGTGGACGACGCCGCGGCGGAGTTGTAGAAAGCCGGGAATGAGGGCGCGGCGGTTGGGGTCGAGACTGGGGTGGATGAGGCGAGGACTGGGGCCTTGAAGGCGGGAGATTCGGCGCTCTGGCCGGTCAGTCCTAGTTCTTGGGCCAGGGCGAGCTCCGAGAGGGCTCCGCCGAATTGGGCGAGAGTTGAGCCGGTTAGGGCTGTGAGGGCAAGGGTGATCATTGTGAACTTCATTTTGGGTGGGTGGAGGTGAAGATTATTATAATTATGATTAAGAAGAAGAAGAGGATGGCTGGGAGGAAGTTGGAGAGGAAGCTGGAGAGGATTGTGCAATTGTTCGGGTGGATGGATGGATGTCTCTGGGACATGGACGAGGTATAAATATACTTGGCAGGTAACGGGCAAGGGGAGTCTGTCGCTACAGATCACATCGAGTGAAATCAAATATTGAGCAGCTCAGGATGAGAGTCCGAACTCCCGGTAAAGATCATCGCTGCCTTAAACCTGCTGTGTCGAGTGTGGAAGTACGGTGCTGTATCTAGCTCGTGCAGCCAGACCCTTATAGTTTCATGCAGGTTCCTGTCGGGAACAGCGGCTAGGAACTCCCGGAACGCACTGCAGAGTTGATTTCTTTTTGTGACGATTTGCATGTTTATTTTCTGTTTTGGTTGTGTGCATGTCGCATACTGTAAGGTGTCTATTGACCCGAGTTGATGGATGTAAATATTCAAATATGCAAACCAGTTCTCACATCTACTGTAAGAATCAGCATCATTCACAAGCATAGTGCATACTATACTGTATGTGCAGTTGTGCAGTCTGTAGTTCGTAGTTCGTAGTCCAGACAGTAAGTAGTCAGGGGTGCAGATCGTATCTTATCGAGCGACTCATCGATTTCCGAGGTGGAGACAACAGCCAACTTCCACACCTCCATTGCCTCCATTACCGCCATGGATCAAGTACAAGTCGGAGTCGGGGTCTTCATCCTGAACCCCGAGGGCAAATTCGTCATCGGCAAGCGACAAGGAAGTCTCGGTGCTGGTATGTTTGATCCCAGTCTTTGCCTCTGCCTCTGCCTCGCCTCTGCCTCATATCTCATGTCTCATGCCTGTCCTGTCCTGCCCTGCCCTGCACGACGATCAAAACAAGCTATCCTTGCCGCTACTAATTATACCCATTGGTCAATGCAGGCACATGGGCTCTACCAGGCGGACATCTCGAATTTGGAGAATCCTTCGAGACCTGCGCCGAGCGGGAAGTCCTCGAGGAGACCGGACAGAAGATTTCGGATGTGCGATTCCTGACAGCCGCTAATTCCATCGTCGATGGAAAGAAACATTATGTGACTATTTTCATGGGCGCCCGTGTTTCTGCGAATGAGGAACCAAAGGTGAGTTTCATTTGACAGGAACCTGCGGATGGCGTTTTGTGGTGCTTGGGGCGGTCATTATTGCTTTTTCCTTTTTTCCTTTTTTTTTCCAATATACTGTACCATCTGCAGGTCCCGGCTTTTGCTTTTTTGTGTGTGTATCTTGTGGCTTGATATTGCTGATGCTGCATTGCGCTACGGAGGAAATACGAGGCTGACGTGCTGTTGTACTGTAGATCATGGAGCCGGAAAAGTGTGAGGCCTGGGAATGGATTTCGTGGGATGAGATGAAGGCTGGCTTGGGCGATGGACGCGAGCTATTTCTGCCTCTTACGGAATTGTTTACACAGCGTCCGGATTTTAGAGTCTGATTGGTGTGATTGGTGGTTGGCGATGGCTTGATGAGTGTTCGGATGTCTCCCCTGGTCGAAAGGGGGATAACCTACGTCTTCTTCGTATCTCATGAGACGCAGCAGGAATAAACTAGAACTAGAATTGCACATGGAAAGGATCTTGACTTCCATGTAGTAGAATGGTATGCCCAAGGAACAGGCAAACATGATATTGAATAACTCAGTAGAAAGTAGACTAGACCATGGACCGGCCAAGCCAGAAACAAGAACAGGAAATCAGCTTGGCATTTGCTTGAAACGCTTGGAAATGCTTGAAAAATCAACCTCACTTGGACCCAAACACCCAGTCGGAGACAATAACAGCAATAGTCGCAACCTAAGAGAGAGTCAGTCTCTACACATCGACCGCAACAGACCCTCTACTTACCAACGAGATATCCACACCAGGCATTACGATCACATCTAGCGCCGGCCGCCAGCCCTGCCTCGAAATCAAAGCCAATTTCTCATTATGCTGAATACTCTCTTTAATCTCAGCAACCTTCCGATCGCCATCCACGACATCGAACGCCGCCAGCGCATTCCCATGCCGCTCAACCCGCAACGTCAGCATCTTCTCCTCGACCGACTTCAACTCAAACGCCGCGGCATTCTCAAAATCCAGACTGAGATTCCCAGCCGAGCTGCCAAACCCGCCGACCCGCGGCGTGCCCCGTGCTATCGTCGCGGTGTCGCATCCGGGCAAACTGACCGACCACGATATCGTCCAGCCCCATTTGCGATGCAGCTCGAATAACGGGAGACCCGAGGCATCGCGGAACTCGCGACACGAGCGGTCGCCGTATTTGCGACCGCTCACCGTGAATGTCGGGGTGCCGTCATCCTCGGTGATTTTATATGCGACTGCGGAGTGGGGGCTGCCAAACGGTTTGAGCACCAGAGCCGTTTTGGTCTCGGCGATATATTGGTTTCGAAAGGCTATGTTGCGTTGCGGTGAGCGGAGCGATTTGCGTGGTTTAGAAGAGGAGGTGTGGAATAATCGGGCGTCTGTGTAGGAGGAGTACGACATGGTGGTGGGGGGTTTTGAGTCGCAGGATGGCTTTCAACGACTAGTGAGAAGGGGAGGGGAGGGGGGTCTGGGATATATACAGTAGCATTGATAGCTTGGGCTATTCGCCCGACATGATGTCCTGATGCGGCATTTAGCGCGTCCAATGTCCAATGATCTCACTGCTGAGCCACAGCCAAGATATCCTGTTCCTTGAAGCTATTCTTTACTTGGTCAGCGGGGTAGATAAGTGGCTTTGGTGGGTTTCAGGCGGGATTCTCATTCGTGTGACTGAAATGCAAGTCAGCCACTTCCCCTCATTGCAAAGGGGGAGTTTATATACAGTGGTGAACGGTGAACGGAGAGTGGTGAGTGGTGAGTGTTTATAGTCTTACAAGTAACCTCGGGTACTAAACCGAGTCGCCGATATAAGCTGAGTCATGGCTTGATCCTCCAACCAGTGATCCTCCTCCCTTTAGGCAACCAACTCGTCCAATCTCAAAATGGCCAGCAGGTTTGCAGTAAAGTCCTTGGACCACCTGGTCCTCACGGTTCGCTCGATTCCCAAAACTGTGGCGTGGTACACCACCTACCTCGGCATGCGACATGAAATCTTCACTTCACCCCTCAATGAAGCCGTTCAAAGGTAAATTAATTCTCTATCGTATTTTTGATCTTCCTTGTTGACCAGGAAAGGCACGCTCTTATCTTCGGAAGCCAGAAAATAAACCTCCACCAATCAGGCAAGGAATTCGAGCCCAAGGCCCAGGATGTCATGCCCGGAAGCGCCGATTTGTGCTTCTTGACCGACGACAATATCGAAACTGTTCTTGCTGCCTTCAACGAGGCAAGAATCGAGGTATGCATCCCTGCTGATGATGTAGACTTTGCCGGATGTGAAATTAATATCTACAGGTTCTGGAAGGCGCCAAAATTGTAGAAAGAACCGGGGCCGTGGGAAAGATCCGGAGTGTGTATGTGAGAGACCCTGATGGAAATCTGATTGAGTAAGTCGACTTATCTGCTGAATAAATATACAAGACTGGAGTTCTAATGGGACAACAGAGTATCGAACTATGCTTAATTGCCAATAACGATTCGCGATGCTGGAGCCAACTGGCCAGTTGGCTAACCCACAAACGAAAATGAGGTTATGACAAATTCACATTGCATATCACAGCGAAAGCGCCCAAACAGAAACTCCCATCGCAATGCCAAAAATGGCATTATGCTCCGTCATGGAAGCAGCACCTGCACTCGTGGCAGCCGAAGCTGCTGTTCCCGTTGCAGTGTTCTATTCATCCATGATTAGCCATCTGATTCATTTCAAAGCCAAAGACCAACATACCGTTGAAGTGACTGTGCTAGAAGTAGTCTCAGCTACAATAGAAGAGCTACTGCTAGTGACGGAACCAGTAGCAGTAGCAGTAGCAGCAGTAGCAGCGGCAGTAGAAGCAGCAGTAGAGGACGAAGCACTGGGAGTAGCGTCATCACTACACGCCTTTGCCGCAGCCTTCACATCATCTCCATAGTATTGCCAGATATTGTATGTGAGAGCGCAATCCAAGCATGAGCTGAGATCAGTCGTGTAGGTTGAGTTTGAGCAATAGTCTGTGGTTTGAGAGACGAGGATGACTTCACCTATATTCGAAGCGGAACCTTTAGCATAACGATTACTGATCTGTGTGGTGGAGCTTACCGCATGCTTCATGGCAGTTGTATAACGGTGACCCGGGAGTTATATCTGCGCGCCTGGAGAGCAACGATAGATAGGGAAGCTGGAGGGCGAGAGTGGAAGAGACGAAGATGGCCGCTGAGGCTGTTAATGGGAGTGAGAAATGCATTATGCAAAGTCAGATCTTGATCTTGTGGTATACGGCTGATAAAGGTCAGATATAAATCAAGGATTGTAGCTTGTAGCGGCAAAAGAGTCGTTTTATAGTTTTGGTTAAGAGAATGAATGAAATGGTGAGATAGTCTTCCGATGTCTTTTTCTCCGGAGCCGGTCATCCTGTGGCTTGCAGTATAGCTAGTCTCTTCAAATTAAATAAATGGATGCCAAGCTAGCTGGTTAGCTAAGAGTGGGCCAATTCCTTCACTACTTCTGGGAAGCGGATGTCACGTTGCGGCCGGCACGGAAGTCAGAAAAAAAGTACAATTCTACTTTAGTATTTGAGAGTGACAGAGAAAAAAATTCCAGACAATTGAAAAATTGAAACAAGCTGGAACACCTCTGCCCAAAAAGAGAAAATTCGCGAGGAAACGACTATAATTCTAAGAAACACAGCACCGACACGCCACACACGCCACACATGGATATCAAAAGTGACAGACACCTTGAACGAAAAAGGATATCTCGTCCGGGTCGGACAGAACCATCTCCATTAGCTCCAGATAGCGGAAAATAAAGACCGAGATTAAAGCCAAGAGAAGAAACCAAAAGAGGGTCCAATCACCCGGAATTAATCTTATCAATCTAATCTCATCACCCCGGCGTTTGCTCTTCCGGCCTGAGCCTTAAATCCCTACAGAGAGTTACATCGACGAAATCAAGTCCGACTCAAGCTAGTCAGATTGCTGCTATGACCAACAGTAACCATAATTTGCTCCACTTTCATGTGGCGCTAACATCGTTCTGTTCGTTGGCAGCTCGGTTGCTCACTTTTTATTGAACAATGGAGTGATTACTATGCCAAGGCAGTCCACTCACATGCAACTGCTGGGACTTGACTCATCTATTGGTATAATCTTTGCAAGCGATGCATGCTTTGGGTTAGCTGTGTCCGAGATACGCTGGATCCTGGCTTGACTCCACATGTAGACAGAGGTGTTGCTTATGGATGCGGTAGATGATGCCGAGATGGCCTGTCTCGTCGGGCACGCGAGATATCCGAGAAATACATGTAGGATAAGTGAGTATATATGTCACTACCACCCGGAATCAAGATCAGGTTTTAGCTCACTGTTTATATACTTCCTCGAAAGCAGAAAATATGCAGCCTTACACGGTACTTCTGGCTCTTGCTACCCTCTATGTCCCTCATGTGAATGCAGCCGAGGCCACAGACATGGGCCCAGCAGCATTTCTCTGGCCTCCAGATCGGGCATGGGGAGCAGCGCAAGACAACACTGCACCCTGTGGTTCCTCCGCTGGAGTGACAAACCGGACAGATTTTCCGTTGAGTTGGTTGCCCTATATAATCTTTGTTCAACATAGCATACTAACGAAACCAGCAAATGGCGAAGTATCTCTGGTTCTCCAAGATGAATCATACAATGTCAATCTAGCAATCTCCTACAACAGCAGTGAGCTTCATATTTCCATCAAATGAATAAAAGCACAATTCATACTGACACCCACAATCAGATCCAACCTCAAACAGCGACTTCACTACTATCGTATCCTCAACCAACTTCCCAGACCTGGACCCAGGCCACGAATGCTACTCCATCCCAAACCCACCCTCAAACATCACCTCTGGCGCACTCGCAACACTCCAACTCTCCTACCTCTCAACATTCAACACGGAGACTAACAGTACCTTCTACGCCTGCGCTGACATAACCTACGTCCCCCTCGCCTCATTCACCACGAATGTTCTCTGCTTCAATGTCTCGGAACCTACCACTACTGGTTCCACATCGAGTAGTAGCTCCGCTACATCAACTAGTTCCTCAAAATCTTCTCCAAGTAAAAGTGGAGGCCTGTCCGGCGGCCAGATTGCAGGTATAGTCGTCGGCTGCATTGCCGGAGTGGTTCTAGCCACCGTTGCGATATTCGTTCTCTGGACCAGATATCAGAGAAAGGTACAACGGGACAAAGTCGTTGCTGTTCGGATGAGCGATTGGGCCAACCAGCCCGGCAAGACAGCGCCGAAGGGATCGAATGAGGTCTGAACGCGAGCAGCTACATATATTACATATCGCAATATCTCTCCATCACAGTTCTTGATTTATCTGTCTATTCTTTCACATATACCTCCCCCCAGTACACTCAATACAAGTCGCCGTGACATACGACGACATCGGACAAGCCAAAAACAGCATCACATTGGCCGCGTCGTCCACAGTCCCAGGCCGTCCGAGCGGTATATCCGATGTATCCCTGAACTTGCGCGCATTCGCAGGGATCCCAGTAACGATATTCTGCCCGGCAATAAGAACCTTTTCGTCCTCCGTGGGCGGTTTCGTCAATCGCGTATCCATCCACCCGTATGCAACAGCGTTACAGCGAACATTATATCTGCTCCATGTTAGCCGGTGAAACAAGTCCGACATCGTGCTCGATGCCATCTGATCTGATCTGATTACCTAGCCCACTCTGCTGCGACAGTCTTGGTCAGTCCCACAACCCCCGACTTGGCTGTCGCGTAGTTGATCTGCCCCATTTGACCGTGCAGCCCGGACGTCGAGGACACATTGATGACACTCTTGGGCATGTCCTCATTCCGAGGATCCATCCAATGTGCCGACAACGCGCGGATCATCCGGAAGGGGACGTAATTGTGGATTTTCATGATGATGTCCCACTTTTCATCGCTCATCTTGTGGATGGCGCTGTCGTAGCAGAAGCCTAGGTTGATGGGCTGTTATGAATATTCTTTGAACTGGCTGGCAGGTGCAGCCGAGGTGTGTCTGACATACCAGCATTGTTGATAAGACAGTTGACCTTTCCAAAGGCGTTCAATGCTGCGCCGACTGCTATTGCCGGGAACGCTTCGTCGACGGCGTCTCCAACTACACAGATAGCCTCGTACCCGGCGAGTCGGAGTTCATCCACGGCTTGATTGGCTTTTACCTCGTCTACATCTGCTAGAACTATCTTGGCTCCTTTCGATGCGAGAAGGGTTGCTGCTGCCCGTCCGATTCCTGTGGAATATCAGTCTGGCATGGACGTAGAGCGGTTTGGGATCATGGCATGACAGACCTTGTGCTCCGCCTGTAATCAGGGCGACTTGGCCATCGATCCTAAATAGTTGAATACGAATGTTGTTGATTCCTTAAGACCGCATGAGCGCTTACCTGGACGGGTCGCGTGGCTCAGCATCGCTGTTCAACTGTTTGGAGATTTGGTGCAGTCGGTGAGCCATTCTGTAGAAATCGAATTATTTCTTTCGGTATATTCAGTAGAAATTAAAACGATTCGTTTTTCATAGCACTCAGTGAAACCTTTTCTACATCATATTTTCCGCTCTTGCGACGCATACACCGAAATTCCGCGGAATTGTACCACGACTGCGTCGGAATTGGCCACGGAACTACCAGTCTGGTATATCTCTTATGCTTCTAACGCTAAATATGGAAATCGGAATTAGTGATTGTTCCTCAATATTCGCCAACACAGAAACAAACATACAGTACAGTGAATATTCGGATCTCGCCAGTGTATTCAATCCAATTTAAATACAACTATCCTCCAAGAAAACGAATGAAAAGCAACTATTCTGACTATTCTCAGTATTATCACTAAACAATTCTGACCTTAATCACATCTTTCTTCAATATGACATCTTCCGCACTGACTTCGAATGTCCCCTTCGCCGACCCATCCTGGCACAAGGACACCGCGCACCCATACTACAAAGACTCTCACCGAAAACTCCAACGCTTCATTCGAGAGTACGTTGACAGCGAGATCACACCCAATGCAGGAGAATGGGAAGCACAGGGATATATCCCCGAGGAGGCTTTCCAACGCCATGCTCAGCTTGGCTTTCTGGCTGCGGCGGTCTTTCCTCTTCCAAAGGATTGTCTTGCGGGATTGACACTGCCGGCGGGAATTTCGGCGGACGGTATGTGGAAATGGAGATAGCTGGTAGCTTGGAACGCAACTGACATTATTCAGAATGGGATGAGTTCCACGATGCTATTGTGAGTTTGCTGAGGCTGGAATTGAGCTCTGAGCTCTAAGCTCAGGCTGTATTGTATGTTTGACGCAATGCACTGACTATGACTCTTCTTTTTATAGCTCATCGATGAGATCGCACGGTGCGGATATCTGGGCGTTGTCTGGGGAATCAATGGCGGTGCTACGACTGGAGGTGCGCCTATCGCTTCTTATGGTACGCCCGATCAGAAGAAGCGGTACTTGGCACCGCTTCTGCGAGGACAGCAGAAGCACTGTCTTATGGTAACGGAGCCGGATGGTGAGTCCTATTGGATGGGGATGAGGATCGAGTGTGCAGAGACTGACTTTCATATTTGATAATTGTAGCTGGCTCTGATGTGGCTGGTCTCACTACAACGGCTGAAAAAAGCAAAGATGGGAAGCATTGGATCATCAATGGAGAGAAGAAATGGATCACGCAGGGCCAGCTGGCTACACATGCTCTTTGTGCGGCGAGGACTGGTCCCCCCGGCGCGAAGGGCTTGACGGTTTTTCTTCTTGATATGAAGATGCCGGGTATTCAGGGGAAGAAGATGTATAACTCGGGTGTTAGTAGTAGTGGCTCGACGTTTATTGATCTGCAGGATGTCATGGTTCCTACTGAGAACATTCTTGGGAAGGAGAACCAAGGGTTTGAGATAATCATGTCAAGTATGTTGCTTGACACCCCAGGATGAGTCACAAGTTACTGACTATTTTGGGAAATAGCTTTCACTCACGAGCGCTTGTGGGTTGGAATTACCGCCCTACGTCTAGGCCGTGTTGCTTTGGAGGACAGCTATCGACATGCCTTGAGACGAGAGACCTTTGGGAAGAAATTGTTCGAGAACCAGGCCGTTCGGCTTAAGTTCAGCAAGATGGCTGGGCTTATCGAGCCTGTTCACTGCTTGATGGAAGACATTGTTCATCGGTCGACGCGTACCGCGCCTCTTGCTTTCTCGCCGTGGACTGCGCTGCTCAAATTCCAGGCTGCGCAGAACCTCGAGAGTATCTCCCGGGAAGCACAGCAGGTCTTTGGTGGATTGGGGTACTCCAGGGGCGGACTTGGTGGCAGAGTGGAACAGATCAGCCGAGATGTTCGCGTGTTAGTTGTCTCTGGAGGGAGTGAAGAGATCCTGATGGATATGATTGCGAAGCAGCAAAAGAAGCTGGCGAAGCTGTAGGCCTACTTGTCAAAGTAATAGCATGTCTTGTAACATGTTTGGGGACTTGAAATATCGCAGAAGTCAGAATTCATTCATGTTTGGTTTCACTGATCAAGAATTGAACTGTGCATTATTTATTGAATCTTGAAGATCCCAGCCTCCGAAATCCATCATCTGCAAAGGTTGCGCATAGATACCCGGGAGACCAAGGTTATGGACGTCGTATAACGGATCGAACAGAGATCCGAGGCCAAAGGACAAATCCGCATCGAAATTCCAGTTGGTCCCTGCTACCTCTGTTATACCATTGTCCGACAGGGGCTCTACTTGAGCATCCCCGGAGTTTTTGGCAAGTTGTTTGAGGATGCTTGACAGCCCACAAGTATTCATAACCGCGGCTAACGTGTCCAGGCTTCGTTCCGCAATCGGATACCACTTTATAATATCCTGCAAGGTCTCCAAAATGGCGCCGAGCCATTTCCTTTCTTCTATCTTCGCCTCACCAGGTCCTGCACTCGTAATATCTGAAATCAAAGCCACGCTAGCGGAGAGACAGGCTGGATTGATGGTAGAGAATATCTTTGAAGCGCCGTGATATTGCTTATAGGCCAAGAGTAACTTTGATATCCGGATTGCATTCGTAGTACAGAGTTGCTGTGAAGATTTTGGCGTCTGCCCTTCCAAGCAACGCCTAGAGGCCGATTTGGTGTCCCGGTTGAATATGTAGGCTGCGAATGGGCGGTTGAGCAGGATTGTGGTGGATAGAAATTGGACATGGAGAGCACAGACTCCTGGTGATATTGGATGATCTGCATTCCACTGCAGCTTTGGAGGAAGTTTGTTGAACCAAACGAGCAGTTTTTGGCTCGCTTTGGATAACTTGCTCACGGAGGTGTCTTGGTATATTCTCGCCAAGGAACCGTTGATCATGGAGAGAACATCGTTAAGTATAGATGCTAATTCGACCCATGCAGCCATAAGTTGATAACTTGTGCCCATGGTATGCGCAGAGAACTGCGGCACATGTAGATCATCCAAATGAATGGCGGTCGGTCGGCCTTGATACGAGCTATATAATCTTCAATGCCGTTAGTATCCCTAGGAACATGCGAAAAGAGAATAAACTTACTTGTCAAGAACGTAACATCCATAGAGTGTAATTTGTCGGACTCTTTGATCAATTCCAGTGAGAAGCCCAGCGGCTACCAAATTGTTGCAGTCTTCGTGTAAACCGAAGTCAAACACCAGGCGATACGCTATGCCTACAGCATGATTAGTGAACCTGATTTCTCTTTGAAATTCGCTGACATTCAAATCACGAACCTGGGTACAGCCAGCATGCTCTGTCACTTCCTAACCCCGCCAGATAGTAGCCAAATAAACACAATCCCGGAATCGTCGCAATATTGGGATTCTCCAATTCAAATAGTAGCTCAGCTTTCGCTCGGCGGGTGTAAATGATTGCTAGAGTCTCTCGGTAGGGCTGCTTGCCATCGAAATTCAAGGACCTAAGAAGAAGCGAGTATAGAAGCAATCGAGAGAAATAATCCGACCGTTCCCCGGTGGCGTACCCAAGTCGGAAGGCCTCTTCGTCCAGAATTGGTATAGCACCATTCTGGTATTCAAAAAACAAATCGATTAGGTGTCTTTGATTCTGCGGATTATCGGCCAGACCTTCTGCTTCCACTATATTGCTAGATCTGTCGCCTGACGAACTTTTGGCTGGTTGTGTCGGAGATGACTTGGCCCGAGGAATAACAGACATCATTCTCATGTATGAAGAGTAGCCAAAGTACCGCAACTGACCCCCAGCGTCCACCGTGAGTGGAGAACTGCTCGTTTCTTTCAACGCTCCCTCGGGCTCATTCGTTGGAGTTCCTTGGGTGCGAGTGCAACCAGAACTGGACTGAGATGGCTTTGTGGCTGGGCCTGCTGGCCGCAGTCCCATTTCTTTTTCCAGAATTTGAAGATTCAGAACGACTTCGTTATCCGATGGTGCTGGAGCCCGAGGCTCATTAGTTGTGTATGTGCTTGTTTCCGAGATGATTGCTGGCTGGCGCAAAGATTCGGACTGGCCCGAGGAAGAACTTCGAACTGTCTGTAAGCGCTCACAGAGATCTCTTAACCTGGAGTTAGGCCCCAGACCATCTCGAGAGCCATGTATATAGCTGCGATTCTTGTTAACACCATCGCTTGAGTGACTCCCGGAACCATGTCGAACATCTGTGGTTCTCCGTCTGTTTATGGAACTTGACATCTTCGGCGAGAACAATGAGAATGCTTCGCTTTCGAGTCATCGAGTTAGGGCAACTCTGATAGGACATTCAGCGGAGAGATGTACCGAGTCGTTTTGCCGGCTATGGGGTAAAGCGGGGGAGGATGATCCCTCGGAATAGTGAAGTCATGGGGGGTATCGCACATCCGAAGTTTCACTATACGCAGGCATCTATTAGCTGTAAATTTTCGGCTTTATGCGAGGGAAAATATCGCTTGTCGTGTGGTTCGTGATATGGGGACGCCCTAATTCCGACAGCCTATAACCAATATACCCCCAGCCCTACGGCCATTCAGGCTTCATCTATTTGTGCAATTATATCCTTGCTTTTGCTGAGCTGTTCTACAGCGCCATGAGTTCCCCTGGAGAGCCTAGTGTCCCGAAGCGACCCCGGAGGGATAAGTACATTTCTCGCGCATGGTAATTTCCAACCACCCGTCTCTGTTGAAGGTGTTCAAGAATGATAGTCTAACGAAAATCTGCAGTGTGGCGTGCCAGCGTCGTAAAAGCAAAGTACAGGCAACTTCTATAATAATAATCTCTAATGCTGATTCAATTTGCAGTGTTCCGGCCAGGACCCCTGTCTTGGTTGTCAAGATCGACACGTATTGTGCACGTACAAAACGGGGAAGAAGCGCTCGAGAAAGTCTCATTCGGATCTACAGCGACAGATATCAGTAAACACGACGATGAGACCAGAGAGACGAGATGATAATCCTGGCCAGAAACCATTCGGAGATATGCCGTTACCGTAACTAGTTCCAACCCCTCACAGCCAGCCCGATTTTAACCCAAAAACTTACATCGAGCAGGCCAAATGTTCTAGAGAACAATGATGATATACAAGAGCCTGGCTTGTTGTTCACTCAACCAGTGCATGCAAAGCCATTGACCGGACTACCAAGCGTTGCGCCAAATCTGTACATGTCTTTTGAACATGACCCGAATCGTATCTCCTTGCGATCCCAAATCTCAGAAATGCGCGCGATTTTCAAAGCTAGAAAGGATCCACAACCTCAGCTAGAACAAGAACCGTATAATTCTGACACGAGATACTCCATTGAACTGCCCGCTTTCGCAAAAATCCAAAACTCACTGCATGTCTACTTTGAGAACATGTCGAGACTGTTTCCCGCCCTCGACCGTGAAAATACCTTGTCCCGTATACATAAAGCTCTTGAGAGCTTGCAATATCCCTCCTCTGGTCCGAAAATCGATATTGACTACGCCGCCGCTCCAACCATTGCACTGCTGTGCATCATCCTCGCTATTGCCGAAGTGAATGAGAACAACGCCTTGTCTTCCAACATCAACTCCCAAGCTTCGAATTTTAGAGATCATGCACGCAGCTTACTACAGACGTTTGAGCTTTTGCCTCCGAGCCTAGAAATCCTTCGATGCCATACTCTGACCACCATATACCTTCTCTTCATGGACTTTCTTGATCTTGCTATGCAGTCTAGCGCCGTGACAGTTCAAATGGCAATGGCTCTCCAACTTCACCAGCAATCCCCAGTCCCCAGAAAAGAAAGTGACGACCACGACCGAAATCTATGGTGGACAATCTACATACTTGATCGTGATATTGCGTGTCTTGCCGGGACACCCTACCTTATTAGGGACGAGGAAATCGATGCACCAAGGGCGACGCGGGACGATCACTTTGAAAGATTCTCTCGGGCCCCATATATCAATTGCCAAAGCGAGTTCGACGAGCAAGCCACGACGTTAGAGCGGTCTCGTGATCGAGACTCCACGTACTTGGAGGCTCTAGCTTACTTGGGTCGCCTTTGGGCTCGCATTTGGAACGAATTAATTTCCAATCAGTTGGAGCCGGAATGTCAATGGCAAATAGCTGCAGTCTTGGATAGCCAAATTAACATCTTTCAACAACGGCTGCCGTCTACACTTGTCTGGAGAAATACATCGAGCCCGGGGCTAGATGTAGAGAATGAAATTCAACGACAGCTTCTTGTTTTGATGGTAAGACGAATTCTTGAATTTATGTTGTATCACCGATTCACTGACCTTGAGACTGGTGGGTAGCGGATCAATATGCTCCGACTATTTCTTCGAAGGAATCCTACTTCAAACTGCAAGTGCCTAGATAAGAACGGCTCGGGCTGCAACGGACTCGATATTTCAACGCAGACTATCGAAGCAATAGCCCACCTAGGCAAAAGACAGGAAGCTCTCTTGCCAATCGCATATCCCATCAGCTCAACTCTCGTTCATTGCATCTTATACCTGGTCCACAGTATCAGCAAGTCGGTCGATACAAGCAAGACAGAAGCTGCTTCTACCGCTGTGGTGTCGGCGTACCAGATCCTGGTTGATTTGTCGAGGTGCTGTGTGTCTGCGCGAAATGCAGTTCAGACACTTGATACGGCGTTTTTCTGCCAGGGTGACGGGTTGGTTCTACAGCATGCAGTTCGACATTCTTCTTCGACTCTGTCACGGAGTAGTGGGAATAATCATTTAGATGGGTTTGAAGGCACACAAGCACGGGACTTGGGTCAGACTGGAAAGCAAGATGCTTCTTCGATTCCGATCGAGCAGAGTGCTCATGCCAATGGCCTTTTCGATTGTCTGCAACAAAGCTACGAGAGTTTGGACAATTTCACAACTACAATTCCTAGCTTGTAGGGAGAAGCGAGGGAAATAGTACAAATATACGTGGATCAGGCTTTTATAGCTTCGGGAACTGATGCAAACTAATCTTCCATTCCGCGGATAATAATATCGATCCTGTAATCAATAGACACTATAGTTTTGCCTGCAAACAAGCAGAACCATTACTCTCCATATCTTTGAGAAGCCGTCTCAACAGCTTCCCAGTCGGGCTCTTAGGCAAAAAATCGACGAAAACGACCCCTCCCTTCAGACTTTTATAGCCAGCAACCTGACCAGCCACAAAGTCGACTATAGATCGCGCGACCTCTCCAGCCTCATGTCCAATCTCTGCCAGTGGTCCCTCTGGTACAACGTAAGCACGTAGGAGATCAGTTGCAGCTTGCTCGCTCCAGACGCCATGCACAGCCGCCTCCTTGACAAGCGGGTGGCGGGCGAGGATCTCCTCGAGCTCCAAGGGCGAAACCTGAAACCTATTCAGAAAAACACGTTAGACACGCTCTTTATGTAGAATCTGACGAGGGATGATTCTCTCTTGTCATACCCGTTAGACTTGATAATGTCTTTTATACGACCGCTGACGAAGAGAAAGCCTTGTGTATCCATATACCCTATGTCCCCCGTCTTATACCAGCCGCCATCGAGCATATGCTGTCTGGTGGCTTTCAAATCACCCAGGTAGCCCCTAGTAGATGGATATGGTCAGAGTCAATCTCTTCAGCGTCGAAAGTCGCTCACATCATGATATGCGGGCCACGCAATGTGATCTCGCCCTCTTCCCCCTGGCCTACATCGCTACCGGCGGAATCAATAAATCTGACTTGCGCGTTGGCGATGAGTTTTCCAGTTGCGTTCAGTGGCATGTCTGTATCGCGTGTACCGGATTGCACGCATGCACCGGATGCTTCAGTACATCCGTACGCTAGACTCGCATTAATACTCGTTGCAATACAGTTGTGTAGATTGAGGTGGTGGGGGTTGATAACTTACTCTGACACAGCTTCACGTTTGGAAATACCATTCTCAGTTCGGCCGCAGATTTCTCCTGCATGTTTATCAGTTCTTCAACGCCAAAGAAAGATAAGAATAGGATGAATCTCACACTCAAAGGTGCAGCAGAGCAGGTAAAATACTTCAAAGCTGGGTACTTATACCGGCGGGTCACTGGGCTTTCAGCGAGGAGTTTGGCAACAGGAGGAACCAGTCTGGCCAAGGTCGCCTGTCGCTCGGACAGAAGACGACAAAATGTTTCCAAATCAAAGCGTGGCATCAGACAGACATAGTAGCCTAGCCAAGGTGCTCCAGTGATAGCTACGTATAGTGCATAGACGTGGGATAGAGGTGGAAAGAAGACCTCGCGCATTTCACTATTCCAGTTGTCAGGATTGTCCGCTCTGAGCTGGTAGTTTACTGCGATGAGATTATGGTGAGAGAGAACAACGGCCTTGGGATGGCCTGTTGTTCCACTGGACAGAATGATTGCAGCTGGAACTTGTCGATTGTCGCCATTTGCAAAGGAGCAGGCTTCGATTTGTTGAAAATTTCCTTGGATCTCTTTCATTTTCAGCCAACTGGACAATTCCGAATGCAATTCTTTCAAGGGAATGACTTGGATGGTTGAGCTCGCTGTTCCGCTCAGCTCGAGGCCTTGGGAAAGCTTTGTAGATGCTGAGCTGCCGACAAGAATATAGTGTGGTTTGACAAGCTTGATGCCGTATGCGATCTCGGTTGGTGATAGAGCATCGTTTATCAAAGACACGATACCGCCAGCCCACCATACGGAGTGTACGGCGATGATATAATCGATACAGCTAGATGATATGATACTTACAGTCTGCCCAGGCTGTAGTTTGACATGTTGTTGCAGCCAGGTTGCTGCATTCTTGACCTGGGCAACAAATTTGCCATGAGACATTGTTCTCCCGGTGATGGCATCCTCGAATATGACTTTTGTCGGAGGGATGAGTATTGAGTGGTCTAGCAGCGTTGCTTCCGTCACACTGAGATCGGTTGGGATGCGTACCCTGGTTGTTGAGTGGAAGATATGAGACATGTTTTCGATGCACAGTTCGAGCCAGGATGCGAAAAGCACTGTCATAAAGTATGTAGACTCGCAGCAGCTTCGTTCTTCGGAATAGAGAGCTTCGTCCTGATTTCGGAAGAATTGAACGGAGGGACTGGGATAGCATGGGTTGGTTACGAACTATGTCAAATTCCGGGAATTCTTGTTCCGCGGAATTGAACTTGCAGAAACCCGCGCTTTTTTCGACAAGAAAAGGGAAAGAAAAAGTAAAAAGAATAACGAAGAACGAAAGACAGCTAAAAGTTGTGAGGAAACCTTTGAAGGTCTAATAGTGAATACAGTTAGCCAGTTGACTCTTCGTCACCTTGCAAGGAGACTTTCACCAATTGCTGTTCGACTCCCCTAAGATGTTACAGTGGATGAATCTCTACCCATAATGTCTAGATAGAATGATAAGTATCTATGGAACAAGTACAGCGTAGTGGTTTGGATGAATATAACTTAATAGTCTGTACGTTAAGTCAAGCTATGCCGTAGACATCTGATATAAAGACATGCCCAGAAGGAAGCTCATACTACCTAGCTGATTAATTCTCAACTTCCTGAAATTGAGCAGTCTCCTCTTTGCGAGGCTTAAAATCCATCTCCTGCATATCAACCCCTTCTCCATCCAATTCCCGTTGATACACCACCACTTGATTCACATCACCAAACATGGCAGCAATCTCCTCCAACGGCTTCTGTCTAGTATCATGATAGGTGAAAAACACAACAACAGCCGCAATAGCCGGGATAACCACAAAAAACAAATAAAACTTCCAACCCATTTCCTCAAAGGCGTACGGCGCCGCTTCCAGCCACATCAAGTTAGTCAGGGCAAAGGTACACATAGCAAGAGCAAAGCCCTGAGGGCGGGCATAACTGGGCCAGATCTCAGTGATGTAGAAATACGTCGGCCCATCCAAGAATGCACAAAAGACAGCCTGGAACAGAAGAATGATCACAGAGCTGGCGATCAGTCCACTGCGGTTCGTACTCCCGAGATAGAATCTCTGCAGTGCGGCTTCAATCGCCATTAGGATGGCACAGCCTCCGAGCCCAAACGAAATGAACCAATGCCGGGGCATGCGATCAACCCATAACATCGAAAACGCATTGGTAACGAGTCCAATGGATTGGAACCCGACCTGGAAGCCGAGAACCTGGACTGTGTCGAATCCAAGACTTGACCATACCACTGATCCATAATCTAAATATCGCAATGCGGACAGAGCATTAGACGTGCTGGGGCCTCACACGGGGGATGCATTCAGTTCACTCACTTAATATGACCAGCACTCCACAACTGTAAATACTAAACTCCAAGAAGATCGTCATGAGAGCTCGCTTTCGCAGCGAAGGTGTTGTCAAGATACCCCAATATGAAGTCCGAAAGCGACGATCCAGCACAATCTGCTTTCTCATTTGATAGAACTCTCTAGCAGCCGATTCGTGGGCGCTAGTATCATTTTCCACAGCATGTAATCGCTTGACAATTCCCCACGCTTCTTCGGATCGATCACGCGAAATAAGATACCGAGGGGACTCGGGCATCCAGTAGATCCCACACAGGATAATCGTCGGAAGTACCATCTGTATACCCACAATTCCTCGCCATTGGTTCTTGCCAGAGACGAAATAGAACCCCAGCCCGACAACGCTTGCAATGCAATATCCAAATAGCATGAGAAGCGCGTGCGCATCAGCAATGGCTCCACGGATTCTGGGCGGTGCGAGCTCGGCAATCCAAATAGGAACGCTGTTCTGAATGAGAAATGAACTGCACTCAGCTGATTAGTCCTGGGAAATAATATCTCGGACTTTCGGTCTCGTACCCTAGCCCATTGAAGAATCGGAAGCAAATGAACATGGCGGGATTGACTGATGCTGTCAGTAGAGCGCCGGATACAAGAATGATTGCATTTCCCCATGCTGCGGTTAGCTTGCGGCCGAATCTGTCGTTCATCCATCCTGCTAAGAAGGCTCCCACAACGGCTCCGGCTTGGTATAGCCCTGTCTCGAGGTCATGTTAACTGCTGACATACACTCATACCACCCTTTTCTTCGTTGAAGGATCACTTGCCATTTATTGTTCCTGTTATGGCGCTGGCATTTGGGTTGGTCAACAGCCCCATGTCGTTTTGGAAAGATGGTTGGGTTAGGGTTGTGGCGATATTCGCTGCTGTGTAGCCATAGGCCGCTGAGCTGAGCGTGATGAAGGTAATGACTAGGATACTGTACGAATTCACATGGTTCTGGCCTCGAAAGATGCTAGAAAAGACGTTGTCCTCTGCCATTGGAATATTCATGGTCGAAAGAGCAGTGATCGAATACCTGAAATTTCCTGACGGCAATGCATAGTTTGTATTCGTGGGACTGGGGACCAAGTTTCTTTTATCCAGCAACTAAGTTAAGTTTTACTGGATCTGTTAATTGCAGTTCAAACGCTTTTATTACCCCGCATCTCCGGATTCTGTCTCTTGGCTTAATAGCAAGGTGACTTGCTAGTCTGATAATTCCGAAAGATGGTCAATTCCGACCATTGCCGGAGTAATTGTGGCGCCGACCATTGCTGTTGCAAGTCGGAGGTCTGAGTACAAATAGGGTTTTTGAGAACCACAAGGCTATGTCTACTGAGAACTTGTGGTAGGAACTACGAGGGAGGAATGCCTAGCCCTTTACTTATCGGTCAAAGCTTCCACAATACCTATTTTGCAAGTTCATCTTTGCCTGCCGCAAATTCTGATTTGGTGATAGTGATTGACTTGCACCTCTAAGTTTCAAGCTATCAAAACACTCACTACATGTTCAGTGGAAAGACTACATGTACAGTACAGTAGTCCAACAGATGCAACCAACCAATGATAGTGCTTCATTCTAGATCCAGGAACGCAGGCGATGTGTGCCTGATTCTATAGGCGACAATCGACAGTCACCTCTCAACTTCAATGACGACATCAACTGAAAACAATGAAAACAGGGGTAGGGCCACCGCCCTCTCGCGTAAAGAGACCCGTATAAATTGAAAAAAAAGTCTGCGCGAGGAATCCTTGTCCCCCTGCCCTTATCCCTGCAACCCATTTGCAAGCCGCGCAAATCGCGACCTCTCGTAATGGGTGTGCACTTGGACAGAACAGGATAGAATCTTCCTGGAATTCTCTTCACTGAAAAAATGAATGTGAAAAAAAAAAAAGAAAATGAAGAATGAAAATCTTTTTTAACCCGAATATCCAATTGACCACTTATCTCCCAAGTTACAGAAATTCAAAGGTCTATCATTTTGAGGCTCAACCTAGATGCCTTTTTCCGTGATGGTTGCCGCCATGGCGCCCCACTCGCGGCTGTTTCAGGTATGCCACAGTTCTTCTTCTTCTCTTGTGTTTCTGGCATTGCGATGATGATGATCAATCGTTTCTTACCATTCATGGTGATATTTGATTCCTTACATGTTTCAAGACGGGTCTCTGAGTCTGCCAAAATATCTCTGGTTATTGCTGTCAATCTTTTACGACCAATGGCTAATTTGATTCAAGTGTTTAGTTAATTACCGTCAGTACGACGAACTACCTATTTCATACGCGATTTCGGCAGGACCATTAACGTTATGTGAAATTCCCGGGTCTGCGATCGCTCGAGTCGTTCGACAATATGAAGCTCCTTCAGGGCAGCTTTGAAGGTGTTAGCCGACCTTGCCGATGGAGAAGAGTCGGCAACTTGATTTCTCGCATGAAATGACTGGTTCTATTCGCACCACTACTACTAGCTATTGGATACCCTTAATCAATTACACTTTCTCTCGTCTAAATCACCATTCCTATGACCCTATCCCAGACTACAAATAAGCAGAACCCAGCCACTATAGCCCCATGTAATCAGACTACAAATGCCACCGACCATTTCCCATAAACAGACCAACTGCCTCATGGGGCTAAGCTCGCGGAAGCCAGAACTCGCTGACAAGCAATCACCAATGACAGTCGATTATTAAGCATATATCCGAACCTCCGTAAAGCCGTTCTCGGCTCGAATCCCCCCTGGGACAATCTATAAATCACGGAATATCCCCGTCTGACATGCTATTCTAATACTCCCCAATTGTCCACCTCTGCATATATCCGAAACAGGAAAACCCAAGAAAGAAAGGACAAAAGAAAAAAACACAATTCATATAAGATGACATCCCACCTCGCCAAATCATCCCTCCTCCCCTCTATAACCCGTACAGTCCTGAACACCACCAAGACAAGAGCAAGCACCGCATTCCCGCGCCAACGCCAACCCCAATTCACACGCCCATTCACAAACACGCCAGTCACCAGATCTACTGCCAAAATGTCCACCTCCTCGTTGATCTCCCTGGCTCAGAACAGACGCACAATCTATAAGCTAGGCAAATCCGCACCGGTCCAGGACGCAGACTCCAAGATCGAAGAACTGGTCAATGAAGCCATCCTGCACGTCCCTAGCTCTTTTAACACACAGTCGACCCGACTTGTTGTCCTCCTGCACGGCGAGCATGACAAGCTGTGGGACATTGCCATCGAGGCCTTTGGCGGGCTTGTTGAGTCTGGCAAGGTTTCTAAGGAGATGTGGGAGAATCAGACTTTGCCCAAGTTGAAGGGGTTCCAGGCTGCTTATGGAACGGTATGTTTTTTTTTTTTTTTTCCTTTTCTCTTTCTCTTTATATGTCTGTCCATGTCTGTCCATGTCAAGTACAGCATGAACCATGGCTACATCTTACATTGTCCTTCGCAATGAACCCCAAACTAATCCAATAACCCAATAGGTCCTCTTCTTCGAAGACCCAGCCCACATCAAGCCCTTCCAGGAGAAATTCGCCACATTCAAAGATCATTTCGCGCCCTGGGCCGACCACTCCAATGCCATGCATCAGTATTTCCGTAAGGACTTCCTTTTTCTTTTTCTTTTTCTTCTCCGTTGCCAGGTTATGAAACAAAGCACAAAGCTAATAATGCATGCAGTCTGGACTGGTCTCGAAGCTCTGGGCTTCGGCGCCAACCTGCAACACTACAACCCGCTCATTGATGCGGGCGTTGCTAAGCAGTGGGATCTGCCTAGTGAGTGGCGGCTTGTTGCGCAGATGGTGTTTGGAAGTCCTGAGGCTGGGCCTGGAGAGAAGGTGCAGAAGCCTGTTGAGGAGAGGGTTAAGATTTTTGGGAAGTTGTAGATTTTGGATTGGTATAGAGTTTAATGATAGAATTAGACTGTTTTGATGGGGCTCTTTCTGTTGGATGATTTGCAATGGAAGTACCTTTATACCCGTTTATTGTTTTTATATACTTGCAATATACAGAATCCTTGTGGTCTTAAACTCTCTCGTTTAATGAATGTGGATATAGACTGTACTGTCCGCAGAGCGTCTCACGAATAACGAACAAACAATAAGATATACAAAACGAAAGAAACAGTTCCGACAGGACCCTCGACATATCCATCAAGCAAAAAGAATAACAAGCCCGAAAAACGAGAAAAGAATCACCCTCCTACTGTACTCTCATCTACCGCCCCAACGATACCACAACTCAGCCGGATCCCCAAGACACTCACCAATAGTAACAGCTGCAGCAACGAAAAGTCAATAAAATCTAATTCCACAAGATACCTGAAAAGAAAAAGAAAAACTCACGACTCAACCCCCGTCTCTCAATCTCCCCAAGAAGATTATCAACAAGAACCGTAACCGTATTCTCATGCGAGTCATGCGCAAGTACAACATTCCCCCCAGCATCCAGCTCAACCTTGAACCGCTCGAAACTGCGCCAGCTCGTGCCTGGATCATCATTCTCGTAATCCTTTGTATCGATACTAGCTCCGACAACATGATACCCGAGATCGGTCATGGCCTGCAGCACGACTGGGTTGGTGTATAGATATGGTGCGCGCATGTAAGTAGGAATGAAGCCGAGGATGTGCTGGAATGCTTCTTCCAGGGCGGTCATTTGGCGGATTATGTCTGGGTATGGGAGTGTATCCAGTGGGAGGTGGTTCCAGCTGGGGGGTGGTTAGATGGGTGTTGTTGGTGAGGGTTGGGAATTGGGAGGGGGAGAAGGTGAGGGAGACATTGGTCTGGGGAAGACTACTGGATTCTGGAGAATGGGGGAAGTATTTGGACTCACGTATGAGATCCAATCTGATGCCCCTCGGCGAAGATTCTCTGGACCAAGTCGGGAAATGCATAGATACTGCCCTTGTTCTGGCCGTTCAGGAAGAATGTACAGCGAGCACCGTGGATGGAGAGTGTATCCAGCATCTGGGGTGTGTAGATGAATGGGCCATCGTCGAAGGTCAGGGCGATGGTGCCTGGGACCGTGCAGTGGGTGATTGAGATGCCGAAGGGGATGGTCGATGTGTGGACTAGATCATTCATTGTTGTGATCTGGGAGAGACGGAGGGGAAGAGGGAGAGGGATGCTGGTTCTAGTGCCGTTCATGCTGGTATTGAAGGTTGGTGTTGTATCTGCGTTTTGGACTGGGGAGGCGTGGGCCAGGGCGGCCAGGGCGGCCAACAGAATCTGAAGTGTACGCATTACTGATGAGTAGGTAAGGATGCTGGGAGATGTAAAGTGGAAGTTGTAAGAGCGTGGGAGTTTGGCTGGCAGGAAGTATAGCTTCGCTGCTTCCGAGATTGAACAGGATAAGATTTGCATTGAAAGATTAAACATTTAGGTCCAAGACCATTCCACTCCAACATATATGAATACATCTGGGTTTGAAGGTATATCAAAATCGCAGGAGAAAACATTCCTCTCGCTGTTCTTCATCCAAAGAGAAAGAAGAGTAAGAAGACAGAAGAAGAATCCGCCAACAGACAACCAATTTAGCCCTTACGGGTGCTCTTCTTCATGGAACGTCTTTGGCCCTTCTGAGCCTCACGGTCCAGGAACTTGCGCTGCTCATCGGCGCTCAAGCCACGCAGGATACGCTCACGCTCCTCCTTCTTGATCTTCTCGGCTGCGATGCGGCGCTCCTCGGCCTTCTCTTCTTCCTCAACACGGCGAAGCTTCTTGATCTCTTCCTCACGGATGTTGCGGACCTTGCGCATCACCTCAGGACGGAAGTGAGCAGAGGCAACAAGCTTATCAGCCAAGCGAAGGAACTGGTTGAACAGGGGGAGAGTAGTGGAGTAGCCGGAGGCGGAGGAGGCGAGGTTAGCGGAGAGCTGAATGCGCTTCTTGGGCACAGTCTCCTCAATCCTGATACAGATGTGTTAGATATTGGCCGAAAACATGTTCGGCGTGGAACTTACTTCATAGGCTTGTCAACGGGCTGGTCAGTCACGATCAGGAATTCAAAATCGTTACCGGCCTGCTCAATAGCCTGGACCAACTCTGGGGTGAGGAGAGTGTCACTGATCTCAGCATTCTCGGTCATAACGGTGACCCACGAGGGGAGCTTGGGGTTATCCTTGGAGAAGGTGATGGAGGCATCGTAACGGTCATTGCGGAACTTGCGCATGTGGCTCTTGTGAACGACAGCCCAGATAAATCCATCGTAGGTTGAGCTAGGCACCTTGACAGGAGCGGCATCCTTGTCAAGCACGGGAACCAGGTCCTTCTCCTTGCCATCAAAAGCGTACAGGAGAGCCTCGTACTTCTCAACGGGGGCCTCCCAGCTCTCGAAAAAGAAGCTGAAGACATACTCCATCAGGTAGGTGATCGGGTTGTAGCGCTTAGGCATCTTGAGGTTGACATCGAGGAAGGCAACGTTCTGACGACCGGTGGCATAGGCGGCGAACTCGCAAGCCGACTTCTCCTTCAGCAGCGATTCGGGGTTGGCCAACTTCTCACCATCCTCAGGGGCTGGACGGGCAATACCATCGAATCCAACGACAGCGAACTCCTTCTGAAGGGCAGGGCCGTGAGCCTGGGCCCACGCCTTGGCCTTGCTGCGGTTCTTGCGCGCGCCCCAGAGGTGGAAGAGGACGATCAAGAGGATAACAGGCATAATCATGCCCTCCTGCTTAAAGTCACTCAAAGATGTCCGCTCCCACACGCGGTACCATGCTGTGTAGGGAACATCGGCGCCCAAGGTGTTGGCTGCCGGCACGGTCGTCGTATCGGCGAAGAGGGACGCAGGTGACGGGTTCGGAGCTTCCACGAAGTCGGCGAATTCTAGATGGTCAGCACCAGCAATTGAGCAGAACTTTGGAACATACCATCATCAGGTTTGGCTCCAGCGGAGCCAAACACGTTCTTGAACATGCCCGCCATTGTTGATGATGGAAGGGAAAGGAGTGGGAAGGAATCGAAGAGGTCGAAGTGCGGAGCTAAGTTCCTCCCGGGTCTAGCGCGGACGTCTCCAGCTTTTTTACCCGCTCTAGTACTGGACGACGGACATTTCGGACATTTAACATTTCGGCATTTAACACCTTTTAGACAATGGAGACATTGGAGACAAATGAAATTCATAGAACCCTCTAACTAAATCCCTTACAAAATGCTCAGTGAGTGTGGTATCCTGTAAAAAAAAAGCAGCTCACGAAAAAAAACGCCCAAAGCTGCTCGACGACAGAACCCAGTTTTGTACAATCCCGCTCCAAAGAAACAAAATCAACTGTCAGAACACAAGAAAATACAGAATCCAAGAATTAAAAACAATCATAAAGGTCATAAAAGCTCAAGACTTGCTCGAGTGGAGAATGTAAAATGGTCACTCAGTGACCATAAGCAGGCGGAGGAGTATCCTCATGTTGACGGCTCCAAAATCCGCTGCATGCGCTGGTCATCAACTTGTCCTCACGCATGCGACGAGCAATTTCACCAGCGAGTCTCTCAACCAGAACAGAGTCAACACTCTCACTGGACTTCTCCACCTTGGTGAACGGGAGAGCAGTGGCGGGCAGTGGCGGGCGCGCATTAGAGGAAGGGCCCGCGTCAGCCTTCTCTTGGGGGTAGCCACGGACAGTAGCACGGGGAGTCACATCCACATCCTCCTTGGATCCACGAATGGTATCCAAAGAGTATGAGAGATCAGCTTCGCGGCGCTGTGTCGGGCGGGAGAGACTGGCCCTGTGGCGTTCGGGGATCATAGGCAAGTGGGAGTCGGGTTCGGGGGCGAACGGTGGGGTGACAGGATCATCCGACTGCTCGTTTAGGATAGGTAGAGGCGCCGAGGCGATAGACGGGGGTCGAGATGATTCGGTCATCACGCTCTCGTCACTCACGCTCATAGCGTCATCCGTAGTCTTAGGGCGACGCAGATCCACAACACGCTTCTTGCGTCTTCGGGAGTGCGCTTTGGAGTGGCGACCAGCACCAAGGCTAAGGCCATAAGTACTGATCGTGTGACCCGGAACAGAGGGTCGGCTTTGCAGGGAAACAGTGCTGGCAGTCTCATGAAGCGAAGACATGCTGCCAATTTGTGAATGTGTTCGCGAAAGAGTCGGACTCAGTGGCGAAATAACACTTGAAGGGAAGTCGCTGGTGTCGGAGGGAGAGGTCCAGGCGCGATATACCACTTCTTGGATGGAAGGTGTGAACAGTGATAGGGTCCGTTGGGAGTCCGTAAGAGCAGCCAGGCGAAGGAGGTTCTTCTGTGAGAAGAGCGAATGGGTTTCAACTGATGAATCCAAAGATAGCGAAGCTATCTCGGACTCGTTCAAGGCGTTGCCGTGGGAATCGACAGGGTCCTGGGGCGGGCTGGCCAACGGATCTTGGCCGGGGCCTTCGGTTGTGGCCTGATCGGTATTGCCGGCTTGTTCGTCCATTTCCTCCCCGGTGCGATATTCGGGAACCCATAATCGGAGCGAGAGTCGGTGGATAATGGCTGGAAGTTCGTCCATGAACAAAATCCGAAGCTGGGCCTCAATTTCTTTCTGTAGGAAGTCGCGTACAAACGGTATTGAATCGAAGGTGGACGATACTTTGAGCGATTCGAGCGGGTCATTGCGAAACACCACCGTAATTCCTTTTTGCTTAGAAAAGACGAGTATCACAAATCCAGAAAGTTTAAAGTCGGACAGAGTAATTTGTAAGGGTATCGTGAGTGGGGTACTAAGTCGCGACAGGGTCAGAATTAAAACCAAATTCCAAGTTGCGCTATACGCAAAATCAACTTACGCAGCAGCGAGAGGTACTGGTGACGCGAAAGTCGGGCGTGTGAGGAGAAAAGTGTTAAGCGGATTGGCTTGGACGCGGGTTTTGAGTGTGAGAAAAGCGTCGCCAGTATATGACATTTTAAAGATGCCACGAAAACGATCCTCAGCCAAGTCTCCAATCTCGAGGATCTCCAGCTCCGGTGGAATAGAGCCCAGGTTTAACTCGGTGACGTGAATGTCGTCGACGATGATGGGAGGTTTCGGCGACTTATTGAGCGCAGCAGTGAGCAGATCTTGGGCACGAGTGTAAAAACTCGCGTCCGCCATCAAAGGCGACCAGTTGAAGTTGAACGCCATGCCCAAGCATTGAGTATTAGAATAAAATAAACGAGTAAAGGTAGAAGTGAGAAGAGAGTTGGAAGGAGGCGATCAGCAGGAAGAAAAACTGGTTCCCGAGGGACCCCCGATCACGCGCGAGAGTCGACTCCTCCGAAATCTCACTTTGTGACAGCTTTGTTCTTGCTTTTTCTTGTTCATGTGGTTCTTTATTCTTGAGAAGGTCTTCTTTATTGTTCTCTGCTACGTTTCTCCTTTATTCCTGTCTCTACCCTCACTGGATTCACATTTCAAGTTCCAGATACGTCACAGTGTGTGTCTTGCATGGGCCTCCACCCCTTCCGGTCAGCCCCGGCCTGAAGCCCACAGTGGGTGACATTGGGCCATTCACGGGCATGGGATAGTGGGTGCTGTATGTACCTAGCCCTTGGTCTAACGGAACTACTGGATTGTGAACGAAAATCTGGAGAAAGGGGGCAAATCATTCTATACGAGACATCTCGGGCCAGAATCTGCTATGATATTGCAGATCACCGTCTAGCCCACGTTCAAGTCTTATGTGAGGAGAAGATTTCAATCTTAAACCACATGGAAACAAGACATAGTTAAGTGATTGCTTTCATGGCAGAAGCTTTTATGGTAGGAATCGAAAGTCTTGTAAAGTAGAAGTCATTCTCGCTGCTCACAGAGGTCTCCTCCTGCCGTGTTTCAAACGCTGGTCCGTTCCCTTCCCCTGTACATCGATTCCCAAGTCGGCACATGTAACTGTCGCATGGTTGTCGTGCTGTTCCTTGCAGTTCGCAGTTTCGACTATGGGGCACGTGACTCTGCTTTGCTGAGGCAACCCCACTAGCCGGATTAGGCGAAACGTCAATAAGGAGCTGTCAAATTCCTGCCTGGCCCTTCGCTTTGTGCGCTCAACTTCCCAGCTGTAGAGCCACTGACACTAAACGGATGTTTCAGGTGCATATCACTCCCTGAAACAAATCACGATATCCAACCAGGTCATCGTCTTGTTTGGAGGTCACGCGACAATGGAGTCCCGGTCCAAGACCAAGTCGGTCACCCAGAAGCGAGTCTATGGCAAACGAAGAGCCAATGCGCCCAGAGCAGTATTCGACCAGGCTAGCCCAGGCAGAGATATCACATTCAAGAAGCCTGAAAACGTCGATTCGGTCCAAAGTCTAGAAGCGAAATTGGCTCGAGTGACGATCGATGAAGATGTGAACTCTCAACCCGACGAGAAGACGGAAGGTGAAGAGCAAGAAGAACAAGAAGAATTTGAGGAACAGCATCCATCGATAGATTCGTACTCTGAAGAAACAAGTCCATGCCCAGAAGCAGAGTCTCCAGACACCTCAATCGCACTCTCCGTCGAAACCACTCCAGAGCCAAAAAACCTGGAACCGATGCTAGAAGTCAGGATATTGAAAAATACTACAATTGACTCATCGGAATCCGCCTCAGAGTCCGCCGCTCCCACGCCTAACTCCCCCAACACCACACCAGAGCCGGCCAGTGAGGTCCAAAAGAAAAGAAACCCCTCGGAAAGAAAAGCCCCAAGAAAGGTAGCCCCTGCCTCTCGACGATCATCAGGAGTAGTCCATGACAACAAGTTCAATGACTATGTTCGCTCGATTCTCAACGAAGCACTAGCTCCAATTGCTGCGCAAAGTATCCAAAAGTTCGACTCTTGGGCCTCTCGATCGGCAAACATGTTTGACGTTGCAAAGCTGGCGGAGGGATCTTATGGTGAAGTCTATAAGCTGCACCTGCGCGAAGAAGCGTGCAGGCCGGTAGTGTCAAAGTCTAAATTGGCCAAATTGAAATCATATGGTGATGGGGTCTTCAAGGTTGTACCTCTGCGAGCCAAGAGCGGACTCGGATCCAAAAAGTTCACGAGTATCGAAGAAATTGTGGCCGAAGTCAAGATGCTGAAATATCTCGACCCGATCCCTGGGTTTGCGCGTTTCAGGGAGATCCACGTTGTACAAGGCCGTTTCCCAGAGTCATTTCAGAATGCGTGGAATCACTACAAGAAAACGAAAAACGACTGCATGAATCCTAACCCATCGAGCAAGAGAGCCTACCCTGATACCCAGCTTTGGGCGGTCATCGAAATGGACGATGCAGGATGTGAACTGGAGAAGTTTTCGTGGTCCTCGATTTTCCAAATATATGATATCTTCTGGGGAGTTGCGATGGCTTTGGCACGGGCTGAGGAGTATGCCCTCTTTGAGCATCGAGATCTGCATCTGGGCAACGTTTGTATTCGATCTACTCGGCAGGATGGCTGCATGGATCCTCCCACAGAGCAGGACATCATGAGTCAGTCATCTTCAAGTGGGTTTGGATTCAGCTCTATCGAAACCACCATTATCGACTACTCTCTCTCTCGAGCAGAGCTGCGACTGAGCGATGATCCCAATAGACCGGTCGAAATTGCATCGTCCGATTTGGACAAGAAACAATTGTTCGATGCGATTGGTCAAGATGAAGATGAGATTATGCAACGAAATACCTACAGACAGTATGTTACCCTATTTATCCAAGTGATTATTTCTATATTGACTGAGACGGCTAGTATGCGCGCAACGCTCTACACAGGAGACCCAGCAGAAACAGAAAAACCAGCAAACATCCCCGGGATCTGGGCAGAGTACTCTCCTCGCACCAACCTGGTCTGGCTACTCTTCTTGCTCGAAAGCCTCTTCAAGAACCGCAAACCCGAGCCACCTGCTGTTTCTCCGAGAAAGGCTCTGGCGCCCTGTTCGCCAAATAAGAAACCCATGAAAGCTGAAATAGTCAATGGCAAAGACCAGAAAGGGTCTAGCTCCCTGGCTCAGGAGCAAAAGACTCAGGCCTGCATCTCCCGTCTCAAAGCAACACTAGAAGATAGATTGAAGTCTGTCCTGGAACTTCTTGATTTAGAACATGGTCACGAAGACATGTGCTGTGCTGCTGATTTGGTGGCATTTGCAATGGATTCTAATTGGCTGGGAGAGGAGGACTTTTTCTGATTAATGATATTGCATACGATGAGCATTGGGAACTTACATTGGGGCGCTGTTATCTTTCTGCAATATACCTAAGGCCGGGAGTTTACATATATATACGTTGGAGTTGGGATATGAGCATACGCATTGTTTCAAAGGGATCATGAACAACACAATATGAAAAATGAATACTCTCCCACCTATAAACATAAACATTCGAATCAAATATCAAACCTACGACTTACCAATAAGAGCAATCTACTAACAAGCTTCAGCAAACTTAATGATGTAAATTCCATTCCATTCCTCGCCAGAGAACAAGCAGCCAACCAAAACCCCTAAGGATCCCAGTCAGCCTCGATGCCCCAGCATTAGAAACTAAGAATAAGAGTTAAGTGATCTGTCTCTATCTCTCCCATCTAACCCGAAGACATCCCAAGAACCGACTTTTGCAATCCAGTCCAAAGATCATAATCCCAAGACCAGCAAATCAAAGATTAAAGATTATCACAGACACCATAGATCTCAAACGCCAGAAACGAGACCCAAGTAGTCGAAATAACTCGAGTCTCATACCTAACACAAATAGAAATTAAAAATTACAATCAGAGAAGGCAAAGTCTTTCGTCACTTTTCGCTGGATGAGAGGCGTTGTCGGGTAGGACATCTGCAGAAATACACCTGTATGCTGCGCAGGCGGATGTCCTGGAAGATGATCCCTGTATCACAGCATGATAGCCTCACCGGCACGGTAGAGCTTGATGTTGAGATCGGGGCGTTTCCAGAGGGCGAAGGACTTCTGCTGGATCCAGTTGATGGAAGCTGGGAGTAGCTCCATGTCGAAGGCACAGAGGAACTTGGCCAGGATAAGACGCATTTCGGCGTTTGCAAGACTGGGTAAAATTGTTAGTGTTTTTATTCAGGCTTGGTCTCGGGTTTGTACTTACTGTTGGCCGAGGCAGTTCCGCGGTCCGTATGAGTATGGCTGGAAGGCGTCCTTGTTGTCGTTCTCGAAGCCCGTGGAGTCGGCGAGCCAGCGTTCTGGGATGAAAGACTCGGCGTTCTTGAAGTGAGATGCTGCGTTGAAGGCTGAGAATAGCGAGACTGATACGGAGACCTGAGTATTGTAGATGTTAGAGATTACGTTGGTATAAGTTATAGGGTTGGTTGTGTGCCTTGGTTGCTGGTGATGAGAACGAACATCCATTGATGTTTGATTATCGACAAGCTTTCAAACCCCCCAGTTCGTAGCACATAGAATAAATGATCAATAGGAAAACTCACATTCCCAGGGACAAATTTGTCATTAATGATAGCGCCACCCTCGGGCACGATGCGAGGCAACATGGAGGGGATAGGAGGGTAAACGCGCATGGCCTCAGTCAAGACAGCATTCAAGTAAGGCAGATCAACCAGTGAAGACAGATTAATATCGGAGAGGGAGTTAAAGGCACCCCGGATCTCGCGCAGAAGTCTCTCGTACTTATCACGGTTGCGAAGGAGATAATAAGTACACCCAGACAGCAGAGCAGCAGTGGTTTCACTACCAGCCAGAACAAAGACCGCAGCATTGGCATCCATCTCCTCGGGAGACACGCCCTTCCCATCGGTTGAATGCTTTAAAATGTACGAAGTGAAATCAGGCCTGGTCGTTCCACGAGCAAGACGACGACGGACTTTCTCAACGCTCAGTTCGAAGCTGGCTTGGCGCTTTTCGAGGAGATGCTTGGGAACCAGGAACTTGACCAGTGGGACGAGAAAAGGGTAGAACCAAAAGACTTTCAGATAGGCACTTGCCTTGACGGCGTCCAAAATGATCAATACCCACCAGTGATAAGTGCTGTTGTCGAGGCAGCCAAAGGGCTCGCCGAATGCAAGATCGCCGATTAGATCGAAGGTGGTGAAGTTGAACCAGCGAGTGATGTCGAGATCTTTGGAGACAGAGCTGCCCATGATTTCCTGCAGCTTGTCGATGAACATGTCTGCGTATTTCTGGAGGATTTCTTCCTGTGCGCGCAGAGCTTGGTTCGAGAAGGCGTGGGTAAGCAAACGGCGCATTCGGGAGTGGTCCTCCTCATTGGCTGTGATGATTGCATTGACTCCGTTCGGAGTGGGTGCATACAAAGCTGGGTCCTTGAGGAAGGTTTTGTGCCCCTTCTTGCGGTGGCCGTAGATATCTCTCCAGGCTGGGGCTGCGCGGTACACTAGAGCATTGGGGGCGATGCGAACCACATCTCCGTACTGGTCATGCAGAGCCTTTATTTTAGAGTGCTGCTTACCCTGGATATCCCAGAGAAGGTGAACAAGAGGAGTGATAGCAGCAAGCTTGGGTCCGGGGTAACGAGACACAGGGTTGATGTACAGGTTGTAGACGATACAACCAACAATGTAACTCAACAGCTATCAGAGATGAATCCTGATGAGAGTCATATCCTCGGGTTTGCTTTCCTGTCTCATCACTCACCAGAAGAAGAAAAGCGGACAGAAGTTTCCAGCCGGGCAGGTCGGTTAGGGCATGGCTCCAACCAAAACCCACAACCACAAAATCGCGAAACATTATGAACCAGTATTAAGATGTAGAATACAAGAAAAAGACGGGAACAGCCTCTCTTCCAAGCCAGAACCAACTGCTTCAAACGGACTGGCGGTGAGAAACACCGGATGCAGGGAAGGGCGGAGGTGAAGAGGGAAGAAGAAGAGCAGGGGTTCGGGGATTCAGGATTAGGATGAGAAATGAGGATGGAAAGGGCTTTCAGTAAGTGAGGTTAGGTGAAGCAAGAGGGACATTGCCTTGATTCTACGGCTGAAACTATACTAGACGGTTGGGGACAAATATAGTAGTGAGGATACCAAGGAGTATACCGGTTAAGTTCGAGTTTGAGCCCACGTCAAGGTAAACGCTTTAGTCTCACCATCATTCGAGACCAACTCAAGGCAATTCAAAGTAGACAGATGGTATAACCAAACCAAAACAGTGGTTTGTGTGAAATATAACTTATTATTCGTCATTCGTGGCGTAAAAAACATGTCTATTATATTGAAGCAAGTAACTGAAAGTGTACTCATGTACTGGCAACAGAGAAGCTTAACAAGCTTCCAGCAGCTAAACCACCCACAAGTACCATGCTCATAAATCCACCAGCAGCTGGCCTTTCATCAGCAACCACCCAATGGCTGGCACCCATCATACAGCTTGTCCCCAGGTATCCATTGGTAGCGCCGAACAAAAATTGCACAGCAAGATAGAAAAGGTCACTCTTCACAACAGCACCCTTTCCGTTGATATTGCAAAGCTGGTAGATTGGAATGAAAATGACCCGTGCAATTGCCAGAATAGCAGCCGCCTGAGGATACTTGCCCAAGGACATCCCAGGAAAGGCCACACCCATTCTGCCTGCTAAGTCACCGAGGTTCCACACAAGGAACGCCAGGGGAATAAAGACACTGGACTCATAGATCCGTGAAGTAGTAGGGTCATTGACGGATTGAACTTCCGCTGTGTAGACAGGAAAGACCATAGAGACCAAGAAGCACACGAACACAGCGAACACCAGGAACCGCAGCTTAACGAACAAAGTCCACAGACTGACTGTCTTGGAATGCTCATGCTCATCCGCAATAGACTCATCGTCCGCTCTTGTCGTCTTTTGCCTGGACTGAGGTTGGTTTCGGAGCAGGTAGAGGAAACCCAATAGCGCAATCACCGACACCGCCGTCGACGTAATAAAGTATACAAAAGCCGATCTGGATGAAGTCGTCTGCGGCATACTCGGGTCTTGATCCTGGCCCGCGTCACGATCAACACTGTCCCCATTCGGCGGCACGGCTAGCACAGAGAAGATTTGGACGATGCAAGGCAGCACACCTGCAACACCTTGTCCACTCATGATTGCCTGCATATATTCGTCTCTTCCAAAGCCAGAAACATATGCGAAGACGCCGTTTTGGTTGATACCCGTTGCCAAGCTTGCTCCGAAGACCATTACCATCAGGAAGCCGAAGTACGCCCGCGCAGACCCATCGGTAAATATGACGGCTGAGAAAGCAAGGATTGTGAACACGGCGCAGTTGATCAATAGCGAGAGCGTTATGCGCCACGGGTACGATGCATTCTTCTGCAGCTTGGCTAGAATATAGGCAGTTCCAAGATTGGTGACGGTCGAGACTGAGAGAATAGATGGTTGGTAGTGAAGTATTGTCCAGTCATCAGACTGGAACCGAGTGTAGAAATATGGTGCTGCGGCAAGGAACATGTTCCTAAATGATGCTCCACGTTAGCTTCGTGGTAGTTCGATGTGCCTGCTCTCTGGGTTCGGGAGCTGGAACCAACTTACCAGGCCCATAACATGGATATGCCTAGGAGGAAGAAAATTCCATATTCTGTTTTTGAGAACTGAGGTTCGTCCCGTTGTTGCGTTTGTATCGTCCCATCGGCATCCTCCGCGGACTCGTTGATTGGCTCATATGCCGTTGGACGGGCCATGAGGCTGCGTATCCGGTCCATGATTTATTTGGTTGTAATCTTTCTGATTACAGAAAGACGAAATTGGGGGGGTTTAGGGAGTTATTCCATGCCAGGGAGCTGTAGGTTGGCAGCTGATGTCGGAGGTGCAGCTGGGCTGTCCGGATGATTCATTACTAATCACGATATGCACCTCCGATTATGCGGGCGATCTATAAAAGGTCCGGAGAAGTGCCGCATTGTAGACTTGAAATAATATCATATTCCAAGTGAGCGACGTAATAGCAGGTGGCTGACAGGTCTGTCCAAGATCCACGTATTATCATTCTTTTGGAAAGAGTTCATGTGTCATTCATAAGGCTATCTATCGAAAACGCTCATCCCAGCCTATCCTTATTCTAACCAAAACGCCAGGCCTTTTGCACGGATTAACAGGTATCCGCTGTATACCAATAATACAGCCATGGCAGAATGAGCACCAAAGCTCAAAAGCACACATGTGACCAGCAAAATGCCCAAAATATAACAAAACGCTTCAAAATATTGATATCAGATCAGGTCAGAAGGAAAACAGACAAATCACCTTAGAAGGAGATACCTCCACCAAGGAGATTGCCCCAATTGCCACCAACCCAGATCCAATTACCCATGGAGACTGTAGTCCCAGTCTTGGCCGACTGGGCCAACTCAAGTAACGCCTTGAAAGCGTTGCTCGAAGAAGAGGCATCACTGGTAGAGCTAGATGCCGAAGTCGAAACAGATGTGCGACCAACAGCGTTGGTAACATTGTTCAAGCTGTCGACGGTATCGATCGCTGGACCCTGGTTGAAGAAATCAACCATGATGAATGTCGGCTGGCGACCGTTCCATGCAGACTTGCAATCCGACGCTGCGGTACCCAAGTTACCGGTTCCACCAGAAGGCGCGTTGGTCGTAGCAACGTAACTGGCGTTGGGGTACTCGATGTCGAATGCGGACAGGTCGTCGGAGTATAGGAAGTGGTTCATGAGTGGGAGAAGATTAGATGAGAGTGCGGAGTCTAGGTTGCCCGAGTATGTGGATGGTCGGTCGGGTTGGCAGCTGAAGTTTGAAGCGGAGGTCACGTCGTAGGGGTTCTCCCAGACGTAGGTCCACTCGTCCATTAGGTATGGGTAGCTGGTACTAGCGTCGACAGAGGAGATGAAGGTGACTAGCCGCTTGCCATCGTCGATCATTGTTTGGAGGGTTGGCCAGGTGCTTGGGGCGGAGCTTTGCGAGGTCGGCTCGTAGGCGTAGTCTGTAATGTTTGCTGTTGTGAACTGGGTGTTGAGTTCGGAGGCAGTTGCGCTATCGGAGTTGACGAGAAGGATTGTGACGACTGTTTTGGAAATGCATTAGTTTGGTGCCTGTTTGAGTCAAGACTTCGCGCATTCATCTCACCTTCATTGGGGTTGTCATCCAGCCAACTCTTGATGTCCCCCAGCCAGTCGCTCAGCAAACCCGCATCTAGAATGTTGCAGGAAGTATGACATAATCGCCATTCGGAATTGCTCTTGTGGACTTGAGCTGTTACTAGTCGAACACCAGCTGACAACTGTGTTTTGGTGTCGTAGTACCTAGCTTGCGTTAGTCTGGAGATTGCGGAGCCCAATTCCGGGGGAGAACATACTGGTCACCAGCGACCGAGTTACTAGTACTTGAGTCACGTAAGAATGGACTATCGTGAGCGCCGAGATGTGTGATTTCGCCATAAGTCTTGGAGCAAAGGTCGGGCGAGTTGTTGCATGCTGTGGTACGCTTGTGGATCACGGGATTCGCAAGGACGGCGGGCAACAAGGCCAGGAGGTTGAATGCGCGCATAGTATAGAATAGTGTATCTAAGAGAGAAAAGTCAAAGGTGTAAAATATGAAGAAGCACGAAAAAAAAGAGACAAGAATGTAGAAGTTAAGAGGCAAAGTGGCAGATGTTTACCAGAGGCCGCGTTGCCGTCTCAACTATTCTTAGATCGTGGATCTGCAGTGCACTGCCATTGGGGACGCACTTTTTTACTTGCGACTCCAATTGGGGGCTTACGCATATTCAGTCTGGGCACTCAGGCAACCATTTACTGAACTATTGATTAGTCCCTGACGATCTACTATGTCTCATATGAAATAAGTTAATAGGTTATGAGTTAATATACGTGTTTATGGAGGCTCAGTTTCAAAGGGGGTATTATATTCATTTATTTACAATTACATGCTAATGTACAATGGACACTTCAGAGTCCTTTCAGGGACAGTCGTATACCAGGAGCACGTCGCTTGGCTCGAGTTGACCGTGGCGGATTGACGAGTCGCTCCCAATCTTTCTCCATGCCATCGAAAAGAGTTGGGTCCCCCCAGGCATGAAGTACGTCGTCCAAAACTTTCTGTGGTGAATAAGGATTTCGCCGCCGTAGCATACGGTTCATGCGCCGCGCTGAAAGGACGGGACGGCTGTAGAGCATCGCCATTCGGTGTTGGACCGCTTGTGAGATCAAGCGTTTATCAAGACGAAGGCCTGATGCTTCCAATTCTCGGAGAAGGATAAGGCCTCGAACCCATGGAATGAGTTCTTTACTCGTCTTAGGATGGGTGATGGTGAATCGTGATTCTGTCGTGTCTAGCACTCGGAATGTGAATCCCCAGGAAACAATAGCAGCTTGCATTTGGGGCGTGAAGACCAGATCCAGCATCCGTCGATCGTGAGCATTGGCTTGTTTTGTAGGGTTAAGCGGAGATGCGGTGGAAGTGACTGTTGCCCAGGGAGTCTCTTTGGCAGTCCCAGCATATTGGCAGACAAGCCACTGGCAGCATTCACGAAGTTTATCCCAGTCTGCCCATGCATTTGCCATGCCGAGTCGCTTTAGCATCTCCACCCAAAATGCAGCACTGACATAACCTCCTGCGGGGACCACACGCTTAAGAATCTTAAAGATGAAAAGAACCTCTTCAACGGCAGAGAGGCGCTGGCCCGGAGGCGGACGGTGATTCATTCGGCGTGGGGTGAGAACCTGCTCAGCCATAAAGTCCACGCTATCTTCACTCAAAGTCCGACCATTCAGTGCTAGCTCGTCGGTGACCTTGACTGCCGCACGTAGCTCCCAAGCTGCGATGTGCTTTCGAAAGTGGATGTCGAAGAGATCAGGCGCCTCAGGGTGCAGTTCTGTCAAGATTGCCAATGTCATATTATATAGTCGCCAATCCCGAGCCATGTAGTAAGACGCTAACATTGTCTCCTGCATACGGACGTCTTCGAGAACATCGGGGTGTTGGTCACTCCGAAGGATGTCTGAAAGAAGAATGTCGCGGTTTTGCGCTGCGAGTTTGTGGAGCAAACGCGTAAATATGGAGTCTCCTACGGTAAACCCAGCTTTTTTGATAGCTTTCAGCTTCTCCAGAATATCCTGGTTGCCGTGGGCTCTGATGGCCATTTCACGCAGCGTGCGTGGGCCAATTTCTGATACCCCGAGCATCTTGAGTCCACCGAGAACCATGTCGAAATTGAGAGCACGGGTGGCAAACATCTTCGCGCCTAGGTCGTCTTTGAATGGCTTTCCATTGCTTGTGCCTTTTTCATCGGCTTTCGGGGTTGTATCTATCGGGCCGGGTTGATCGATCGAAGCTTCTGTATCAAACCTCTTCTTGGCGTAACCACGGAGCCTGTTGAACTCTTTCCGTTTACCGAATTTCTCCACAAATTCAAGAAGTGGCTGAATTTCATCTGGATTTTGCGGATGATCCTGGCGCCTAGCGAGAAAATGATGCATGGAAATGGCGCTTTCTCCTTGGCCTTGCTGTATAAGCATGGAAATCGCCGGACCATATATTTTGTGGTCGGGTGTAGCAGAGCATATCGCCTGAAACGCTTCTAATCCAGGTGTCAAGAAGGGTTCTTGTCGATCCGTAGTTGCAACCTCCATACCAGCTGGAAGACATGATAGACGAATTGCCGACGGAAGAATCTGTATGATGTCACTGGCGCTAGCAATTTGAGATTTTTGCAGCTGTTTGTGGCATTCAAGAGCACGCTTTGGCTTGCCCTGGTCCAGAAGTCCACCCACGATTTGCACATATAGCTGCGGCCATCGAGCGCCTTCGCGCTTCCATAAATTGACAGCATAATCAATCAAACTGTCAAGATACAGCTCTCGTCTCAGTCCTAGTTCCACGAAGCTCTGCCAGAAGAAGTCCGCCTGTTCTCCAGTAGTTGGCAGTTCAACCCCGTCCAAGCGGACTGTCAATCCTTCCCATATTTGTAATGTACCATTGTCACCGTAGTGACGCTGGCGGTATCGAAGAAGTTCCTCCCATAAATCAAAATCAAGCCGAGATTCCGGGTGGTCCACAAATCGCGTTCCAATGCCGTCGAGGTGTCCGACGTCTGATTCGAATTCAAGCTTTTCCGATCGAAGCGATAGATTCTTGGTATGGGGTGAATTATTAGGTGATTGGATCGATGCGACAGATACAGATTCAGATGTGGCTTGATTCGGTAATTCAATGTCGTAAATCGCAAAGCTGAATGGCCGTTTCCCTCGGCACGAGTCTTCAAGTTGAGTCCGGGTGTGATCGCTATCGCGTTCGTCGAGTTGGGCTGGCTTTGCACCTTGTGAATGGCATCGTAAGCACCTGTACCTGAATTCGAATTGCTCGATTCCGACCGATGTAGCTGTGAGGGTATCAAGGATCGAGACGGCGGACGGCCTCTTCAACAGTCGCAGAAGCGCCGGGCGCATGAGTGGTTAAGAAAAGGTGATCGGGAGAAACAGGTTTCGACGTCGAACATCCTTCTCCGAGCTCCCGGCATCAAATTGGAAAGTATCAAGATTGTTTTTGAACAATGTGAAGCTTCAAGCACTTTTTTGGAAAGATACGCTTTTCCCTTTTGGGACTGCTGACTCGACACAACGTCTGATTCGATCAGGTGATGCTCACGTGACGCAATTGACGTCCCTGTCCCTTCCGGCTCTTCGTCGACATCTCGCCATACTCCGAACCTCAAGTCTCCCCTCTCTCCTCGCTTCCAACCGCCAAAATGTTCCGTGCTACCAGCTCCCGCATGGCCGGGTACGTCGTTCCTCTGAATCGCTCTACAAGTTCTCCCCGCACACAACCCCAATTATGACCGTGCGACAATTGAATTTCCTCTCGCGATGTTCGGGCACAATTGCGGTCCAATTGCGATGGGTGTTGCTGCGGGGACAATTCTCTCGAGCTTCCACGACAAATCGTACTGACTGTTGTGCTCCTAGCTTCGTGTTCCGTGAGAACCGTGTGCCTTTCTACCAGCGCCTCTTCCAGAACCACGACAGCAAGCGTCAATGGTGGAAGGTTAGTTTGACCCGGAATGGGCACATACGCCCTCAATTAGCTACCCACAGATATCTAACGTCGGAACTGCCTCACAGACCTCGCGTTCCGGCTACATCATGTACCCCTACTTGATCTCCGTCTACGGCCTCGGTGCTGGTGAGTGGATCCTTGTTCGACTTGTCGCGCATATAGAGCTAACCTGGCAATAGCTACCACCTACGCCATGGGTCGCATGGTTCTCGTTAGTCTTTCCGAACTCATCCATTGTCGTATATCGACAATCAGGGTGGGTGAATGTCTAGGCATGTCCATATACTGACTTTTAAATAGGGCCACAAGACCTGGATCTAAACTATCAGCCATGAGGTTCGGCTCGACGGGTAATAGATGATGCTACTATCAGGTCCGTTGGTTGCGAGGCTGTGTTGTCAGTTGTTTCTTATATGGTGTATTTCTACTCCAGGAAGGGGTTAGATGGGGTTGGCAGCTACGCAGATTGGAGCTGTACATATGATCAATTCAAGCTCCAAGTTAAGATTGTTGCCTCGTATTCTTCCTGCTTTCCACGCCTTCAATAACTCGGGACTACCTACAAACTGGTTAGCCTATAGGTCAGTCGAGAACGGTAGTGTTTAGCAAGGGTCCGACGCATATGAATAAGTTTCGTCAAACTCATTGGTTTAAAGCTTGAACAGTGCTACTCTGGTTGATGAATAACAGGATACTGATGCTATTCCTCGGTGCTAGAACAAATAGGCCCTCCCGGTATGCACAATTGAAGATAAGCACTCAGATGGCTATAGCTCTCTATCTCTTTTGGCAACACAAAGCCTCGTTTATGGAGGCTTTTATTGGTTCAATCAGATTCTTGATACGACGTTTGAATGATAGGTTATTGTCCAGGTGTTCTTGAAACTTTACCGTACACTCAAAGATTGAGCAAAGACCATGACATGCAGCATATCGGACTAAACATTCAGTTATTAAATGGTCTTCTCCCACGGAATCAAATGCTGGCATTAAAGCATCCAGCGTTGCACTGTGCTCCTCAACGGGCTCGGGTTAGATTGATGTATCATATCATGGCGAATGTCCGATTGCAAAGAGTGACTCGTTGGCATTGGAACAGGCATGTTGCCTTAATGCAGAGAATAGTTACTGCGCAGTGCCCTCAAGTAAGGATATGTTCGATATGCGGTACTCGGATGTGGTTTGCGAGGGATTCTCTAGTTCCTCGGTCAATTTGCAGCATTTGGCCTGGTGCAGCTTTTCGTTAAGCCTGAGTGGTTTATTTGAGTCTTTGGCGTAATACTCTAATTTTCACTCTCTTGCTTTTTGGTACAATTCAAGCGTTCGAAGTCAGTTCAACATATTAACCTATATTCTTCTGGTTTCGATAAATTAGCATCATACACTGCGTCTTCCTACAATACATTCTGTCGTGCTCCAGCGCACTTGGTAAATCGAATCAATATGTAAAAGAGAAAAGTATACGTATTATTTCAGGTCTTTCTAGCATGTCTAATCTGACTAGCGAGATCTAAAACCATCGCCAGTCACTTTCTGAAGTCTCAAACCACTTTGATATCTGAATTTCCTAATTGGGAATCATATGTGCTGAGTCAGCTGTGAATCTTGCAGCCCTGGATAGACTCCGATTAAATGGGCTGTTTTCCAACGTTACGCCCAATGGTTCATTCCTGTGTCTGTTTTCCACCGCTGACCATCTACTAAGAGGACATTTGGCAAGGACAACATCATTAAAACGGACATTGTGCTTTGAGCCCCTGACCTACTGCGACTTTCCCTTACCATGGCTCTCACAATCGAAAGTGATGCACCCTGATCTATTTGACCATGGAAGAAGACCAATACTCATATGCCGAGCGACCCGCCAAGCGAGTCCGTCAGGCGTGTGAGCCTTGCAGGTAAGTATTCATCCCACTTAACCATTCACAATGATAGTCGTTGACCAACGTCCTAGGCGGAAGAAAGCTAAATGCCCTGGAGAGCAACCTGTTTGCTCACTCTGTGCTAGGCTACGGCAGCAGTGTCAGTATGCCGAAGAAAGGCGCCGTTTACCACCCCTCGAGGAACAGTCGAGGGTCAATGACGCAGACAGTCGAACCCCTACTGTTTTGGTACTTCTCCTCGAACACAGTTCACAGGCAACGTGAATTCTATCAGTATGCTGACTCGCAATTAGGAAGATAGGATGCGAACCCTTGAGGATAAACTTGGCGAGGTTCTTTACGTGCTTGGGTAAGAATATTCAATATGTATATCGTGGCTCACTCTAATTGATGTTGCCAGCAGCTCAAGAGGCGAATCACAGATGTCGAGTGAGCGAGGCGTTCCATCTGTGACACTTTCAAGACCAAGCCCAAGTTCTACTCTGCCATCATGGGAAGACATAACGCCCATCGCAGAACTTTACCTGCAGTATTGTGAATCCCAGCCTCTTCCTCTCTTTCACAGGGACAGCTTCCTTAGAAGTTTGCAAACACGGGATTCTGAAGTTATATTTGCCATATTGGCATTAGCATCTCGATTCTCATACTCCCATTCCAATAGGAACGAGTCTACAAGTCTTGTAAATGGTTACGCCGAGATTGCTCGGGGCTTGACTATGAAAAGAGTCTCAGAGGGACCCGTGGAACTTTCAACGCTACAGTGTCTTTGCCTATTGAGTTTGGTTGACTTTACAAGTATGAGGAGAGAAACATAATTCCATCTCCGTTCTTATGCTAATAATGCCCATTAGATGGCCACACGCATCGCTCCAGCATCCACAGCAGTCTAGCAATGAATCTTGCACAATGTGCCAATCTTGGCCAAGAGCCACGCTCTACCATGAATACTATAGCTCGTGAAGAACGAAGACGCTGTTTCTGGAGCATATGCCTCCTCAAACGACTGCACGGTGGAGATTTCTCGATACTAGATATTCCTGAAGTTGGAGGACCGCCTTTTCCTCAAAGTCCAGCCAGACCAGCACGACTTCTTTCACCCGAGCCATCAACTGTGGAAATGCGGCGCAGTAACATGAAAGACGATGGTATCATTGCATACGTGGTAACGTTGAGTGAAGTATTCGCAAGAACAGCACGATACGTACGACTTCATGGCCGGCCCAGCAATGTTCCACCATGGTCTCCCCATTCTGAATACTCAAAGATTCTCGCCTTGCAGATGGATCTCGAAACACGAATGCCCTACATACATCGGTTCAAGCCTGCGAATCTTGGCGAAAGAACGCTAGAAGAGTTACAGACCCATCGCGAATACTGGGGTCCTTGGTTCTTGAACCAGTTCATGTATCACACCAGCTTGTGTCTTCTGAATCACCCCCTCTTGCTCTCCCTGAGTCTTCGAAATTTCCGGAATACCATTCCAGAGATCTTTCTGCAGCATACATCGGATTTGATCTCATCGCATACAACCTGGATCCTCCATTTTATCAATTACTTCGAAGAGAAATCATTCCTGGTCTCGGATCCTCTACTTGGATACAGCGCTGCTGTTGTGGCCACTATCGAACTCCAACTCAGTTTTACAGATAACTTGATGATCAGAGAGCAAAAGCGTGAAAGGTTCACCAAATGTGTCAAGTTTGTGCAACAAATTGGACAGAAATGGCCACATATGGCCCGACTGGTATGTACACCCTCATCCTTGGAAAAAGTACCAACAAAAGAATAATCTGACTTCTCATTCCTATGCTGTAGGCACGCAGACTTCAACATCTAGAGGATGCAGTCTCAGCAACCTACCAGTCAGACCCAGAAGCTCAAAATCAAAGCCTCCTCATCGACCTATCCCGCTTCTGGGAAATCCTAGAATACTCCTCAAACAGCGACACAGACTCTGCCCGACGTCTATTCGGAGAGTCCCTCCACGCGGGATCCTCTTCTACCGGCGCAGAAGTATCCCAAACGTCTCCTTTGCCAGCACCTTTCCGACTGAACCCCCAACAAGAAGGAGGCACTCCAACTCTTCAACCGCAGCCATTCGCTGCCAATGCCACCTTTCCAGCCCAGGAATATGGGGGGATACCATTGTGTCACCGCGGCATCTATCGCTGTCGAATGACGAGTTCTCGATCCTTGCTACGAACTTCTTCTCGCAGGGCCAAGAGTTCCTACGTAGTGCGGATAATTGGGAAAGCATTGGAAACTTTTAAAAAAATAAAGATAATATATTTGTTCGATTCTGGATCATTGAACTTATTGCCTTTTCATTTTGTATGCCATAAATGCAATGTCGCTTTCATAATGAGTTCGTAAAAAGATACACGATTATGATGAAGCCAACGCACCCTTGAACTCCTCTACGAATTTGAATACCTCTGAGTAAGTGTTGTACAATGGTACAGGCGCGACGCGCACGACACCGGGCTCGCGCTTATCGCAAACGATACCCGCCTTCTGTAGACGGTCAGAGACTGCATGCAACAGGCCAGGCTTGAGAAGAACGCTCAGCTGGGCACCGCGGGCATAGGGGTCGGAGGGCGAGATGATATCAAATTGGCGTGTTTCTGAAGAAGTGTTCTCCAGGAGCAGGTGCTCCAGGTAGGCGGTCAACTTGATAGATTTCTCGCGCAGGTCTGCCATCGAAGTCTGGTCGAAGACGGACATTGCTGCGCAAAGACAGGTGAGATCCATAGTTGAAGGGGTGGAGAGCTGGAAACCCCCGGCACCTGGAATAGGCTTGTACTCTGCTGGTAGTTAGCAGATGTTCCAATACTTTCGTCTTAGCAGCAGAGGTCTAGAATCGAAAAACTTACTGTTGTCCATCTTGAATCTGACCGAACGGTCACCACCATACCATCCAGCCAGACGATGACGGAACTTGGGAGAGTCCTCGCCAGCGCTGTAGTCGACCCTGCCGTGTTTCTCATGAAGGAAGAGACCACCCATCGAACCAGGACCGGCATTTCCGTACTTGTAAGTACACCAAACAGCAAAGTCAACATTCCAGTCATGCAGCTTGAGATCGACATTTCCGAAGGCGTGAGCACAATCCCACCCGACTACGAGGTTCCGCGCTTGGGCGTACTCAGTGATCCGAGGAATGTCAAAGTACTGGCCGGTGTAATACTGAATTCCGGGGAGGAGAAGCACTGCTCCGTCCTCGGCGTGTTTATCGATGTATGACAGGATCTTCTCTGTCGAAATTTCGTGCTCGCCTTCATCAGGGCCAATGAGAACCATGTTCTCTTTTGCGTCGAGACTGTGCCAGGCGATGTGGGACTCGATCGCGTACTGCGAACGCGTTAGCAAGTGGATTGGAAATTGAGTGGTTGCTATCGATCCCCGAAAGGCTCTAAATGGAAAGGCTTACATGGTCACTGGGGAATGCCTTCCAATCCATTAGAATCTTTCGACGGGTCTCAGTCGGCTTATAGAAGCTAGCAAGCAACAAATGAAGGTTCATGGTCAATGTGCCCATGGCGGCGACTTCCTCAGGCGCAGCACCGACAATCTTGGACATGGAGGCAGAAGCCTGCTCGGACATTAATTGCCATTGCTTCAATGGCGAGTCTTCGAGATCAGTGAAGTGACCGAGGACACCAATGGATGACCAAGTGTCCAACTGGGCCTCCATGTATTTTGAGACGGCCTTCGGCTGAATACCCAATGAGTTGCCACAGAAGTAAGTGCTCGGCTCAGAGGATAAATCTAGACGACCGTGTCAGATCTGATAATGCGTCCATATTGTACGATGTTACATTACGAGGGAAAGTCATACCTGGCTTTGCGAGCTTCTTTGTCGCGATATTAGCTTTGGAAGGAATAATGAACTGGTCGCGGAATCCACGCAGAGGGTCCGCGGCATCCAGAGAGGCGGCATATTCCAGTGTTGCTGCCTCTGCAGGGAATACGGGCTTGGGTGCTTTAGTGACGGTCATCTTGGGAAGGTGTATTTGGCCGGTGTAGGCTGGTAATCAAGCACACACAAATTCAGGGGAATTGAATGGAGGAGGGTGCAAGTGATTGCTCAAACATGCAGTCGTTCTTATAATAAACGAGAGACAAATCGGAGGCGAAGGAGCTGTCACTGCAATGCAACCCGGATGGTTATCCGCTTCCGCCTCCCCGATCCGTCTCCATACTGTCGTCACCTATCTCCGCTTCCTGTTCCGTGTTTATGTTGACTCGGATATATGCGAGTTTCAATGTTGAGAAAAGGTTGAAATTAGTCATGGTGGTAGCTTTTACCGGCGATTCAAATATATGCTAGTAAATGCACTGAATGCTTCGAGTGTGCTAAATACTGTACGCCGTGTACAATAGCTGGTCTTCTATTATGGGTGATATGGCATCTGCAGGTCTTTGATATACGCCACACAGCAGTGTAAGAAGACCAATTTAATACTTCATAGGCGTAATTCAACAAACACAGTATAAATTTCGATCCGAATCATAATATCGTAATGCGCAGCCTTATCAGTACGCTGAGTAGTACAAAGCAGTGCGTTGAGTAGTACAAAGCAGTGCGTTGAGTAGTACAAAGCTTGCTGGGAGGCGGAAGTAGATCCGGGTCACACCCGTGATTCATAGATCTTGACGAAATTGACCGACAGAAGCCGACGAGTCAGCAAGAAAGTCTATTCATGGCCTGATCATATTTGTTTAATGCCAAAAAAGATAAATAACACTGTTGTTGCTGCCGAAACCTCCATCTTTGTGACACAACCTTCAAATCTATATCGTTAACAATGCTTGAATCATCCAATACATCCGTCGATGCCGTTTTCAAGGGCTATGCCCAGCAGGGCTTCCTTCCTGAAGGGTTACCCCTGGAAAGACTCCCGAGCCCCTACTACAAGCCATGGGAAGACATCGCCGGCCAACTCCCAGCTCTCATCCAAACAGGCCAGGTTCGAGACATGATCGAGAGCCTACCGGTTTGTTCGGTTGAACATCTCGAAACAGAGCAAGAATGGCGTCGAGCATATGTTATCATGGGATATCTGAGCCATGCCTATATCTGGGGAGGAGACAAGCCCAAAGAAGTAAGCATCCAGCCATTCACCTCACCTCAACCCTCCATACGGTCACGGGGCAGCAGAACCCTAACAAAACAAAACAATCAGATCCTGCCTCCCTGCATTTCAACCCCATTCCTTGAAATCTCCTCTCACCTCGAAGTCCCCGCCTGCGCAACATACTCAGGCCTGACCCTGTGGAACTTCAAAGCCCCATCCCCAGGCACAGACATCGCAGACCCGGACAACCTGGCTGTGCAGACCTCCTGGACAGGCACAAAAGACGAAGAATGGTTCATGCTTATCTCTGTCGCTGTCGAGGCCAAGGGTATCAGGTTGATCTCGCAGATGCACGAAGCCATCAAGGCTGTCATTGCCAACGACGCTGATCTCCTTACGTCCCTGCTATACGGGTTCGCAGATGGTCTGAGCGATCTCACGTTAACCCTCAAGAGAATGTATGAACATAACCGACCTGCGGTCTTTTTCCATGAGCTGCGACCTTTCCTTGCTGGAAGCAAGAATATGGGTCCGGCTGGCTTGCCCAGGGGTGTTTACTATGATGTCGGCGATGGCGTTGAGAGACCGGAGAATTGGAAGCAGCTGAGTGGTGGAAGCAATGCTCAGAGTTCGTTGATCCAGGCACTTGATATCTTCTTGGGCATTAAGCATTCTGATTCGGCTTCTGGGGAGAACTTCATTGAGGTCAGATTTCAGTCGCTCCCGTGCTCACATTCAGGAATTATACTAACTTCATCTCAGGAAATGCGCAAATACATGCCTGGTCCTCACAGACGGTTCCTTCAAAGCCTCGCTGAGATCTCGAATGTGCGTGCCTATATTCAAGCCTCTGCGGACAAATCAACCGAGAAAGAAGCCTACAATGCTGCTGTCAATGAGCTCAAGGCCTTCCGGGATACTCATATCCAGATGGTCACTCGGTACATTGTCATGGCGGCGAAACAGCCGAGTCCTTTGAAACAGCATACTGGCAGGGTTAACTTGGCCACAGCGAGTCAAGCTACCGAGAAGGAGCACCATCTCGCTGGAACTGGCGGTACGGATTTGATACCATTCCTCAAACGTACTAGAGATACTGTCCAAGATGCGAAGTGTTAGAGAGCTTCTTAAAAGATCAGGAGTGATGACTTTATGACTGTTTGTTAGAATTGTTTGTTCGAATAGTGTTAATAAACCATGTTGATTTGCAATATTCTACTATTCCAACTGACGTACTTGACTGTTCCTGTGCTTAGCCCAGAATTATGGAAAATCACAAATCCACGAACGAGAAATCCTGCTCATGTTTCACAACCCTTTAATTGCAATATCATTGAAAGTTGATATCACCAAGAATGACTGCCCGATGACTGGTATTTTCCACATAGAAATCCACGGTCTCGGTCTCGGTCTCACGTGCTAATCCAGCACCACTCACACTCATATCAGACTTCTCGCTCATGTAGAAGGGATCGTAGAGTCGATAAAGATAACAGACCGAGATAACCAACTCGGGGCGTTGTTTGAGAGGTCATAGGACTTAGGATATATCACTGTGTTCGGAATCCCTCTGCACCCATCCATGGTGGTCTCAATTTCGGAATGTCGACGCTGAGTCTGAGTGCTGACTCCTCACAGGGTCTGGTGCGCAGGGTGAAAGGTCAGATCAGGATGGTGAGGGTTGCTGATCGAAGACATCTTGGTAGGGTTCTTGGAAGCCAGGTAGCTGAGCAGCGATAATAGGCTTGCTTCTTGGCATACAAAATGCGAAGCAATCACCTCTTCTTTGTGTTGGCAGGCACACCTTCACTTTCTCGCAAATCAGCCAACAATTTCTCTCGTTCGATCAGGCGCTCTTTTTCCTCCTTGATCATCTGCTCAACTGTCTGAGTAGCCTCGGCCATCCGATCAAGCTCTTTGTTCTCAGTACTGCGACTGTAAGGATTGTTGGGTGTTTCAATCATGGGAATATCAGCCGTTGCAATCTGTCTGGCATTCTTTGCCTTGCTCTTAGAAGGCTGTCCACCACTGGGACCACCTGTAAGAATTTCGTAGAACGCCTCGACAGGCTCATTAAAGATGATCTCCTCGTAGTTCTGGCTGACAACTGTCTCACGACGCTCTTTCATGCCCTCCGCATCAGGTCCGTACGGGTGTAGCTTCAGGCTGTGCCAAAGGGTCTGGGCCTTCTCACCCGACTCCGGGGCGAAGAAGAGCTTGAGTTGGATCTCGAATTCACCCCAACCGGTCTCGGAAACTTCAAATGGGGGTTGCTCGATTGTGCGGACATTCTGCGCATATGTCTCGTGGAGCTTGAACTGGACTTTCTTGAGCCAGTAGGAGATGTCTTCGCCGTTGATTCCGCGGACAAAGATTTGCCAGCGATGAGTATGATCGGGTGGGCAATCTGTTGGCTTGTTCTCTGGGTCGAATGGATGCGCGACACTACCGAACACTGGGGTTGTTAGCTTGCGATTGTTGGTGATGCGCCTATCGCGAACGTACCAAATGGTCGGAAGATCGAGATGCCCTGCGAGACTGGCATTAGTTCACTTTCGATGCACATTAACAAGGCATATCACTCACTCTGACACGCTTGTTTGCAATTGCTGATGGCATTTTGTAGCAATATCGGATTGTAGAGAGCGTAGATTAGATTATGTTGAACAAGGGCGAATATGCCTCTTGCTACACCGCCCGGCAGTTCCGGCCTGAGGCGTGATGCCAAGACTTGCCTCTTCGGAGCAGGCGATACCGAATGACGCTAACTGCGGAAACTTGGACAGGGACATTCTTGAAATACCTCAGAGCTGGCATATGAAGAACTTGGCATTAACATATCTTTTAGTAACTTGAGCTTTCTCAATTGCGAGTGTCAACAAGCCATTGCTATTGCACCAGTTTGCCTGAACCAGTGATATCATTCCCGGAGCTATCAAGAGCTACAACATGGCCATTAAAACTTTGGTCGTTGCTGGAGGAAGTGGATTTCTGGGTTTGTGATACACACTTGTTTGTATATTGATAAGCATTGCTAACTTTTCATTCTAGGATCTAGAATCTGCAAATCTGCGGCGGCAAGGGGATGGACAGTCACATCATTAAGGTAGCTGAGTTTATGATTCCTGGATCTACGAATATTACAGAGACTAACCCATCTCTAGTCGCTCGGGAGAGCCACGGTGGGATACAGTCACTGACTCCAAGGAACGTCCGAGCTGGGCAGGCTCCGTGAAATGGGCCAAGGCTGATATCTTGAAGCCAGAAAGCTACAAGACATACCTCAACGGAGCTTCAGCCGTTGTTCATACAATGGGGATTCTCCTGGAAGCAGACTATAAGGGTGTTGTCCAAGGGAAGGAGCCAATTATCGGTGGCCTTCAGCGAGCCTTTAGTTCGACTAAGCTAGGAAGCCAGAACCCTCTATCAAGGAAAGAGGGCGAGGCTCTTGAGCCAAAAGAAAAGGATGGGCAGTTGACTTATGAGTTGATGAACCGAGACTCGGGTATGTACAAATTCTTTATTGGCATAAATTATGTGTTTGAGAAGCTAACTAATGCCTCGCACGCGGTAATAGCCATTGCACTTGCCCAGGAATCCAGTAATGAGCATGTCCCAGCTTTCGTCTACATTTCTGCTGCTGCTGGCGCACCGCTCCTACCGGCCAGGTACATCACCACTAAAAGGGACGCAGAGGCAGCCATCGCATCCAAACTCCCAGATTTGCGAAGTATCTTCATGCGTCCGGGCTTCATGTATGACTCCAGCAGAAAGTTCACGCTTCCAATCGCAATGGGAGGTTTCGTCGCCTCTGAATTCAACACATTCCTCGGAAATAAGCTTGGGTTCCTCGGATCGATGGCAGAGAAACCCCTCAAAGTTGACGTTGTTGCCGAGGCGGTAGTCGAGGCATTGGAAGATGAGACAACCAAGGGTGCAGTCGGAACAAAACAGATTGAGGCACTTGCAACCAAGGCCTGGCGAAAGACGATGCTCTAGGTATGGACTGTGTGACCGAGGAATTCTTGTAAAACATATTTTGGCGAACAAAATTCGGAGTCATCGATATTCTCGCTATTTCCTTGCTGGCCTAGGCAAGACCCACAATCCCAGCCGTGTACCATATTGCAACCAATGTCATATTAAGATTACATCATAGTTCCACGCTCAAAGCTGTCCCGAATCTCGGTAGTGTACTAAACTAGATCAGTATGATTTCACATGGTTGAAAGAAAAGAGCAGCTGGGAACTCACCTTGTTGTAGAAACGAGCCAATTTCATGTTGAACTGCTTGTTCTTCTCGTTGATGTATGTCACATCGGAATCATCGTCACCACGGCGCTCCTTGCGCTTCTTGAGGCGTGCCTCCTCGGCCTTCTGTAGATCATTGACAAGCCTGTCAACAGCCGCACGGTCTGGTTTGCTATCTGTGAAGCCAGTGGAGTCCGCTGTAGAATAGAAGCTTCCGTTCTTGTCGACTGCGATCATTTCTCCGTCCTCGGTCTCCACAATCTCGAGATCACCATTAGCTGCAGCCTTCTCAATTGCCGCCATCTTGTCTTTTTCGTATGAGTCCAAGTTAGGCTGCAGTTCCCTCATCTGCCTCTTGTAGACCTTGCGCGCATCTTGTGTGTAGTCCTTGAATGCGACATCGTCACGATGGCGCTGTTTCTTGGCCATGCGCTTATCCCACTTCTCAGATTCTTCGACTGTCCAGTCCCATGCACGCTTGCGTTCAAAGTCTTCTCCCGCAGCTTCTGTGTCTGCTTTGAGGAGGTTGTGTGAGGCGAATGCATGCTTTCGGGATAATGTGTTGAGTAGTGCCGGATCAGTTGTCAAGCGCTGAGATTCGGCAACAGTTTCTTTCAAGTTGCGTTCGGTGGCAGATTTCTATTACTCCAGTTAGTTTGTGGTTTGACTTCACGGTATCAGGGTTCACCTACTGCTCGAGCTTGCAGAGCTTTGAACTTTTCCATTCTGTCGCGTGCCTTTGAAGCGCCTTCATCGCTTTTGCTTTCAACTTTTTTTTCGGAGCTTGTGTCGGGGCTGTCTGAAGTTGTCTCAATCGGGTGTTCAGTCTGTTGTTCACTCGCTTCGTCCTTTGCGGACTTTTCCGCCCTTCTTGTTTGAACCATGATGATACAGTATCGGCGAAGGAGTCAATTTCGAAGTGACAGTCAAATGGTGATCGGTTTGAGGTAGTGTTACTGAAATAGTGGTACAGGCGGGTTGACGATGGATTAAAAGCGTGATCAGATCCGCTTCGCCGGAATTTACACCGCCCTTAATCTGCCAGCAGAACCCCGGACTTGCCCCCTTATCGATTGTTTATCTTCTCCACCTTTGGAGATCTGATGGTGTCTTGTGGGCCATGGGATTTCCACGCATGCTGTTGCGTAAGCAATGGCTTCTTCAACCTGGAATGAAGTTAAGATGGACTCGCTGTCTTTACACTCGACCACAAGCCTCAAAACAAGTACCCCCATCACCATCGGAATTACTTCGATTCGTCCTAAGAGACTCAACCGAGCCAGGTCTTAACGCAAGCCCAATTGATGCTCTACCTTCAGATCTTCGTGAGGCTTTCAACACTGAGTGGAAATCTAACAGTCCACCTCCATCATTGTGGAATTCTCTCAAAGGACTTCCTCTATTGCCCGGAAAAGAGGAGATCATCGATGTCCGTTCCCTGCGAAGCGCTATTGCGAGATACGCCAATGATAAGTACGGTGCAGAATTTCTGCAAGAGACAATATGTTCATTCTTAAGTCACACTTTGCAAAGTCATGGACAGGGAGGCAAATCGGCAGAGCTTCTGCAAGTGTTAGACGACCTTCATGCCAGGCTACATCGTCTCCAACTCCCGGTCAACCGAAATCTCCATTCTCTTTGCATCGGACTTGCAATGCGTGATCTATCGGTACCCGCTATTAGAAAATTTCTAGTTGACTACCAGCGCAAGGGTTTCCCGTCTGTGGATAATCAGCGAGAGATCATGTTGATATCCGTTAGCTGTGCTCAACAACTTGACTCAAAAACTTTTGATGATCCAAGCTATGACCACGATCCTATGCTTGCAGTTGTTACAGGTGAAGGAGATATTTCACCCCAAAACTCCGTGAAGTTGCGTGACATCTTGCAGTGGACGCCAGCCTCAGAAGAAAGCATGGGCTATCTCTATCTACTAATAAAGCTTGGGAGTAACGAGGTACTTCGAGCTTGCTGGGCTCAATTCGTGAAAGATATCTCGTCTTCTGGGAGTGGCCACGCTCAAGCCTATAGAGCGGTGCTATTACTAGTCCAAATTGGGCGCTCCGAGACCGCAGCGCAGTTCCTGGAAGAGGTGTCTCAGGTTTCTGGCGACAACCTTCCACATATTGCGCAAGTTGGAGCTGGAGCTCTTCAGGCTCTCATTGACGATCCTACCGTGGGTGATGCATTACCTGATTTAGTGAGAGGCAAGGACTACCTTGAATTGCTTGAGGATTGCCTCCAGAACATAGACCGGAGGTTGGGTATACAGTGGAATTCCGAAAGTCAAAGTCATTTCAGCACAGCCCCAGAGTCCTCAGACACAATATGGGAAGCATTTGACGAGCAAGCACTGCCTACTCTCGATCGGCAATGTATTGCCGCTGATCACATCAACCAACTATATGCAGAACTTCAGGTCAATGGTTGTTCCAAGTCACCAGCTGTATTGGGAGGTATTGTGGATCTGTTGCATGATCATGACGGAATGTCCCAGGAAATTATCACTCATCACGGTTACGGTGAACTATACTCTGGAGAAACTCGCTCCGAATCGGAATTCCTTGAACTTCGATGGACTCCGGAGTACTCACCGGTAGAATTTTCCAATTCCAGAATACCGGCGCTACATGACTCGTCTGTGCCGTGGACTCCATCTAGACTCGGACTTGTTCGGGCTCGTTTGATCGTTGATGGAGTGCCCGAAACGGGAATCAATGCCTTACATTTGATGCAGCTCGGCTGCATGGACATGCGGTATGGTGTGGATCAGCCATGGCAGTCGTCTGGATACATTGTTGTATGGGATCGTCACCACAATGACCTCCTGGCTTTGTATATCGGAAACAGAAACGGTAATGGGGTCATTGATTGTGGTCCAGCGCCTTCGGATGGCCTCTTTGGAGCCTTGGTAAATCTCAAGCTCCCAACGGATCCTATAAGGACGAACTTTTGTTCTCTTGGTACCCCTAAGCTTGCTCGAAATTGCCATGGGCCTTATTTCCTGGATGTAGATCCAAGTCCCGACTTACATTAATCGAGGCAAGCCTACGGCTGTTGGGCATGAATGTACATGGATCTTTTGTATGTATTGATGTAGCGGTGATGAACGTGGTGAGCATGGGCAGAATTCAGACGTTACCTTTCAAGGTTATACGATTAACTTACGGAACCTACCTTCCATTTCCTTCGTCTAGACAAGGGTTCCCCTGTTACGGATTTTAATTCGCTACGTCTTGTCGATCTTGGGGCCTTGGCCAACGGACTCGGTCAATTAGGATCCTAATCCTTGCACCGGCGACTTCGGTTCCCTATTGTCGGGATCATCGACACGCACCTCAATGAAGTTTCCACGCCTCTCTCGCTATGGGGGTCCACTGATTGCAAGGACAGGATCGACAGTAAGGGTGCAAACGCCACCGACTCGACATCGATGAAGGTGTATGAACTGTTGAATGTAAAGCACTATTAACGGCAGTGTCTATCAGATCATCCCTGCCCTTTCGAGCCATTCACGCCGTTGTGTGACCACGAGCACATGGAAGGCAAGATCCTTGTTTCTGCATGGCTACAACAGCCTGCAGATTTGAAGTGGCTCAGCAAGGCTTCCCAGTAATCTCTCGGAGCCAGCACAGCCAATTCCCTTGCTGGGTTGCATGATCCCAGAAAGTTTGATGTATGGAATTCACAAACTTCTCCAAAGTGCGAGCAAAGACACTCGACATTCTCTTTAAAGATATTTCAGAACTAAAGTGGAGGCTAACAGAGTCAAGGGCCGCATCTGCCGACAGTAATTACGGGATTCAAAGCTGCAAATTGCTTCAGCTCCACAGTTCAACCCTCTTTTCGGATGATTGGTGACGACCTTCCACGGCTGAACTACAGTACTGTACTGTATTAGTTAGTTCTGATACTAGCCAGTGGCCTGCTCGGATCCGAGATTGTCGCCCCGTATTCTTAGCGATATCAAGCGGTGGCTGAACGCTTGGGCCCTAACTCCAACTTGCGAGTCCACAGTTCACAGTTCACAGTCCACAGCTACCTTGCCGATCGATCTGACATGCCCCTAAATTTGCCAGGGCTCGAGACGGGCCATGGTCAGAGCGTATAGTGAAACGCTAATTGACTTCCTGGAAAGCCAGGACGATTGTTTCCGTCGCTGTTTTCCCTCCGAAAGCTTGCCGGGTTCTCATCAGCTATGCCGCAAATTAGGGGCTACCACGGCGAGCCCGGTGCCAGTTGATCCCCCGTTGTGGGGAGCAGATCCAGGTGAACGCCAAGCAACGGTTGAACGCCAATCGCGCCTCGCGGCCCTAGCTAGCCACTGTGCTGAAGGTACTTTTTCCGGCGTCGGTCACCATCCGATCGACACGCAGTTCAGAAATTTCGTCAAGCGGAGATCTAAGTTTTCTGCACTGCGGAGCTCTTTGATTAAGGACTTCAATTTATGGTCCGCTCTGGTCCGCTCTGGTCCGCGAAAAGGCAGACAAGGACTTGACTGCTTGTCTCGATTGGTCCCAACTAGTCCCCCTAATGACTACCCATCCACACCCTAACGCCTAATGAGTTAAAAACAGGCGACTGGATATGGCACATGTAACACGAGCCACTTCATCCCGATTCCCAGGAAAAGCTTCTCAGCCTGTACGCAGAGTCCCACAATGTGCCAACGGCTTCTGGGGGGGCTGACCGTCTTTCCAGGTCGGAAGCCCTCGGGCGCCAGCCAGTCTCTGTCAGGAACAGACCTAGTGGTTCATCCAGCTCCCACGCACTAAATTAATGGAGACACAGCCCACAAAGCCCACACAGATGTCCCCTACCGTGGTAAAACCATGCCCGCTCGGCCCGTTCCCCCGGCTCTTCCCTTTTCATCGTTCATCGGTGGGTACAGCGCCAATCGTAAATGCACCAAGGCCGTGGTTTTGCTGAAACATATTTGTACCTTTGAATGTGTTCACTGTTCCTTGTCATATCCAGCCCTGAGGTGATTGGACACGGTGAAATTGGTGGTGGGATTCGCTCCGTGAACAACTTTTTTTTTTTCGTTTCGAAGCTGGATTTGACCAACGTTACCCCCGAGGCAAGTATAGATCGGAGCAATTACAGTCGGGGGTCATGAGGCCCTGCTGTTGAACCTGCATTCGCATGCGGCTTATCAGATGCCTTAACCGCAGGCAGATCCAGGATATGCATTCACGATTTTGACGTGAATCTATTTTGTCTGGTTTTTGAGTATCATATAACTCCGCGGCATTGGCTCTGCTCGCGTTGGGTCAATATTCCGTGGGGTTATTTTCGATGCCTGTTCTTTTATAGCCCCCGTCCGCATACGGCATTTTATAGACTATAACACGAGGTCTTACCCCGGCACAAGTCAATAGATGTCGAGACCACCGCAGGAATATGGGCATCCCGCGCCGGAGTGGCCACACATCGACTCAGTCCAATATCGTCCACCCATTCCAAATCCATACGCGCGACATGAACCTCGACAGCTCTTGGCCTCGGGCTTTGAACGCCCTATGTCCACATCTTTTGCTCCTCGGCTTCCTGCCTTGCATCCTCTTCCCGAAAGAGTAGATCCGCGATATGTTCTCTCCGCCGACAATGCATACATGACCCGACAACCTATACAACCACATCAATTACGATCACATCCACCGTCGTTTGATCCGCGTGAACACTTTACACCACAGGAAGAAAGACCAAACCCAATTTTGAACAATGTCCGTGACTATGATAGCCAACGGAGCCGGCAATACGACGTGGAGTCCCAGTAAAGTCCCTCTCTTTTCATTTCAGCCATCTTTATCTGTCAGTCATCCGGCCTCGATGCTTTTGGCTTCAATAGAGACTCCCTCTGATGTCACATCTGTGACAGGTCACACAATGGAGAATCGTTGAACGCAAGATCCCACTCTAATACTCCAGAAAATCTATATAGACACAGCAGCAGTTCCACGGCCATGCCCAGTCCCGTCTGGTCAGACAAAAGCGCAGCCAACTATCCATCAGCTCTGACTCTACACAGCACGCAACAAGACTCAAAGCAACCCCGCAATGTACCCTACAGAATGCCTCACGGCTTCGACAAGCTCCTCCACCACGAACCAGAAGCTGAACAACCCCCAACACCTCCAAGACGCCCATCCACCCAATCCCGCTACCACCTCCACGTCCGCCAACAACCCCTAGCAGCACGAGCCTGCGGCGCAGGTGACCGAGACCGCCGCCCAGTCGACCCACCCCCAATCGTCCAAATCCTCCTAAACGACTTCGACTCCAACTCCCAAGAAGACCGCGATATCCTCCAAGACCCGCGCTTCACAGTGGGCTGCCTCCTCTTCCCCGTCTCACCCCAATCACCCTGGTCCGAACCCACCGAATCAGCCTCCGACCCGCAAGACCAACCCCAAGACCGCGACAAAGACAAAGAAGGCGAAAAAGACCTCGACGACGGCGTCGCAAGAACAGACGACCCCTTCTCAACACCCCTCCTCTCCGGAAAAGCCTTCATGTCCCCCTTCTACGTCGACGCAGACCCAGACCCAAACTCCGCCCCTCCACACCCGACTTCCTCTCTCAACTCCCATCTCTCCAGCCCATCAAATGCCTACAATCACCCCTCCGCGCGCCTCCACCAGCCCGCTACCTTCTTCATCTTTGCCGATCTGTCCATTCGCTCCGCTGGCCTGTATCGGCTTCAGTTCCGGCTTATGAACTGGGGCTCTGTTGAAGATACGGGCCAGTCGATGCCCATTCTTGCTGAGGCTTGGTCCGATCCTTTTCGGGTTTATCCTGCGAAGGATTTTCCGGGTATGCGGGATTCGAGTATTCTTGCTGAGGGCTTGAAGGAGCTTGGGTTTGTGGAATTGAAGACGAGGGGGCATGGGAAGGGGAAGGGGAAGAAGAGGCGCTGATTCTCTCTCTTCCTCCTCTTCTTCTTCTTCTTCTTCTTTTTCTTATCGGCGTGAGCGGGTTTGGGTCCTGCTTTGCTTTGGTTTTTATTTGCTTCCTTGCCGCTGGGGGCAGGACTGGGCTGCATGGAGTATGTTGCTTTTGGTAGGGCTTGGTAGGATGAAAATTGGAGCGGATGTAGGGTTGGCGTTTGATTCTTTTCTATCATATCGACAGTTTTTGTTTATCTTGTTGTCTTCTTTTGTTTTGCTTCTTTATTCTTTTTTTATTTTTTGTTGTTTCTGGTTCGGTTTGTTGCTTTACGTATGGAAGCATTGCATGAAGTGAAATGCGAGGCTGGGTTAGATGGCGATGTTACTAGGGCATATACTTTGCAATATGAATGAGACGGAGTTTACTTGGCATTGATCAACGAGATCGAATGTGTATAGACAAGATCAGTTCAAGCTCGAAAAATTAAAACTATGCATGTGGTATAAAGTAATGTACAGAGATTCAATCAACAGCCCGATCTAACCAATCGGCATCAGCTTTTTAGCGATCTGCTTCATAGGCGGATCATATTTCGGATTGAACCAATTTTTATCCAACTCGAGTAATCCCTTCCTCGGCAGGAAATCTGGAAAGCCCGTCTTAAGAGCTCCATGGAACATCTTAAGGCCATCCTTGAAGTAGCCGCTTTCGCGGAACAATAATGCCAGAATGAGGGGAGATGACTTGTTATTCTTTTTTAACATGGCAAGTTGATGCCAGCTAATCGAGAGCAGGTGGTATTCATCGGGCTCCATGGGTTTATTCAAATGGGACAGTAACTGCGTCATGCGCATGTATGGGTTGTATTTCTTCCAGGGGTCGTCCCAATCCGACGGCTGTGAGATCCCCCACGCCCTCTCCTGCAAGAGACGCGTCCGCTTTTCGGGGTTGGGGAGCCAGCCTTTGGATATGTGGTAGTACCAGTTGGCAATATAGAAGCAAGCTGGATCGTAGCCGGCCGTGGCAGCCATGGTCATGTACTGTTCGTACTTTTGGTATTCCTGCCATGCCTGCTCGTTGTCTATGTCTGCGAATGCGTCCTCTGGTCCGCCTGGCTGGCTGGTGAGCGCACTGATCGCCAGCTCGGTCAAAGCAATGGGCTCGCCGAAGTCCAAGGCCGCGCGAGTCATGGCATCTTTCACTTTCTCCGGGTCGTCGGCGTTGGCAAGAGCATAGAGTCGCCAGGGGAGAGGAGACAGTCCCATCCAGGGTAAGATCTGTGAATGGCTTGGGGATGGCTCGTGAGCTTTGGAGGAATGGAAGGACTTTCTCTTCTAAGATTTCGGTGGCTTCTTGGGTCTGACCACGCCAGGTCAAAAGCTCTGCCCAGACCAGAATCGCGGGAGGGAAATCTTCCTTGAGAGCTAGCTCCTGGAGCCGCGTGATCCACTCGTTGTTTCGGTGAATATCAACGCCGTCCAGACGAAGGTATCTGGACACAAGAGCAACAAGGGCTCGGCGGGACCCGGCTCTCGCACAAGCACTCTGGACATATTCCTGGAAGCCGGGAGAAGATCTGGCGACAACGTACCCGATTCGATAGACAGCGTCAACGTCTACAGCAAGTAAAGTTCATTAGTAAGTATCAACTCCTGAAGGAGGCACTTGAGAGCAAAACCTACCTACAGAGATACTCTGAATGGCTGCCGCGCTGCAGTCAATAGACCCAGCAGCCTTGACCAGTCGTTCGGCCACGCGTGTAAACGTAGTCAGGTCAACTTGAGGGGGCAAAAGTTCAGCGGCAGCTTCATACAATCGCTTGAATTCGTCTTCATCCAGGTGTCGAAGTTTCTCCGGTTTTAAACGTAGACGAAAAAACCCATCACGGTCCAGAGGTATGCCTTGCTTGTTTTCTAGTATCATTGCTTGTGATAATTCATTGGCTTTGTGGGAAGTAGTGGGTAATTTTGAGAGGGGTCTGAGCGACCAAGGCTGGGTAGTATGGAATGGTCGTTTCGGTGTCGCAGGTGCGGTCACATCGTGGATGGCGGGAGCTGCGCGGGCTCCCAGCCTCGGATTGCGCACGCCTTGTACGATTGGATTAAGAGAACGGCATGTTCGAGGCCATTGTGCTGGCGAAAGTGAGGGTTTCGTCATGGGTTTGAAGTTGTGGAGGAATGAATGTTGGAGAGTCTGAAATTTTGGGAGTCGAATTCGGAGAAGTCAAGTCACTGGACCTGACAGCATCAACATCTGATATAAACCTCTTTCTACCCCGGGGCCACATCTATATTTACTGTTTACTTTATAAAGAACGGATAAATATCAGAATGCTAAATGCATCAATTAACCAAAAGAGCCGCCTGTGCCAGACGGTCCCAGAACACAATGCGTATAATGTACATTTTGCCTTGATCTACCAGGCCAACAACAAGTAAAAGCCCAAGAGCCCCAAAACAAGGAGTAAAAACCGGAGAAGATCAAAAGCAAGAGAAGAGTTCTGCGATAAGCATCTCTCTCCTCATCCTCCTATAAAATAAACAATTTTTACTCCATAATAGCCTTAGCGCCCAGAGCCTTGAGCGTCTCAATAATCTTCTCTGCCTCCTCCTTGGGCACAGACTCCTTCAGCATCTTAGGCGCGGACTCGACGAACTTCTTGCTGTCCACCAGAGACAGACCAAGCATGGTCTTGATCTCCTTGATGACCTTGGGCTTGGAGGTAGGCTCGAAGGACTCGAGCTTCAAGTTGAACAATGTCTTCTCGGCGGCGGCGGGAGCAGCCTCCTCTTCCTCGACGGCAGCAGCAGCACCGGGGGCGCCACCACCAGCGGCCATGGCGAAGCCGCCAACGGGGAGGTCGGGGATGTTGAGGCGGGTCTGTTGAGAAGATGGTTAGCAAATATTCGGTTCAGCGATAGATGCTGCAATTGAAGACCCTCCAAGCGATGCAGACATGACTCCATCGCATATTCTACACCCCCGAGCCCAATTGCAGGAAAAGTCCCCGGAAAGGAGAAAAAAAGAGGTCAAACGCACCTTCAAGCTGGACACGAGGTCAGCAGTCTCGAGCAGGGTCAATGTGCTGATCTGGTCGACAATCTGGGCGATCTTGGGGTTCGTGGGGGCAGCAGCAGCAGGGGCGGCCTCGGTGGACTCCCATCGCCGGCTGCTGGGTGTGCGACGGGCTGTGAGGTATGAAGCGGAGGTCGCGATGCGCAGGGAGGATGGGCGGACGGAGCCGGAGAGCTGTCTGCAGCAGCGGGCTGCGGCCTGGGTGGGGAAGGACATGGCGGAGATTGAGATGAGGAGGAAAGCTCCGAAAAGAGAAGATTAATACACAGGTGGTGGGGAATGGAATTGGAGGCCTTGTTGATAGAAGCAAAATCCCCTTCAGGAAAATCCAACTTTGGGATTATGTCAGCCGGATGCTGCAATTGCTAGTCCTAATTAGGAAGTCTGTGGCCTGAGGCGGGAATTTTATACGTACTCGATGGAGACAGGTACAGTTAAGTGTTCGTTGGAGAATACGTATGTGCTAGCGTCGGAGGAGTATGAACTGAGCTGGAGGAGGATATAATCCAATTTACATGGTTCTCAAAAAGTGTAGCTATACACACCACCTTTTTTTTCTTCTCGTGAATCGTCCCAGAGAGGCCACTTCTTCTTCTCCTCCTCTCTTCAATATTCATCTTCATCTTTATTTTTCATGTAGTTTAGTCCTGGTCCCAGTCACCGCCACCCTGTGGCATCTTGGGTCCACCCGCTTGCCGAGAGACGATAATCTGGTCTACGCTCAGCACTGTCCGGGCAGACTCACTAGCCAGACGAATAGCGGAGGCCTTGGAGGCCAGGAGATCTAGGATACCCTCCTCAACGGTATCGAGTGTGCCATCAGCGGAACTCTGCTCGAGATCCACACCGGTGGTCCAGTAGGGCTCTTCCTCTTCAGATGAGCTGCCCTCCTCTTCTTCGGACGACTCCTCAGTGCTGGAGGCGCGGTGGTGTGCGGTGTACAGACGAGACAGAACCTCGGTGGCATCGAGACCGGCGGACTCGGCGAGTGTGCGGGGGACAACCTCGAACGCCTCAGCGAACTTGCGGATGGCGTGCTGGGGCAGACCGGGGGTCTTGTCGGCGAAGTTTGAGATACGCTCAACGAGCTGAACCTCGGTGGCACCGGCACCAGGGACGAGACGGGGGTCCTTGGTGATGGCCTTGACAGCGTTGACACCGTCATCAATGGCACGCTCGACATCCTCCAGGTGGTTCTGGGTAGCGCCGCGCAAGACAATTGTTGCTGTGCGGGTAATGGCGTTGGCATCTTCCTGGCGGAACACGGTGACACGGTCACCGCCAATCTCAGTGGTCTCGACGACATCGATTTGACCCATCTCATCGGGCATGGGGGCACCCAGACGGGCGAGGGGAGTAGCGCCGACAACACGGCACAAACGGCGGAGCTCGAACTTGGAGAGAATCTTGACGACCAGGATGTTGAAGCGGTTGAGGTAGTGCATGGCCAAGTCACCGACAGTGGAGCCGGCAACAACGACGCGGAGACCGGAGTCGTAAAGCTCCTTGATGGCAATCTCCAGACGGTCCTCCTCACCCTTAGTGAAGTCCATCATCTCCTGGGCATTTTTCAAAAGAACTGTGCCCTTGGTCTCGGTCTGACTGATATCGAGGGGGCAGCTGAAAACACCGACCTTGGCGCGGCTAGCAGACTTGACAACTCCATCGGGCTCACGACCGAAAACCATACCCTTCACCACACGGGATTGTTCCAAGCTACCACCCATGATCTTAACGACTCGTACGTTGTCGACGTTGAAGTTGAGGGGGTTCTTGGGCAGGACGGCCAGAACGGCCTCAGCAACCAAGTTAGCCAGAGTATCTTCGTTGCCGGACTGCTTGGCGGCGATAACTGTGCGGAGAGCCTTGCTCAGCTCTGCGATCGAGTGCATATCCTGGAGTCTGTCGACCTCCAAGTCTAAACAAAATCACACCAAATCAGTAAATGCCACGGGATGAATGCATATCGGGCCAACACATACCCTCTAGAACCTTCAAGGCGAAATTCTGGGCCTTCTCGTATCCGGAAACAATATCACTCGTCTTCAAACCAAGACGGATCAACTCCTCGGCCTTCTTGAGGAGCTCACCGGCGAGGACAATAACCATGTTGGTAGCATCACCCATCTCCGCATCTTGCTGCTGACTGGCCATAACGAGCAGCTTGGCAGCGGGGTGCACGACATCCAACTCGCGGAGGATAGTAGCGGCGTCGGATGTAAGGATCATCTTCTGCAGGTGGTTGATGACGATCTTGTTGCGGCCATAGGGGCCCAGGGAGGTCTGGACGGTACCAGAGATAGCCTGGCAGGCTTCGATGTTACGGATAACGGCTCCATCTTCGGCATCGTGGCTGCAAGAGAAACACGGGACTCGTCAATTGATTTGATTCTTTTTTGGGAGGGGGAACAGATAAGGAGGTCGCTCTTTGCGGTGGGCGGGTTTTCGGCGTGCGTCCTTGGGTTTCTACTCACCTCTGGTATCCAGGCTTGAAGAGCCCCGCCTGGGAGGGACCTGGAATTGATAGCGACATGATTAGATGTCGCGTCCGAGAGAGATGCGACGGGGTATGAAAGGGGTTGATGGGAGTGGATGGAGCTGTTGTGCCGGGCAATTTTTGGAGCTGCGGTGGTGGGTTTGCTCCGTTTGCACGAGGGGGAGCCCGCCAGTTGCTTGGCGCTGGAGTATATAATTATCAGGCACTTTTTATACAATATTCTAAGGTCGTGGTGGCATTCTCATGTTTATAGGCAGTAGGAGATAGTCATATTTATGAATGTATCAACTAGTTCTATTGTACATTGACTCCTGGTCACATTGGTATTGGTCATCTCACCAATCCAGATGCCATGGAGTCATAAGCACTGCGGAATCCAGGCACTGTACAGTCAGTAAGCATTGTAAGAAAGGGGAATATCGGGAATCTCTTACTATATCCTTTCAAAGAGCTGCACCCATTTTCCTCATATATTCCCTCGGCCTTGGTGAGCCTATACAGTGTGAGGTTAGTCGGGTAACAACTATGTCAACAACGAAATACCATCTTACCATCCTTGAATGGCTTCCATTCGGTTGTAGCTCTGAAACAAGTTAGCAATGAGGTATCAGTTGAAAGTGTGTGAGCATACCGAAGGGTGAGTGGACATGAACTGCGGAGGAGTCTGTTTCTCTTGCTCCTGCATACGAGCCCATCTGATAGAAGTTAGCGGTATTCGAAACGTAAACTTGATCTTTGGTGAGCATACAAGCCGACAGCAGCCTCTGGATTGAAACAGGCTTTGGACATCATCACTATTCACACTGGTCAGCAAATACTCATAATCTAACGCCGAGACCAATATGCATACTCAGTCCGATATTGTCGGCTTCAGCCTATATAACTCGTTAGCCAATCGGTTCCCCATAGACAGAGCAGCTTGTCTCACCTCTTGTGTCCGCGAATTCGGCAAACTGTACATAAGATTCAACAGCATAGAAGACAACTGTCCGGAGACATCGAAGAGAAAAGAAAGAGTAAGAACAGCTCCAAGCGTAATGAAGCTATTACTCATGCGCTCAGCAGGGTGATGAGCCACAACATGTGCAATCTCATGTCCCAAAACAGCAGCGAGACCGTCCTCGTCTTTGCAGATGGGCAAGATCCCCGTATAGACAAATACCTTCCCCCTATAAGAACAGAAAGGAATCAGCAAAAGAAGAAAAGTAGAGGAGAAATAATCCTCAATCGCAATCAAAATCCAACCTGAAACTCATGCTTACCCAGGAAGAACAAAAGCATTAGCCATGCCATCATCCTTTATAACATGAACCTTCCAGTCCATCCCATCCATATCAACCTGCGGAATTAACCTCTGCAAAACTCCATTGACCATCTTCGTAAGCGGATGATACTCAGGCAAGACCTTGCCCCGTTCAGACTGCAGAACTTCGCGGTAGCTCTCTTCGCCCATTTTCAGTTCCTGGGAGCTGGATACACAGTTGAAACGTCTTCGGCCAGTCATCTACACCACGCAAGCATGACATGTTAGCATAAAACAAGTTATAGATGCTCGTGTCTTGTCTTGTCTGTCCCATCTCACCTCAACAGTATCAGTATTATAAAGATAAACCCCAGAGATCCCAACGCCAATAGCGACAAAGTGTCCCGGTTTAGCATTATGCAGAAGTCGAGCAAAGAGAGGTTGGCGCGCCGCGCCTCCACCTCCGAAGCGGTTGTAGCGGTTCTGGTTTCCGAAGTTCGAGCTGCGGGAAGAGGTAAAAGGTCGGCGGGTCGTTGAGCTTGAATTGAATGGGTATTTAGGTTGGGTTTGGGTAGTAGATCTGCAGCTCTGGGATGAGAGAGGGCGCTTGGGTGCTATCTGCGACAGGCTGTGTGCTTGTTTCGGCGATAACGATGCCCGTTTGGATGTGAATGTGAATTTCAATGCGCTGCGGAGAGTGCGGGCTGTGTGTTGAGATGCCATTTTTTGGGTGTATTTATGTGCACATGTGTATATGTATATTCTTGGGTTCAAAGAGTTCAGGGTCTGGCTTGAGGTGAGGTGGAATGGGAGTCGAGGGTATCTCGGATTGGAAGGTGACGGGGAAGGTGAGCCGGCGATAAGAATCCTTATCGGTTCTAGGCTTAAACCCGATATAGTTCCAGCGCAAGCAGACTACTCTAGACATGAGAAGATTCCGAAAGAAATAACGTAAATAGGTTCAGATGAAATTATGCAAGGCTATATATATTCAACAGAAATTCAAAATCCAGTATATCGTCAGGTCACAATAAGATATCAGCATATGTTCAAAAAGTTCAAAACCAAAAACCACACCAAAAAAAGATTCACCAAGATATTCACCAAAGATATAAGATGAAAAACAAAAAACCCATCCCACCGGTGCGCACCATAGCCGAGACCAAGCAGAGCAATTACATAGAAACAGAAAGATATGTCCAAAGAAAGCACAAATCCAACTGGGGAGGAGGGGAACACATCAAGAACAAAGGCCCTGGTATCATGCTGCGTAGTCATGGTGGGAAACAAATGGTATCATAGGGATGGAAAATGAAAAAGAGAAACACGTCAATAATCAATAACAGGAGACAGGAGGGGAAAGGGGCATGGCGATAGGGGAGAGAGGTGGAGGTGGAACTCGTGGACTCGTGGATGGTCGAGACCGCTTTGAGATGGAAATGGAATAGGAAAAGAGGTAAAATGGACCAAAGAGATTGGAAGGGGGTGGAATAGGGTGAAGTGAAGGTTGAGCAGATGGATCCTCACTCCTCAGTGAGAGCGTCATCGCCGGTCTCACGCCAGTCTTGGGACCGCTCGGTCAACCGACGGACACCCGAGACTCGCTGGGCCCAGTGTGCTTCGGAAGGTGTGCGGAAGGTGTAAGCACGCTGTGAGGAAATGACGCCGATACTCTGCAGCACGGCCTTGCGGGAATCACGACCAAATACAGCCGGGTGGTTGATCCACTCAAGGGAAGATTCAAGGTCTGCGTTGAGGGCAGTCATGGTATGGCTGTCGACAGATGAGGTGGGAGTGACTGTATTTGTCTCGGATGCCAAGGAATGAGTCTCGCCAAAAGTCGATGACTTGGGGGAGGATGAGATCGGGGTATCGCCGCGGCTGCCGGCGTCACTGCCGGAAGGACGAGAAGCTCCTGGCGGCAGCGGTGGTAGGCCACCCTTGCCTAGACCTTTGAGAATACTGCGGGTTTCGTTGAGCAGATGCATGGCACGGTCGTGCTGGCCTCGGGAGACCAGCGTTAGGGCACGAGTCAGCATATCGGAGGTAAGGAGTTCCATGCGGCGCTGCACAATCGAGGGATGGGGTGGAATGGGCGGGGTGGAAGGGCGCCCGCCCTTGGCTCGCGGGTTCTGAGGGAGCATGGTGATTGCGAGGAGCGAGGGACGAGGGGAGTGAGTGAGGTGGCCGTCACGGAGGAGATCGCCGTAGGTGAGATCAGCTTGGATGAGAGGGACCTCTTCCACGCTGGCCACGCGCTGCTCATCGCCGTCTGGACCGCCGCCGAGGGCTTCCAGCCCGGAGACTAAGCTTTCCCACGGATCCTGGGGCATGCTATCCTGGGTGGCGTTGTCGGGTTGAATGACGAGCTGGACCAGGACATCACGCTTGTCGCCGAATCGGAGGTCCCCAAGTGCTGCCTCGGCATCTTTGCCAGTCGCACGTTTCGTGGTGTGGAGAGCACCGCTGATCTTGACAAACTTGGCGGGGGACCCTTCTGGTAGGCGGAGCTTCAGCTTGACGTTTTGATGGGAAGTTGTTTGCAAGGCGCCTAGACATCCGGCGGTGCATTCTCGAAGCATCATCCAGTCCTTCACATACAGGTAAGAGCCTTTGGTGCGGGTGGAAAGCTCGATCATCGTGTCCGGCTTGTGCGTTAGACCGAGGCCGAAGGAGTGAATGTTGACCTTGGCGGCCTCTGCACGAGATACGACAAAGTCGACACTTTCGGGGTCTGAAATGGAGGAGTCGCTGATAAGGAGAATGGTAGAGACGGGGTTATTGAACTTGCGCTGCATCAGAAGATCCATGGCCACATTGGCACCTTCGACGACATCTGCGCGCAGACTCTTTTGGCCAACTGGCCGGATCGATTCGAGGATCTTGGGCCATCCAGACCACGACTTGGTAGTCATGCCCACTAGAGGCACACCACCGCCGCTTGAGCCAAATGTCACAAGTCCCATACGGTCCCGGGGTCCGAGGTTCTGAACGAGGAACTTAAGAGCATCGCGCAAGAGTGTGATCTTCAAGCCTTGCATGGACGAAGACACGGGAATGACCACAACAATATCAAGAGGAATGTGAACAGTGTTGATAGGAGGACTTTCCGAGTTACTGTAATCCGTGATGGCGGTATTGTTGGACTTGGATGCACCGTAGGATGAGTTGATAGAAGCTTGTCGCTGGATGCGGTTGGTACGGTAGTCTTCCTCCTCCCCAGAGTTGTCATAGTCATAGTCATTCTGGCGCGAGATGTTTTCAACGGGGTGCAAGTCGATCAAAGAACGGCGCCACATCTCCAATTGGTTGCGACTCTGGAAACGCAGGTAGAAACAGGGTAATTCGCTGACGGAAAGGTTCAAAGCGAGAACGGGCTCATCGGAGGAAGCCTCAATTGACTTGAGATGCTTCTTGATCAGAATCGACCCCTTGAGGGTACAGCGGACAGGCTTGCGTCGTCCACTGTCGTCAAACTGATTTGGATCGGATGATTTCTTCTCCTTCACACAGATAAGCATCTCCCCAAATAAGTAGCACTCCAACTCCTGCCAGGAATCCCGGTCCTTGCCCACGCGCATATGTCCATGGAGGCGCAACTTGCCAAATCGAGGGAACTCTAGCCCATGCCAATTGTCCACGCGCGTGCGCAATTCTTCCGCAACCTCATCCAAGTTCTCCATCGGTTCATGCTGGATCGAGCGAGCATCTTGTCCCCCGTACCGTCCCTGATATGGCTCATCCGGCTGTGACTGGCCGGATGGCGTATGCCGCAGATCTTCTACATCAGGACGCCAATTCGCCTCTGGCACCTCCACCGTGATTAAGCACGTGAGGGTCTGTTGTTGCCGGGATCGGTTCATGGTTGGGAACTCGCTACGGACGGTCACAATCGGCGGGGGGATCGGGTTCTTGGCGACTCCGGGGCGTGCACTGACTTCGGATTCCATTGCCTGCACATCATAGTCATGGCGTCGCCCACTGCTGGTGTGCTGGCCATCCGTGTATTCGCCGGAGGAGCCGGCCGCACTGCCATTGCGCGAGTGTGGTTGACGAGGATTCGAGGCGACGGTCAATCGTTCCACGCGATCGCGCTGGCTGCTGGTTTCGCGGCCGGTGTCGCGGCCAGTGTCGCGGCTGTCGCGTCGGGTGTACGACGGATCTCTGGAGGGATTGTACGATGGCTCTCTGGCCGATGGGTTATAGGATGGCTCTCTTGCCGATGGGTTATAGGATGGTTCTCGCGGGGCCGTGTAGCGACTGCCCGCGTCGCTCGGTGCTCGTCGGGTGGACTGTTGCTCCCACGGCGTTGGCGTGGTCAGGCCACTCCGCATGGTCGCGCTGTCACTCCCCGTCACAGACCGCACGATATTACTGATTTTTTCTGCCGATCTCGTCAGTCCCTGGTCGATTCTGAAACTGGGTGGGAACATCCTACCTATATCCAAAACATTGCCCCCGCGACTCGTGTCCAAGGCCAACGGCGCATCGCAGGTGGGGCAGTATTGTCCGTCGCATTCTCTGAGAAATTCGTAGAAGCACGCCTCGTGGGAGACATGTGAGCAGGCTAGTTGCAGGATGCGCTCGCCTCGTAGCGTATGTTCCAAGGGTTCCTCGCAGACGGCGCATTCGCTGCCGATAAATGTCCTCTCCCGCCGGGTGCGGGTGCGGTCGACCTCCATCGGGCCGGTTTGTATTCCAGATCGTGAATGAAAGGATGCTCGTGAACGATTTGCCGCTGGTTGAGCAGAGTTTGGATAACCGGAATGCACCGAGCCAGGTGGTCTTGGGGCGAAGTCAGTCTGATTGGAAAGACTACTAGACGGTCGTTCTACCACGCCTCGAGTGAATGAACGGAATGAACGGAGAGGAGAACGAGAGTCCGATTGTAATTCTGACTATTAATTAGCAAGGTGGGGGGGGGGAAAGAAAGGACCATTTGTGACGAAGTTCAGGGGAGGGTTTTAGTCTTGAATGTTGGTCTCAGATTCCGATCTAATGGAAACTTACTTGACTTTTTCCGACCTAGGAATCCCAGCTCAGTCAGTTGTTGAGTTGAGTTCCCAGACTTGGAGTCCGATCTAGGCGAACGTTTCCACATGGGCTCTCAAAGGGTGGAGATGAAAGAAAAAAAAGAGAGAAAGGAGAAACCCAAAAATAAGAGGCTAAAAGGGGGAACTAAAGTGAATAAAAAAGGTACAGACCAATACCCACTTGGAGCCCTGGCCCTGCAAGCCTTGGGAAGCCCTGAAGCCTTGGAGCCATGGTGCATCGTTGACTAGACAGTGGAGAAACCCCCTAGGAAAATGGAAAAAAAAAAAAAAGGAGAGATTTCATCTGAAACCTCGTTCGATTGCTTTTGATTTACTTATTTACTTACTTATTTACTGATTTGCCTTCTTTAACGTTACTGCGAACATCGTGCAGTTGGTTCTTTTTCGCCCCCAAAATTCACCCATTTCCCGATTTCGTGCAATTGGCTTTTTATATACTTTTTCCCCTCTCGATTCGACTCTTGGAGTCTCGTAGTTTGACTTTGGTAGTCTGCTGTATTACTCTATTACTCTAATAGTCTATTAGTCTTAACTTTCCGAGAGATACGGTATATCTCCTAACTTTGCCACAACGCTCGGAACTCCGATCTTTTCCATAGATCCAACCCCTCTGGAACGCGATTCCCTTCCCACGCATTTCCATGGATGTCCATCTTTAAGCATAGATTCACCCCCGGAAATCCTCCCCAATCCGCCCAACCCAAACGGTGGCAAACTCGGAACTCGTCCAGCTGATACTTGCCGATCATCGTTACCTGTCAAGAGCATCTCTGGTTCCCAGAAAATCCAGAACATCTCCAGTTCAGCCAAATGACGTCCCCCAGTACCAACCTGGGCCAGCCTGGTTCAGCATGCTGCATCCCATCACCGTTGCCTATCCGGCCATGATCGACACAACCTCACCGTCCGCTGGGTGGCGTTTCATTCTCCGCACCTCCCAATGATCGACCGGAATTGGTAACCATGGCCAACTGGGCTCGGCTAACGGTAGTCGAATCTCTCTCGCTCCTCCGTGCTGGACGATTCACTGCCTCCTTTCCGAATCTCCTATCCAGCCGGCTCTTCAGCTCCACCTGTGCACACGGGCTGCCGTCCCACTCATCCCTACTGTACACCCAATAGCGCGGAACAGGCAGGAAATTGGAGCTGCCGAGGCGCGCTGAAGCTAAGGGCAATGGAGGTGCACATCGCTATCTCCATGTCCCCGTTTATGGATCACTTTCCCAGACCAGCGAACAGTCGTCAGCGGCGGAGATCGACATCGTCTTGCTTTTTGGGTAGGAGATTGTCTGTGCTCGGGTTAGTTTATCGTCCATTGTCTCAAAATTCCGAAATGGGGGTTGGTTCGGTGGAGGCGTCGCCGTGCTTGGCTATTGAAATGCCGTGAGATGATGATGGACACTGTCTCCCCACTAGGAAAGGGGGGGGCATATTTGATATTGGATCTGTCTACGGGCGTTGGCTCGTGTTCTGCACGTCAGTCGGGGAATTACTCCGATGTCTCCTTGCTGGAGCTGTCACGGATGGAACCTGCGTGGCCTATATGACAGCTCATTGTCTTGGTCTGCAGTAGATCTTTATTCCCCGTGACGATTATTCGTTGTTCGTGATTCCTCACTGCTGTACTGTACACTGTACAGTACTCTGCACACTTGGTGTTCTGCACAAGATTTCACCATCCCATCCTCTCTTGTTCACAAACTCTCAACCCTCAGTTTCGGTGATATAGCCTCATCCGATTCCAGGACAGAGATCACCAAATGATCATCACCGTTGCGAGATTCCAAAGCGGAGATGCTATGAGCAGCACTAGTCTAAGAGTCCAAGAGTCCAAGCTCGTGAACCCCCTATATACTGTACTAACTCCGCCACTCTCAAAACCCGTGTTTCAAATCCAAGTCAAAATCCGAGGCTGATCACTGCCCACCAAACAACACTTACAAACCCACCGTAAACATACCATAACCTCTACACCACTCTACCCTATTCCACCCTCTACTCCCACTACACTACACTACCATGCACCATACACCATGCATATATCCAATAGAGTTCACAACTGAAACACGCAGGGCAAAAACCCACAACCCCCATTGGCCGGGGGAAACCCCGGCCCTACCTAGCCGCATACAGTACAGTACAAAGAGAAAGGAAAAAAAACCCCCCAATCCAAAATCACAATAAAGAACGGGTGAACCGGAAATCGCGCACGCACTAACTTTAGCAAATACTGCTGTCAACCCCAAATGCAATGTTCAACTCCGTACTGTACGTTAGTTGTTAGTCGCATATTGTAAGCATGTGGCCCTACTAACTCTGTTCGGGCTGGTAGACCCACGCTTTTAGTGTGCTTGCCCAGGGATGGTTCGGCCTGCATGATGCGCCTAGTGTCCTAGTCTAACGGTGGATTCGTTTCTATAGTGCAGTTCTGTTTGCAGTGGTACAGTAGTGCCCGGGCACCAGGTGCCGGTATCTTGGGATTTGGGATTTGGGATTTGGGGGGTGCTGGATGTGGTGTCGCTGGCCATACTCAGTTAGTACTACTGTATCTATAAGGTAAGTGGTTCTATTAATATAACTTATGGTGTTCCTTGGTGGGGTTGTCAGTTAACTTATATCGTGTCAATCTGCGACCGAGGTGTCAACAGACTGGTCATGCAATGCTTGGGTTTGCTGTACAGTACTATGGCTGTTTGGGGCACTTGCTCCGTTGGACATGGGGTGCTTTGGTTCACTTGCATTTTGCAGGATTTGGTTTCTCTTTTTTTGGGGCCTTTTTGCTTTTTTTTTTTTTTCTTATCTTGTTTTTTCTTGCTTTTGAAAGTCAAATGCAATATGGCTTTACCACGTCACATTCACTAATCCCTAAGAAAGATAAGTTAACTCATGAGTTCACTTCCTGCGCGGACTCCGTAGTATCCGGATCAGGAGCAGGATCGTATCATACATGAAACAATCCCGAAACAGGGCTTGTTTATAAGAGACAATCTTGGTTATTGTCGTATCCGGTTGATGTGATTTTACTATTGGATTCCACAATGCTGGGACTGAACTGCTTGAATCTGTCTCCGACAGCCGATTGTCTCGTTGGCTGATTCATTGTGTCTAAGATGGACAGTTCGTGTGTGCCCCAGGTGTGCTTGGTAAATATTACTATGTTCCGGTGTGTTCACCTGGCGTGATCAAGTTTCAACTGACTTGGTCTTGAGGGTCAACTTCGCCGGTACCGTATTGAATGTATACTTGGTTATTTCACTCGATTGGTGGAAGGTGATCGAGAAACCATCAACTCCGAGTAGACACCTCAGTTGACCTGGAATATTATATTGTTGAATAGTCAACAAACACAAGATCCGTTCGTTCCCCGAGTCAATGATTCACAGGCTGAGAGTCGAGATCTATCACTTTTATCGGCGGGGTCACTTGCATGCGCGGAGGTACGCTAAGATGTCCCACATGTGACTTGAGCTGTCAACGTTGAGCTTATGTCGAGTATGCACGATACATCGATTTTGCATGCTGTGCAGTTGTCAACGGTTCGGATCATGCCATTCAATTGTGATGTGTCGATGTCAGACTTGTTCCTTTGGTGTGCTGTAAAGTATATCATTCTTTGTTGACTGGCATTTTTGTCTTTGTTTAGCGGGGATGATCCGGTTGGCTCGTGGTGACTGATATATCATATATTCCATCAGTCTTGGTGTGCACGTTCGACGGCTCTAGATCATGTCAATGGCAATGGACCATCTGTTCTGTGTCCGGGTCTTTCTACGGGCTAGTTTTTGTATTTTCTTCCCCGTTGATGACATGTTAGATATATTTGGACAAAGGAGCGTTCTGAATATGCTTCCTGTATGCATGTTTGTGCTAACGTGATTAAGCAGTGCATTAAAATTCTGTGTCACTGACAAACTATACAAAACAAGCTTATTGCTTATCGGATTCTCCCTTTGTAGGAGATGTTTCCCCGCTAGATCATGGATATTATATAGATCAGTAAAGTCATCAGTAAGATCAATGGCAAGCCCACAGGAAAAAATAATTATGTCAATTATAGCAATGTACCAGCCATTCTGTTTACAGTTTATATTTTTCGACGTTTTCTGGCCTCATATAGAATCGGTATCCCCACATGGATCGGAGACGACGAAGACTGCGGAGATCAAGCGGCAAAGTGGTAGTGTTAAGCTGAATCTGTTGAGATATAAGCCTGACACCTTTCCAGCGTTGCTTTTTAGTCGAATGGTTAAGCGGCGAGCAGGGAATTTTAACCTAGATCTATTGATATACAAGCCTGACACCTTTTCCAGAGTTGCTTTTTCGTCGAATGGTTGGACATCCTCTTTTAAAAGGATCATGGCGATATCCATTGTTCAGGTACGGCCTGGCTGTAGATAAACCTGTTCAGAAACATATATCCTCGTTCTTGAATATTTGTTGATTGGGGTCGTTGCCAGAGCTTGTTCAATCAAGTCGTCTTTCTCATCTTTCTGGTTTTCCTTACTAGGATCTTCCGATGCGGCTGCCGTGCCCTAATCTGTTGAGTCCTCGGGAAGCCGGGATATTCATGGGATATTCTGCGCAAATTCAAAACGCAACGCAATATATCAAGTCAATCAAGTCGGAAATCCCAGAGAGCCTGTCCTTGTTTAATTGTAGAAGATGTTAACACTTTCATCAGCAGCCGGAGCAACACAGTCCCCGTGGAACCCAAATAGTATTCCCATGCCTAGAATGACCTTTCAATTGAACAGGATCAATAGTCCTGCGGTCACTGTGTAGCAAGTAGAAGAGGCCCGCCTGTCACATGTGTACCTGATCTGAGGACTGCTGTTGCCGTGACGATCCCAAAGAGGTAGGTCGTTCTGGAGGTGGCCAGCAACGCATCGTCGTCGTCTCCCCAGCCGCGTTTACGTTCTCTGCTCTCTTCGCGTTCTTATCGCATCATGGATAATCCTGGTACGTTCCATCGAGTCCTGTCTCATCCTTCATTACCCTGTGGTCGAGGCATATCTAACGCGGACTTAGACGCCATGGCGAGCCCTGGAACGACCGTCCGCGGCGCAACCTCGGGCGCCCCGGATATCTGGGGACGTCCCATTGATCGTACTTACTTATCTGCAAATCAATCTGACCGTGGCCGGATTGATCCACGTGAGCCCGGATACATTCGTGAGTCGGAGTATCGCAACGATGTCCGCGGCCCCGGTCGTGCGCGCAATCGTCGTGGCTCCGCATACTACCAAGACCTTGACCTCAATGGAGGACAAACCGATCGAAACTGGTATCGTCGTCGTCTTCGGTCTTCCAATTCCAACAGTGGTCGAGGACAGGAGCTCGGCAATCGCCGAGGCAGGGTAAGCATCTATATCATTGTTGAATGTTGGATTGGTTCTCATGCCCAGAAGGGAGTCGGTAGAAATGAACAACGACGTTGTTTTATCTGCGACACACCCGGTCATGTCGCACGTCACCATAATGCCTGGGCACTCTCGAATCAGGGACACGCCGCCGGCAGCATTGGCATGACTGTATGTGAATCTCGGGCAAGATGCCAGGTTTCTTTGGACGAATACACACTTCGTGCTGGTTTCGCTTTGTGCTAACTCCCGACTAGGATCCTGTAGTTCTCTCGATCAACTCTGAAGCTCATATGAGCATCCTGCCACATACCATCGCACCGCGCACCTCCCAGCAGCAGGAACAAACTCCCGTCGATATTACCGCTCTTATTGCTGCGTGGGAGCAATACTTGGCTCCGGGTTTGACCGAAGTGGAAGATGCTTTGACTGCACTTCAAACAACTGCCGTCAGAATGGGAGTTACGGCTCCTCACGCTGAGATCTCGGGAATGGTCTCGTTGTGGGACAGACTGATCAACCCTGGACGAATTCGTATGGAGAGCTCTCTGGCCGCCATGTGCGCCAACGCGGAAGGTGCTCAACAGGAAGGTTGTGCCAATTCTTCTACCACCTCTGCTCCGGGCAACCAGGAAGAGCCAAGCTCTGATGCTGCTGAGCTCATGGACACGACGTCCGGTGCTGCGGACGGCTCGACTGGTCTCATCGATGAGTACGACTTCAACACCTACTGAGATGGAAATGGATTTCTTTTTTTACATGCGAGTACTGGCCTGAGATATCTTTATTCTTTATCTATGTATCCTTATCACCAGCGTTATGGCCAAAGGGCAGCTATCTTTCTACCAACGTGCTGAATCTGCACTCTCACATCTTGATCTTCTCCTGTCCTTGTTTATTCGCAGAGTCCGAGCTCAGCCATAAGCGAGCGACCTCAGTAGGCTAAATCAATAGGTAGTCCTCTCCTGCTTTTTGAGATTGTACTCATCACCCAATCCCAAAAGGCTTCACATCATCAATGTAGCCATTCATCCTGGTCATCTGGCTGTACTTCGTTGCGCCACAATGAATCCTGCTTTTTGATTGTCCACATCAGTACCACCCGGTGCTATATGCTCATATATATCACTTTGTACTGTCTGAGTATCAATCAATCAATTGATCAAGGACATTGTGATGGCTTACTATGTCGGAGCCTTATCGAGCGTATCTTATGGGGTATAGATGATATTCATACAGAATCTTCAAAGCAAGTGTAATGTTCGATTCATTTTTTGTGGTCTAGCTTGGCTTTTCATAGTTTCCCTTTTGTCTGCTCTTTTGAATGTTTTGGATGTACATAATAAGTTGGACTATTGTCTATCTCTTCAAAGTAAGCAGATGCAGCATGTTCCGAGACAGCCCGCGCGATAACAAGAGTGAACACGGTATATTATATCAGCTTATTTGCTGTTGAGATATATACGTAAAGCTGTATTCCCAAGGTACTACACATTTGGGTTTTCTTCCAGGCATATTGTAAGCTTAAAGATCGATGTATAGAGCTCACGGGGTGATATGAAGGGCTCGCTATGGGCCTGCTGAGATATCCAACCCGAGATATAGGGACTTACCATCCGGATAAATCCCAGCTTGAATCCTTTTATACATGTCCATCGCTAGCAATCAAAATTACTTTCCACCGACTTCAAACATCCTGTCCTGACGGAGTGTTTTCCGAGTTCCAAGTCGGCCGGCGGCGACCGGTGAGACAGAGCGGAAAAGATGTCACGTGCACGAAAATCTTAGGTGCATCCCAACACTTTGCGAGAGTGCTGTCTTCCACCCTATACCACCTCCAATTCCTGCCATCATGCTCTTCCGTACTGCGGCCCGCCAGGCTGCGCCTTTGAGGCGTCAGGCTTTCGCTCCTCTCGCCCGTCGCACTGTCACCACCGACGCCGCCTCCGCGCAGACCGAGAGCCCTGTCCCGCAGGTTTGTTGAGCCTATCCGGAAAACTGGAATCTATCGCCGGAAGGCCCCCGGACTCAATGCTAACGATGCTATTTGCGCTACCTTAGGAGGATGACAAGCCGTTCACCGTCCGTCTCTCCGACGAGAGCTTCGAGACCTACGAGCTCGACCCTCCCCCATACACTCTGGAGACCACCAAGAAGGAGCTCAAGCAGATGTACTACGACATGGTCTCGATGAGGTACGGACCCCATTCATGACGCGTTGGAAGATGGAGCAGCGCTGATTCGAGTTTTTTTTATGGTTTTATAGACGCATGGAGATGGCCGCCGACCGTCTGTACAAGGAGAAGAAGATTCGGGGTTTCTGCCATCTGTCGACCGGTCAGGAAGCCGTCGCTGTTGGTATTGAGCACGCCATCAACCGCCAGGACAAGGTTATTACTGCCTACCGTTGCCACGGTTTCGCCATGATGCGTGGTGCTACCGTCAAGTCCATCATCGGTGAGCTTCTCGGCCGTCGCGAGGGTATCGCGTACGGCAAGGGTGGTTCCATGCACATGTTCGCCGAGAACTTCTACGGTGGTAACGGTATCGTCGGAGCCCAGGTGCCCGTCGGTGCTGGTCTTGCCTTCGCTCAGCAGTACAACGAGCAGCCCAACACCTCCATTGTCCTGTACGGTGACGGTGCCTCCAACCAGGGTCAGGTCTTCGAGGCTTTCAACATGGCCAAGCTCTGGAACCTCCCCGTTCTCTTCGGCTGTGAGAGTACGTCAAACTCCCTGGTTCCATTTTGCGTCTTTCCGACGAATCCCTAGCTCAGATCACTAACCCTTTTTCTCCAGACAACAAGTACGGCATGGGTACCTCCGCCTCCCGTTCCTCTGCCCTGACCGAGTACTACAAGCGTGGTCAGTACATCCCTGGTCTCAAGGTCAACGGCATGGACGTCCTCGCCACCAAGGCCGCCGTTCAATACAGCAAGAACTACGCCATCACCGGCAACGGTCCCCTCGTCCTCGAGTACGTCACCTACCGTTACGGTGGTCACTCCATGTCCGACCCCGGTACCACCTACCGTAGCCGTGAGGAGATCCAGCGCATGCGCAGCACCAACGACCCCATCGCCGGTCTCAAGAAGAAGATGCTCGAGTGGGGTGTCACCTCCGAGGACGACCTCAAGGCCCTCGACAAGGAGGCCCGCGCCAAGGTTGACGCCGAGGTCGCCGAGGCCGAGGCCATGCCCGTCCCCGACAACACCTCCCGCATTCTCTTCGAGGACATCTACGTCCGTGGCTCCGAGCCCAAGTGGATGCGTGGCCGTACCGTCGACGAGACCTTCTACTACTAAATGTAGATCGCTGCGTTTCGGGGTACCATTTCCACGTTGTGTTCGTCTTTCCTTGGATGAGCTTTTAATCCGCTGTGTGGAGGGCCGGGGTGAATCATCGTTCTCCTGTTTCTCTCTATCATTTATCTGTAATTTAGCCCGATGACTAGTTTCTCTTATGTTTGTTTCTTTGGTTTCTGTTCTAGAGTAGAGAGCAATTACCAAACCGGGTCCTGTTCCATGCATCGAATAGTTTTCTCTTAATCCTATTCCTAAATTGAAAATATGTAAGTTAAATGTATTGCAATGTGAATGAAGATTGATCATCATATAGTCATAGCTAAGCCAAATACGCCGTCGTCGGTCGCCCTCGCCGTCGAGTAGGGGTATCATATCAAAGAGGGTAGAATAAGTACATCAAAGTGTGAGAGAGCAAGTGGCCATGGTAACACACCAAGCTTGAATAAAGCAAAGCAAAGGAGAAGAAGAAGAAGTAAGCAGGACCGGCTGTTGATCAGGTAGGTTCCTGTCTCAGCATCTCAAGAATCATCTCTTGGGTCCGTTGCACAGAATCCAACTTCTCTTCAAGAGCAGCTCGATCCCGTTCTAGTTCGCAACGCATCTCAATCCTCATCTCTTGTCGAAGCTCCTCTTTCATCTGTTCGATATCAATTGGAGTGGGACTGGTGGATGAGGAATGTGACGAGGACTGCCGTGGTGGTGGGAGCTGATAGGAGCGGTTCCTGTTGGGTTTTTCTGAGGCTGCTTTGGTGACAGCCTGGAAGATGGGTGAGATGCTTGCTGCGTCGAGGTCTTTTCCCTCGGAGTGATTGTGGAGTCTGTTTAGGGTTTGGACGGCGGCATTCAATATCGCGCCGCTGTTAGCGTCTGTGGCTTTCGATGTTGTAGAGGGTGGGTGGTAAGATGTGGGTGGTGCAGGCATTGGAGGCGTTGAGAACATGTTCTCGAACCCCGGTGGTAGTCTGAGAGAGGTCGGCGCTGGTAGAGGGGTGGGGGATTGTTCGGAGAAGGGTCCAGATTGTGAAGTAGTGGGGACTGAGGTCGCAAGTGTCGGGCTTGCTGCTGGAAGAGAGTCTCCAAGACTTGCAGTAGAGTGACCTATCATTGTAGAACCAACATCAGTCGGGCTCGTAACAGACCCAAACTGTGCCCGCCATGGCTCTGACTCTCCGCTCTTGTGAGTCTGACTCTGAATCTGACCCTGGCTGAGAGGCCTGGCTGGTGGTTGTTTTCGTTTTTTGACTTCGTCGCGTTTGGCAATCCGATGGTTCTCGGCATTCTCCCACCGCTGCCACGTCGGAAGCCATGCATCAACCGCATCACGCCATTGCGGATTCATGAGATCCTCGGCGGCAGTCGAGCCACGCTGCTGTTGATCCTCGAGGGCTTTGATTCGCTGTCTTGTAACCATTTCCACCTTGCGGCGCACCGAATGCCACGAATATGAACGGCCATCGTGGGTGCGCTTAAATTCATCAGCAACGGATATCCACCATTTGCACAGATTGCTACGACTGCCAAAGGTATCTGCATTCTGGTTGCAAATCTCAAAAAGCGCCACCTCCTCTTTCGTCGTTAGGCGTCGGTGTTGTCGGGAGTTGTCGACGTCCAAATCGGCATCAGCCTTATAAGCCCGCTTCGTCCCTGGTGGGTTTGAGCCCAACATCAGGACTGAGTCATTTCCTCCGCTGATTTGGCCTGCCACGGGCATTGGCGCATAATATAGGCCACTCTCTGTGATAATACTCCCAGTTGCCTGTGGATTGCCTGGAATCAAACTCTCTTCGGGTGTCTCCCCGCGGCTCTCGGAGTTGTTATCGGTCCCCGGAAGGTTTCTCGCCACCACAGACACGGGGTGCGAGGCTGGACTGAAACCTGAGCGCAGGTCCTGTGCTGTGTATGTGCTTGCGGATGGGCGATATGATGGAATGATGTATGTGTGTGGTTGAGCCCGTGGCATTGGGGATGGCTGCTGCGCAGGAGCCACACCCTTGTGAATGGGACAAGGCTGGTTGTCTCTAGAGTCTAGAGTAGCAGAATATCCGTTGCTACAGCATGGAGCTGCTGTATCCGAGACACCTCGAGATGTGTCGATCTGTGGAGAAGATTAAGCTGGAGGGCAAGAGGGTTTTCCATGCGGGGTCCGTGCGCGGGAATATATGAGCTGTGCTCGACTTCTTCAATGCGCTGATGTGCTTGGATATATAGTGATATGTACAAAGAATTGGTTCTGTCGTGGCTTTTTGGTAGATACCGTCTAGATTCCTATATCGAGAGATTCTTTCACAAGCCACTCTTAGCAAATATATCTAAACAACTTGATATGAGGCTCTTGGCTTGGAAGTTAACTATATAGTTAGCACACTCAGGCATCACTGTAAAAGTCACATATTTATATTTTAAGCTAACAGACTGAGAAATAATTAACTAGTCTACGCAGAAAATAACATCAATCAATAATATATCCATTGACAATCCATCATGGTTATGGTAGTACAGGGGTGAAGCAGACACAAGGCTCCAAAGACAAGGCAAAACAGGAACCAACACCATGGTCAACATGATCCAGAAATATGCAGAAAGGGAGGGGAAACAAAGAGTAGCCCACTAATACACAGATGGGAAGTAAGGAGGAAATAGTAGTTTAGTAGAGACGAGAAAAGAAGACAAGGTAAAGGAGTGGCCAAAAACCAGCTCTCTCTTGATCTACCAACGTCTTCTCAGGTACCAACCATAGGCTGGAGTGGCGATGGACTCGCCGAAGGGAGTGGGAACCTCAGCGGAGCCGGGGCGAGCCACGGGGTGACGCAGGTACACGGCAGCACAGATGTTCTGGTTGACTTCGAGGTAGCGCGGGATGAAGGCAAAGGCGGACATGTAGTCACGCGGTTGCCAAGGGGTGGCATAAGACTTGGTGTTATCAATGGGGTTGTCGCGCATCTGGGTGAGAGCGCGCTTAAGGGTGTCGAACTCCTCATTTGACAGCTCGGAGACATTGACATCTTTGCCGAGGGTTGCCTGCTCGAAAGCGGCGGAGAGCTTGTCACTGGCGGCAGGCTCGTCGGCCTCAAAGTCGAGAGAATCATCTGTTTCAGGCTTGGGAGTCCGCTTGTCTTGCTTTGAACCCTTTGTCTCACGCTTGGCCTTGAGGATCTCTGTCAAGTGGGAGAATTGCACCCTCAAGCTTTGTGTGAGGATGTTGCTGGCTTCGGAACCGGAGCGAGACAGTACACGGCGGACCGCCTTCTGGAAACCGCGGAGCTCCTGCTTGCGCTTGGCAGGGAGGGTGTCCTTATCATTCGACATGATTGCCTTAGCCTGGGCCATAAGTGCCTTCAAAGTCTCCTTGGGGCTCTTCAATTCTTCTGACTCCTTGGTCTCCGCCTTGTCTGTTTGCGTGTCTTCCTCCGCCTCCTTCGCTGGCTTTTGAGCCAATCGGCTCTCCCGACGCTCAAACTTATTTTTGGGGGTTCCGGTAGCGAACATGACACGATCGGGCTCGACTTGAAATAGGTCACCGGGGTTGAGGAGGTAGCTGGGGTGTCTCATCTAGTAACACGAGCTCAGTCAGGGTGCGTCTCTCCAATTGGTCGTGTTATAAGCTTTATCATACCTTCTGTCCATTGACAGTGACAGCTCCGTGGATGACAAACTGTCGTGCCTGTCTAGCACTGCTGGCGAACATAGCTCGGAAGATAGCAACGTCCAAACGTCGCTCCAGGGGCGCGAAGGTCATACTGGTGTAAGGTGTTTGGCGGACAGTGTATCTGGGCTTCTCTTCCTGGGTCAGACCAGAGCCACGACCAGCGGAGACCAAGGATCCATCATCGGTAGCCAAGTCGGCGGTGTTCATGGGGATGACGCTCTTGATGTGGCGGGAGAACATGCGCTTCCATTGACCCTCGCGGACTTGCTCGCCGTGATAGGCACGCGAAGCAGCCTTCGCAGACCACTTCTGCTGGAAAAATGTTCGGTTCGTGGTAGCAGGGCTGCGGAACCGCGAAATGTTATAGAGGTTGTATTTGCTCCATGATTGACGGAGTTTCTAAACAGGTGGATTAGTCTCTCGAATTGAACGAATTGAAGGAATGTTATTAACACATACGCCTTTCGACAAAGTGTTGCTAGCCCTGTTCCTCATGGTGGGTGTGTAGCGACAATACTGTAGCAGATGGTATGGCTTGTCCTGCCCGAGTTCCCGGAGTCTCAAAACTTCTCCCACGTGACTAAAATAATATTGACACCTAGGTTTAAAGGCAGAAGATTACTCATACAAAGATGGTTGCTGATTGGTCTAATTAAGATCAGCACTGATTGGCTGGCTGACCTCGCTTAGTGTGATAAGGGGGTAGTCACATGACATAAACCAGCCGGCTCGCCATAAATACCTCGTCCTCCCCCCGACCTTACTCTTTTCTTCTTTCTTCTTCATACTTACCTTGTTTGGGTGGCCGCGATCATCAAGGCGGCTCACCACAGTCTGGTCCCTGCATTGCACAGCGCGGCGGAACAGTCTGTTCAATGGCTTTCGGGTCATTGACAGGCGCATTCTTTGGCACCCTCCATTCGTGGAACTCATCTTTTCATCAACCTTCGAGCCAGTGGCTCGAGTTTGGAGAAGGGATCGTAAATATTCAATAGCTTGAAACATAATGTAATGCCTTGGTGCTGTTGGCCTCACCGGCTTCTACTCTAACCGTTGGCTTATATATGACTTGCCCCTTGCTGCTGTCCCTGCTCCCCCTTGAGTCGACATGTTGTCGATATCATCTCCCATCTCTGTCTCTGGGCGCGACTGCAGCTCAACTCCTATAGGCTGCGCGCTTTATGTCATCAGCCAGACGTGTCGATACATTGCGATCAGAGATGCTTAAGCTCTACTGGCAGGCGCTACTACTGGCTATTCCCGGCTACCTGGCTACTTGATGCTCTGATGCCACAGCTGTTGGATAACTGGGGTTTGGTTTTTGAATCACTTTGTGTTGAACATGAAAGAAATTTTGGTATCTATTAAAAAAAATGCTAGAAACTCCAGAGACCACAGCGCCCCGTCAAAATGCAATCCCTAATCCAAACCAATCATACATTATTTGAACATCTTCTCGCCATTATCAATCCCTCCTAGAGCTCGGAAACGCCTCTGCCAATGACTCCGCTTCTTGAGGATTAGTCCACTCCTCAAGTAGCTCGTGGGCCATATCAACAGTCTCATCATCGATGCCCGCCTCTAAGATAGTTCCATCACAGAATGCTAATCGAGTCAACACAACAAGATGTTTCTGTTTACTGCCAGGAACACATGCCAGTTTCTCTTGCATGTTGATTGAGGGTCCATGTTCACGCATGACCCCAAAAATCAACCGCATGAGACCGTTAACTAGGGCAACTCGCAGCACCTGCTCTGGCGGGGAGCAATACAATGCATCCAACTCGTCGTGCATCGATCGGAATAAGCGTGCCAGTGCATTTGGGTGTAGGGCTAGAATCGTACTTGCATGACCTTGAGATACAGTGGCTGGACTGAATGCCAATGACTCTAGCAGTAGTAGTACCTCGAGTCGCATGGCACAGACATCGTATGGAGTGTATGGCTCAACACCTTCATCTGGTATTGCGGGCTCGCTGAGCATGTGTGTTAGGCGATCCACAATCCATTTTTGCACATCTAATTGGTCTTGATCTGATGTTCTGATCGACCCGAAAGAGGTTGGACGAATGCTTGTCGACAGTAGATTCATTAGTAGTACAATATCCCCGAGTGGATGTGACGGGTGAAGCATCACAAGAATAAACGATATGCGAATGTTCTCCCAGAAAGTTTGGAGAGCACTCCTGTTGTGCAATAATCCACAGGCAATTTGATAGAGCAGCCGCAAGGCTTCAGTGGAATCAACTAAAGGCTGTAGATCTGCTTGCGGCGTCTGGCCTGCCACTCGTTTGTCCCTCGATGCTGGAGCATACTTGAACCGAGGGACGGCATTCACTTCCACAGAGTCCTGTAAAAGTCCGACTAGAGGTGTGATAATTTCAGAAAGTGGCGTGTCGTCCGACATGAGAATGAACCGGACAATAGAGGCAAATCGGGGGATCGGTTCATAGAACTTTTCGTTGATTGCACGCTGCCATAGCGAGGCAATCGCTTGCGTATATTCTACTATGTAGCTGTCCATATCAACATGGGCAATGGTATCCATGACAATTCTGGACATGGAGCGATCTGGTTCCGAAGGAAAGGCCAACTTGGCCATTGCTTCCAGGTCTGTCTCTTCACTATGATGCATTTTGTGACTTAGTAGTCGCATCATGAACCGCTGGTTGCGACCTGACTGTACAGATTTGCGTTTCGCCTGGGCAACCTCTGCTGCATCGACTGAGGCATCAGTCATGATTTGCTCTACACCTGCAGGATTGAGCTCTAGTGGAGTTGGGCTATCCTGACTAGCTTGTCGTTTTCGTTTCCCAGGTACTGTCGGCGTGGCTCGCTTCGCGGGTGCTGCAGACTTGGTCGGTGAAACCACGACGATCTCATCATCATCGAACCCATCACGGAAGGGCAGTATCCTGGACTTCTTGGGAGTGACCGGGGCCGCCTTGTCTTCGTTTCGACGCCGTGCTTTGTAGTTACGAGCCTGTAAAGCTTCCTCCACAAGTTCTTGCTGAAGGAACACATTCTCCGTTGCCAACACCTTGCCTTCGGACATTGCGGCCTCTACCTCGAGCTTGTGCGAGGCCGTCGCATCAGTCATTGACTTTCGTAGGGCTGCGAGCTGTCGGTCATAATCTTGAGTCATCTTTGTTTGCTTTGATCGAATGATGCTGATTTCTCCAGTTTTCATGGCGACTTGATCTTTGGCCTCAGCTAACTCTCGCATAATCTGTTCTCGTTCTTGTTCCATCTATATATGCTGTTAGATGTTGTTCCCAAGATAAGCTCTCGCTGAGGGACTAACCTGCACTAGGCGTGCATTTATCTCAGCCATATTTACCTGCCCATAGCCTTCGTCTACCTCCATTGCATCGCCCATCCCAGTATTGGATGTCCATTCAATGTCCTGAACCGGTTCATGGTGATGGAATGAAACAGCATGTTGCCCATCCACATTGTCGTATACCTCAGCTTCGAGTTCCCCCACCTCCAATGTATTGTAATCGTTGGTCAATCCGGTGTGCAAGCGAGGCGGTGGCCGTAGGGAACCCGTGTGATTCGAGGGTGCGTGGGCGCGCAAACCGGAGTGGCTGTTTATCGGGACACTGAAGTTCTGCGAGGCCGTAGCCTGGGTTGCTTGGAAAGCATTCTGTTCCAACTCATACAACGTACCCGGTGGCAGGGAGTCGAACTCGTCGGAGCCGTAGTCGTCGTCGTCGTCCATGCCCCCGCCATGAATGAAGTATGCGGGAAGTGAAGTGTTTCAGTTGCAGAGCGGCAGTTCACCCTTCGACCCTGCAAGCTGCAACCTCCAATACCCCCTTTCGAGAAACAACAAACCCCTGAAATCTATAGAAGGAAAAATCAAAATCTCCCTAATACTACAATATTCGCATCACTCACTATACCATAAAATACAGATAAAATATATACAAAAAAAAACATAGGGACGGAGCTGACCGCTTTCGGCGCAATTCACATGAGCTCATCAACTTCTAATCCGACGATCTTCACTCCCTCTGCTCCCTGCACTTTGCACTCTCCACTCCCTTTTCCAGAATCCGCTTCTGGACCTTCCCCCCCTTTCCCACCCCATCATCATGTCGAAATCTCGTCGTAATGTCAGGTTTCAACACCGCAACGGCGAACGACGGCTAAGCGTGTCCTCCGACGTCAGCGACGCACCCTCGGAGCCTAGCCCCAACAAAAATGGAAATGTTTCTCAGCCATCCACGATACAGGAAGAGGTCAGCTTCAGTTACTTCGAATAGGGGACTTGTATTCTGACAGACTTCTCGCATTTAGAAACCCCAGTCGGAATATGAGAAGAAGAAGCAGACCTTTATTACCCGCACGATATGGACCTTTGTGATGATTGCTGGTTTCTTCATCGCCATGTTCTCCGGTCATATCTATATCATCGCCTTGGTCACTGCTATTCAAATTGTTTCGTTCAAGGAAGTCATCGCTATCGCCAATGTGCCCAACAAGGAGAAGAACCTGCGCTTCACCAAATCTCTGAATTGGTACTTCTTGGCTACAACTATGTATTTCCTGTATGGAGAGAGCGTCATCTACTACTTCAAGCATATTCTGCTGGTTGACAAGGTGCTTCTCCCGCTCGCGACTCACCACCGTTTCATCAGCTTCACGCTTTACGTCATGGGTAAGTACCTCGGCTTCGCTCCTATGACCGTCGCTAATCTGTATCACTAGGATTCGTGTTTTTCGTCGGATCTTTGCAAAAGGGTCACTACCGATTCCAATTTACCCAGTTTGCTTGGACTCACATGGCTCTGTACCTTATCGTTGTCCAGGCTCACTTTGTCATGAACAACATCTTCGAGGGCATGATCTGGTTCTTCCTCCCCGCGTCGCTGGTTATCACCAACGATATCTTTGCCTACGTCTGTGGCATCACTTTTGGACGCACCCAACTCATTCAGCTTTCCCCAAAGAAGACTGTGGAGGGTTTCCTCGGTGCCTGGATTTGCACCATTGGATTCGGTTATTTCATGACCAACTTGCTGATGCGCTACAAGTACTTCATTTGCCCTGTCAACGATCTTGGATCCAATGTCTTGACCGGGTTGGAGTGTGTGCCCAACCAGGTCTTCACGACCCAACGCTACTCCCTTGAGTTCTTAGGTTTGGACTACAGCTTCCACATGGAGCCAATCCAGTTCCATATCCTAGCTTTCGCCACTTTTGCTTCTCTGATCGCTCCTTTTGGCGGATTCTTCGCTTCCGGCCTGAAGCGTACTTTCAAGATCAAGGACTTTGGAGAGTCCATTCCCGGCCACGGTGGTATCACTGACCGCATGGACTGCCAGTTCATTATGGGATTCTTTGCTTTCATGTACTACCACAGCTTCATCGCTGTCTACAAGGCCAGCGTGGGTGATATCATTGAGACTGTCATCAACGGTCTCACAGTTGACGAGCAGCTCGAGGTTGTTCGAGGCCTGGGCAAATACCTGTACAACCAGGGGGCCGTCTCAGAATCGGTACGTTTCCCTTTTCCGTTCCTCGTTTCAACGATCGAGTCACTAACTTTTCTTAGATCCTTGACTGCCTCGTCACCGAGCTCAAGCGCCGATGAATTTAAACCCGTCCGGCCTGACCCAGAAAAAAAGCCACCCTTACGACGCTCTTCGCTTTTCGCTTCTATCCATACAGAGATAGATTACTCGATCTCGTGCTTTCAACCTTGCGACTCTCACCCCATTGCGTATGCCGTGTCGATCTTCTCACCTGTCTTCCCTTCTGCTTCATTCGGGGCCAGCTTGGGTTTCTCCAAATATGCATGCAACCCTCAAAGTGTGCATGCATGAAATGTACATGCACCCCACCACCCGCCTTACCTTCCCGTCTTTCAACACGACATCCGCATCCGACAAAAATTACCATTGGCAAGGATCATAATGAACCGGTGTCAAGATGACCGATCTTGCACACCGAGGCACGGGGCTGATCTCTCTTCACGTCATGGCTGTTCTTTTTTCTGCCTACATCTGTTTAGTACCTTTTTTTTTTTCTTTTTTTCTTGTCTTTTTCTGACGTCGGGCTCTGGACTGAACCCAAATTGATGACTCGTTTTCTCGGTTAGGGGATACCGATCTGGATTATTGCTATATTTTCAACGTGTGGAATGGACACATTCTCCTACAGATCAGGTAAAAGAGGAAGGATGCTGAGGATATGTCCAGGCTTCTTTTTTTTTGACCTCACAGTCCGATTTCCTTTTTAATTTCGCGGCTGTTCAAGACGCGTGGCGACTGAGACGGACTGTTGATTGTACATAGCTTTCAATTCAATTTTGAAGCTGAAATTTGTCATTTTTGTATTCATACATTTTGTCTTGATTTCGGGCATGGTGCCATCCAATAAATACATGAGGCTCTTGCTACAAGATCACCTTGATGACTACCAAATATGTAATGTGGTCATTAAATTAAATCTGTTCATTTGCATCTCTATCAAAGCGCTGTTCATAGATGTCTGGGGGTATCGGAAAATCGTGGATTGTGTAGGTCGACGGACAGTCGCCCTACCCTCATCATGGAACACAGAGGAGTCTCAGCATCACTCCGTTGCCCCTCTACATTTCAACCTCATAATCCTCCATCTCAACATTGAAATATCTCACAACCTGCCGCCTCTCATCATCTGCACAAACCGGGTCAATCGTGAACCGCACGGCAGCATCACGGCCTCGCTCGCCTGTCCGTTGACGATCGTCATTGGCAGCAACGGGGATCAGGGGATGAGCCGGTCTTGAGCGGTGATCTGTGTGGTTGGCGGTGCCATTGGCTGATTGCCGTGGTTGGTCAACCCACGGGGCGTGTCGTGGGATGTGCTGTGTGCTTGCTTCTTGGTTGAGTGGAATGCGGACGGTCAAGAATCTATCTGGGAGGAACTCTGGCCCGACGGTTGTTTGGCTGCGGAAGTGAGTGTACAATTCGAGTAGGTCGAGGATCGTCTCTGGGATTGAGTGTCAGCACGAGACTCTGTGGTTACTAATGAGAGTGGAATACAGGCAACATACCCATGACATCCATGCGATTTGTTTGCCAATGCGCATAGTCTGCACCGACCTCGACCGGCTCGATGCGCTGGTCCAAGAGTCGCCCCGCAAGCTCGAGGCAGCTGTGAGCCATCGTTGACGAGCTCTGCTTGATGGGTGAAAATGTGCGGTAAAGATCAATTGAAATACGGTAGGCGAGATTGGAAACTTCTGATCCTTGCGGGAAACCATAGTGCCGCGCCAGCTTCATCAGAGTCTTCTGTGGATGCCGAGTTCGGAAGTCAAAGCCAGAAGCTTCTAGCATTAGGCGCTCAAGGCCGATAACTCCACGTGCATTTGACTCAAACATCTTTTGAAACGGGTTAGCACTGTCAGGCCAATGTCTCTAGCATCGCGACTTACAGGGTCATCTGCTGCCAGGTGCTCTGAAGGTGATAATTTGAGATTATACGCAGCGCAGACAATATCTCGGGACTTCTTGAGCGTGTCTTCAATCTTGCATGCCGTGAACAAAGCTGCTGCTGCCGCATCCTGCGAACTGGTCAGGCTGGGTTTCGTGCGACGACTACTTGGAGAACTTACCGCGAAGAGGTACTCATTATCTGGATGCATCAACCGGAATCGGTGATAGTATCCCACAGCAGTGTTGAAAGTCCGAATAGGTCTATGAGCGCGGTCAGTATCTTGATACCAAACCTGATCTTGCTCTGTCAATGGGGTTGTGAATCGACTTACAGATTGAGCGCTTTCCGCACATTGTCAATCCACGTCACGCCTTGAAGACGCAAGGAGTTCTCGCGAGTGGGACTGACACCCATTGACTCAATGCAGCTCTGGATTGTTTGTTCGAAGATGTATGGGTTGGCCACCTGTATAAAAGATGGGTGGATGGCTGGGGGTGTTGGCATGATGGGGTTCATCATTGGGCCCCCACGGGGAGACAAATCCCTCATATCATTCTCCATGGTAGAATCGGGAAGCACAATTCTCCTAGAAGGATGAAAAGGACGAAAATTGTTCCCGGATGTTGCAAGGGAACGACGAACGATCTGTGAATTGATATCCAGGGTCACGTGCGTGCTTATCGAATCTCGACTACACCGCCCGATATGTGCTGCAATGGACAACAAGGTTGACCACAAACGTGTCGTGAATCTCGCTCCAAAAATCCAGTTGGGTCTTATTTCTTGTCTGGTTAATTGGGTGTAACCATGTTGGGACTTTCTTCTCAAGTACAATGATACCTTTGAGCTCCTCCCTCAGCTAAATCGTTATAGGTGGACGTCCTAAACTAGAGCGTAGGCAAAAAGTCCTTTACATGATCTAGATGATCAATTCAAGGCAGTCAAAAGTGACCAAAGAAAAAAAGAAAGGGTCAATTGTATACTAGCTTCAAAAGTATTTGCATAAAAGTGTCTGATGATAATCCATGGCACTTGTACGCGGGAATTGGTTGCTCTATCGGACTAGAAGAGAAATGAAATTAAGCAAGATATAACTTCATGGACAGAACCTTCCCAGTTCACTCTAACTATCGCTTTAGCGTGCAAGGCTGAGATTGTTACGAAAATTTGTAAGAAAACTTGTAAGAAAATGTCCACTCAGTCCTTCCCATACTTCTTGATCAACTTCTGCATAATCGACATAGCACCAGAGCGATATCCTCCACCAAAAATAGCATGATGGTTCAGGTGATGATACCTAGTCAAAAAGCATCAGTAAGCGCAGAAAGACCCAAGTATCAGAGAAGCTTACAATTCATACAACTCAACTCGATCGCCATACTCGGCAACAGGCTCAGTCTTCGGTACAATACGATGATACTGCTCAAAGAACCGCGGTCCAAACCCACCAAACATATGCATAATCCCAAGTTCAAACTCACTATGTCCATAGCAAGCTGAAGAATCATAAACAACATCACCAGGCGTCTCATCTCGGCCAGTGCCAACAATTCGACCTCGATCCGCATTCCCACTCCACAAATCTCCATGGATAACAACAGGGAAAACTCGTTCCCCTTCACCGTCGACATTAAATCCTAAATGATCATCTCCTAGAAGACGTGGCACAACCTTATAAGCCACTTTCTCAACAGCGTCGCGAAGACCCTCGTCTTTCCCATTGCGTTCTTCAGATGTAGCCAGAATCGTGAGAAGTCGCTCATTCGCATAGAAGTCAGCCCAGCTATCACGGAAGCGGTTCGGCTGCTTGGTATCGCCACAGAAAGTCGGCACAGGAAATCCAAATCTGCGCCGGCCAGTTTCTGGATCTGCTGGTGCTGGGGTGGTATGGAGCTGGCCCAATCGGTGGGCCAGAGTGGTGGGTATACTTTCATCGCCCTTGCTGCGACCCATGGAGCCCTTCAGATCAAGGAACTCGGTGATGAGAAAGTAGCCTTTGGAATCCGTGGCTTCTTTGTCTAGTGGTCCGCAGGCAAGAGCTCGTGGGCAGAATCCTGGGACAGAGTTCGCGATTGCGTTAAGGGACTCGGATTCTCCTTGGAACATTTCTTCTGCGGCCTTGCCATTCGTGGATGTTTTCACAAAGTAGCGGCGCTCCTCTTCTTGGCCATCTTTTCCCAGGACTTGGGCGTGGATTGCGCCTGTACTTGTGAAGCCTGAGCCTAGACCGGAGAGCTTGACCTTTGATGAATTGGGGAGTGATAGGGCTTGGAGAATAGGCTGTGGGATTGAGGTCATATTTGGGTCTCGTTGTAGTGTCTAGTTTGGACGTACAAAGTTATATTTGAGATGTGAGAATGTTAGAGAAAACACTTCACTTGAACTGATCTGAACAAGATAAATGCTATGACGTATTTTCTCCACATGATCTGTTATCGATAACGACAAGATGTTTATACTGTCCACGGGTGTCTCTTAGAACTGGATTCTGATACAGCAAAAAAAATAATTACAAGTCGTAGAAGTCCAAGGTAAAATTGGGTAAAAATAAAACTGTACAGGTTTCGCTAGGTTAACTCCAACACACAAGGCATTTCTTGATACTTCAATGCAGAAATTATGAGATAGGGGCCAATCTGTTCAAGAAATGCAACACAACCTTGATGCGCTCTCTTATGTCCAGGTCTACATCATCCTGAAGAGCGGTCAATCGTTCCCCAAACCCAAGTGAGCGAAGTCGGATTGCGCGCTCCCGACAACCCTCGAAGTCATTCTGGTCTTCCTCAAAGGCGAGGTTGATAGTCACCCAGACACAGGTTCGTCGCACGTCTATGTTGGGATGGTTGAGGTAGTTCGCCAGATGAGGCAGGATACTGCGGTGGAATGTAACAGCACGACGCTGGCGTGGGTGCCCGGCTGCCAGATGAATCAGGAGCGCTGAAACTGCGATGATGATTTCCTTAGGGATGCGTAAGTTTTGGTTGGCCTGGCTGGCCGATTCTCGGCGATGGGGAAGCTGGATGGTTCGGGGTCGGATAGCTTCAGCGATTGCATCCAGAAGCTCATCCTGGCCCATCTCTCTGAAGAGATAGTCAATCATCTCTGTTGCATGGTCGCCACACGTCAGGTTGCGTAGTAGGTCAAATGTCTGCTCTTGGACGGCAATGTCGTCATGGCGAGACTGTGTTGTTTGTGCCAGGGACCCGTTTAGAACAAGTTTGCGTCGACGACTTGCATCTTCCACAAACATTTCCAAGTTTAACTTCGAGGCAGGCGTGTTATCGGTCATCTTAAAATCTTCGTCCCACTGGGCGGACACCTCCATAGGGTTTAAAATGTCAACCTGTTCCCCTGCCGAGTTAGATCGGCCCATCGCAATCTCGGCGTTCTGATCTATTTCTTCTTCCACGGTCTGTCTAGACACTACACGGACTGGATCACGGGAAAGGACCTGCATGATCCATTCAGGTGTAAGATTCTCGACAATCTTCATTCTGATGTCGATTGTGGTGTCATAGACCAGATGTTTGATTGCCCACAATGATTCAATCTGGAGCTTGATGTTGGGTGAGTGAGCGTGTTCGCAGAGAATCGGAATTATGTTGGCAGAAACAATGGACTGAGAAAAGTGTTAGCTATGAATGCGATAGTTTGAGTGACAAAGACTTTGACTAACCTCTCTCATGGGGCTAAAGTCCAATGCCAAGTTGGAGATTGTGGCGGTAGCTGCAATTTGTACTTCTATATCGGAATGTCGAATGAGGGCAAACAGTGGCTTAGCCACACCAGCATCAATAAGGCTTGTCCTCAACACACTCACTGATCTTGTCAGCATCCGAGCGGTGCCACAAGCAGCTAGAATTGTAGGGATTGGGTTGCCATCTTCTGCCGTATTTTTGGGCATGGAGGCATCGGCCGGTGCATCGCTGGGTCGTGGCTTGAGCGCATCAATAATGTAAGGTACCACACCTTGCTCACAGATTGCCTTGCGGTATTCATCTTTGAACGGAACGAGCGCTGCCAAAGCCTTGAGAATATTCTCCCGATAACGCATGACATGACATAGAGCCGGGGAGTAGCCTGAAGGCCCGAGCCGGCACTCCAACGGGAGTGACTCAAGGTCTCGGGCCGGAGCATCCTCTGCACTCCACATTGGCCGATTACTATCTGGAACAGGATTGTAGGTTTCCTTGAGGAGTTGTGATAATCTTTTCAGCGCATTGCCTTCCACTGCATGTCTCTGCAGCTCCTGGTCGTCGATGACCAAGTTGGCTAGCACAGCCGGTGCCTCTTCTTTGAGGCGTTGGATTGGCGGGAGCAGACCATCGTAGTTTGCGCCATCTTCTTCTGATATGCGGAACTCTTTGTTTAGCATCTCAACCAAAGCAGGAATCAACAGATAACCGAAGGTCGAAACTCTGTTCTTCTTGGCAAGCCCTAATCGATAGAGCGCAGTAACAAGACGGGCAGACATCAATCGCACCATCCCACTTTCTGAGCGAATGATATAGATGAGCCATGGAACAATGGAGTTTTCATCATCTTCCGGGACAGGTGTTTCGGGCAGTGAAAATGGTGTCGGGAAGGAATGACTGTGTCGGCGATGTGAGCCTCCGTAGCCAAGAGGAGGGAAATTAGTAGAGTTTGATGATGACTTGACTTGTACTTGTGGAACCGAGGGCAAAAGCTGATCTATGGGGTTTGCTCCGGGGTGACGGGGGACTGCCGAGCCAGACAGATAAGTATGACCCCAGGGGGCCTTTTTGATGTCTGTCGGCGCGAAGTCCGGAACTTGTTTTGGAAACACCGTAGTAATACCTGGGGAGGACAAAAAGTGTTCAGCCCTCCATTTGGAACCCTCGATAGTAACACTGACTGCCCGCAGAATTGGAGCAAGGCGTGCAGATTCTGGAGCCGAAAGTGGTAAATTCCCCTCTGCGCCAGGTAGAACAAATCCTTGAGCCACAACAAATGATGCAACCTTGATCGCTAGAGCATCCAGAGTCCCAGATAGAGCAATGGCTGTTTTGTGAGACTCCTCGGTGCATAATTTCCCAATAAGAGCCGCAGACAACTCAATGGCAGCTTGAGTGCGCAGGTTTGTGTAATCCCTTTGAATGATTCGTTTGAGAGAGTAGATATTTGAGGCCGAAAATATCAAATCAGCGAGCTGGGTATCTCGAGGCCATTTTTCTTGACTTTGCAGCGGTAAGCGGTCCGCAATTGTGTTCAAAAGCCTTAGAATGGGAAGATGGAAGGATTCTGGGCAGTCTTCCGATGCAAATATTGAAAGAACGTTCGGTAATATGTTGCTGGCAAATATCGGAGTAAGAAAGGTTGGTCCGCCTTTTTATAGTATTAAGTTAGCACGCTTGATGTGAAAAGAGATTAAGCTCCAATATTTGACATACCTTGTGCCAAGCTTCCCACAACTAGAGTTACTTGAAGACAGGCCTCATAGTCATCTGGGCTTTTATCTGTTGATCGGTGTTGGCTTAATGTGGATTCATTATGATTCGTTGTCGGCCATCTCGACGTCAGCACATGTGAGAGGGCGGGAATGAGACCCTCAGCTATGAGGGCTTCTTTGCGCTGGTCATGACCGATCAATTCATGTTTTAGAACTCGTAGAGCTGTTATCTCAGCAGAGGCCGATTCGGCGCTTTGGAGCTGTTCCAGAATCGGCGGTGCAGCAGCTCGCGTCATCATCGGGTGACCACCCCTCCCGGTGAGGGGGTTCTCAATAAGAATTTGAATAGATGGAATGAAGAGACTCCAGAAGGCTTTCTGTGATAATTGAAAGAAATCTGCGAAAGATGTAGAAGCAATCTGATGGCCGGAATAGTAAGGCCGGAGGTGAGAGCCCGCAACCGAAGCTCAGTACTCCGCACTTTGTTCTGCCAGACTCCACCGCCACCCGAAGCGGGTACCGCCCGATACCGGGTAGCGGCACTGAAGTATAGAGAGCTTCTCATGGCTATTCATGCTATTCATGGGATGCTGACATGAGAAAATGTTGGTTTCTGGACTTGGAATTGAACATAGAATACACTTCTTGGTAGTTGAAGTAATACCTCGGTCATCTGAAAAGTTCACTCATATGCTATTAGTGATTGGTACACTCATAGCCTCCATTGAGCGGCAGACTAAGCCCGAAGGCCTATAAGAACACCCTAACGTGAACGTACAGGCCTCTGTACCCCAACGCTCTAGACCCTTCTAATATGCTAAGATCTCAACTGCCAATGCTACTATGCGTCGATATAGCCACTCATACTGCAAATATTTCACGCAGCCAAGATAAAATACAATGTATACCGTAATAATACAGTCATGGGGACCCCTCTGACCAGTGACGGGCTGAATGTAATTACCTCACGACAAAAGGAAATCAAGATTTTCACCTCCTCTAGACTCATCCCCCTCCGGATTATTGTTCCCCTCCTTCTGCTCTCATTCAGACACTTCTTGCCTGCTTTTTCATCCTTTGAGCCTAGGATGAGGCCAGCCGTGCACCTAATCAAGCGTCAGCGCCCCGACTGTGCACCCACGTGGTCCGACCTTGCACTGTGAATGCTCGGTTTGGTAACATTCCACTATGTTGGCATCTTCGCCCTCGCCCTCGTCGGCTGCTTTGCGCTCCCCACTCCCTACTTCGGGATCGCATACACACTATGAACCTTCTGCCGCTCCACAATTCAATAGTCCCCGTTCCTCGCGTCTGGCCATTGAGGAACTTCGTTCGGCCTTGAATCGCCATACCGTCGATCCCTCCTCTCCTGAAAGCTCAGGGGATCCTCGCAGACGCGCATCAGCATCTGATTCTTTGAAGACCTCGAATAATTCGGCCTTAGCCACCTCTGCCCCTCAAGCCACTTCCTCCACTGCCGCTGTGACCACAGCGACAGCTTCTGCCAACCCACATCCGGCTTCCTCCACCGCCCCCTCAATGCTCGCCCCTACCACCTCAGGCTCCAACAAGCGCAATAGCCAAAGTGACCACAACCCACCGGCTGCGGCGCCGGGGGGTCAGTCCGATGGCCAGGACTTGGAGAGTCCCCAGTCGAAGCGCTTGCGCGCCTCCAAGCCGGATGTTAAGATTTTGCCCGCAGAATACGAATTTGCAGAGCCCCGTGACATGGTAGTACTGATTTCCAGCATGCTCATGGAGCTGATCCGATTCAACGACAAAATTCCTCTCCACCAAGGTCGTCTAACGCGCTTTCACTCACGCTCTCCACCCCGGATCTCCGTGCAAGATTACCTGCAACGACTGACCACCCACGCCACCCTCTCGCCTCCTATCCTCCTGAGCATGGTCTATTACATCGATCGACTTTGCGCACTGTACCCCGCTTTCACCGTGTCGAGTTTGACCATTCATCGATTCTTGATCGCCAGCGCCACCGTCGCCAGCAAGGGACTGAGCGACAGTTTCTGGACCAACAAGACGTATGCTCGAGTTGGCGGAATTGGCATGACGGAGTTGGCCATGTTGGAACTCGAATTCTTGTTCCGAGTCGAATGGCGGATTGTCCCACAGCCCGAAGTGCTCGTGGACTACTACCAAAGCCTCGTCGATCGATGCGACGGCTTTGAGATTGAGCACACCTGCAGCAATGGCGATACCATGGCCGGGCCACCCGGTATTGCGCCTGCAACAGGTACTCCAGCAGCGTCAGGCTAGACCAACGCGTAATCACCCGGGGGGGCCCGATGCCAACTCTGCACAAACGTTGTTTTGCCACGGCGAACTCGGGCCGGCCTCGAGTCAGCTGTTGCATGTGTGGACTCTTCATCCTCCCGATTCACTCGAGGTGTGATTTAATACATACGACATGCATTTCAGGGACGCTGGTGTAGTTCTCTGCATCCATGTTTCTCTTTGTTTTAATATCGAGGAACGCACACATCAGACGTCATGGCGCAATATAACAGGGATCTATCTCCGCATATATCAAAGGTCGATGGGCGGTGCCATGTTCCTTTTCAGCGATTCATTTACAGCGGAACGATATGGCGTTTGATATCTTATGGGATGATGACTGTTTTCTAGGATCAAATTCCCAATCTTCACTTTTTGTTTTAAAACCATACAATCTTTGACAATTCAACTCCTTGTAACATTTGCCATTTGCTCTTTCGTAAATTGTAAGGCTGAGACTGGGGATGTTTGCAATGTTTGACTCATTTGTATAGCTTCCGCCTTTTTGGAGGCCTCCGAGTGAGAGTTCTTTCTATATTCTTTCTCTTGAGGAACTGGATTGGTAATATTCAATACCCAAAGCTCTCGGCGTTGCCTTTTTTCAAAAATCTCGCAGATTGTGTCGTTGGAACTGCTTTTAACGGACATCGACATATTTTGTCCCGCTGCACTTCAGCCCCACGGTGGAGCGATAGTCCAAATACTGCATTGCCCATGGAGATTTTCATTCTTTGATAATACCATAATGCACATTCAAGAGACCATCAGCTGTCTTCAGCCCCTTTGTGGGAAAGTGATCCCTATTCGAACGGTTCAAGAGACAAGACCCCCAGAGGATTTTGGTATGCTATGCGACATCGCCCTCGTGCGGCATCACGACTGACCTAGCAACAGCGGATGCCTATGTTGCAGAAGTCAACGTGAAAGCTGCTTCCAAAGTGATTAAGTCGGTCCCATCTTCCCGCTCCTCGGGGCAAACATGAAATTGACTTGAATCCAGAGCTCTCGATTCTGCCTTCCCCAAAGACCCTGCCCTCCCACTATCCCACCTTCGTCGCTTTGCCAAAAGAGAAATACTCCCACCACCGCTGCGATCAGCAATTGAAGAAAAGATCGCGCCCTCAGCAGCACCAGCGCAGACAATCTTTGTCCTCATCTCTCCTCCCCTGCCCGATCTCGACAAACTTCAAGCTCTTCTGGCTCCATTTGCGCCGAACGCTGCGCCGGCCACCCCAGCACAGACACCGGAAGATGTCTCACAGTCCGATTCCCCAAGCCCAAAGATAGATCTACACCCAACCAAAATTCCCCTCTATCCACCCTTCAACAGCAAACAAGCCGATACATGGACCAAGACTCTCTGGCCGGTGGTCTTCAACCCGGCTGCACCTCGCTCAACAGTCGCCCCGCCTCATCAGGTCTTGAATCGCGCACAAGAGTCCATTGAGCCACGAGCCGGGTACTACTTGGCCCTCGCGCGCAAAGTCGCAGAGGAAGCAGAACAATCCGGGCTTGGCCGCGGTGTAGGCGCAGTGATTGTCGACCCAGCAATTGAAGAGGACCTCTCTGCAGCAAGTTGGGAATCTGGAACTGACCCAACAGCCGATTGGGACGAGGCAGTCCTTGCAGTTGCCGGCGATGCGCGGTATTCCCGCTCCGAGGCTAGTGCGCCCTCCCAGGCACAGCTACATCCTGGTGTAGCACCAAACCCAGCCAGCGCCACCTACAATGCAGACATCGAGGGCGGGCCCGAACTACATGCATTGATGCGCGCAGCGGGCCTTATTGCCCGCTGGCGACGAGAGAATGATGGCAGTAGTGATTTAACTGCGACTATGACTGCAAACGCATCAAATCCAGCACACCCCCAGGACACCGAGGATCTGAGTCCACTCGAATCATACTTCTTGTATCGTCGTCGTCCTGGTACATCAGAAATCACAATTGACGAAGCATCTCTTTCGCCTTCCTCTCCGAAAAAGAGAAAACACGAAGAACTAAACCCGGAATCGAGCGCTACCATCGACCCAACCAACCCCGAGCAGTCTCAGCTCCATCACCCACCTCTACCTGCGCCTCCCCCTACCACGGTATCTCTCTCTGATCCCCCAACCCAAACTTCAGCCCGAGCAATTTCTCGCATTCGCACCCGCTCCCAGGGCGGCTATCTGTGCACAGATCTGGACGTCTATCTTTCCCACGAGCCTTGTCTGTGCTGTTCTATGGGAATGCTTCTTTCTCGGTTCCGATCGGTAATTTTCCCTAGACGAGGAAGGTTGGAGAGTGGAGGTCTTGCTTCGGAGCCGGTTGTTGCTCCTACTGCCGATGAAATTGATCATGAGGATGCTGGTGCTAATGAGCACGCCTCTGTCGAGACTGAGACAGAAGACCAGGATGGACGGGAGTACTACGGGTTGCACTGGAGAAAAGAGTTGAACTGGAGAGCTCTTGGGTTTGAATATGTGGAATATGGCGACGAAGATATCCAAGATGGACCTAAACGGCCTGTCTTCCATGCTTGAGTTGAAGCAGCACTATCGTGCAGATATTCCAGCACATCTGACTCTGGCTCCTAACAATAAATCAAGGTATGAGTTCATACATGAAACAAAATTACTGCAACGCACATGAAATACTCTAAATCAATCTTAAGATAAGTTTCCTTTGTATTTTTTTGTAAAGACAGGCTTTTTAAATATACCTACGTCCGATGTCGTCTCCGGGCTTGGATGCGAATAACCATCCAAACCACCCAGGCCACCTTGCCCGTTCAATCACCACTCCAAATCCCGCCTCACACCGTGCAGCTTCCAAAGCTCGCTCATATCACCTCCCCCTCCACAAACTCAGATAACCCCGACGCCCCGGGGCTGAACAAGCTCAGCCCTTTTTCAACACCCGCGATCTATGCAAACAACAATAGTAGACCAAGGAAATTCATGACATCGTCACAGATCTCCTGCTTCCATGGGCCAATGTCGATGGACATGGCAAAGTACATAAAAAGTAACGAAAAAAACCCCAGTAAACTGGAAGGGATATGGAAGATAGTGGCACAGGGTGCGTTCCCTCCGCCCCGTGTGCGCCTCTTGCACAAGGCCAAGATATGGCTTCGAATGTATCCATGAGAAAACGAAAAGGGGGGTATAAAAACCGAGATTCGACGTTCCCATAAGATACAGCCCATAGATAGATGAAAAAAAAGATGAAAATGACGTTGCTCAGGAGACAATGGGTATTGCAAATTTGAAGATTGCCCGAAGTTCATGATGGCACATAAAAGGCAGAATTGGGAAGGGTAGGGCCGTTCCATGAGTGAATGCTCGTAAAGCAGAGGTAGAAGATGGTTGTGAGTCGCGGAGTCGAGTTCCGGGTTGAGCGGAAACTCAAGATGCTGAAATAGATAGAATGCAAAGGGTCCGCCATACCCTATGCTACATCCTATTCGTAGCGTCCACTGTATTGTTTATGTGTAATGGCGGATTGAGGAGGTTCAAGCACGCCGCTGTAGAGAAATGTTATGTATAGCCTGTCAAAACAGACGGTATTCGCTTCAAATGGGGGTTTGATGCAAGAATTTGTAAAAGCGACACACAAGTCGAGGCCGCAGGAAGTAAGGGTACTGTGCTTTTGGACGCGAAGAAAAGGTCTAGCCTCCTGCCGAGGCTGGACAAGATGGCGTCATAAAGGATCACATCAAAGGGATCCTTTGCTGCTAAAAGCCTCAATCCATGCGTTGGTAGAACAGCAGGTAGGCAACCTTATTGTCGCGGGAGCCAAAGCGGCCAATTGGAGTCCGCACGCCAGATGACTGTCCGGGGGATGGAGTAACTCCATTGACAGACTTCTTGCTTGCATGTCCGTTGATACCGTTACCGTTGACCTGACTCCAGCCCTTATCATTATCAGCCGAGTCCATGTCATCCTGGTCAATGTGGTCGAAGATGTTGCCGTTGGGGGTCTTGTTCTGCTTGTGCTGTTCCAAAGCCGCAGCGAGTACCTTGGGGTCTTCCTCGCCACCAGCTTCTGCAACGTCTTCGCTGCGAACGCGACGGATGATAGTGTCATCCATGCGAATCCATTCCAAGCCTTCTTGACGACGAACGTCAACCGTATAATGACCACCGCTGGCGTTCTTTCCGTGATGGTAAATGACTCCCATAAGACGGTACTTCGGAGGACCACCCTGAGCTGCCATGGCGTTACGCTGGTGGGCAGGGAAAACCTCCCGTGGCAGCTCCAAGTCGAGAGGATATCCAACCTTCTTCCAAATTTTCTGAGTAGCTCCAGTGATACTGTCATATTGGAATCGCTTAAGATGAAGGATAAGGACAGGAGGCAAAGTCTCGATGAAAATTTGTTTCGTGGCAGTGACGTTGGGACCACGCGATGAGTTGAAATCACCCTGGATACTCTCTGGCTTGGTCAGGCCCTTAAGAGCGTCGAGGATGTTGTGAACATCATGCGCCCCGATATCCAGTTGCAGGGGTTGGTAAGGTTCCAATGTGACAGAAGTCTTGTTTCCAGGCACCTTGAACTCTGATCGAAGCTTGCCTCCGAAGATTCTAGTGACAGGGGACTCCGTGGCAATAGAGCCAGATAGCTGTGTCACAGCTGCCTTCTGCTTATGACCAACCTCTAGCCATCCATCGGCGCCAGATTCATCGGACTCCTGAAGATTGATCGATGTGTATTTAGAAGCACGAGCACACTCCTCATGCATTTCCTCAAGAAGGAACCCAAGGAACTCTTGAGCATCCTGTTGGTGCCCACGTCGCATGTCTCTAAATCTCGGTAGCTGTCGGACCATCTCGTAAACAAATTCTGGAATGAAAGCTTCTCCATATTGCTCAAGCTCGGTAGGCTTCAATCTGAGGCGCAGCTGATCTTCTGAAGTTGCGGCGTCGATAACGCGGAACTCTTTCATGAACATGATCATGGCGTCGATCAAAGGAAGATCGCTATGGAAACTATGCGCAGCTCTCCGGCCAAGATGGTCAAGGAACTGGTAGAATGGCGTACAAGAAACAAGAATTTGCAAGACGGAGTTCATGTAGCACATGTTTCCAGTGTTGACAAGACCTCGAGGCTCTAGGAAGGCAATCTTGTCGCTGTACTGATTAACGTCCTCGCCCAGGGTGACCAGGACATCTGCAAGCGATTCGCTTTTTTGAGGTACTCCATTCGATGTGGCCGGGGTAGGGGCGGCGGTGGTACCCGATGGCTTAGCAGATGGTTTGGAGCGAACCAGATCGGCCCAACGCTTGTTTGCGGCGGGAACAGGAGAGCTTGTCTTGGTTTCCGCGACAGAAGCCGTGTTAGCTTCCGTCTCTACATTGGCAGCTGTGGTAGACTTGGGTGTTCCAGATGTGACACTGCTGTTGTCTTTCTTGTGACGACGTGGAGTGGCAGGCACATTAGGTACTACCGGGACAACAGGAGCAGTATAAGGCTTTGAAGTTTTGGAGGGAGCCTGAGATTTCGCTGTGGAAGAAGGCGTCGTTGGCTGTGTCGAGTCGGTATCCGACTGTTGGAACGGAGTGGTCGGAGTTTGGGGTTCCGAAGGTACTTGAATAGATGATGAGGGCTTGGTTTCTTCTTGGTTGTCAGCCTCGATGCTCTTTGGCGCATCTTTGTCCGGCAGTTCAAGTGAGTATTGCATCGCACGGCCCTTGCGACGTCTGCGTGGGATTCTAGCCGGGAAAGGCTGCTCAGGGACGGACAGCCAAGGAAGCTGTGTTGTTTTAGTTGGTGGTCAGTTATCGTTTGACTGGGAGAGGTGGAGTGAGCTCACAGGTGCGGCGAAGTCAGGCTTACGGGGAATGCTTGACTTCGGCTCCCATCGCGGCGACGGGGAAGCCACAGGGTAGACTGGAACTGGCTGGGGTAGCACAGCAGGATGTTCATGCATCTCGGGCTGAAGTGACGGAATCGGGATGGATGGAGACATTGTCGATTGTAAAGGAGTCGGGATTCTTTGTTGCATCGACATCGAATGAGGGGGGAGATGAGTGGGCGCCATAACAGGTTGCGAATGAGGGTATGAGGATACGATCATTGGGTTATAAGGATGCGGCTGGTATGGACGTTGCGGCATCTGCTGGATATGTCCATATGGCGGATACCATTGAGGGTATGGTTGCGGCGCGAAGGACTGGGGCATGTGGCCATTCATGTGTGGGTGGTACCCCATGTATGGCGAAGAGCGCATGTTCGGGGGAACGTTGTTATATGGAAAGTCCTGCTGGCGGCGCTGGGGAGGCAGAGGCTGCCCATGCTGCATGGCGGGCAGATGGTGGTTCATTTTGACCAAAGAATAGGCCTTGACGATTGGTCACGCGTTTACTTCAAATGAGTGCCATGCGCGATGGTGTTCAAGTTGGACCTAAGTGTGAAGCTGCAGGCGCATTTACGCAGCCATGATGGCTTCGGTAGTGAGTATAATATATTGCTAGGCAAAGGCGGAGGACTGGTTGGGGAGAGCTGTTGGGTTGGATCGCTGGAACTCTCTGGAAGGAGATGGCAAATCTCGTCGAAGTGGAAAAGGAGGAATCCCTTTGCAAGTCACTCCCGGTGTGAAAGGAGCCGGCCAGTTAAATGTGAGACTAATGAAAGAAAACAAAGAAATCGGAGATGAGGCAGTAGACCTTGATGCGTTAAACGGAAATGAAGCTGAAGAGCGAATTGATCGGGTCACGTGTGTCCGCGGTTATGTAACCGTCGCCCCTCTTCGGACTTCTGTACATCAACTGGCACCCTGAGGGCCGTCCTGGCTTGATCTACAAGTCATTCTTATATGGCCTTTGCGGTTACTGTTCATTGTTTCCAACCTCTCCTCGACCTACACTTGGTGCATGATTCTGTTTGAGGACAAGCTGAGAGCAATTCGAGAGCTGATTGGCCTCTTATCAGCCGGTTTATCCCAAACCCCTCGCCTTCGACAAGTTGTTGGTTTTCTTTCCTATCAAGCCGCTTTTGCAGCAAGGCTGAACACTTGTCGCTATACGGTCAATACTGTTGAGAGATGTCATCCAATGCAGGACAAAACCCGCTCCCTTCAAAAGCGGTAAATATCTCTACAAGCTCGTCTCCGGCATACCACCCTACAGCTCCTACGGACAATAGCTTCCAGAGACGTGGAAGCTCTGGAAACTTTAAAGCCGGTTCATCTTCAAGGAGTTCACCCGTCCCAAGAAACAATCAGGCTCGTAAGAACCAACACAATCGACAGAGAAAACCTCAGCTGTTGGATGATGAGTATAACGAATCGGTGGGTTGACAGGTTTATCTTGAATAAGAGGCACCTGCTGACCTCGGACCTGACTTAGGCCGCCATGAAGTCAACTACCAGTCGTAAAGGACAGACGTCCATCACTCACTTAATGAACTTTTCCCTTCCACCACGCCCGCAATACCAACCGCCTCCTCGCAATGTCCGGCGGTATACGTCTTGGGGAACGAGTACTGTGGACAAGGCACGTTATGTTCATGCAAATTACAGATTTGTTGTGATGCCAAATCAAAACTTCCATGCACAAGCAGCAAACGCAGACGTTCATCTCGATTGGGCCTCCGTTCTTCAGGTGCTTGTCTCAGCGCAGACACAGTCTGCCGGTTGTCCTATTTGTTTGTCTACTCCAGTGGCACCACGAATGGCACGATGTGGTCACATATTCTGTCTCCCTTGTCTTATTCGATACATGCACTCGTCCGATGATGAAAATCCCGTGCCTGAAAAACGGCACCGGTGGAAGAAGTGCCCCATATGCTGGGATTCAATTTACATCACGGAGACCCGTCCTGTTCGGTGGTTCCGTGGCCAGGAAGGCGACCTCCCTGTTGAAGGTGGGGATGTGATACTCCGGCTGATGAAGCGAGGATCAGGCAGCACCCTCGCTTTGCCCCGTGATGGGTCAGAGACTTTTGGAGCAGATCAAGATATTCCATGGTATCACGTTGCGGAGGTCGCAGACTATGCCAGAATTATGAAAGGAGGCGAAGAATATATGACCTCTCAGTATGAACTCGAGATTGGGGACCTTAGGAAACAAGAAATTGAGGACGAGGTTCTATTTGGAGATGAAAATACCTGGACGCGGAAGGCAATCGGTTCAATCACAGATGCCACTGAGAAGCTGAAAGGTATTGGCAACCCGCCCGAGGTCCTGTCAGCCAAGGAACGCCATATTGCACCTGCGTCTGCAAGTACTTCATCGGCAACTTCCACATCTACGCCGGCTACATCAGACGAAACAGATGACATATCTCACGCCATGAACAAAGTCCAACTTGACACACAACCCATCTCCAAGCCCAAAGACAAAGGCCGGGGCAAGGAAAAACAGCCGTCTTCTGCATCGGAACAGCCCTATCACTTCTACCAGGCCTTACCTCATTTTTACCTCTCGTCTCTCGATATTCGCATTCTGAAAGCGGCATTTGGGGAATACGCACAATTTCCTGCAACCATTCTACCACGGGTGGAACACATATCAACTGGCCACATAGTCGATGATGAGCTTCGGAAGCGAGTCAAATACCTCGGGCATCTTCCACAGGGATGTGAGGTCAACTTCCTCGAGTGTGATTGGAGAGACGTGGTTGCCCCTGAGATCTTGGCGCAGTTCCGTACTGAGACCGACAGAAGGCGAAAGCGCAATCGAGAAAAGGAAGCACGGGAAGAAAAGGATCGTATCCGTGCAGAAAAGAAAGAGGATGACGAACGATGGGCTGCTGCTCGACGTAAACGACCCAGTATCGGAGGTTCCAGTGAAACTCCCTTTTCTGTTCGTGACTTCCACCCGTTGCCTAACAATATCGACGCTCCCCTTTTCGACGCCAACACTTCATCGGCTTCTCCTCCACGCGCATCATCAGGGTTTGGTGCTTTGGCCTCTCCTTCTACTAGCCCTCCTGGTTCCCGTACTGTCTGGGGAACCACGGCAGTGGCCTCGCTCTCCCCCAGCCTTGAAGCCCAAGGGGTTACTCCCAGCGATGGCTGGCGGCAAGGTTGGGAAGATGAGCTGTTCGCTCAGCAAGAGTCTGATTTAATGGCTCAAACCGCGATTGTGGATCAAACTTCCGGTCCATCAACTGGCGGCAAGAAAAAGAAGAAAAACAAGATTACCTTGATGTCTACTAACATCCAAAGAGGAGCATAACCCTCTACGGAGAGATTTTCTTCTTTCTATTGTCTATATGGATCCAAGTTTCATACATTTGAGAGCATAGGTTGGAGTTTTTATTGTTGCGCCCCTTCCTCAATCCTCATCATCTCCATACTACATGATCATTCTTACTACGTCATCAAATATTTTGAGTCTTGTGTGTATGCACCCGTTCTGAGTTCCCATCATAGTTTTACATTCGAATTTTCTGGGAGATGACAGGAAATACACATACAAATACAACAACCAACGAATACAGATATACATTTACCAATGATTTTTTTTTCTTTTTTCTTTTTTGCTGCTTCTCCTTTCCTTGGCATAAAAGGGAATGAAACTATCGCCAAATAAGTCTGAAAGAAAATATCATGAGGAAGACCCAAGCAGAAATAGGATCTATTCATGGTAGCTTAAGCAGAATAACGTTAATTAAACCAACTGGCGATAAAAAAGGCAGTTGACCACGAGCCCCCACAGCAATTCAGGTTTCTTAAGTTAGTGAAATTGCTTTGTGGGGATGACGAAAAGGGTGCTAATTTGCTTGTCCAATATTTCCCCCTTTTATGGTCTTGTATATTCTATTCTCCCTTTTGTGTTGATGTTTTTCACCTACTTCCCATAGATACACACAATTTCCGGGCAGTAGCTTAGTACTTCCATATATTCTCCAATTGAAAAACAAAGAACCTCTTCACACCAGAGATCAAGCGCGAAAACATGCAGTGGTTCAAAATCTTTTCCCAGTATATTATGTAATCAACGGGGAAGTACACAAAGTAAACATCCAGACATTCCTGTTCTACCCACTCTCGCTCCCCTTGACCTTTTTTTCCTTCTCCTTTCACTCAATTGCAGTCGGAACTTTGGTCTTCCGATCGAGCAACCATGACTTTGACCCGTTCCCAAACGGGGAAGACCCCCAGGTAAGTAGTTCGCCCACGGATCTCTGTTGCGACGTATCCACACCCTGAATCCAAGGTGGTGGTTATATCTTTCCAATTCCCACCAGGAAGCTTTCTCTTTGATACATTTCTGTGAAGCTAATTAGCTTTCCCTTGCACAGAAAAATGGATCGGCCCGGCTTCATCGAAACACCTGGCCGTCGTGTCACCCGCAACAGCTCCGTGTTCGATGGCAGCGAGAACGAGGTGGTCGATTCCCCCTCCAATGAGCGCTCGAAGTCAGCCACCCGTCGTCGCACCTCGGCCAAGGCCAAGATCGAAGACAATGATACTCCGGTGAAGTCCGCGACCAATGGCAAGGCCGTCGCGTCCAAATCGAAGTCCAAGTCGCAGGAGTCGCAATCCAAGTCACGCCTCGTCGACGGCTGGGAGGAAGGCCTCGACCCCAAGATTGACTACAGCGGTCACTTTGAGTTCGGCGGCTCGCTGGGGGTTCTGTCTATGATGATTGGTTTCCCAATGCTCATGTACTACATGTGGATCGGTGCTACCTATTACGATGGCAAATTCCCTCGCCCCGCGGAGGGTCAGAGCTACGGCGAGTTCTTCGCGCACTTGGTCGATCTGGTCTACACCGGTGCTTTCCCCTCAGTCAAGGCCTGGACAATCTACTGGGTGTTCTTCATCTTCGAGGGTGCTTGTTATTTGCTTCTCCCCGGTGTCAGCGTGAGTGGGCGCCCATTGCCACACATGGGTGGCAAGCAGCTGCCCTACTACTGCTCCGCTGTGTGGTCGTTCTACACTAGCATTGGACTTGCTCTTATCCTGCACGTCACCGGTCTCTTCAAGTTGTACACCATCATTGATGAGTTTGGACCTTTGCTCAGTGTGGCCATCCTGTCAGGATACATTGTTTCTTTCATTGCCTACTTCTCGGCTTTGGCTCGTGGTGCCGAGCACCGTATGACCGGCTACCCAATCTACGACTTCTTCATGGGTGCTGAGCTCAACCCACGCATGTTCAAGCTCCTCGATTTCAAGATGTTCTTTGAGGTTCGACTTCCCTGGTATATTCTGCTGGGTCTGTCTATGGGCGCCGCTGCTCGCCAGTGGGAGAACTATGGCTACGTGTCTGGTGAGGTTATGTTCCTTGTCATGGCTCACTTCCTTTATGCCAACGCATGTTCCAAGGGCGAGGAGTGCATTGTTTCTACCTGGTAAGAAATCCCCTCAGGCGCTACCCCAATTCACACTGACATTTTGCAGGGACATGTACTACGAGAAGTGGGGCTTCATGCTTATTTTCTGGAACTTGGCTGGTGTCCCTTTGAGTTACTGCCACTGCACTATCTACCTGGCTAACCACGACCCCTCCGAATACCACTGGAACCGGTACTTCCTTGCCTTCCTCTTCATCGCTTATCTGTTTGTCTACTGGGTCTGGGACACCACCAACAGCCAGAAGAACCGTTTCCGTCAACAGGAGCGTGGCACTATGGTGGCCCGTAACACTTTCCCCCAGCTCCCGTGGCAGACCGTTGAGAACCCCAAGACTCTCACTGCCGAGGACGGCTCCAAGATTCTCGTGGACGGATGGTGTAAGTTTATCCTGTCTGGTTCAGTCTGCAATTTCCAATGCTAATAAATCATACAGATGGCAAAGCCCGCAAGATTCACTACACGTGCGATCTCTACTTCGCCCTGAACTGGGGCCTGATCACTGGGTTTTCAAGCCCCTTCCCCTGGTTCTACCCAGTCTTCTTCGCCTGCATGATCAGCCACCGCGCTCTGCGTGACATCCAGCGGTGTCGCACCAAGTACGGTGAGACTTGGCTCGAATATGAGAGACAGGTGCCTTACCTGTTCATTCCTGTAAGTGACCTTTTTTTAAATCATTCTTTCAAATATTGTGCTAACCTTGCTTCGCAGTACGTCTTCTAATTGCATCCTGCTTTTTCGGGGCTAAGTACGACCTCTGCAATTGGGCCGACCTTTTTCTCTTCTCTCTTTTGGTCGAATAGACCTTTTTTTTTCCAACTAGAGGTTACTGTACTCTATGTATAAAACGTCAAATAGATTAATACCTGCGATAATCCAAAATTGGTTTTTGTACGACTGTGATGATGGGTCACTTGGGGGATGCTTATTCGGGGATTTCAAACACTAAATCAATCAATGCAAGCTTCAGCTATATTCAAAATAAGTAATGTTGCTCTTGTCAAGTGAGGCTCAAACACTAAAACGCGAGGTCGATATGCCAAGCACATGACTGACCCCCGCGCCTTATCGATAATGATTTCACTCCTGCGGGCAGCACTTGAGCTCTGTATTCATTTCATTCCATACCAATTGACTTCCAATTTGTCTCGGAGTAGTACTGCTCACGTCAGTAAAGCCAAGATACTTCGCCCATTATGCTGATCCAGGAATCTCATGTTGATGTGCCCACCACGGCCGATGGCCAGGGCAAGATGCGTATGTACACTGCATGCTTACACCATCCATCCCACTTGCCAGAATCAATTTAATTTTACTTTCCTATATATATCTCTAACCTTCTACTAGGCATCTATATCTTCCATCCAACTATTCCGGGTTACCCTAACGCCCGGTTCCCCGGAGTCGTTGTCTTCAGCGAGATCTATCAAGGTGCGGGGGGAGCAGACCAGACCAACCCTGAATGCTCGATTCTTGGACAGGGCCTAAACCTTCATAACAGTTACCGGACCCGTGGCACGATTTGCCCGCCAGATCGCAGGTCAAGGCTACATCTGCGCGGCCCCATCGAGCTACCATGAGTTCACCGGCCCAGAAGCTCTGAAGTACGATGCCGAAGACACGGATAAGGGGAACGCATGGAAGATTGGCAAGGTACGCAAAGCAGATAACATATGCATCAAGTGCATTATCTCTATCTAACAATTTTTTCCCTTGTTCTTTTCTTGGATTGTCGAAGCTGATAACCCTAGAAACTCGCGGCCTATGACGAAGACGCTAGTCTCAGTGTGGATTATCTGCTCTCGCTGCCCACTTGCAACGGCCGCGTCGGTGCTACAGGCATGTGTCTTGGTGGGCATCTGGCCTATCGCTGTGCACTAGATGCACGTGTGAAGGCTTCTGTGTGCTACTTTGCCACGGATATTCACAGCAAGACCCTCGCCCTGGGCAAGAATGATGACAGTCTGGAGCGAGCTGGTGATATCAAGGGTGAGATGCTGATGGTAGGTTTGATGCGATATATTTCTTATCTGGCTAGATCGGTTGTTGAAATCTCTAGATCTTCGGCAAAAACGATAACCATGTTCCGCCCGAAGGACGGGACCTTATTCGCAAGACCCTTCATGAGAAAAATGTCTTGTTCGGCTTCTACGAGGTTGCGTGGGCACAGCGTGAGTCGCACACATGGTTCTGGGACGGGTGGGGGTTTGCAGGTACATAAATACTGACGAGGCCACTTTTTTAGATGCCTTCATTCGCGATGAGCTCAGCAAGGGCCGGTACGATCCGGCTATTACTAAGGTCTGCTTTGAGATGCTGCTCGAGCTGTTTGGTCGCACTTTGAAGCTGGACCTGGGCGAGCACGATGGTAAGGAGCAGATTATTGAGGATGTTTGTTAAGAAATGGAAGGGGTTCAGAGAATGGAGCGGAGGAAATCCAATAATTGGAAAATCAACTAGATCAGCCTTCGGGTATAACAGAACTATACCTCAGAATCAAGACATGGGCTATTGTATGAGCCGCGATTGAGCGATAGCAATATCAGTCGCCTAGCCGACCACTCTCTTCAGTAAGGGCCCAGTTCTAGGGATATCCAACAGCTACAGTATTCTGGAGCTATATAGTATCCACCGCAGATCAGGTCAGTGCAGTGATATTCTTGAAGACCTTCAGTGCAGATACAGTGCAGATTCAGTGCGGGAAAAGCTCTTCTATTCTTAGCACGAGGAATCCATGGGTATGACCCGTTGCCACTCCATGGAACCTCAGAATTCCCTGTCTTAGATCAGGAGCAAATCGTACCTGACCACTTTTGTTATTAGCCCATCTTTTTCAAGGCTTCCAAGATTTTGCTGGAGCAACGCCCTAAGCCACACTAGCGCCGGTGCTTCCCCGTTCGAGTAACCCGCTACTTGGAACTCTTCTCTCTGTCCCCCTCTCACAACACGCTCCCAACTCTCTCTCTCCCTCTCATCCTGCTCTTTGCCCTGAGATCCGTCGCCGAGCGATTCGGGGTCCTCAGCGCGGGTCAGGGGATTCGAAAAATCGTGGTCTAGCCTCAACACTCGCTTCCAACACTCGCTTCGACATTCAGTTCCAACATCGTCTTACCTCGCTTTTGCTTGGCAATTCACCATGGGTTCGACTCAATTCGGCAATTTCCACGTGAGTTATCGTTGAGTTATGAGTGATCGGCCTCGAGACCGCTCCGCCCGTCCAATAGAGACTAACCGCACGCCCATTGGGTATGACAGGACTTCTGTCGTGATTCGACATTACCAGTCTGCAATGTATGAGAACGTATCCCCTGATCGCTTGCATATCAACTGACTGGATCTTCTACGTGTAGCTCTTCACCAATGAGACCGCCGCTGTTGCCTTTGGCGCGTGCGATCTGGTTGGCATTCCTCTGAGCGGCGACAGACACCTTCGAAACCTAGGTACGAGCACAGACTGAGGCATAAAGAATGGGATTATGAACAATGGTGGCTGATCTGAGACAGGTTCCATTCTGCTCGCTTTTATCGCCATTGTCTTGACTGTGGGCATGATATGGAGGTCGGATAAGAAACATGCCGCTGTCGGGCGCAGGTACGAATCCCTGGAATCTGAGACAAAGCGACAACTGACCAATTGGCCTGGATAGGGAAATGCAATTGTTCCTGCTCGGATTTATCATCATTGAGATCTGCGAGATCTTCACTGTGGGCGGTTTCCCGCTGAGCGACGCGGTTCGGAAGGTAGAGATATACGGCGTTTCGTGTCAACCACTGGGCTGCGGCTGACTGGTATTTAGGGATTTACTGCGGTACACATTGCGGCGATCACAGCGACATGTTGGGTTCTTCTCATGAACGCGCTCGTCGGCTTTCAGCTTCTTGACGACGGTACACCAGCGTCCATCGGGTTGATCTGCGCATCTGCCGCAATGCTCTTCATCGGTACTGGCTATATTGCGCTGGACACTGGATTCGACTGGACCGGCCATTTCCAGTCGAGTCATGATGCGCCCAATCGCAATATTGCTCTCTACGTGCTATACCAGCTGTTCCCGCTCGTGTGCCTCGTGCTGTTCTATGCGCTAGAGGCTGTGTTGGTGCTTCGAGTTCTAGGCGAGTTCCGACCAATGTGTAAGTCTGGACCATGTTGAGGCAAGTAGCTTCAATGCTAACAGTGTCACAGTGTATCTGACCGGGGCTGCCTTGTTGTTTGCCATTGGTCAAATCTTCAACTATGTGATCAGTACCCACCTTTGCCAGGCCGCGGATGGCAAGATCAACGGCGCTCTATTTGAAACCCTCTTCACCCTCCTTGCTGTCTCCGGAGTCTGGACCTTCTGGAGCAGTATCACCGAAGACGACTGGCCTCTCCCCGTCGGAGGTGGTGGGTACAATAACTGATTTTATGTTTAGCTCCATGATTCCGTCTATGTTTACTCGATCCAATACGTCGATTTTTTGCGTGCGAATCTCTTGATGTCATTTCTTCTGCCATACATACCTCTTCCTTTCTCATGCGGTCCTTCAACATCCCTGCTTTCATGTCTGTGACGAGTCTCGATGTAGAACCTTGGAACAGGACTCTTAATCTTGTGATACCACATCCTCGGTCATGTTTCACGATTTACCTGCCATCGCATCCTTATGTGCCTTCACGGTGGCTTTATGTCTTGCGTTGTGACTTGGTCAAGCTCTTTATGCTTTACTTTTATCAAAATTCCTGCGGGTGTTTCGATCTGCCCGGTTTAGCCTGGACGGCCCCTTCTCCGTTGGCATTTTTACATGCTTCATTTGCTTTTATTGTCAGATACCTCTCAGCCTTGTACTTAGCTATAGTAATCCATGTCATATAACCGACTTTCCAGTCTTCCCTTCTGCCATATACACCCATAGGTCTATGAACCCTAGGAAGAGCCGATAATCATAAAATCCTCTTCATGTGACCCTATCTCCCCAAGCCAGTTCTGTTGTGTTGCCCACATCTGTCAAGCTTGATACTACCTACCCTCATTCCAGCATCGAGGAAGTACAAATCTCCAAATATGGCCCGGTGCGACATCCTAGTTTACTCCTCGCCTCATCTATCAATACGCCAGCCTATTACGAACGTGACATCCAACCGAACAGGCGCGCAGACCTCGTGCTTCCTGTCCATGTCGACTATAGCACACACACACACACACACACACACACCTCGGGATGTATATAACCACTGATTCAATCCTGCAATGGCGTACATGAGTCCACCTACGGGCACATCGGCAAAACAAATCCGCCCTGATAATCACCTTCCTACATACATTCCTACTCTCAATATGCGTTTGCTTCTTACTGCCCTCACCCTCGCGTCAGGCCTGGCTTCGACTACCGCAAATCATACCGCGAATCATCGAACTCATCCCATATGTACATCCATACTCCTTGTGATATCTAGGATCGGTTATCAGAGTCAAGACCGGAATAGAAAACTAATAGCCTGTATCCTTAGTGTACCAACAAAATCTAGATGTCGTCCCAATGCTGCCTGAGACTTGTAGTCTCGCTGCTTGTCTTAACCTAACTGCCCAGCTGACTTGTATTGCAAATGCCATTGTTAATGGTGATCCTGCTGCTCTGCAGAAGTGTTTGACAACTTCCATGACACAGGTATACTCCCTTGATTTCTGGTTATAGACGTGCGAGAAGTTGATGTGCTCGACACTAGATATGCTCCTGCATTGCCTGTATCCCGGCGCTCAATAATGTTCTGATAGCTCTTGGTGTTTGTCCGGTGGTGGCTCCAGCTCCGCCTGGGGGTGATGAAGATCCAGGTCATCCCGATGATGTTTAGATTGAACTTGAAGGTAGGCTCGGATGAGTTATACGACTTGCTACTATGGAATTCAAGGCATGCTGTTCATAGCTAAAACAAGGCTTTCTTTTGTGGTAGGCTAATCAATACCAATGGGGGTATGTACAAAATCAACAGGTGGTCATTCGTAAGCGTGTAATGAGAATATCAAGCCACAATATAAAAAAATTAAATGTATGATTGTGTGACTTTGATGCAGTCTCGTTCTCAAAGAAGGTTGTGTAGGTCCAAAGTGGAAGATCCGCAAAGAAAAAAAACGAGCTTCCATTCCAGGCTGCAAGACCTGCAAGACAAAGATTCTCCTCAAAGCCGGACCTTCACATCCACACATGGGAGAGTCCACTCCCGTCTTCCGAGGAGACTGCGCATCCATTCTAGCCCAACTCCAGTCCACTCGTCGGGTCTCGATTCTAATCCATTAAGAGCGAGTCGTTGTTGCACACTCTCCATAGCAGCACCGGCCAGAGCCTTGGTGGTAGAGTTGACTGTATCGAAAACGAACTCTGCCATTCCATCACTCGGTACCGCAATGGAGGAGCTGTTGCCCGATATAGCACTGTAGTCGCTAGATTCCGAGCTGTACCGCGGGGCGAACCAGTTGCTTCGGAGATCAAATATACAACGGTCTGACCAGTGGCAAGATGATACGAAGAGAATCAACAGCAGAGCCGAGCAGTAGACACATGGTCGGTGGATGATGTATGTTAAGGCGACGAACGAAACGATGAAGAGTGGTGATGCGTTGGTTGGGATGAAGAGAAGCGGTAGCCAGCTATAATACATGTCAAGCTCGTGTCAGCTGAAAACAACTACCAAGTATGTTATCGTGAGATTCCACACACCTTCGTAGGCAGAACATGATCTGATGGCAATTGCGGGCCGCTTCCTTCCAACAGAAGGACGCAGGCAAATGGACACTGGGGAATGTAGTTATTGTTTGAAGGTCTTGGGCTTGACTTCTGAGCCCAGCCTAGATAGATGGTAGAAAATAGTCCAAGGGTTATAGTGATGTTGAAGTCAACGTTGACTTGGAATGACGCGAATCGGGCAAGAGATATCCGCCACACCCGTGCCACAGTTCTCAGCCACAGCCACAGCCAGATCCGCGCCCGAACAATATTACCAGAGTGAACTCTTCTTCCCTTCACCCTTCTTCTACTTTGCCTTCCACTGTTCAATTTCATCTTTCCTTTCTCAATCATCTCCCTGATTCGCTCATTCACTGCTCATTTCAGCTTGCGAATTCGATTTACCACTCCTGCTCTCGAAGCAGAGCTTCTGAGAGCTTTGCAAAGCTTGGTTCATCAACGGAGGTCGCCTGCAACCAAGGCGTGCGGCAGAAATGTCCACCCCCAACGACCTCCAGGCCCTCTTGGCCAGTATTCGTCCTCGTCCGTCCCCGTCGAATACTCCCGGCCATGATAATCCCCAGGCTCAGCGCCAATCGCACTACCAGCCTGGCATGTTCCCGCCGCATCCTCAACAGCCTTACGACGGTCAGACCTACCCGCATCCTCAGTCCCACGGTTACCACCATCCATCCGTGTCATCGACAATTCAGAGTCCTGCGCCCATGAACACCCCTCCACACCACGGCTCGGACATTATGAGCCCCAACGTGGCAACTCCTCGTGGTGAATGGCCTCATCAGCCACAGATGGCAAATAACCCTGACCGTGCTGTCGACCTTTTGAGCCTGCTCAGGTTCAACCAGGGTGCCGGCCAACCTCAGGTCCCAGCTGCTGTCCCTGAACACTTGCGCTCCCCGCCAATCCACGAACCTTCCTCGTCGCACGGACGAAACATTTCCGCGTCTGATTTGGTTGCTAGTTTGATCGGCCAGAGCCCTTCTGCCCCTGCGGTTCCCGCAGCTGCCCCAGCTGCTGTTCCACCAGGATTCCAATCTGGCCACCCTGAGGGTCCTCATGAGAACACGCAAGACATGTTGCTTCGCTTGCTCAACCGTTCTCAGTCCAGTCCCTCTGTCGATCCGTCTGCCCAGGCTGCAGCCCAGATTCCTGCTGCATTCAATGAGCCCCAGGTCGACACAGTTAAGAATCCTCTTATGGAAGTTGTGGATGAAAGTCCCCAGGGACCTGCGCACCCGGAAACGGTCGCATCCCCTTCAAAGGATTCTATGTTCACTTATGTCAACCCCTTTGACCAACTGGCTGCCATGTCTCCTCGCGAGAAGTCCCCTCAGCCTACCTCGGGTGCTCAAAGCCCCGCTGTAGAAGTTGTGCAGAAGCAAAAGATCAATGTCACTGCTAAGCTGGAGCCTTCGCCGGCTCCTCGGGACATCACCCATCCGCCAGTCTTGAACGATGGCCAGCGCGAGGCGGTGAACGGTGTTGTTGAACGTCTCGTAGGTGAGATTGGCCGCTCGCTCAGCGGGGGTGAGCCCCAGGCTACAGCCGACGCGGAAGCTGCCCTTTCTGCTGTCCAGGATGAGCCCTCCAGCGAATACCTCGCATCTATTGCCAACAATCTCCGAGAGTCTGCTGCTGAAGCTAAGGAAGCCGCCAATTCGCTTGACGTTGATAACATTGTCGAGGAGACCGTGGTGGAAGTTGCTACGGTTCCCGTCTCTCAAAAGGCGATTGATAACACCGAGGTTTTGGCTGATAGCTGGGAAAGCGCCGAGGACAGTGCTGAAAAGGAAGAAGAACGAGTTGTTTCTGTTCACAACTTCCCAATGAAGCCCTTCATCTCTATTGCTGTGAAGCCGCAGTCTGGAAAGCTCAACACTTTCCGTGATGACGACGTCATGGACATTGCTCGTCTGAAGAAGGAATTCGATCAACTTGATCGTTCGTTGACTGCGGCTACCTCTGAATACATTGTTTACGCGCTCGCCAAGACCGGTGGAATTCGAATCATTCGACAGGATGATGGTAGTGACCGTCAGGTCTTCCGCGCCACCCGTGACCGTGTGTTCAATGTCGCTCTTTGTACAGCCGGTGACTCTGAGGTTCAAGCCATCATCGGTATCGGAGTCAGTGGCTCTGTCTACTGGGCTCTGATCTCCCGATCTGGAAAGGACCTCTTCGAAATGGACGCTTTGGAAAGTGAAAGTCTGATCTTCCCACCTTTCCCAGCCTCCGACGAGAACACCTCTGGCGGCCAGCTGAAAACGCGGGCCAAGCGGAGCACTCGTCACACTAACCTGTTCGCTATCGGACGAGGCAAGAACATTTATGTTGTTTCTCCTAAGGCGGCTATGAACCCAGCCTATGGCGTTTCCGGTTCTCAGCGCACAGTCAACACAGAGAAGTTCTTTAAGGAGCGCGCCTTGAAGATCTCTACTGGTAAAGCCGGCAAGGACTTTGCTTTCAGTGACGATGATTCTGTCATTGCTTCTCTCGACAAGACCGGCCGCCTGCGCTTCTGGGATATCAATGATATGCTCACCGACGCGAGCTTGCTGGAAGGTCCTCCCCGGCCGAGGTCCGGGTCCCCTTGACCACCTTCGTCACTGGTTCCCCGACTGAGAAGTCCTGGCCTACCTCGGTCCTCTTCCTTGACAAGCTCCGCGCTTATTCTCGATCCATGGCGCTGCGTTATGTTCTGGTCGGACTCAAGCAAAACCACACCTTGCAGCTCTGGGATATCGGGCTTGGCAAGGCTGTGCAGGAGCTCAAGTTCCCTCACGAGAACGAGTCTGATGCTATCTGCAGCGTTGCCTATCACCCGGCTTCTGGGGTTGTTGTTGTCGGACACCCTACTCGCAATTCGATTTACTTTGCCCACCTGTCCGCACCACGATACAACCTGCCTCAGATGTCTCAGGCAGCATACATTCAGGCCCTTAACGACAAGGACAACACTGTTCCTAAGCCTGAGTCGACCGCCTGCTTGAGTGGAATTCGGGAGATCTCTCTCGGTTCCAAGGGCCAGCTGAGAAGCTTAGAGCTCCTTCCCATCTCGAAGTCCGCCACTGACAAGCGTGGAACTGAGGAGTCTGCTCTCTTTGAGCTGTACGTCATGCACTCACGTGGTGTGACCTGCTTGAACATCAAGAAGGAGGACTTGGGTTGGACAGCCGATAATAAGGTCATTCGACCTGTTGATGCTGTGGAGCACGGCTTGATTGATATCAGTGACCTGGCGACTTTCCCCAGCTTTGCCAGTGATGACCCCTCTGTCAATGGTGACAACGTCTCTGTTCAATCTCGCGCTGCTCACAAGGAGCCTGTCAAGAAGGTGGATTTCGGCGAATCGACTTCTGGTGTTGCTCCTTCGCGTGGCGCATCGCCCATTAAGTCGTCCAAGAAGAAGGCTTTTGATGAGCCCGATGTAGCAGCGGCACCCGTCTTGGCTGAAAAGTCTGACAAGAAGAAGAAGAAGAAGGCTTCTGCTGCTGAGGCAAAGGCAAAGGACCCTGTTGCCGCCGCTATTGTCGAGCCTCTTCCAGTTCCTTCGGTCACCAAGGAATATGAATCCCTTGCCTCATCTGCCACTGCGACGGGCGCGACTCAGGCCGCTGACCAGGCCTTGTCTGCCACCCCCAACTTGTCCGGCTTCGATCTTACCAGCGAGGCCCTTGGCAGACACATCCAGAACGTGGAGGAAACTGTCTCGACTCAATTCACCAAAACCCTTGGTATTGAGTTTGATAAGCTGAACCGTATGTTGGATGATGAACGCCGCCACTGGGACGCTGCCGGAAGCTCCAGGATTGAACAAGTTCTGCGCTTGGTCTCCAGCTCTCTGTCTGACAATGTTGAGAAAAGCCTGGCCCGCATTGTCTCGACTAGCATTGAGAGTAGTGTGATTCCCAGTCTCGCTGATAGCACCTCGGCTGCTGTCAGCAAGCAGCTGGAAAGTGTCGTTGCCAAACAGCTTGGAGGCGCCTTGAACGAGGAATTGCGACAGGCTCTCCCCAAGACAGTCATCAATGCTATGGAACAGCCACATGTGATCAGGGCTGTTACCGATTCCATTGCCCAGAACCTTTCTCCTCGCATTGAGGCTGAAGTGGTCCGCGTTATGCAGAAGTCGCTTGGCCCCATGCTCGAGAGCCTGGGACGTACTACACAGAAGGTGGAGTCAGACATGGAACGTCATTTGCAGGCTCAGGTCAAGCACTATGAAGCCCAACGCCAGGCCGACAATGCCAAGATTGAGGAGATGTCGAACATGCTGCGTGGTTTGACCCAGACCGTTGCCTCTTTGGCCGCCAACCAGAGCCACTCAAATTCTCAACGTGAGATTCTCCGTGAGGCCCCGCGTGAGGCCCCGCGCGAGGCCCCCCGTGAGGTCCCCCGTGAAGCTCAGCGTGATGCTCAGCAAGTCAACGTCAATAAGCGCGCCTCCATTGGTCGTCCCTCCGGAAACCAGGCTCGCATGCCCCAGTTGCATCAGCCACAGCCGATGCCTCAACCCGCGCCAATCCCCCAAGTCGCCCCGGTTCCCGTGCCTGCTCAGGCACCCACTCCTCGGACTCCCGAGGAAGCTGAGCTGGTGGATATCGCTCATTGTATCAACACCGGCCACTATGAGGAAGGCACTGTCAAGGTTTGTTTCCATATTCTTCACTCTCAAGACCATCTTACTGATATCATTACTCCAGTGGCTCCAATCGGACCAGCAAGCCGACCTCTTCGACAACTTCTTCGTTCGCGTGTCTCCTGCATTCCTGTCGCGACTTCCCGCAATCGTTCTGCTCTCCGTTGCCGTTGCTGTGACTTCCAGCTGGCAGACCAACATCGGTCAACGCCTTCACTGGCTCGACGTGGTTCTCCAAAGTGCCAACCCCGACGTATGTCCCCACCACTCTCTTGCATCTTCTCCAAGCTAACAATACACCCTCTAGGACAATGATCTCCGTGAAGTCGCACCTCGCATCCTGGACATTATGAGCCAACGCCTGAACACCCTGTACATGAACATTGTCGAGCGCAACCCGCATGACCCAATCCTGCGCCTCATCGCACCCCTTGCTCGTCGTACCCGGGAGCTACACTCCACCATTTGAGTGTCTGCATCTTTGCTATCCTTATTTTCTGTTTTTTTTTAACTTTGCTATCGCAAGGTTCGAATTCGATATGAGTTCGATGTATTCATGATCATGATCTTGACACAGGTACATTCAATGGAGTTTTTTTCTTATCGTTTTGCGCTGTCTAGTATGACCTGTAATGATATCGGAAGCATGACCAGAGAAAAATACGAGGGGACCTCAGCATCGATGAAGCATGGCTCTGAGGGGGATTTCATGGGCAAGAATAGGATGGGTTGGTTGTGGCTTCAGATCGTGTGCCGTCTAAGCAGTTCTGCTTTTAATGTGATTATCTGACGTGTTTTTTCTTCCCTTTGCTTCTTATGATAATCATGGACATGGGTTGGGCTGTGTAGGATTTTGTCGTTGTATCTCCTTTTTTTTGCATCTTTGATGCTTGTATCTATCTTTATGTGCTTTCGGTGGCTATGAGATGACAATTTCATGTCTTTCTTTCTTCGGGTTTCTTTTGGTTTTACTTTGTAGTTCCAAGGCTTGTGCTTGATACAGTGCTAGCTTGTCGTTGGGCCTCGGCGCTATGGGACTCTACTGGCGTTTTGGATGAAGAATTCTTCATGGTTCTCATGGTGTTGCATATGTATCACGTACTGCATGTGCAAGAAGCCAAACGTCTATGTCCGATATAGCAATATGTCACTCTGTTGCTATCTTTCTTGGAGACTGTGACAGCCATAAAGAACCTGTTCCATATCTTCTCCTCTGCTCTCCCTCTCTCTTCTCTCTCTCATTTCTCTTCCTCCTCTTCTCATTCGCCTTCTCTGTTCATATCCCTTCTGACCAAAAAGTATATCTCAATCATCAACCCCGTGTCAAACCATCACAGTTCGATGCAAAATTAACGATTAGCTTCACCAGCAGTCGGTTCCTGGAAGACAAGATGAACAGGTCTCTCTGGTTCATCAGGTTGACCAGTACCAGGCTGGTTGGACGGCGAACGAGGGCGAATCACCGAGCGATGAATACCAGTGAAAGGTCCGTTATGCTCTCGCGCAACACCTCGCTTACGACGCTGACTTTGATGGCTGTCGACTTGCTCAAGCGGTGTAGCCGTGCTGTGGGTATGTCTGATGCTTGAGATTGGCACTGGAGATGGGTCATCATGTGTACTTATGCTTGTGCTCATTGCAGTAGAGATTGTTCGTGGGAGGTGATATCCTGCTTTGCCGAGTGGCACAGAGAGACCGTGAACAACCTGTTATTGGGTTAGTGGCTGGTTGGATTGGGGCTTTTTGCGGGGGGGTTCAATAACTGACAATGCTGCAGATGACTAGGAACCAGACTACCACTTGGATGGTCTCAATGACTTGCTGGACATCCTCTGGGATCTCGCCGTTTACTTGGATCTCACGCAGGAATTCGAGACTGATGGATAGGTAGAAGATGGCTCCTACGCCAATCGGGCCGAAGAATCCGACGAACAAGGCTTGCGAGACTAGCTCGATCTGGTGGATCCCCTTGTGCATGGCGAAGACGATGGGCAGTCTTCGGACTAGGAGGATCAGAATACCTAGGAAGATAAGTCTGTAGATGGGGATCACGCTGTTGTTCAGGAAAGATGACCATGGGCAGACAGCACCGAACCACATAAAGACAGACAAGTTGAGTAGCATATCAATGGTTGGCTGGAGGGAGTCATCCATGGTCTCGAGACGAAACCAGTCACTGTTGACGTTAGATTCTTCCTCGTATAGCCTGGAGGGTAGACATACTCTTGCGTGAACACGTTCCCAGCAATGAAACAAGCAAGTAGATCATCGGTTCCAATCAACCCACAGGTACCCACGATGAACAACTGTTAAATAGATCAGCAAATGCAAATCTTCCATACTCTGGGTGTAAACTCACTGCAAGAGCAATAGCAAATACTAGAAAACTCTCCCGATCAACATAGCGCTTCTCCTCGGCCCAATGCAACAATTTCCTCGAAATATAACCCACCACGATTCCATATGCAACACTCAAAAGGATCGTATACGCCCAGGTCTCGTAAAACCACAGCGCCATGGCTCTCCCAGCACCACCACTATAACTCTCCTTTGCCATGCCAGTATATTGCAGAAGATAAATCCCAAAGAAGAGGAAGGGATATCCCAGTCCATCGTTAGCGCCTGACTCGGCAATAATGATCCTCTGCAGCGGACGGGGTACGTTTTTGTCGGCAAACTTCCCCTTGACAATAGAGTTGGATAGGACAGGGTCTGTCGGAGTTATGCAAGCACCGACGATTAATGCATGAAGGAATTTAAAATTCGGCACCATGGCCCAGATTATCAGACTGCTGCTTATCCACATGGCTGCCATACCTGGGCCGAGCAGCAAGGCCAGGCTCTTCCATTCGATCTGCAGGTAGCGTTTGGGCAGCTGCACGCCAGCAAGGACCAACTGCACGCCGAGGACGAGACGGGTGAAGTGCAGCGTGATTGTTTCGAGGTTCTGTGGGTCATGCAAGGCATAGTCCTCCGGTCGTATGAAGTTCGCTGCATGTGGGGAGAAGATGACGCCAGCCAGGAGGGAGATCACTATCAATAGTTAACAATTGGGTCATGGCGGGAAGGTGATGCCGGAGCACACTGACAAGCCTCGGACAGGTAAAACACGTCCTTGCAGAGGTAAGAGACAAGTCCGAATAAGGAAATGAAGCCCCCTAGCGTCGCGCAGACGATGTTGAAGTTGATTAGGCCGAGTGTAGGCATGTTGATTGCATGCAACCCCCGCCTCGTGGGTTATGATTTGCGGTCAAGTGTGGTTTGGGCCAAATACGAGTATATCGAGTCGGTCTTCCGATATCAGGTAATATCAGGTAATATCAGGGAGGATACTACTAGTCCTTTGAATTTGTCCGGAGACAGATGAAAATAACACGGATACAAGTGAATGTTATTCAATCATAATATGGATATCCTGTGAGATGCGCAGCGAGAGCATTCGTGATAGAAAAATGAAAGGCTTGATCAGAGCAAACATTTATGATCCAAGGCAATGCTGAGGGGAATTAAGTAACGGTGCAGTGCAGACGTGCAGAAGTGCAAAAGTGCCAACGTTGTAGAAATGCAGCGATGCAGTGGAAAGATGAAGATGAAGTGGGAGAGATTCTCGTCACTCCGGGGGGTCTTGGCAGTTTATCCGATCTACACATTCCGCCTTCCGCTGTCTTTGGGGGATATTCTAATGTTTACCGTGATGACAGGTTGGTTGTTTGTCCATTGGAGATACGTATGTGATTCTTGGGTTCTCAGATCCTCATTATCCAAGATTGTATTGCTGTCTAGAAATCCTCGTCAAAAATCTCATCAAAAACCTCGTCAGGCACATCTTGGGCAACCTCAAGTGCCTCGACCTTGGCAGATACACCCTGGTGGGCTCCCTTGACCGCGAGACGGTCTGCCTCTTCATTGCCATGGTCTTTATTGTGGCCCTTGACCCATTCAAACAGGGTCTTGACCTTGAGATCATTGCGTTCCTCGATCTTCACAAGAATTGACTCGACTAAATCCTTATTCTCGACCGGTTTCTTATCACGGGTCATCCAATTATTGCGACGCCAGTTGACAAACCACACCGTTACGCAGTCAATCGCATATCGACTGTCGGTGATTATGGTTACATCGCGGTGCCGGGGAGCAATATCAATGGCCCGAAGGATGGCTGTCAGTTCGGCGCGTTGATTTGTTTGGCGAGCACCTTTGAGTGGCTCCGAAACGTTTCTGCTAGGATAAGTGAGCCGAATTAGAAAATGATCAAGACACCGGGCTCGAGGGTAGACGAACCTTTGATCGTCAGGGCCGAAGTATACCCCTACTCCGGCCGATGCTAATGGGGTACCGTTCCTTAGTGAACTTCCATCTGTGTATATCCGCAGCATGCCCGGAATACCTGTAGATTGTGTCTTGGTTGCTAATTTTTGGGTTGTGGTCTTGTACATCACCTTGCCGGTGGCCGGATCTAGAAGCACATTAGGGTCAAAGCCATCTTCAGCTCCCTGGGGCAATGGGCCATCACCAGGTGCAAACTCGACCCCTTCGGCATCTTTTGGCGTCTCAGTCTCGATTCCAGGCGGCCCAAATCCGACTGCAGGAACTGCCTTCTGCCCTTCCCGCACAAAGTCTTCTGCCTCTTCGCGGCTCGAGAACTTGCGATAACGAGGCCGAGCAAACCCTCGAATCTGTTCTTGTGCTTTATTCCAGTCCGTGTATACACCTGGAACTCGACCTCGTTGGATTCCGTAGAATCTGGTTTCTCCGCTTGCGGAGGCGCTGTCCGGAAGCTTGACACCGTTCAAAAACGCGTTGGCTGCTTCTTGTGAGGGAAATGATTGGACTGGAACATTGTAGTTGTCAGTTGGTTGACCACCTGACGCGCCAGTACGACCATGCGACAATGGCACTCACAGATTGCTCCCTTGAAGCCCGTTATTTGAGCCAGGCACTCATTCCACCCATGGTAGATCCCTGGTTTATGCCCTGCCTTGACGGCATAATATTTCGCTGCGCCATTTCTCTTGCGTTTTGTGCCGGCGGTCGGCGAGGGTGAGGGTTTTGAGGCAGGCGAAGCTTTCGAAGCTGGTGCGGGACTCGGGGAAGGAGTGGTCTCGTTCATGGCGGCGGAGTAGTTGATGGGCGTCCAAGGGCGGACTCCAGTGGGCATAGGACCGCGAGGTAGGCCTTGGTGGGTGCCAGTGGGTGAGTTCTTGAGGTTTCGCGATCTATGCGTGCCTTGGCGTGGAGGAAGAGATCGCGGAATTGATCGCGAGGGGCAGCTAAGGAGGGAACGCCGTCCCAACTTCAGAGCTGACCAAACACGCCTGGGAATCTTGGTTGCGCAAAAGATGAGAAATCGGATTTTCAGGTTAGTAAAAGCTTGCAGGAGTGAAGAAGAATTGGGAGAGGGGGAGAGAGAGAGAGGGGGGGGGGGGGGGGGGGGGGCTGTTCTGGAAGCACTTGGCGATGTATGCCCGCATTTCAGCTCTTACATTTATACATTTGATATGCATTTGAGAAATTCTCACGTTACTATTGGTTTGATTTACAGTCAGATTGCATTGATTTGAGATATTCATTTTTTTGAATCCCAGAATTTTGGGTTGGGAACATATATATATCTCGACAGTCTCAACATGCTGTGAGGGTTCCCAGTCAGAGTTTTTATACAAGTAATTTATGCCACGAAGACCCAAATGAAGAGATTATATTAAACCCTTAAATCACAGCTCGCACACGATCCAAGATAGTCCGAGTCTGTTGCTGTGTACACTTTATAACATCGTCGACAGACGCCACTGCATTGATACTTCCAATGCCAGCACCGCTTTTCGTCCATTAGCACGGCTCATGCCGAAATAGAGAGAGGAAAGGAGAGAAACTCACGCCCAAACGGTTCTTCTCTGATCATTGCCAGCTTCCCTGGCCTCATTGTGCCGACGAATAACCTCCTCGTCACTAACCCCTTCCTCGGATTCCTCATAGTTCATCCCAATAACAGCCCTCCCGTCATACTGCCTCGGAAAGACATCAGTTGACTGGAACACATCATGCCGAGTAGATTTGATAGTCGAGACTCCACCATCACTACTAGAGACGATGGTCTCCTTCATAACAGACGGAGCTGGACATTCGGAGGTTGCAACGAACTGGACCTGATCAGTATAGAACAACACATCCCAGGCAATCAAACTCACTCTTGTACCCATGACAATTCCATCCGCACCTTGGATCTAGTTAGCAACTTGAAAAAGAAGGGCGAGTAAGAAACGAAAACCCACCGAGACCAAGAGCAGCAACACACCCTCTCCCATCAACAATACCCCCAGCAGCAAGTACAGCAACCGACCGATCGCCAGGATTCACCAAAATGTCCATCACCTCAGGCAAAAGAGACACAATACTAGCACCTTGGGCCCATTGATGACCACCGGCATCAGTGCCCTGAACGACCAAAACATCGACACCCTGCTCGATAGCTTCCCTTGCGGCCTTGACAGTCCCAACCTGAACGAATATTTTCGTCTCCCAGTCTGAAGTCTCCTGAGCTTCTCGAATAGCTTGAATCATTGGAAGATGATCAGCATCTGCCTGAGGGAATGATAGCCAGATCGCTGCCACTCGATGCTTCCGCAGGATAAGAACGGCATTCTCCACAAACCCATCTGGCTGGAATGTGATGAAGCCAACACCAAGTGGCAGTATATCACCATCTGCTAGATCGAGAACAGTACGGGATTTGGCCAATTGAGTGTCCAGGCTTTGGAGCTGTGTGCTCCCCGGCTTGAAATCGAAGCCACCGCCAATGAAGCCTGGAAAGGATTAGCTCGGCCCATGCAATCATATCGTCTATTACTAAAATGAACAGACATCATAAGCGTACCGAGCCCGCTAGCTTTTGTTACTGCAGTTGCTAGATTGACATCTGCGAAGCCAAACATGGGTGCATTGGCGATGAATGGAATGGATGTATGGGCGAACCATTGCTTCAGAAGATTCTTTGCCATTGTTCAACTGGGAGGCTATGAATCTAGCCAGAACTGGACTCAAAATTGGTTGATAGAATGACTTGGTCGCTATATAAGCCCTGGAGCAGACTAAGTAATGCGATATGCTCGTGTAAGCAACGCAGCCCCGCGCAGTTGATGTAATCACATTTCCTCGGAGAAGAACCCTCAGCCTCTAATATATCCAGTTCATGGTTATCCAAGCGTGTGTCCCATATTTGGCTTGAAATAAAATAATGAAATGGCCAGAAGGTCGCTTTTTCGCTATGAACTAGAAGGGAGCATGATGGGTTCAAAGACTTGCGAACCTGGTTTCGAAGACGGCATCATCTTCCATCAAACAGTTTCCTGGTCTAGCGGTTATGATTTTCCGTTAACAATTGCTTCAAGCATCTGTTCCGGAAAGGTTCTGGGTTCGATTCCCAGGGAAACTATTTTTTGTCCCTTTGGCCTTTAATTTGGCAGGTATGGAGAGGCGGATGATTTTTTTTTGGGTGTGGTGGGGGGATCCATCTAGAGTGGCGCCATAGGCGGAACCGTCAGAAATGGGTTGAAGAGAAGAGAGATATATAAACAGGTAGGGAGAGCATGAACAGACTCAATGGTTCGTCAAATGCGCTGGTCCACTATGAAGTACCATGGGGCTTGTTAGGGCTTGTGCAATGGAATCAGCGCAACCCTAATCTATGCGACCTGTATTTGAACTCCTGGACTGGATCATATCGAAAAGAAAACCATGCAGAAAGTTGGATTGGGTGTATATAACTCGAAAATTAATTAACGCTTATAGCTTTGCACGGAATGCCTGTAGTTGTTCGAGACCAGCAGGTCCATCGTAGATCTGTTGCTCGGTCATACGAGTGTTGATCTACAAGCCATGTTAGTTGGGCCAATTGGCGAGAGGATCCAAGTGTGCTTACATGCTGAGGTCCTAATTGATCCACACTATCCACACCAAGTAGACGCATACACGTCTTCATTTCATCGTTCAAAACTATGGGGGGAAAATTAGCAAGCTGTCTCCAGTGCGAATACCAAATCAACTTACTCTGCAAGGTACGACGGACACCGTCGACACCACCTGCTGCGAGACCCCAGAGAGCAGCACGTCCAAGACCAACAGCCTTTGCACCCAGACAGAGAGCCTTCACAGCATCAGTACCGCGACGGATACCTCCATCTACGTAGACCTCAATCTTGTCAAAGACCTCGGGGCAGTACTTCCGGATCTCCAAAAGGGTGTGGACAGCTGGAGGGGCAGTGTCCATAGCACGACCTCCGTGGTTAGAAAGGATGATACCCTTCACCTGAGGTGCGTGGAGCGAGGCGAGGTATGCATCCTCGTGAGTCTGCAGACCCTTTAAGACAATAGGGAGGTCTGTCTGTGTGGCGAGCCAGGCTAGAGTCTTCGTCCATGTCAAAGATGGGTCTGTACCGGCGAATAGTTGCTGACCAACACCGCCTGATCCCTCTGTCGGATTAGGGGTATCGTCTGCTGAACGCTCGGCGGCCTTCACGCCGCTTGTGACTGCGGCTGTTCTTCCAGTCATACCAGTTCGCTCATCATCCTCACGCTTTCCAGGAACTGGGGCGTCAAGGGTAAGCACGATGAACTTGATTGACTTGAGCTTGTTGATGCGTGCAAGCATAGTCTCACTCTTCTTGCGATCGATTTGGACATAAAGTTGCCAACCAAAGATCTGGTCCGGTGCGGCATCCTTGACAATCTGCTCGGGGGTCATGGAAGCATTGTTAGAGATAATCTGCATAGCTCCAAAGCTGCGGCATGCTTCCGCGATACCGGCTTCGCCAGAAGGGTGACCGAGTCGCGCCATAGCGGCGGGAGACACATAGATTGGGGTTTTTAATTTGTGACCCAGTACAGTTGTATCCAATTCGCACTTCGCGCAGTCCACAAACACTCTTGGTCGTAGAAGAATGGAACGGTAGACCTGATTGTTGAAGTGTTTGCTGACTTTGTCGTCGGATGCAGAGTAATAGTACGCCCAAGCCTTCTTGCTTACTTGCTTAGCAGCCACTTCCTCCATCTCGTCCAAGTTGAGAAGGTTCTCCATAGGCGGCGGGCCCTCAGCCTCCTCTTGGGGGTTCAACCGGGGCCTCTTCTTTGGGTAATGTGCTGGCGTCGACGGTTCCCAAGCATGCCTCGGGCTTGAGCTCCTCTTCTAAGATCCCCGGTGGGTGGATAGGATCATATTCCTCAGTGGCATCTTGTCCAGCGAGTTTCAGAATAATCTTTGCACCGCCAGGGTGGCTGCCCAGAAAATCGGTGACCTAGATAAGGAAGAGTCAGACATCTATTGGGGGATTGGGAGCAATAAGGATAGAATTGAAAATCATACATCGTAGACTTTGCCGTATAGGATCACCCAACAGCTCTCACGAGTGTTGTGCTTTGCGACTATTTGTCTTCGGTCAGCATCAATTTATCCGGCGTGGGGGGCACCAGGGCCAGATGCGGAGAAAGTACCTTCTGTCGCATCGAATACCTTAGCCATTCTCAAGACACAAGCAGAACCGGAGCAAAGTCAGAGTATCTACTTATAGAGGGCGACACCGGGAATAAAAAGCAATTGCAAGGTGAGGAGAGAAGACCGGAAGAAGAGACATCATGGAGAGAGTGTGGGGAACGGTCGGTCGCCGCTTTTTCCTTGTTGGGCCGTTTCGATTGCCGACAGGGTAATTGAAACCACCCCCACGTTATTGGTGGGATAAATGTGGATGAGAATGGCCAATGAGGGTCAAAAAAGGAACTCAAGAGGGAAGAAATGCTAGCATAGAAGCATAGAAGCATAGAATCGAAGATTGAAGGATAAGCTAAAGTTACACGGTAGTCACCTGAATCAACACGTGAGAGCTCAGTTACCCCAACTTCCCCCCCCGGAATCCAACTTCCTTCTCAAGCGCTGCGTACGCTTTGGACTATATACCTGCATCTGATTATTGATCAGTGGAGCACCATGTTTGAAGTATGTTTTCCTACCCTCATTCCCAGTTATCCCACCCTCCCCCACTCTCTCCCCGCTGTCCCTCGCCGTCCCTGTCCCTGCCATGTCTGACGATCTCTTCCCCAGCGTCGTGCCGCGGATCGGTATCACCTTCGAATGCACCGCGCGCGTTCGGCTGTTCTGACCTCAGATGAGATCGTGGAAGTGCGTGCTGCTCAACGAACGTTCGAAGGTGCCTATGTCCGGACTGCCCTTTCTCAGTTCTCGTTCGCCTTAGTTGTACTCAAGATCTTCACCGCGGAATTTTACAGCATTGGGGCTCTTTTCGCGATTTATGGAACAGGTGTCCTCATAATTGGACTCTTTCGCCGGTCCCAGGGAAACAGACAATTCTTTTCGGAGGTAGGAGAGGATGGGATTCATCGACATAAATTCAGAACTAGTGGGAATGCGGTGTTGGTTCTCACAGCACTCAGTATTGCAGCATACGCATGCTTGATTGGCCTGACCTTGAACCTGAGTAACTGATAAGGCGCAGTCTGCGTGGAATCACTTGCACCGTTCTACCAAGTACACCGTATCCCAGATCCCTCCTATTCCGCTATCCACCTATTCTCTCGGCATGCAACCTGGGGTACCCCCTGCATTAACGCCAAGTGCCAAGTATTCCGTATTAGTCTACGTGATATGGGTCAACCCTTCCGGGGAGTACGGCCACGGAGATCGGCGTGCTGAAACGGAAGCTTACAGTTGGTTGGGGATCAACTTGGTGTGTCGAGAGAGCGAACCAAGGAAGCCGAGTATGCCCCGAGAAGAGGGCGATATCAGCCCGCGCGGTAAGCCTTAGGTCACGCCGTGTGTTCTGTTTATTGGTCTTTGATCTACCGGAGGCTGAGCCCATATCCAAATTTGCTTTTGTTGAGCTGGCCATGACTGGAATCAACCCACTGAGGGTGTGCTGACCCTGTCTGGAGATCAAAGAGGGGGTTGATGGCTTGTAAGCACATGTTGTAGTGGATTTGTAAAGCACAGGGATCATGTTGTTTTGTTGCTCGTTTCTTTCGGATACCGTAGCCAAGCATTCTCCCTTAGCTTACTGTAGAGATAGGATGAATACTGGTATATCTTGCATGATCTGTGAGACCTCCCTCGCATGAGATCTCAAGTATAAGATCTCTTTATCCTGTCCCAGGACTTTCATTCCCCTCACTCCAGTCACTACTGCGCTGGATAGAGCTCACCTTTGACATCATACCTGACGATCTTGCTTTCACATCATTGATCAGTCTTGATCCACTGCACTAGCTGCTTGACCCGCATAGCCATTTCGTCATTTGAAAGCGGTTCTCGCTTTAGGGCGTAAAGGGTTCGTTTACCTCATTTGACAGTCCTTAGCGCCCATCCTGGAGACACATGCTAAATCGCCAGGATAAAAAGCGAGCATTCGGGTTCCAAGAATCCAACCTATAAGCATCTCATTGTTATTCTGGTCCTTTCTCCTGAGATTGTTGTCCTTGTGGTGTTGAGGGCAGCGAAGTGACGTTCTGGTTGCCGGGGGTTGACTCATCCACAACCTCTCCCCCCACCACTTTCTCTCTTTTCTCATCAAAATCCTGTCTTGAGGGGATCCCCATCGCAATCACAACGACTGGGTCATCTGCATCAGAAAGCAAGTCCTGAGGAACAGGCGACACTTATTCTATAAAAGATAAAGATCGGAAGATCCCCCTGCAGGGGATGGCGCAACATTCCAACATCGCCCGGTCGGCTATCATGATGTCGGCCACATCGCCTGACGTTGCAGGAGATCAAAGAAATAATTCTCGGCCCAACGGCGCCACGTCCACCGGAACTGGCTCGGGTTCGGGAAAAGAAGGAGCCCTACTGCCTCCGAAAACCGTCGTCAATCGAGCGCTAGGCAATGACTTGCATTCCGAGTCTTCACAGCCGCCCAAGGGTGGAGTCGGGAACCCTTTGGCTGACACTCCGGTTTCTACCGCACCCCCGTCCCCACAGATGTAAGTGTGTCCAATTCCCTTGTCTGAATCCTCGGGGGGTATGTGTTTTTCAGATCTCTGGCCTATCAGAAGATCCAAAGTATGATCGATGAGATCTCCGGGATAGATCCCCGGCGGCTGAAGTGCTGCCGTACTCGGAGCTTGTCTGCTTACCCCGGACCCCAAGACCCAGCCCATTGCTCTTATGTTTGTCGCCTTACGCACTTAATGAACCTTATCTGACGTTATTTCATCGACAGCCTTGGCACTCACCAGCCTGCCGGAACTCCCAGTCGAGTTCGAGCAACCACTCTTGATATCCCCGGACTGACGAAGTCCAAGGTGTCTCCAGATGGACGGATTGCCCAACGTGATGTCGGCGCAAAGCTGGTCATTGTCATGGTCGGCCTTCCGGCTCGAGGCAAGAGTTACATTACCAAGAAATTAGCCCGATACTTGAATTGGCTCCAACACGACACTGAAATCTTCAATGTTGGTCAGCGTCGTCGTGTGGCTGCTGGAAAATCTCCGTCGTCAGCCCCGCTTAATCGCAACCGCAAGCCAAGTGCTATTCACAACGATCTCATTGACTCAGTGCGTCGGTTGAGTGTCAGCGTTGGGTCCAATCTGAGGTCGTCCGAGACAGCTGAACCACTTAACGATGTCCCGCTTCCCCCTCCAGTTCTCCCAGCCAAGATTCTCGTCAACGGCGAGGAGCCAGAGCAAGTCTCTTCAAATGGAAGCACCGTGGTGCCCTCGATTGACGCGGGACCTGGCCTATCCGCTGAGAATGAAGAAGCTATCAACGAGGCTTCTCCCGAACCAATTGACCAGACTGCAAACTTCTTTGACCCTCAGAACCAGCTTGCTGTCAAGATGAGAGAGCAAGTGGCGCTCGACACCCTTGATGAGTTGCTTGACTACATTCTGGAGGAAGGTGGCAGCATTGGTATCCTCGATGCCACCAACAGCACCATGGAGCGTCGCAAGGCGGTTGTTGACCACATTCGCCAACGCGCTGGCCCTGAACTGAACATCCTGTTCCTCGAAAGTAGCTGTGTGGACCCAGATCTCCTCGAGGCTAATATGCGCTTGAAACTTTCTGGTCCCGACTACAAGGGCCAGGACCCTACTACGGCTCTGGACGATTTCAAGAAGCGTGTGGCTCTCTATGAAAAGTCCTATGTACCCTTGGGTGAATACGAGGAAAGGAACCGCATGGCCTACATCCAGATGATTGATGTCGGTCGTAAAGTGGTCGCCCACCAGACCCATGGATTCCTCTCCTCTCAAGTTGTCTACTATCTGCTCAACTTCAACCTCTCTCCTCGCCAGATTTGGATTACACGACATGGCGAGAGCATGGATGATGCTGCTGGCCGCATTGGTGGCGATTCCGATCTCAGCGAGAATGGCAAACGGTATGCGAAGGCGCTGGCTCGCTTCGTTGACCACCAACGTCAACAGTGGGAGACATATCAGCGACAGAAAGAACTTCTGAAGCACTTCCCACCACGCCCTGGTGACAGCACACCTCCCAATCCCTCTTATATCTCCCGAGAGGGACCTCGCAACTTCTGTGTTTGGTCATCTATGATGCAACGCTCTGTTCAAACCACCGAGTATTTCAATGAAGACGACTACGATGTCAAACAGATGAGGATGTTAGACGAAATCCATTCCGGCAGGATGGAGGGCATGACCTACAAAGAAATTCAAGATCAGTACCCTGAAGAATATGCCCACCGAAAGAAGGACAAACTCTTCTATCGTTACCCCGGACCTGGCGGAGAAAGCTATCTCGACATCATCAATCGTACGCGTGCCGTCATTGTCGAGGTTGAGCGCACCACCGACCATGTGTTGCTTGTCAGTCACCGATCTGTTGCCCGCGTTCTTCTGGCTTACTTCCGTGGCCTGAAGCGTGATGAGGTTGCCGACCTCGACGTTCCAATGGGCGTGCTGTACATGCTTGAGCCGAAGCCTTATGGGGTTGACTTCAAGGCATACCGGTACAACACTGAGAGCGACTGGTTCGACTATCTCCCTGATTATGAGCTGCATCAAGTCCGTACGCAGACCACCCATTAAAGCCCAACTAAAACAATCGCACATGGGGCTTCGCAATTCATGACCTGCTTATGATGTATCATGACTTGCTTCTGACATGACTTGACTCCGCCATCTCACATTCCAATGCCAATGCCAGTTCTTTCTTTCTTTCTTTCTTTTTTTTTTCTTTGGTTGTTCATGGGCCTTTTTTTTTTCTTTCCCGTTTGCACATTTGCATCTTAGTTTTGTATTATCATGCTCCTTGTTTCATTACCCGGTTGCGTTTCGTTTTCAGTGAGCACACGTTATTGCATGCAAGGCGTTAATTTCCTTTCTCATGCTTGCCCACTGTCTTGTTGCTATCCTACTGGCACATGGACATTAAGATAGAATTAGCCATGGCAGAATACTCGATCCAGCTAGACAGCACTACCATAGCCTGTCACTAGAACTGCTATTGCTGATTGTAACCAAAAGCTTCCTGCTCAATTTACCTCTCTCTTCTCTTCCTATCACAGACCTATCAACTGAATAGACCCATCCTACTCCTCCCGCTTGATCTTCTCAAAGATCTCCAAAAAGGCCTCGGGCTCATCCGCACCTTCAACATGATACTTGCCCTGCACAGAGATATAAGGCACCCCAGAAACCAACCTCCTAGCAGCAGTCTTAGCCTCCAAATCCACTTCTTCACCCCCAACATCCTCATCCAACATCTTCTTCACAGCATCCCCATCCAACCCAGCACCAACAGCAGCCTCAACCAAAACCCTCAAATCAGTAATATTCTTCTCCTCCTCAAAATATGCCCGGAACAACTGCTCCGCAACACGACTCTGCACTCCCCCCAATCACCCCCTCTTCCTCCTCCTTCTTCTCCATCTCAGCCTCCCGCTGGCCAGCATACCAAAGCAAGCGATGTGAGTCCCGCGTCGATCCCGTATTCCCTCCAAACGAGAAATGGATCCCGTCCCCTTCACCTGCAGCCGCAAGACGAGAGAAGATCGCGCTCATGCGCTCCGCGCCAAATTTCTGCGTGTACATCTCTGCCTTGTTGATGCCCGGATAGGGCGCGCTGGCTGGATTGAGGTAGAATGCTTTCCAGTGCAGGCTGAATGTGTCTGCTGGGTTGGTGGCTTTGTGGGCTGTTATAGCCCGCGAGAGCCGGCGGTAGCCTACGAAGCACCACTGTTGGTTTTGATGTTAGCTTTGTTATTTCGTTCTTTCATTCATTCTTCCTTTCTTGGGTTTTATGGTGTAGGTTATGGTTATAGTTATGGTTAAGGTTGGGATATGAAGGATTGGGGGTGCTTACCGGACACACGGTGTCTGATATGATTTGAATATTGAAGTTCGTCATTGTGAGAGGCTCTGATATATAAAGTGAGGAGTTTGAAAGAGGAGAATTGGAGTTGGACTTCTGTCGGACGGTTTTCAACGTCGGGGTTGACAGTCGATTTGTCAGCCGGGGATTGGGAATTCAATGTCCACGGGTGGATTTCGTACTTTGGGTCTCTTCTGTCTTTTGGTATAGGCCAGCCCGTGTCTGCTGATCCCCCTCTCGTGTGAAATAGAGGTGGATTTGGGTCAGCTCACATAGTTACAGCTCGAAATTATATGGAGGGAGATGGAAGACATTTGGTATCGAGGTACACACTATCATTTGTTTTGATACATTTACACCGTTCCATAGATACATGTTCCAAAAAGTATTGCAATCTGGACAGAGCCAGCTGGGATATCTACTGGCTAATTCTTGCGTTGGGGACAAATAAGACACACTCAGCTAAAGAACCTGTTGGCCCTGACTGGCCCACTGAGCCCCCGAATTACCGTCAAATGCAGCCGACGAGTTGGAGTAAACAGGCACATCGACGGAGGGGGGATTATCATGTTGCGCAAGTGCCGCGGAGTACTATTTGAGAGTCAGTGGGATCCAAAGGCAGCATGGGAAAGGAAGAACTTCTTACCTTGAAGATAAAGTTCAAGACCAAGGCAATGGCCAACCCGATACAGACAACGATAGGACCGATCATGTTATCCAGGTCCTTGCCGCTTCGCTGACGGATGAGTCGTGCCCGTCTCTCGTACATGAACCAACCCCATCCTGCAGCAAAGATGGCAAAGAATGTGTACACCACAGCTAGGGTCTGGGCAATTCGGTTGTGCTTGCCAGCGGCGTTATAGAGACCGAGGGACAGACTCGACAACAGGATACTGATGTGCAGCCATTTGATAAAAGTTCGCTGGTTGGCCAGCCAAACCTTGCTTTCAACACGAACGGGGCCAGCATCCTTGATCCAGATACCAGGGTGTCGGACGCCAGGAGGCAGGGAAACAGGAGCCTGTCCAAGCCAGCGCTCAGGGGACAATCCCACAGTCTTAAGAATGGACTCGAGGCGAGAAGGCGGTTCAGGCTCTTCTTCGGGTTCGTCATCATATTCGGGCTCTTGGGGCTGTATATGGGGAATTGAAGGGCGGGAGGGCCGCGGTGCAGGCTCGGTGATGGCTGATTGTCTCCGTACAACAGTGGGAGAGCCTCCGTAAGAGTGGTGGTAGGGTGAGCCAACAAGGGCACGGGGAGTTGGGCTGTTTGCTCCACCCATGAAACTGCCCACCGCGACATCTTCCTCGGCTCGTCGTGCCAATCTCTCTTGCTCTTCGTGGAATGCAGTTTCGGGATCGCGGCGGATATCATTTTCCAGCCCACCAAGCCAGAAGGGGAAGCTGTTAACATGGTCCTCGAACAATGAAGCAACACCGTGAACAAATTTGGAGAATCGAGGAGCGTCCTTGACCAGATGGGATACCATCAGGTCGTTAATCCACTCAGTGTTGTGGGCCTTGCCCCGAAGCTGGATCTCGAGTAGAGCGTGGGGGAAGCGATTGATCTCTCCCGTTCTGATGTTGTTGAAGGGATAGGTCATGTCGGCATCATCCAAGTCGGCGCGGTGCCACTCAGCTGGGTCGCGACAGGGACGTTCGGTGTCGAGAGAATCCTCCCGAATCAGGGCAAGGTTTGTATCAAGAGAGATGCGGATGCGGTCATCACCGGGGATTTGGAATGCAGTGCGCGTGTAATTGGCACGGAGCATAGGTTGCAGGTCATTCTCCTTGACAAAGGACTGGAGCTCATCAATATCCTTTTTCAAAGCTTCCGCGGCTGCTGACTCTCCGTTTTCAGAGTCCTCCATACGGTTGACCTTCTTGTCGAACCGGTATTGGCCGTCCAAAAATTCCTTGATATGCTTGTTCTTAAGCTGGATCTTGACCTGTCGGCTTTCGTCGTCTTCAGTGACAATCTTCTTCTCCAGGAACACAGCAGGCTTGTCCTTCAGTGACCCCGTCCAGCGAAGTCGCAAAGATCCAGCCTCGGGGGCTCGTGCAACCTTCTGGTTGTAGAGGTCGAATTGAGGGTTGTCAAAGTATAGGGAGGTAATGGTCGGGTCTTCAGTCAGGGTATCGAGGTCCTTGGAGGTTCCGGGGTTATAGATCAGAACGGGGAGACGGCGGAGAATATGAGTCTTCACTTCCAAAACATTGTCTTCGTGGACCCAGAATTTGTAGGAAGAGTATGTCTCACGGCCAAATCCACGCTCTGGCTCTTTTGGTTGCACGATGTCTTGACTCAATGTCTCTCGAACAAAGGAGTACATCACTGAGAGCTGGTGGACAAGAGGGGAATAGTCCTCCGAGTTGAAAGGTAATTGGGAAAGTCGCACTTGGAGCAACGGTTTCACTCGGTATCGGGCTCCACGCTTTCGGTCATGCTTCTTTGCAGCCTTGAGGAAGCCTGTAAAGTTGATCCGACTGTATTTTTCCAAGGCACTGACTTCCTTTGTAATGTTGTCCAGCTCTTGAAGAACCTCCGAAGCAATTGTTCTCTTCTTCTGATCGTCGAGCGCGGGGGCGTCTTGCTCCGGGGCGGGTGCCAATGGTCGCAATTTATCTTCACAAGCAGTTGTACGTTCTCGGAGTTGTTGTGAGGTCTCTGCCTGGAAGGAATTCACTTTGTCCAGCTGCACATTGAGTAGTTCCTGCACAAAGGCCTCCTCGTCCTGCTCGGTCCATTGATCGTCGTCCGAGTCGCTGGCATCCTCCCCAGTGACATCATGCTCTCTCAGAAGTGTCTTAAGTTTGGCGTAGTCGATGTACTTTCCTTTCCAGGGAGGGTACACCGCAGTGCGGAGGGTCTTCCCAAACCGCATTTTGAGCCAGTCTGATTGAGAATGGAGTGGTGCAGTTGGTTACTCAGGCACGTCCCTGTGCACTTTATAAAGGGAGTGATAGATAGGAGAAATCGAGAGACAAATCAATGCCTTTAGAGCGTTAAGTAGAGAAAATGTGAAAGGTATGATCCTATGCCGGAGATAAAATGCAAAAGAAGCCCAAAAAATAGCTTGGGACTAAGCGATGGCAGCAGCTTGAAACGAATGCGTAGAACCAGCGATAGACGCACGTGCTCAGCTAGAGCCAATCAGCACTCGAGGATGTATGACGGCTAAATCGAGACCTAGAGCATCACGTGATACGTGTCATCCAGTCACCTGATTTATTGTATTCGGTACAGTCCTGTACAGTACACAGCGAGATACTGTGAGCATCATATGGTTTCTTATTGGTCAGTTAATCATGCGCTAGGTCAATGCAATTTTGACTACAGTATACTAGAAATTGTCAACCGTCTTAAAATCAAGGTTGTAACCCCCGTGCATCGTTGACTTGATAGTTGACTTGAGACCGTAGCGAAGCGGAGAGGAAGAGGGAGAACTGCGTATTGATAAGAGAGAGGGGAATCTACAGAGTTGGTCGCCAAAATTAACCATCACTGACTGGGTAATGGGTAACTATACATGGACGATACTTAAAGCCTAAAAAGTGGCATGGGGAGGTAGGCTATATATCAAATAAGCTTAATGTAAGTCATTCAGCTTCCTTAGCACAATGGTAGTGCGTCCGGCTTTTAACCGGAAGGTTGCGGGTTCGACCCCCGTGGGTAGCGTTCGTTTTTTGATGATCTTGTTAGTATCCCCAATTTTATTGTGGTCAAAAAGTCTTTGGAAGGCCCCACTTATTTCGGCATTCACCACTTGTTTTTGACCGCCTACCCACAGGTGTGAATGAATTCTCCAGTTTACAGAACTGTCTTACTGTATACAGTGCTTTGCTGAATAAGAGCTGTGATGTTTACATGAATGTTTTGCAGGGAATGTATAGTAGCAGCTATGTGGCAGCTTATACCAAGTAACTAGATACAATAGCACTGTTTAGATAACGTTAGCTGGGGGAAACAAACCATTCGTTCTGCCAGTAGTAAGTTATATCATTAAGAAAAATGTAGCAATAATGGAGCTTGCAAAAGGCTTTGACGAGAGAGAGTACATGTTTACTATGGACTGACTATTTCTTCCAATCAGCTTCCTTAGCACAATGGTAGTGCGTCCGGCTTTTAACCGGAAGGTTGCGGGTTCGACCCCCGTGGGTAGCGTTATATTTTTGATGTTTTTGTTTGCTGATTGGTACAAATTGGCTTAGTCCAGTATTAATGTGTGTTTTTTTAAACCCAGAGGAGGGCCCAAGTTTATTGTATAGTAGCGATCATCAGCGCGGCTCAAGGAGAGCACTTCGGGTAGCGCACAGACCACTATCGCTTCCCTTGAACTGACGCCGCTCTCCGCCCCCGGGGATTCCCCATGCGCGTTTGGGTAGTTATATATCAAACGAAATAGTGCGCTTCCTATGGCGAACGAAATCATTGGTCAAGAGTGCCCTGGGCTTCTCAAACATCTTCTTGATGGTCTCCAAGATTTATATCGCGAACCGTTTCCTCATGTTCCGAACCCATCCTCCGTCAAAAAACGAGCCTCGGTTGCTGTGATTCTCCACGTTCGACCAAGCTATGACCATTGGCCTGAGACCTCCTCCGATGATAACACCGGTTTGCCGATTGAAAAGTCTCTACACAATTTTTGTGAGCAAGATTGGGTACAAAATGGCGAACCGGAAGTATTGTTCATCAAGCGCTCCACCCGGGTGGGAGATCGATGGACCGGTCACGTAGCATTGCCTGGCGGGAAAAGAGACCCCGAAGACAAGAATGACCAAGCTGCAGCTATTCGGGAGGCCGAGGAGGAAATTGGTATTGATCTGACCGGCCCAGATTGTATTGCCGTGGGAAACCTCCCGGAGCGAGTGGTCTATGCCAACTTCGGCTCTGAAATGTGAGCTTCCCTTGACTTCTTGCAAGAATTCTACTAACTTCAATGACAGCCTGATGGTCCTATGTCCCTTCGTATTCATCGTCACTAGCCCTACCATCCCGCCTCTTCGTTTGCAACCCACCGAAGTAGCATCGATTCATTGGGTCCCGCTGCGTGCTCTCCTCTCACCTTCTCTACGAACCGTTGAATATGTGGATGTATCTCAAAGACTGCGGCTGGCATTCCCAGGTGGATTTTTACCTCGCCTGGCAATCCGTTCTTTGATGGGCCAGATGCAATTCTCGGCCGTCCGTCTCATCCCCTCTGAAAGCCAGTATTGCACGACGACTAATGGTTTTATCCCTGATGCTATTACCAAAAGATCAATATTCCACAAGATCGAACGGTGGCTTTTAAGTAACCAAGCGGACTCGACTGACATTGCTCGCCCGCTGCTGCTTTGGGGACTGACACTTGGAGTCATGACTGATTTCCTTAACATACTTCCACCGCATCGCTCAATTCAGCAGTGGGAATATCCCACTTTCACTACTCCCGACCTCCGCTTCATTGTGAGCTTAATGACCTCCAGCCTGAGGAAGCGCAATACCCTCAGTGCTACTTCGGGCACCCGGCCTCAAGATACGTCCGATAGGAGCTGTAGGACTAGTCCTGCTGGGACTTTGGGTCTTGGTGTGGCAAGATACTATGATTTGAAACACAGTCCTACAGATGGGACGAGCTATGCTGTAGGCATTTTATTGCGCGGATATTACCAGCGCATGACCAAGGCCATATATGTATTCCTAGCATGGCGCGCAGCAGTTACGTCAATCACCGGCATAGTCGTATGGCGCTTTCTCCGCCGTCTTTGAAATGCACGATAGTATAGAAAGCATACCATAAGTTAATATACGCAATTCTTGCCAAATCCTCGATGCGAATGTAACATTTAATGCATTCTTTCTGCCTTCGGCGTGTTCTGTTTTTTTTTTCTTCTATGGTCTTTTTTTCAGATCACGATAGTCTGCGAAGCCGATTAATTCCAGGTCTATAAATTGAAAAAGCAATGTAAAAATAGTCAATTATGTTAGTAGGGACGGAGGAAGTTGTAGATGTTGCAATGTTTGGGGTCACGCGTATCAGATACGGGAAGCTCCCAACTTCCGTTTGACCATCCTCCTCTTGTCTACACCTGTCATGGCTCAAAAGCTCTATCCACGAGGCACTGTCAAGCGCATTGTGAAAGCCCACTCCAACCGGAACGTGAGCAAAAATGCCGACATTCTGGTACGCTGTCCCCGCCTATATGATAACCCCCCTAACACGACTGTTCAGATCTTCCTCGACTATATGCTGTTCATGCAAGAGTATGTCCTCTTTGCCTTGCTGCTTTTGAATTTGCGCCCCACGAAGTTTCCGAAATTGCCGTAAACTAATCCGCCTTTGCAGGTTAATGCGCGAAGCATCGATCAAGTCGCGTAAATCTGGCGAAAAGGTTATCTCGGCCAATACAGTTCGCAAAGTTACAGAGGTACGTCTCTTCGAAGTGATGAAATTCGGGCTTGATCCACACAACCACTGGGATGTACAACTGACAAGTCTTGATACTCACTTAGAAAACATTGCGCAAGTTCCAGGGTTAGAGAAATCCCCTCGGCATCGGTTGATTTCGCGACAAGTGGCAATGGGTTATTGTACTGGGATTTGACGGACTCGCGTGGATAATGTGATTTGGAACACTGGCGTACTGGCGCTTGGGATATGATACCCAGCAAGACTGAGAATATTCAATTGAAGCAATGATTAAATTCTGATCAAACTGGAGCCTTGTAGTCGTAGCGTAGAATCAAGTGGTTTGCGAACGAGAGCCTAAAGTGGCTGCACACACCGACCAAGGGTTTTGGACCCGCATGTTGATTCTTCCTTCTTAACATCTCTTCTTCCTGATCATCACTTCGCATCTTGCGTTTTCATCGTGCTCCTGTACAGACCTTTTACTACTTTCACTTGTGTTACCCACATTCCATCATGGCTTCCGCTTCCGCCTCTCAGAAGCCCAAGGACCTCAAGGAGAAGGGCCTCTCCCGAGCTTCGAGCACCTCCAAGGCTGACCTTGAGAGCCCTGTTAATGATGTTAATGGAACTGAGAATAACCACTTGAAGGAACTGCAGAAGTATGATTCCCCTCGCGTGAATCTTGTCGCACGGCTTTGGCCCAATGCGCAATGACTCTTTAGACACAGTGAGCTAACCACACCCTTTGCTCAGGACTCTACGCAATGCCATTAAGAAGCTGGTAAGCATTTAATCCACAACTCATACTGTGCGCCACCCTCGATTCATCAGGTGCTGATGTCCCCGCCCTCACAGAACTCTACCGCCAAGCTCGATGCCATTCTCGCTGAGAACCCGGGCAAGTCCCTCGACGAACTCATTGAAGAGAAGAAGATCAACAACGACCAGAAGGCCCAGGCTATGAAAAAGCCCTCCCTTCAGGCTGCCGTCAACCAAATTGAAGAGCAGATCGCCATCTACAAGCAGTTTGCTGCCCAATACGAAGAGAAGTTGGCCACCCAGAAGGCCGACCTGCTGAAGGCACACAAGGAGGAGCTGGAGGCTGTTCGTGGAAACGTCATTGCCGACGCGACTGAGTCTAGCGCCAAGGCACTGCGCGAGCAGTTGCTTACTATGAGCAAGTTCCTGTGCGCCGCAGCCAACCTCCGCCGCGAAGGTGATGCTACTACCGTGGAGAGCCTTGCTTTTGAGGGTGTTCTATTCCAGGTTTATGGTGGCTCGCAGGATGCAGTCAATGCTATGGTGAAGTTGATTGACGGTGCTGATGAGAAGGTTGTGGGCGTGGAGGGCGATGCGCTTGAGTTCAGCTGTAAGTATCTGGTCACCCCTCCATATCGCGGAGTCTGTTTCCTAACATTATTTGTCGTTAGATGGCGATGTGAAGCAGGCCTCTGACAAGTTCGCCCCCGTCGAGGAGATCACCGAGACTGTCTCTGAGACCACCCCCGCTACTGACCCTACCATGGCCAACGCTGGCCTTACCGAGCTTCAGGATGCCTCGTTCGGCGCCAATGCTGCTCCTGCCGCCGAGAACGACCAGCTTGCTCCGCCTGCCCAGACTCTTGTTTCCGATGCTGCCAACACCATTGCGGAGAAGAGCTATGACTCTGCTAACCAGGCCGGTGATGCCGATAATGTCGAGCTTCCTCGTAACCCTGCCGAAACTGATACTGGCCTCCATGCTACTCCTGCCAGCGCTGATGGCGGTTTGAACAACGGTTCTGTTGGCGTTGACGTTGCTCAAGAGAACAACGCCAAGGGTCAAGTCAACGGACGCCGTGGACGTGGTGGCCCTCGTCGTGAGGGATCTCGTGGTGGTGGCCGTGGCCGAGGCGATGGCAAGCGTGAGCGTGGTCGTGGTAGTGGTGGTCGCGGTCGTGGCGGTCGTGGACGCGGTGGCGGCAATGGTTCGCCTTCTGAGGCCCAGCCCAAGACCAACGGCAGCACAAATAACTAAGCCGCTGAGCGCTACGTGCCTCGGGATCAATTCTCGATACGACTCCATCGAGTGGATTTCCGGGCCATCTGCTTTTTCATTATTCCCCTCTACGATCACTGGTCCGACTTCATGGATCACGAACGCAACGAATTTTCTTCACGGAGAGTCGCTTTTTTTGATCTCTTCGTCTGGCTCTACCAAAGTCTTATGGACCATGTTCTGCTATTTTTTTGAGCGTGCATATTCCGATTTTTCGAGAGCTTTGCTTTCACGACATACATATGTATTCTATGGCTAATGTTTTATCGGCGCGTATGAATGGACCGGACAGGCCAAGGTCGGATATGGATCGGAATTGATTGAGGTGACTGACACCGCTGCTTGTTCTATTCCTTGTGTAGAAGTAGAAGTAGGAGTACTTTATAGACATCAATCGTGTGTTGACAAGGAAGTATGGCATCACATGATACCGCCTCACGTGATATAACATCAGGTCATCCCGCGCTAACCGCGATAGGAAATCCACTCCGGCATGTAATCAGTGGAGCTTCGCGTTCTCCGGACAATCAGATCAATTCTCGAGTCCAACTGTCCACTTCCTTTCTTTCATCTTCTTGCTCTCTTTGATCCTTCACATTCTTTAAATCCACTTTATATATCAACCCGGCGCCAGCAAACATGGCCATCGCTGGCGCCCAACGTAAGCAGGTGCTGAAGGTGTTGATGCTTTCATTGTTGATAGATCTGGTAAGATGGAAGCCCCTCCACGCCAACAACCACGTTGCTCCAAACTGACAATGCCCCTAGATCTCCTTTACATTTATTCTGCCTCTATTTCCGTCACTGCTCTCGTTTTATCGCGCCCAAGATTCATCCCCGGATTCCCTCCTCAACCGCATCTTCCACTACCTAAACGCCTACAAGAATGCCTTTGCTCGCCCAATTGACTCGCGCTATGATATTGTCCTCCTCGGTGGAGCCCTCGGCTCCCTTTTCTCTCTTCTCCAGGCCTTCGCCGCTCCGGTGATTGGCCGTCTCTCCGATCGTTATGGCCGTCGTCGCGCGCTTCTCATCTCCATGATGGGCAATCTGTGGAGCGTCGCGCTGTGGGTGTCCGCCCGGGACTTTCGCACTTTCTTCGCGAGCCGCATTGTCGGTGGATTGAGTGAAGCGAACGTGCAAATGGCCAATGCCATTGTGGCCGATGTCACGGATGCTGAGCACCGAGGCTCATCTATGGCGTTGGTTGGGGCTTGCTTCAGCATTGCGTTTACGTTCGGTCCCATGCTCGGTGCGGCACTTAGTACTGTTGATATTGTTGCTGAGAACCCCTTTATTGTTGCTGCAATTGTCTCCTTCGCTTTGATCTTTATCGAGACTACCTATCTCTGGGCTTGTTTGCCGGAGACTCACCCGCGGTTGACGACGCTGAAGCATGAGGACCAGAAGATGGATACCAAGGGAGATGCGTCAAGTAAAAAAGCAGATGAAAAGAAGTCTGACTCTACTAAACGTGTTCATACTAACAATCCTGCTCTTCTCAACGCTCTCCATTTCCTCTTCTTGCTTCCGTTCTCTGGTCTAGAATTCTCTCTTCCATTCTTGACTACTACCCTATACGCTGGGACAGCTACAACAGCCAGTCCTGCTGCATTGAATGGTCGACTTCTATCCCTGATGGGCTTGATCGCTTCTCTCCTTCAAGGCACCCTAGTCCGTCGTCTTCCTTCTCTGATCACCCTCCGCGCCGGTGTCGTCGCCTGTGCCATCTCATTCTTCTGCCTTGCTCAAGTGTCTTCTCCCTCGGGTCTGTATTTGGCCGGCGCTCTGCTGGCTGTTACTAGTGCTACCGTTGTAACAGGATTGAACAGCCTGGGTAGTTTCGAGGCACAGGATGCGGACCGCGGTGCAGTCATGGGTCGCCTGCGAGGATGGGGCCAGGCTGGTAGGGCCATTGGTCCTATTGTGTTTTGCTCGTTGTTCTGGTGGGCTGGCCGTGAGGCTGCTTATACAGCTGGTGGCGTGGCTATGTCTGTCGTTGCGGTTGGTGTCTTCACTCTGTTGAAATCGCCTGCTGTGCACAGAAAGACCGAGTGAATGTGTCACTTGAGTCTTGATCATTCGTATCGCGTCGCTGGTCGATGCGTTATATGTATTTGTATCATCTTGCTCATTGCCCTCATTTTGGGAAATGTATTCGAATGTTTTGGAGTACTCGATGGAATTAGTAGGAGAATGTACAATTGCTGCTCATTTAATTCGGTTGGTCAATGATCTAAGGACGGGGTATATAATACATAGAGTGGTGAGGGAGAAGATGTCCAGATGGTCCTGCCAAATAGACAGGTTCAAAAAAGTAAGAGAGCAGTCTGGTAATTTGACCAAAAACCAGAATGAGATCAAAGTGAGGTCGTTTCTCTCGTACGAGGTTCAACCTCATTAGTATGGTCTGCAGGGTCACCGCCAATTCGGTGATATACTTGATGTCATTGGGGTGGTTATGATCGACGGTGATCACTCGAATCAAATTCATGACCCTGACAAGACTCCATGGCCAGCCCAGGGTTTGCGACTGGATCCAATGAGCCTCGCGCTTTGCCAATAAGCCAGTCTGTCAAAGTGACGAACTTTGCAGTCCGTTCCCAGCCGTCTGCTTCATCGGCGTGCTCAATAGTATGAGTCAAGATGCGACCTTCTTCGTCGAAAGAGAAGATGAACAGACCAGTAAATTGCTCCTCTTTTGAGAGCTTAAATATGGGCTCTTCGCCTCCGAGGAGCACACTCAGGCCTTTGTTGGTACTCTTTGTCGAGGCTGATAGATGGCTCTCCTGTAACGAAGCAGCATTTTGAGCTGCGGTCGAGCTCGCCTTTGACGAAGTAGAGGGGCTGTGAAAAGGCCCGCTATCTGTCCGAGGCTCAGTCTTCCAGCGGACTATTAGGCGTTCATCGCCGCAGTCGTGGTGTTCACCGTTGCGCAATGGATCGAGTAGTGTGCCTGAGCGCACGATCCTTTCACTAAGGATTTGCAGCCTCACGTTTCCGACCAAGGGAACGCTACTCCACGCGACTGGGACTGTCCATAGTGCTGCGCGGTATAGTGTGCGTCCTTTGACTGTTGGAAGGTGTGGATGCGTGGATGGGAAGAGGTGGAGGTTCACACTCGGGGCGAGGATTTCAGTGGGAAGGGTATTGTACAAGAGGGTCGGGAGTAGGGGTGATAGGGTCCGTAATGCTTTAATCATGTTAGTCGAACAGATGTGAACAGTGAAAGCAGCATGCTCACTCTTTCCGAGTTTCAAGGTCCTCTCATCGGGTGGCTTATGGTCGTTTCTCGGAGGAACTCCATCTCCTCCGTCTAGTTCACGGCGTACACGGCTCGGGCTGAAATATGTAGTCGGAAGCGGGGAGACTGATGCTGGCGGAAGCCATGACTCGTTGAGAAGGCCATGGCGAGGCTGTGCAAGCTGCTGTCGCGAAACCGACCTAAAAGATCGCGCTGAGGCAGACCTCTGATTAGGAAGGATGATGCGCGGATAGACCAGCTTCGGCATTATGCTTCAATCATTGAGCTGATCCTTGTGTATCGTGTTGTCAAGCCATGGAAAACAAGGCTGAAGCGACAAGTTGGAAAGGTGAGAGTTGAAGATGGAGAAAGTGTTCATCTCTAATGACGTTGCCGCGGCCAATCACGCTCGAGCTGTATACAACCCTAAATAAATAACTAAGCGGCAGAGATATGGCATTTCCTCTTCCTCCATATTTCAAACGAGAACTGCAAGTATATAATAATACTACGAAGGAAATAGGAATAGACTAGACGAGAGGCAATTTGTGCTTCAACTACTCGTCCGAATATTATGCTACTGAAGTAAAATACCTCCCAAATCAAGCCAGTTCATCATCATCACCCATTCCCATGACGCGGCGCTCTGCCAGATCGCGGATCTTGTCCTCCAGAACACCCCGTCCATAACGCTGTGCAACCTTGGCGGCGGCTTCGAGCATCTTGCCGTTGCGGTCTGTCATCAAAGCTACCAACTCGAGTGCCTTCATTCCACGCTCCTCGCCCTCCCTACATTCAATGGCCAGCATCTGCAGCAGGTTCTTGTCCAGGTCGAGCTCTCTCCGCGCCATATCAGAGCGCTGACTTGCTGTCGCATTGGTGGAGGACAATAAATCACGGAAGAGAGATAAGAGGATGTTTCCGCGGACAAAGGATTCCTCGAATCGGGAACCCTCGTTACGGTCTGCTGCTGCTTCTTCGGATTCGTTGGAGTCCTTCGGAGGAGCACTGGAAACGGGGATCTGGAAGTCGAACTCGCTGAGAAGTGGCCGCGGGAAGTAGGGGTTCTTGTCGCCACCCTTGAGGATGATACAGTGGAACTTGTCTTGTGCAACAGCGACTGGCCAATATGTTTCCTCTTTCCGTCCACCTGCGAGACGTGCCATTTGCTTTGTGTCAAGAAGAGGAACCCACCGGGCTTGCCCGGGGGTGCGCCAATGTTGTAGCACCAGCAAGACACCGGTAGAGTCGTAGATGCAAGGATCCTAGACATAAGGTCAGTTTTGCTGTACTTGTTATTGGATTCATCTGGCACATACACCAAAGTCAGAGAAGAAAACACTCTGCAATGAAGCCCCTTCCGGAAGGGCCACTGTATCTTCGTTCTGGCAGATTTCGTCACGCTTGACATTTTCCACCGTATATCGTAAACTCGTGTGACGGCCATCGGGCCCAACGGGTCCATTGCCGATACTCATAATGTAGTCGCGCCAAGCTGCGCAAGTTACAGCTTGACTCTTCTGTCTGTACACCTTGAAGGGGGTCCCAAACAGAGTGTACACACGGACATAGTCCTTGGATGTTACAGCCACGATGTATGAGTCGCTGAGAGCCAAAGCTAATGATATATTAGTAGATAATACATGAAAACAGCTCTTTCAATGACGCTTACCTCGAACTTGTTCTCCCTCGGGCAATTGAGTTCGCCAGTCCGCTCGCGTAGTCCATGTCTCGTGTGGTCGATAAAAGATAGTAGCAGCGCTGCCGTCGGAAGGGCTATTGGCGAAAAGTGTACCATTGTCGTCTATACTTGATCAGCAATCACTTCGACCAAGTGCCAAACCAGGGAAAAACCTACTCAGACAAGCCTTGTCGTACATGTAAGGATCGGTGAAATGGAAGTCTCTGTGAGCCTCACGGTCGTAGAATTCCACAGTCACAGTATGGTGGGTTTCCTGGTCGACGGTCCAGACAGCACCAGTTAAGTTGAGACCTGACCATGTTAGCAATCCTATGTCAGAATTAACCGGAGTCCCAACATACAGAGGTATCTTCTGCTTCCAGCCCATGGCGTGCTGCCCGGCTGAAGAGCCGGGTGAGCCAAGGGCTGCAAGCTACCCCCGAGTGAAGTCGCTTGCTGACAGGGCCACCAATGTCATCGAGAGAGCCATTTGGCCGCTTTCCATAGAGGTTAAGCTCATCCTCGGCATAGCCAGCTCCATCATCGTCGTCAACAAAATCACCCATCTCCTCATCTTGACCCAGGATATCATCCAGCGAGTCTGGGGTTCCTCTCCGAGCAGCTCGCTGGATGGCCTCCTTAGACCGATCTGCCAATGTTGTTCGTTGGACATTGCTAGAGATCTCGCCTAGGGGCCCAGGGAAGATCGGAGCAGCCTGTAGAGACTTTTGCAGGAGTGATTCGTGGTCTTTCGGTACAAAGTTATCGTAGATGAAAAGCTCTCCGTCTGAGGTTGTGAATGAAAGTGAGTTCTTGGTCGGGTGCCATGCAAGGTTCATGACATTTCCGAAGTCGAATCGCTGCAAGATTTTCTGAGTCTTTGCTTCCCAGAGCACAATCTGTCCATCTGCTGCTGCGGAAGCCAGGAGTGTGCCGTTCGGGGCCCAGCTCAATGCGGTGATATCACCAGTATGTCCACCGGCAAAAGTCTTCTCTTTCTTCCACTCACTGGTAGAGTAAATTGAAATATCTCTCGTTGCCTCGGCAGAGGCAAATGCAGTTCCATCAGGGTGCCACACAATTCGCGATGTCGCCTCAGCATCTGGCTCCAGTCGTCGAATGACTCCATCAAGTTTACGGACCAGTTCCGGTTCCTCTTCTTGCAGAGAGTAGATGTAAAGAATACCGTCGGTGCCAGAAACTGTCGCATATCGGCCACTGGGATCGAATGTGACATGCTTTGTTCCCTTGGATTGTTCCCGGAGGTACTTCACTTGCGTCATGTCGTCGACTTTCACTATTTTGACCGTGAGCTCACTATTTCAGCTGTGTTAGCAACCGACACCAACATTCTATATCCGCTAACGCCGTACTCACTCGCTTGCTACCGCTACCCACTCCCCATCTCTCGTCACCGCGATATCTCTCACTGGCAAAGCGCATCGGACCAGCAAGTTCTGCATCTTGCCAGACAGGATGTCGTACTGCCAAACCGTTCCATCTTCAGCACCCATGATAAATGACCGATTCTGATGATCTTGTCAGCTCCATTTGCGAGACCGCTGAATCTCCAACCTACCGTAGCACCGATACCGAAATGCGCGTCGACACCCTCGTCAATGGTCTTGGGTTCGCCATCCTCCCCAACTGTGTAAATGCGAATTGCGGAATTTGAACCACCAGTAATGATTCGTCGGCCGTCGGGCGTATATGTCAATACTGTTGTACCAGGAGTGTCTGTAAACCGCGATGTCAGTAGGTGTCGTGGATAATTTCATGCGGGTAGCTTACGGGCTGGGCGCCCCCGCGGGCGAAGAGTGTCGAAACTCATCTCGAACGAGACCTGACGTAGATACTCGAAGTTGCAATCAACAAGTCTGGAGTCTCGATCTCAATCTGGTGGAGCGTAAACGCCAGGGATCTCCGACGCGTCCGCGCGTGACGCGCCTTGATTTAACCCGATTGGGAACTGAAATAGGGCTCAGGGCTCAGGGTAAGGGCCTCTTTCGCTGGACTGAAGTTATACATCTCAATAAAAGTCTCATTTGATTTCTAGGTCTTCTACTAATTGGCACCCCCAGCGGTCAAGAAATCAAAATCTGCTCCCTCCTGAGCTTGGTTCACCGACCGCTCATACAACCCCCGGTATCCTCTCCGCTGCTTTCGTGTCTGCACATCTCCTGCAAGGACCTGTCGGCGGTTTTCAATACGAGCCTGCAATACTGAATCAGGGACATCCAATTTCAGTGTGCGAGTCTCGATATCGCAGATGATCAAGTCCCCGGTCTCCACGGCACCAAACGGGGACTCTGGCAGCGCAGCTTCCGGCGAGATATGAAGAATGATGGTACCACCCGCAGTTCCTGACATTCGACCATCAGACAGGCGCAGCATGTCTTTAACTCCTGCTTTTCCTAGCTTCTTTGGTATGGGTATGAGACCAGCCTCGGGCATACCAGGATTGCCAACTGGACCAATGTTCTTCAGGACAAGCACGCTATCCTTCGTAACGCCGAGGTTAGGATCATCGATACGCTTGGCTAAGTCGGCTGAATTCTCAAATACTAAAGCTGGTCCAGTATGAGACAGTAGATGTCTATACTTAGAGGCTGAGGCTTTAATAACCGCTCCATCTGGGGCAAGGTTGCCACGAAGGACAACCAAAGAAGACGAGGGATATAGGGGATCGGACAATGGCCGAATGATGTGCTGTGCAAAGGAGATTTGCTTGGACTGAGATGCGTCCAAGACCTCGCCCAATGTTTGCCCGGTGATTGTCGTGGCAGATAAATGAAGTAAAGGCCTGAGCACTTGCAAAAGCGCCACCATGCCTCCTGCATTGTGAAAATCGTTCATATAGTTATCCCCACTCGGTTTGAGATCAACCAGCAGTGGAGTTTTGCGTCCGATCTCCTCAAAAGTGTCCAGAGTGATTACTCCCTGAAGCTCTGGATGCCGATTGGCAATGGCTAATAAATGGACCACTGCATTCGTTGAGCCACCGATGGCCTGAAGAACTGTGATAGCATTCCAAAAGGATTCCTTCGCCAAGATCGTCTGTGGCTTTCTTTGGGATTTGGCGATCGCAACTGCATTTGCGCCTGTCTCCTCTGCAATTCGCAGTCTTGCTGATGATACTGCCGGTGCAGATGCACCCTTGAGTGGCATCATACCTAGAGCTGCAGTGACGCATGCCATTGTACTAGCGGTGCCCATGACACCACATGTCCCGATCTACAGGAGAAGTAGCTGGTGTTAGCTGACATGATAGTTTCATCCTCGCTGAGATACCTCGCTCGACACATACCGTCGGTGCAAGCTCTTCATTGACTGCTGAGATCTCTTCGACATCTATCTCGCCTGCTCTGAACGCTGCCCAATTGTTTCGGCAGTCAGTACAAGCACCAATACGCTGGCCGCGGTGACTCCCTGGCATCATGGGACCGGTGATCAAAGGGAGAACGGGCTTGTTGGCAGATATACCACCCATGAGCTGTGCTGGAACAGTCTTATCACATCCTAAAATTCGTCAAAAAATTATGAACAATCTATCAAAGTGTCATATGATTGAAACTCACCTCCAATCATGATGCACGCGTCCAATGGCTGAGCTCGAATCATCTCCTCCGTATCCATGCTCATAAGGTTTCTCAAAAACATGCTAGTTGGAGACGAGAAAGATTCAGCGACACTGATGGTAGGAAACTCTATAGCCAGTCCTCCATTGAGCTGCACGCCGCGCTTCGCAGCCTCGATGAGCTGCGGCACATTGGCATGACAGGGGTTGTAACCGGAGAAAGTGTTGATTATTCCCACAATTGGTCGTGATAAAGCATCTTCGGAATAACCAAGTGCCTTGATAAACACTTTCCGAAGGAATAGAGAGAAGTGCGCATCTCCATAAGAGGTTAGACCCTGGCGAAGTCCCGAAGTGGAGGCGATCGGGGTTGTGAGATCATAATCCTTGTTGAGTTCTGCATCATTCTGCATTGTTGAGGCAATTGAAAGATAATAGCACGAGCTTCAACTTGGCTTATATATTCCCCTCCTCCTAGTGGATGGTGTCATCGGCGCAAGGCCGACCCGGATATTAATCCGAGCCGAGGGAGTATAAAATACAAAAGTCAACTACTTGGTTCTTGAATGGTTGGAATGCTATGGAAACAGGCAATTCTGTAATGATAGAATTTACACTCTACTCCTCATATTCACCCTCAGCTCCTTTGATGGTCGGAAAGCTCCCCAACTAGTCTTGTGTCCGGGAACTGTGAGGATTTTGCCATTCTTGGGCTCAATCTCCCACATGGCAACTACTCCGGCGGTGAAGATCAAGATAGTTCTCTCAATGAAACCACCGTTGGTAGATCCATATAGTCCACCCGCGAATGGAGCAAGGATGTCCGGATCAGCCCATTGTTTGCCCGTTGTAGGGTCTGTCACAAGGTACCGAAGAGGGTCGAATTGATCTGGATTGGAGAAGTATCGAGGATCGTGATGATAGGCACCGTGTGGAAGGATGACCTTTTCACCTTTGCGAATCGTGTAGGAGCGAGGCTCGGTCAGGCCGTATGCGGCTTCGTCCGCCGACTCGGAAAGTGTAATGTCGGATGCCAGTTTTTTAGAAGTGATTCCCGCAGAGTGAAGGCGCAGGGTTTCATAGTAGCACGCTCTGAACAGCGGGCAAGATTCAAGCACTTTCTCAATATCGAGGCTGAGTCGAGGAGGTTCATCGAATGGGAACCCAGTCTCTTGGCGACTTGGTCGAGAAGCTATCACATAAGGGGATATCTCCTTTCGGACCTGCTCAAGAAGCGGAGCATCCGAGAATAAGTGGGTGATTGCCCAGAAAGCAATCTTGCTTGTGTGCTCGATCAGCTCATAATACAAGGACAAGTGTCCTGCAGCACTGGCGCCGGAGGAGAGCTCCAACTTGCGAAAAGTTCGCATCCGATCTTTGACCAGCTCTGACACATTGTCCAGATCCCGCAGTTCAATGCCGGCATCAATACCATCGTCCCAAGCAGCAAGGGCTCGGTGAAAGATTGACATGATATGACGAAGCCGATCACGGGCCGCATGGCCTGCTGAAGCAGAAGGATGTGGTATATAGCGAGGAGTACCAATAAATAGTGTCACATAGCTGCTGTCAAGGGTTCCAAGATCTTCCGATAAACCAGGGAACGCCTCTACAAAGGCATCGCCCATCAAGAAGGTAGTGGTGATGTGGCCGACAAAGTTGCTTATAAGAGCAAACAAGTTTGCTTCACAAAATGATTGGTCTTCTTCGTTTGGTAGCTCTACCTGACTGCTTCCACGCTCCCAGGGATTCTGGTCAACAAGGCTGCGGCAGAAGCTTACCAAGTTCGGAATGTGACTCTCTACCAAACGAGTAATTGCGGATGAAGCTTCAGTAACAAAGGCCTTGCTGTGGATAATGGAAGACGCATTATCTTTGATGCCTTTGTCCTGGGTCAGATTCAATTTGCGCGTGAGAGTGCGGTCGCCAAAGACGTTTTGCAACGCCTGGTCGAGAACATGGGCACTCGAAGCATCTTCTGCAGAGAAGACAGTTTTCATCATAGATGGTGAGATCACGGCATTGTGCTTTTCACCGCGTAAGTAGATGCCAAAAACAGGCTCATTCATGGTTTCTCTATATTGTATTAGTGACGGGCGCAGAGTCAACCCAAAGTTGAACAAGCATACCGTGTTCTAATGAAAAATTTGACATGATTCCACAAGAAAGGAACTCCGTGTCCGATCCGAGGGAGCCAGTAGGGTGCTATTAGCACTGCCCTTGGTTTTGAAGGGTCTTGACAACGGCGTTGACTTTGGAACCCCGAAACAAAGCGGGTTGTGATGCAAGCAAAAATGATCACAGCAAAGAATATAGGCCAGTTCACATAAGATAACCCAGTACGGGCACTCTGGAAAGGACCGTTGGGTGAGGTTTCATACCCCATGGTGATATAATGAAATATTAAAAACAAACACTGCCATCCGAGATGACACGGTCGTTCAATTCCCACGCTCACTCAATGTTTGAAGATTGCAGTCTTTGGTCAGTAGTAAGTAATGATAAAAAATGTTGGAACAAGCGACTCTTGGACATATGTATTGATTCCGGCGATGAAAGGGACTGGAGGGCGCGGTCGAGTTCTTTCCCTTGCTGACTCATCTTGGAACCTGAGGTCTCACCTAGACATTTTTTACTGATTTGCTATGTTTCTGATTTGTATTAATATAGGACTGAGTCTCTATGTATGATACAGGATTTGAGTTTATTGAATATGTAGATGGTGACTCAAGAAATGGGCTCCCGATACGGCTCTAGTTGTTTACACAGCCGAGGTCATGCTACGTGGCAAACAGGTGCATACTCCCAGGTATATTGCGATTTAAGCAAAGAGTGATATGGTCTTTAAAAAAATTGAACTCAAGTAGTTGAGGGCTAATACTGAGGTGAGATATTGAGGTGAGATATAGACAGTAAGCTGTTTCAGTTCTCATTCTGCAGGATCTTCGACAGAGAAGCGCTCTCGCTCTCATACTTCTGAATCTTGGCCTGCGATCCATGAACCTTGCGCAGAAGCCATTCAATTCTAGAAGTGAGTTCCCAGGGATACTTTGGCAAAGAGCCAAGGACCTGGAGTTCCTGCTCATATTTGCTGATACTCGAGTTCTCGTTGCTCATAAGCTGTGCAAGAACCAACATATCAAGACGACCTTGTAGGGTCTTGTTTGACACTAGACGCTGGAAAGCAGCACGATAGACGGGCTTTCCGGGTTTGATGTATCGTGGGAATCCCTTGTCGGTTCCCACGGAGATGAGCTCTGATTGTTCCAGGGCGTGCAGAGTGGCCTCGCCGTTCTCTTTGAACAGATCCGAGAGAAGGACTTTGTTGTACAATAGAGTGCCGTCTTTCGAGCTTGCCAAAGACTTGATCAAATGCCACGCTTGTTCACGACTCCATTGAGGTGTCATCGAGTCTGTGCCCAAAATGAAGATCTTCAAAATCTCCGATGATGATTGCTCAATGATACGGTTTACAGCAGCTATATGGCGTGTTAGAGATTGCTTCAGTTGAACTGGGATATAGACTTACCTTCAGGGGTCTCCCCGGCTTCAATTCGATGAGCCATAAACTCAAGGTCAGTGACTCGGCCGCCTAGTACCTTGATACAGGAATCTAAGCCATGAAGTGTCTTCTTGCGATTCGCATCCTGCTCCTTGTCACCATCGCCTCCCACCGTGTCCAGGTGACTTAGAACAAAGCGACGGCCAACATCGAGTGAACAGTCACCCAAGCCAATTGTGCGGAAAACTTGATTAGGGAGCGCCTTGCTCAAAGGCTTCGCGAAGGAAGAATCAGTTGTCAAAAAGACGACATGTGCAATATTTGCTGAGGTCAGGCCAGCCGCCCACTGCGTCATCTTGTCGAGCACAACACTGTCCTCTGAATCATACACGAAGTTGTCAATAATGACAACAGGCCGTTTTTCCGGATGGGCCTCCAGGTACTCATCCTCGGACATGTTGAAGTCTTTGTCCTCCTTGCGTCTCCCTTCCAAAGCAACCCGCCTCATGGCAACAGCAGTGTTTTGCCAGATTTTGCTGAGCTGCGCATCGAGAGTTTCAGAGAACCCAGCCTTGGTACCAATCATTCCCTGTGCAGCTAGGTCAATCAAGCTGCTGAGGCTATTCATCCAGGAAAAGATTGGCCGGTAGCCAACCTGGGCCGCCGCTCGTGAGATTTTAGCCGTGTCTCCTCGGGCATCTTGGATTTGCTTGCAGTCCACGACGACCTTGTACTTGTGCTCCTTCAGCGCTTGTTCCAAGACCAATTCGCGCTTTCCTGAGCCTCGTGGGCCATGAATGACGATGAATGTTTCCGCAGTTTCAGTCAACCAGGCTTGTAGCTGTGAGATGTCTTTTTGTCGGTCCTCCCAAATAGCTGCCAGGCCACGCGGGTCTGATTTGCTCTTGCCAAAAGAAAACATGTTGGTTTTGCTAACCTGCGCGCGAATCCATTGCACGATCTGGTTCTCCTCGTGTTGCAACGTCGACTTGATTTTGAGCTCAATGAAGAAAGTGCGAATGGGATCGAAGACAATGACGGTGATAGTGGCAATCAAGGCAGCTAAAGCGGGAATAACTATTCTTGGGTGGTTCAAGAGCCAGTCCTTGATCATAAACAGTTTGATCTTGCGTTCATAATTGATCTTGAACCTTGTACCAGATTTACCGCCACCAGATTCCTCCGAAACGGTAAAGCCATGCATACAATTTCTTGCCATGACAGAATATCGAGGTCGTTCAAATCGCAGAGTCGCATACCGTGGCACCACTTTGGAATCGGTGGGTTGGGGTTGGATATCGAGAAGTTTTCCATATGGCCGGAACAATGAGTACAGAGCTTCTTGAGATAGCTCAGCAGCTGAGCTATCGGGAGAGGTAGACAAGAATTCCACCTTGATGGTTTGGCTTGGAATTCGATAAAGGTCTTCGATCCACGGTATTCCGCGCACGAGGTCCGCATCAACCTTCTGGAATGGATTGAACCAAGGATTGATAGGTTTATTTCGTAGATGCTCCTCGACCGCATTCCGAATAGTCTCGTCATTCAAATCTGGCTTACGTGCATATCTAACAAATGCACCGCCTTCTTTATACCTCGCGATGACCTCTTTGATCTCTAGGTCCAAATCTTTAGGCAATGCCCTTTGAACGATTCGAAGTGGATCAGATGCTGCCATTCCAGGCTTGTCAATCTTTCTCAAGATACCCTCAAGAGGCTGAACATGACTGAGGGGACCCCGCAGCAGCCATTGTAACCGGTGCGGAAAGATATCTAGAACTGGTCAGCAAAAGAGCACTGAAGCTTGGAGAGCTGCAGTACCTACTATTCACGTAAAGTATTCCTTCATTTTCTCCCAGTGAGATATGTCCTGACTGGATAGAAGATGTGTATCGTATCATCGAGCGTCCCCAAGGCGGAAGCCTCCCTCGGCCAAATGCATGAGCATTGATATGGGAGCGTGGAGAGCACACCGCCCAAGGAACTTTTGTGAATGTAACTTGTCTCATTGTCGCAAAGACATGTTAAAGAGGGGGGGAAATTTGGGAAGAAATCCTGTGTTTGAATCGATCAACAGGATATGAATGACGTCGTGGTCTTGACTATCGGGCTTGTTATCGATCACGTGCCGTTTGATTACGAAAAAGATAACCGCGGTCACCTTGTCGCGACATCCACCCATCCGTCACTTCAGGTCAATTCTACTGCGCAAGATGGGCTGGCTATGGAGCTCAAGTCCTAGTGACACAGCCAAGGATACATCACTTAACACACCATCACCTGCGACACCTGCGGAAGCATCAAAGCAGACTGCACCGCCGAAGGCCTTGACCCCCAGCGAGCAAGCCGATCTAGAATGGAATTCAATCCTCGCCGATCTCAGAGCTGAGGAGACTGCCCTGTCAAAGGGTACCCCCGGTGGTCTTACATCCGATGGCAATGTCTCAATACAATCCGAAACACCCTCATCACCGATCGCTCCCGAATCCCTCTACCAAGACCACATGTCCTGCCGCAACGCCTTCGACTACGCCTTCTTCTGTCAGTCTTTTGGTGGACAGTTTGTGAATGTTTACCGATATGGAGAATTACGATCCTGCAGTGATCATTGGGATAATCTATGGCTTTGCATGAAGACTCGCACATGGCCCGAAAACATGCGCAAGAAGGCCATCCTAGACCACAACCGAAAGAAGGCTATCAAGTACAAGACTGGCCCCAGTAGCGAGGATGTCTGGGATGTACGACTAGAACCGGCCCGGGACTCGTTCAAGGGAGACTTTGCCGCTTTGGAGCGGGAAATGAAGGCCGAAGATGAGGAGGCGGCGAGACAAAAGGCGGCTTCATGATACCCCTTGTCCTTTTCCTTTGGGATTTTTGTTACAATATGTAGATATATGCCTCTTGTGTCAGCTCATGTATAATATGACCTTCTCAATTCTCCCCGTGTCTGGGAGTCACTTGTAGAATCTGTAGACATCAATTGGCCTAAGGATCTCGGTACTTATATTTCTCTGCCTACAGATAAGGGATATCTTTGCGAAATTTATCAACTTGTTATAGTGAGATATCAGAAGAAGAGAGCTCTTGGATTGAACCAGCGTATAAACATGAAAGAACCCCCCCCCCCCCCGAACCATTGCGATGCGGCGCTCAAAATACTATGCTCTTAAATGCAGCGCTAAAACATGAGATATAAAAATACAGCATTGAAACAAAGATTTCCAAATCAAACGAAGAAACAAAATCTCAGCATAAGACACTCAGATAAATGAGAAACCCACAGAGCTCAAGACATGGCAGATACATGTCTCGTAAGATTGAAAAAACAAGTCAAACAGACCCGTATAGATAGTTTTGGCAGCGAAATTATAGGAAAAAGGTTGGCATACCTGAAACCTGTGAGCAAATGGTGCCTGTATAAAAGCCCAGTCACGAAGCACGACCTGCTGCAGAGACCAACTCGATAGTGTCAGCATCGAAGCCAATGAGAAGGGAAAAGAAAATGCCATGGTGAGGTTCCTCTCTCAGACACACTCAGAACTAGACTAATTAGTGTCTCCTTTCCTTTTCCTGTTGCTTGTTGAACTGCGCCTCTTTGTAGTGGATCTTGGCTATCTCGTTAGGGACATGTTTTCTACGTCGTTCAAACCCAGGGCTCTTTGAATTATCTCTTAGCCCCTGATGGGCCTTGAGTCTCCGTCCCCTGGCTTCTTCGGACTCTGCTTCTTGTGAACTGGTCATAGTTGGTGCCGACGTGGGCCCGCCAGCACCGTCAGCACCGCCATCATGACTTTCTACCTGTGATGAAAAGGAATTAGCAGAAGCAGACGGGTCTTTTGGTTCAGAGTCTTCGGGAACACTGCCGAGAGTTGGTCGTGCATAAGAGTGATGCTTTCTATTTTGCATCCGAGATCCCCTTCTCGTTGAAGTCTCGCGCTGTGCCTCCTTTCTGCCACCACTGAACATGGCAGAGTGTGAAGCTCCTCGAAGTCCAGTGCGAGATGTTGCTCGGCTTCCATCAGGGAATGTTCCTGATACGCGTCCGTCATTATAGACGCGCACGTTTGCACGCTGGCCATCGATCTCGCGATAGGTTACGAAGCCGTTTGGATGATCGCTGGGCTCATCGCTGTCCATGTTTGTTGACGTTTTTCTGGTCACCTCGGGCATTTTGAGAAATTGTATCTGTTATTTGACAAGGTTGAGATCGTCGAGGTTGAATATTGTGTTTAATGTTTGAACGCTTGGAGTATTGGATGTTTTTGATGAAGTAGAATATATCGATATATGAGAGAAACAGAGCGCTTTAATACTTTTTTCTGTCACCCACCAAAGCTGGCGGTATCAAAAATAGAAAAGAACAACTTAGACAAAGAAAATCCGCAGAATATTAGCCACAGGCTTATTGTCGACTCTATACTTGGGGTTTCTTTGTGGGTAGTGCTAAGAAGCCACCCCCCATAATTAAATCCGACTAATACACTAGCGGCATTTTAGCGCTATTTGGGTATTGGAATCTACATCAAATTTGACCTCAAATATGGCATCAATGGACATTTCAAGAAATCGGATGAATCATCAGTCCTCGCTTAGTAACCCACCAAAACCCCGGTTTTTGCTAAGGGTGTAGGGTCCATGCACTCACGGTCCCCTTCTTTGTGCTGTGTACTTTTAGTCTCTGGAGAGAATTAAAGCCGTGACGAGTCACAGCCCAGTTTCACGAGGGGGCTCATAGTAAAAATGGAACAAAGGGTCAGATTATCGAAAATGGAAAGGCTATTTACAACAACATAGAGAGAATGCCGTATTGGGGCAGACGCTCTTAAACCCTTGCAAACTCGAAGAAAACAACGCTTGAATAGAATAATTGGAGGAAAATATCAAAAGGCATAGTACCTGAGGCTTTTGTTAAACTTCTCCGATCATAAGCAAAAACCGTCTAAATCACAGATGTATCCCATTTGAGCAAATCATGATTGCCTCATGAAGTTTTGATCATAGTCGTGGCCGTCAAAGTCGTAAACATCTCCCGCAGTCCCCGATTTAGGCGACAACCTGGGTCTCGATGGGCTGGGGAACGGTGTCGATGGCAGGACGACGGACGATGCCACCAGTGACAGGAAGCTGGGAGCTGGTGCCGGAGAGGAAGGCGTCCACCTCGCGAGCACACTGGCGACCTTCGTTGATACCCCAGACAATCAAAGACTGTCCACGGCGGCAATCACCGGCAGCGTAAACACCGGAAATGTTGGTCGAGTAGTGGCCAGGGGGGTCTTGACGTTCTTGCGAGGATCACGCTCGATTTCCTCACCAAGGAGACGGTCCTCGGGACCTAAGAATCCCATGGACAGGAGGACAAGGTCGGCAGGGAAGAACTGCTCACTACCTTCGACCGTTTTCATGTCCCAACCGCCAGTAGCGCTCTTGGTCCACTCAACACGGACGGTGTTGATGCCCTTGACACGGTTGTTGCCGTCGTCGACAAACTCAGTAGACATGACACAGAATTCACGAGGGTCCTTGCCCATATGTGTCTTGACCTCGGAGTGCCCATAGTCGACACGGTAGATACGAGGCCACTGGGGCCAAGGGTTGTCGCGGGCACGCTCGGGGGGAGGCTGAGGCAGCAACTCGAAGTTGGTCACTGATTTGGCACCATGACGGACTGAGGTGCCGATACAGTCGTTTCCGGTATCACCACCACCAATGACAACAACGTGCTTATCCTTGGCAGAGATATATTCACCATCAGAAAGGCCAGAGTCAAGAAGAGACTTGGTGTTCTTATGCAGGAACTGCATGGCGAAGTGTACACCATCGAGCTCACGGCCAGTGACCTTAAGGTCACGAGCGACAGTAGCACCGGTGGCAATGATGACAGCGTCATTGCTGGCACGAAGAGACTGGAGCGAAACTTCACAATCGGGACCAACAGCAGTACTGGCAACGAACTCGATACCTTCGGCAGCCATGAGATCAATACGGCGCTGAACAACCTTCTTGTCGAGCTTCATGTTGGGAATACCATACATGAGAAGACCGCCCATACGGTCAGCACGCTCGTAGACAGTGACGCTGTGACCAGCACGGTTAAGCTGGTCAGCAGCAGCGAGACCAGCGGGACCGGATCCAATGATGGCAATGGTCTTCCCGGAACGAGTTTTGGGAGGACGAGGGATCATCCAGCCCATCTCGAATCCGCGGTCAATAATGGCACACTCGATGGACTTGATACCAACAGGATCCTCGTTGATACCCAGAACACAAGCACCTTCACAAGGGGCAGGGCAAACACGGCCAGTGAATTCAGGGAAGTTGTTGGTCATAAGCAGACGGTTCAGGGCCTCCTGCCATTCATTTTGGAATAATAGTTCATTCCATTTGGGAATGATGTTGGAGATGGGGCAACCAGTGTCAGACTGACAGAAGGGAACACCACAGTCCATGCAACGAGCCGATTGGTACTTGAGCTCGTCCTCGCTCAGACGGTTGGATATCTCACCCCAATCGCGAGTACGGGTAGTGGGATTGCGGTATTTCTCGTTGCGGCGACTGTACTTCATGAAACCTCTTGTCTTGTCCAGAATCAGCGCAGACCGCTTCTTCTCGGTCTTAGAGTCGCTGATGCTATCTTCGATATCCAGCAGTTCAGCCTTCTTGTCGTCACCAGCCTTGGCCTTCTCTGTCTTGATTGGGGCACTTGGGAGCTGAGGAAGAGTGAACTCGGCCTTCTTTGCGGCTTGCGTCTTAGCGGCCTCCTCCTCCATGACACGCTTATAGTCGATAGGCAGAATCTTGATGAAGTGAGGCAGAGCACGGGTGAAGTCAAGCAGAATACGAGCAGCTAACTCGGAGCCAGTGTAATGGTGGTGATCCTCAACTAAGCCACGAACAAAGGCGATCTCGGAGGGGTCCTCAATACCAGATACCTCAACCATCTCCAAGTTCACTTTAGAGAGGAAGTCCTGGTTCTTGTCCAGCACGTATGCAATTCCACCAGACATACCAGCGGCAAAGTTACGACCGGTAGGTCCAAGGACAAGGACACGACCACCAGTCATGTACTCGCATCCATGATCACCCACACCCTCAACAATTGCAGTAGCACCGGAGTTACGGACAGCGAAACGCTCCGCGGCCATACCGCGGAAGTAACAAGTTCCGCGAGTGGCACCGTAAAGACAGGTGTTACCAATGATGACATTTTGTTCGGCCTTGAACGCGGCGCCGCGGGGTGGGTAAACAATGAGACGGCCACCGGACAGGCCCTTGCCGACGTAGTCGTTGGCGTCACCCTCGAGCTCAAGGGTGACACCCGGGGCAAGGAAAGCACCGAAGGACTGACCAGCAGATCCCTTAATGTTTGCATGAATGGTGTCCTGGGGAAGACCATTGTCGCCGTAACGCTTGCTGATCTGGTAAGAAAGAGTGGCACCGAGCGCACGGTCAGTATTGACAATGTCACACTCGATGCGGCAAGGCAGTCCCTTTTCCAAAGCAAGTTCAGACTCTGCAATCAACTTGTTGTCGAGACGAGTGTGGAGGCGGTGATCCTGTTTCCGAACATTGTAGGTAGCGACGCCAGGGCGAAGAGAGTGAGCGGGAGTCAAGATCAGTGACAGATCCACACGCTCCTGCTTAGCGTTGCGAATGTCATCCCGGGTCTTTAGCAGTTCAGCACGACCGACCATCTCGTTAACAGAGCGGACACCCAACTTGGCCATAATAGCACGCATCTCGTTTGCAACATAGTAGAAGAAGTTGATGACGTGTTCCGGTGAACCCTGGAACTTCTTGCGGAGCTCAGGGTCCTGAGTTGCGATACCAACAGGACAGGTGTTCAAGTGGCATTTTCTGTATGAAATAGTTAGTTTCATCAGAATCCTAAAGATAGCCGGGGTGGTACAAACCTCATCATAATACAACCCATTGCAATTAAAGGAGTAGTGGCAAAGCCGTATTCCTCAGCACCGAGAAGACAGGCAATAGCCAAATCACGACCAGTACGGATTTGACCATCAGTCTGGACCACAACACGACCACGCAGATCGTTCAGGACCAAAGTCTGGTGGGTCTCGGCGAGACCCAGCTCCCACGGAAGACCAGCGTACTTGATACCAGTCCAGCGCGAAGCACCAGTACCACCATCGTGACCAGAGATCAAGATGTGGTCAGCCTTGGCCTTGGCCACACCAGAGGCGACAATACCAACACCAACCTCAGAAACGAGCTTGACAGAAACACGAGCACGCGGGTTGGAGCATTTGAGATCGTAGATGAGTTGCTTAAGATCTTCAATAGAGTAAATGTCGTGATGGGGAGGTGGAGAGATGAGACCGACACCCGGTGTGGAGAACCGAGTGCGAGCAATTGGGCCAAGCACCTTGTGACCGGGCAGTTCACCACCCTCACCGGGCTTTGCTCCCTGAGCCATCTTGATCTGCAGCTCATCGGCATCCGCCAGATAGTTCGACGTAACACCGAAACGACCAGAGGCAATCTGCTTAATGGCAGAGCGCATGGTGTCACCGTTTTCCATTCTCTTGCTACGTTCAGAGTCCTCACCACCCTCACCAGTGTTAGATTTGCCACCCAACCGATTCATGGCAATGGCGATTGTGGAGTGGGATTCCATAGAAATGGATCCGTAGGACATAGCACCAGTCACAAAGCGACGGACAATCTCAGTCCAGGGCTCGACTTGGTCAATGGGAATAGGAGTACGCTGCTCAAAGTCAAAGTCAAGCATGCCACGCAGAGTGCAGTTCTTGATCTGCTCATGTTCCGCCTTGGCATAGGCCTCGTAAGACTTGTCGTTCTTGGTACGGACGGCATCCTGCATGTTGGCAATGCTAACGGGGTCGTTGATGTGTGCCTCGCCGCCATCACGCCAGTGATACTCACCGGACTCTGGGAGACCGGGGACCTCAATGATGGGACGCGAAGGATAACCGCGCTCGTGGAAAGCGAAAGCATCCTCGGCAATTAGCTCAAAAGTGATACCTCGGATACGACTAGCAGTACCAGCAAAGCAACGGTCAATGACAGTGTCATCGATACCGAGAGCTTCGAAGATCTGAGCACCCTTATAGGACTGAAGAGTTGAAATACCCATCTTACTCATGACCTTGAGAATACCACCATCACAAGAAGACTTGTAATTTTGAATG